CGTCACGTGATGACGCGGCGCTGATTGAGCGATCGGGATAACGGTGGGGGGCTTGGGCTGGAGGGTGGGGGAAGCGGGGGGGTGGGGGTGGGGTTGGGGGACGTGGGGTAAGTTAAATAAATAAACAGCTGCCCATGGAGGCGGTGATGCCATCACTCCGCCGCCTCCCGTGGGAGGCGGCTCGTGCGGCGTAAATCAGCGCCGCGCGACCGTGCATCAGGGAGCCCCCCCCCCCCGCGCGCTCCCACGCAGCAATCGGAGGCGACGCATGCCGTCACTCAGCCCTCGGTGCAACGCACGCACACAGACACAAACCCCCCCCTGTAGCCCGCACACTCCGGGAGCTGTTCGCGAGCGTCGGTGAAGGTCAGCTTAGCGTGCCTACGAGGGGGTTGGTGTAGCCGCAACCGTACCTGGAACCGCGCCCCGGCCGCCTTTGTCTCCCCACAGTGCTGATTTTTACACACTGTAGTAGGCACCCATTTAAGGCTGAGTCGACCTAGGAGAGCCCCAAGGCCGGGTTCGGAAAACATTCACAGCAGGTGATGCTCGCAGCCGGTTTGAACTGGGGTCGCCGGGTTTGTAGAGTGGTGCGCTAACCACTGTGCCTCCGCTCCACACATACGTACACACATACAAGCATGCACACAAAGCGTGCACACAAATGCATAAGACTGCAAGCCTTCACTCAACACATAAAACAAGCACACACACTGACGTAAATATATAAACTGAAACACTCACACAAAGAGCACGTAAGCACAGACTCAGACACAAAAGACCACATAAAACACACATGAAAATTTACACTCGTGAACACATACCATATACAATACCAAACATCACTCAACACACAAACCATAGACAAAGTTCCAACATATGTGGCCTTTAACAGACTGTTGGGGCAAGTGCTTTTAGTGAATAGTTCCTATGAAGGCCACTGCACTAGGTACTTATTAGACCTAGGGGAGGCCTTGGACTGGTTCAGATAATCGTCACTGGTGTTGAGTGGGAATTTAACTCGGTTCGCCGGGTTTGTATCGCAGTGCGCTAACTGCTACACCACCACTCCCCACTACACCCGCACAGATAAATGTACGGGCGCATGCACGTACGGACAGACGCACATACATACAGATGCACGTGCGTACGGAATGGACACGTACGTGCGTGCGGCCCTAATGGAGTGGACAAAGCGAGGAGAAAAAGAAATAGGTTTGTGATTAATTCCGCGCTGGGGGTTTGTTATCGGGGCGGCAGAGTGCCACTGACAGCGGCCTCCAAATTGGCGGGGTTATCGCTGCGTGCGTACCCCTACACGCCGGCGTGTGGGGGGTACCACAACCACGCTCGGCCGGCCTGCTGATGATGATGCTGATGCCACTGCTGCTGATGGTGGTGGTGGCGGCGAAGATCCTGCTGATGCTTCCAATGCTGCTTATGCCAATGCAGATGCTGCTGACGATGATGACGATGTCTCTGCTCCTGCTGCTGCTCCTAGAGATGCTGTTGCTAATGCTGCTGCATGATGACGGTGATGCTTCTGATAATTATACTAATTGTGCTGCTATTATTGCTTCCACTGATGATGCTCTTGCTGATTCCGCTGATGCTCCTGATGATGATGCTCCTGATGATGATGATGCTCCTGATGATGCTCCTGATGATGATGCTCCTCCTGATGATGATGATGCACCTGCTGAAACTGCTGCCTCTCATTACTGCTGCTACTGCTGACCCTTGGCGTCATCCACCACACGTGGTGTGGGTGGCGAGCGTGGTGATGGCGAGCATGATCGTGATGGTCGATGGAAAGTTCGGCGAGAATTCATTTGGGACGACTCGCCGTTTGGCCCCGGTTTCGCGACCCTCGCGTTAAACCAACGTTGACTCACGCGCCGAGCCGACTGCCCGATGACGTCTGGCCTTTGACGCCGATCGTTAATAATGTTTAATAGCGATCTCAACTTGACGCGATCGCCAGGGACACGGAGCGACGGGATCGGCCAAACCACGGGCGGCACGCCGGATGGATCCACCGTGAGAGTTGGCGGCGGTTTGGGGATGGAGGCGGCCTTCATCCAACAGTCTATTGATCACGGCTCGTTACGGCGACTGTCGAGATTTGATGTGTATTGTGCACGTTCACGGCAACTGCTCGCAGTCGCTCGTTTGTTTTGACTCTGAACTTGAAACGACGACGGTGAACACGCATGAGCCGTCAACTTCCTGGCGGCAGACGTAGCCGATTAACAGATATCACCGCAGGGGCTGGCGTGAGTGGGACTGGGGTGGTGTGGCTGGAGTGGTGTGGGGCAAGGGGAGTGTGGTGGAGCTAGAGTGGTGGGGCTAGGTGGAGCTGGAGTGCGAGTGGGTGCGGTGGGGTACGGGCGCCCGATGGCCGTGGCCGTCATCCGGTGGGATTCCTCGTTTGTGTTCCTGTTTTCCACTGAAGCTAGAAGCAGTGATGGACGGAGACGGAGTCGGGGGGGGGGCGCTCCCCCCACCCACCCCAACAACCAAACCCCAAAGCCTCAACCCCCCCCAGACCCCACAACGATTCTGAGAGGCTGTCTCGATCCCAGTCACGCGATTGACTGTGGTTCAAGAGTTGAACAGCGAAGCCGGGAGCATTAGCGAAGGCATAATGATCATGATGATGATACGAATCTTTATTTAGAGAGCGTCTTCCATGCCAAGAGATTTAAGGACACTTTAGATAAGTTCAGATAAAACAAACACATTTACAGAGAGAAAATCTGTAAACACACTTATTAGATTATAAGGGGAAGGGGTTGGGGAATTAATAGAATGATAAAATAATCGTAAGATGCTCGAATACATTTCGGGAGAATTAGGCCTCAAGCCTCGATGCAAAGAGTGCTGTAGCCATTACGAGTACTCACCCGAGCGGCGAGTACTGACTGCGTACTCACAGAACCGGTGAGGGCTGTGTGAGCTTCCGCGCGGGCTGGGCCGCGAGTCTCCGTGCGTGGCGAGAGCCTCCCCTCCGAGCCGCGCGTCAACCCCGGGGTTCTGTAATCTGCCACGGCGGGGATTCAATATTAGCGCCTCGTTATCAGACCGTGCCCCGTGCCCCGCGCCGACACGCCGTGTGTACGCGCCGGGCGTGCGTGCGGCGCTGCGGTTGTCTCGTGCGGTGTGCTGGGGCCGGCCGGGGTGGTGAGGTTGAGTAGCGTGGAGGGGAGCCGGCTGAAGAGTGTGTTGGGTGGGGAGCGGGACCCTGACAGCGTGTTGGGGAGGGATCCGGAGAGTACGGTGAGGCGAAGGAGAGTATGGTGGGGCTGAGTGGAGTGCGGTGGGGTAGGACAGCGTGGTGGGGCTGGGTAGTGTGGTGAGGTATTACAGCGTGGTGGGGCTGGGTAGTGTGTGGTGGGGTAGGGCAGCGTGGTGGGGCTGGGTAGTGTGGTGGGGTAGGACAGCGTGGTGGGACTGGGTAGTGTGTGGTGGGGTAGGACAGCGTGGTGGGGCTGGGTAGTGTGGTGAGGTATTACAGCGTGGTAGGGCTGGGTAGTGTGGTGAGGTAGGGCAGCGTGGTGGGGCTGATTAGTGTGTGGTGGGGTAGTACAGCGTGGTGGGGCTGGGTAGTGTGGTGAGGTAGGGCAGCGTGGTGGGGCTGGGTAGTGTGGTGAGGTAGGGCAGCGTGGTGGGGCTGGGTAGTGTGTGGTGGGGTAGAACAGCGTGGTGGGGCTGGGTAGTGTGGTGAGGTAGGGCAGCGTGGTGGGGCTGGGTAGTGTGTGGTGAGGTATTACAGCGTGGTGGGGCTGGGTAGAGTGTGGTGGGGTAGGACAGCGTGGTGGGGCTGGGTAGTGTGTGGTGGGGTAGGACAGCGTGGTGGGGCTGGGTAGTGTGTGGTGAGGTATTACAGCGTGGTGGGGCCGGTATTCCGAGGTGTGGCTGGGGAGCGTGGTGGAGCCAGTGGTTGTGTTTAGCCAGGTGTGCTCGTGTGGTCGCTGTGCCCTGGCGTGGCCGACACTGGCGGTTTGCCGGTGGTGCCGCTGGCCCCATGCCAGGCGGGCGTGGAGTTTGGTTCTGGGAGGTTGACTTTGTTGAACCGTTTTGTTGTTGATTTTCGGTTCCAGATTAAATTCCGGGTTTGCTGTTGGTGCCGTGCAGAACGCTCACGGCAAGCAGTGGCACTTTACTGCCACGTTCACACTCTTTATGAATACAAATTGCCTTGACTTTTGGGAAACGTTGCGTTTAATTTATTTACAGAAACACGGATGGACAGTCTCCAACGTGAGCCTATGGGTCTCTATTTGAGTGTATGGGTCTCTATGCAAGTCTATAGGTCTTGGTGGAAGTGAGTGGTAACCGGGCTGAGACTCATCAGCTTGCTGCGCTTGAGAACCCCGGTTTAATCACAGGTAATTGCCCAGACCTGGAATCAAACCCAGAATCTTCGTGGTGCCGGCTCGGCTTCACTGACCCGGCCCACGCCTCCCATCACGGGTATTGCAGTGCCTTCTCGCTGCACGCCCCTTGGTTCTGGGTGGCCACTTGTCCTGTTTTTTTTAAAGAAATTGTCCTCTCGTTCAAAGTGTACGCTGTCCTGGGCCAGCCGCTTCAAATTAAAAGCCCTGATTGCGGAATGGTTTGGCCGCTCCGGACGCGCATTTGCACGCCGTGAGCCCGTCTCCCCCGTGCCACGAGATATTCCTCTCCATCCCATTTAGTTTTCTATCTCGGAGGAGGCAACATGGGCCGTTCTGCTTACACATGTGGGTGGGGGGGGGGGGGGGGTGCGGGGATGTTTTGTTGTCCTGGTCACAGATGTCGCCCCCAGCCGCCAAGAGGGACCCCTAATCCCCTGTCCACCACCGCCCCTCCCCGCTCCTCGCCTTGTTCAACTTGTCATGCTTGCTGTGTCTCCCACTCTCCCATCCTCCCCGCCTCTCTCTCTTTCTCTCTCTCTCTCACATCCACATTAATTCCTCCCTCCCCCTAACATCTGCAAACCCTCCGTGTCTTCACAGGTGAATTTGGGCCTTTTAATTGGGCTGGAAGTTACCCAGAATGCAACGCATCGCGCCAGTCGCCCATAGACATCTCGACAGTGGCAGCCACACCCAGCGCAGTGCATTCTGGGATGGTGCTGGAGGGATGGAAGAGGAGAACACCGCGGCAGCTGCTCCTGAGGAATTCTGGGAAGAGCGGTGAGGCTCCGAAGCATCTCACGGGGAGAGGGAGGAATGAATGAGAGTTTGTTTTGGGTTGGTGGTGTAGAAATTAGCGCTACGCTGCACTTCGAACCCAGCGACCCAAGTTCGATTCCCGCTCACGGCCAACACCGGTGACGATTTATCTGAATTAGCCGTGAGCCTCCCCTAGGTCGACTCAGCCTGAAATAAGTATCTGGTGTGGTGTGCAAACAACGCCACTGGGGAGACAAAGGCGGTTGGGCGTGGTGTTGACCACCCACCCCCTCGTGTGCCGTGCCGGCCTTCATTGATGTTCACTAACCGCACTTGCTCTAACAGTCTGTTAAAGGCTATATGAGAGATTGTGTGGGAGTGTGTGAGAGTCGGTGTGAGCAAGCGTGAATGACGTGTGACCGCAAGCGCGTTCAGACGTGGTAACGCGGGACCCCTCGCGCGTGCACACATCGTTCGCATGGGGCGAGTACTAGACGTCCGCCCGTACCGCGAGAGAGAGAGAGCTCTCTAACGGTCTACTTGGTAATGCTCCCTGTCTCGCCTCGTCTCCACCTACAAACCGAGACACGGCGACATGGGACGGTGGGGCATACGGTCTGTGATCCTTGTGTGACCCCTGGCGACCTGTCCCCGGTGCTCGTTGTTGTCATCATTATGATGGTGGTCCGGGGTCCTGATGATTTTGTTCCGGGCCATGCAGCGGTGTTACCAAATCTCGTGTGCCTTCTTTTGTGACCCCGTGCGACCCCCGTGCGACCCCCATGGCAGTGGAGGTGGCGCTGGCGGGGGACTACTTTGTGAGCAGCGGGGCGCTGCCCGGGCGGTTCCGCGCTGCCCAGCTCTCCTTCCACTGGGGGCGCTGCAACGACACGCAAGGCTCAGAGCACCGGCTCGATGGACAGGCCTACCCGCTCGAGGTGGGAGCCGGGCTAGCGGTGGGGGCTAGCAGTGGATACAGGTAGTGGGGTTAACAGTGGGGGCTAGTGGAATTTTGGTTAGTGGCCATGGGTCTAGTGGTGGTGGGACTAGTGGCCGTGGGACTAGTTGGGGTTGGACTAGTGGGGGTGGGACTAGTGGGGGTGGGACTAGTGGGGGTGGGACTAGCGGTGCTGGGGATAGCGGTGGTGGGAACTAGCGGTAGGGGCTAGCTGTAAGGGCTCGTGGACCAGCAGCAGGGCTGGCGTGCCGCCCAAGGACAGGTAACAAGGAGAGGTCACGTCAGTAACGTGCCTTCCCCCTCCTCGTTTCCTTACCTCCATTTTTCATGAGCTCTGTGGAGCGGGCGGTTGGCTCAGCTCTGAGAGAGAGAGAAATCGATTCCTCATGAACGCTCTGCTCGCTCGCTCTCACACACTCCCAAACACCCACAAAGATCCCCCATATAGCCAGCGCCACGCCCAACCGCCTTTGTCTCCCTAGTGGCAATGTTTACACACCGCACCAGATACTCATTTTAGGCTGAGTCGACCTAGGGGAGGCCCGGTTCAGATAATCGTCACTGGTGTTGGCCGTGAGCGGGAATCGAACCCGGGTCGCCAGGTTCATAGCGTAGCGCGCTAACCGCTACACTATCGCACCCACACACCCGCTCACACCCCGCTCACACTCCGCTTGCTCTCATTCACCCGCTCACTCGCACACCCGCTCACATACACACTCACATATGCCCCCCATACACGCGCTCACGTTCTGTGCTCTCCCGCACTCCGGCTTGCTTACCCTCCCGTCCGCCCGTCTGCCTGCAGCTCCTTTAATATTTCATATTGTTCACCGTCGCCGCCTCCCGCTCCTCCCGCTTGTAAACCCTCGTTAACCGCTCGTAACCACGGTGCCGGGCCAGGGGTGACAGCCCTGGCATGGTTATGTCCCTCGTTCTTCTTGTGGCCGCCGAGTGAATGGTTGCTGGCTGGCGTGAGTAGTGTGTTGCGATTGTGGTGGGTGTGGTGTGTGGGGATGGTGAAGTTAGTCTGTGGGGAGTGTGGGTGGTGTTTTATGTGGCATCTGTTGGCGTGTGGTTGGTGTATGTGGTGTATCATGCGGTGAGCGAGGAAAGTGTGTGGTGTATGTGTGGTGTACGTGTGGTTTACATGTGGGGAGTGGTGTATTTGTGGTGTACGTGTGGTTTACATGTGGGGAGTGGTGTATGTGTGGTGTACGTGTGGTTTACATGTGGGGAGTGGTGTGTTTGGGGTTTGTGGTGTGGTGAGTGAGGAGTGTGTGTGGTGTGGTTAGTGAAGAGACTGGTGAGTGAAGAGGTGATGTGGTGAGTGAGGAGAAAGTGTGATGTCGTGAGTGAGGAGTGGTGTGGTGTGGAGTGGTGATTGAGGAGAGGGTGTGGTGTGTGAGGAGTGTGTGTGGTGTGGTGAGTGAGGAGAGGGTGTGTGGTGTGGTGTGGTGAGGAGTATGTGGTGTGGTCAGGAGTGTGTGGTGAGTGAGGAGAGGGTGTGGTGTGGTGAGTGAGGAGAGGGTGTGGTGAGGAGTGTGTGTGGTGTGGTGTGGTGAGGAGTGTGTGGGGTGGTGAGGAGAGGGTGTGGTGTGGTGAGTGAGGAGAGTGTGTGGTGAGGGAGGAGAGTGTGGTGTGAGTGAGGAGAGTGTGTGGTCAGGGAGGAGAGTGTGTGGTGAGGGAGGAGAGTGTGTGGGGTGGTGAGTGAGGAGAGGGTGTGGTGTGGTGAGTGAGGAGAGGGTGTGGTGTGGTGAGTGAGGAGAGTGTGTGGTGAGTGAGGAGAGTGTGTGGTGAGTGAGGAGAGGGTGTGGTGTGGTGAGGGAGGAGAGTGTGTGGTGAGTGAGGAGAGTGTGTGGTGAGTGAGGAGAGTGTGTGGTGAGTGAGGAGAGGGTGTGGTGTGATGAGGGAGGAGAGTGTGTGGTGAGTGAGGAGAGTGTGTGGTGAGTGAGGAGAGGGTGTGGTGAGGGAGGAGAGTGTGTGGTGAGTGAGGAGTGTGTGGTGTGAGTGTGAGGAGTGTGTGGTGTGGTGAATGAGGAGTGTGTGGTGTGGTGAATGAAGAGTGTGTGGTGAGTTAGGAGTGTGTGGTGTGGTGAGTGAGGAGAGTGTGTGGTGAGTGAGGAGAGTGGTGTGGTGTGAGTGTGAGGAGTGTGTGGTGTGGTGAATGAGGAGTGCGTGGTGTGGTGAGTGAGGAGTGTGTGGTGTGGTGAATGAGGAGTGCGTGGTGTGGTGAGTGAGGAGTGTGTGTGGTGTGGTGAATGAGGAGTGTGTGGTGTGGTGAGTGAGGAGTGTGTGTGGTGTGGTGAGTGAGGAGAGTGTGTGGTGAGTGAGGAGTGTGTGGTGTGGTGAGTGAGGAGAGTGTGTGGTGAGTGAGGAGAGTGGTGTGGTGTGAGTGTGAGGAGTGTGTGGTGAATGAGGAGTGTGTGTTGTGGTGAGTGAGGAGTGTGTGTGGTGAGTGAGGAGTGTGTGTGGTGTGGTGAGGAGAGTGTGTGGTGTGGTGAGTGAGGAGAGTGTGTGGTGAGTGAGGAGAGTGGTGTGGTGAGTGAGGAGAGTGGTGGGGTGTGAGTGTGAGGAGTGTGTGGTGTGGTGAATGAGGAGTGCGTGGTGTGGTGAGTGAGGAGTGTGTGGTGTGGTGAATGAGGAGTGCGTGGTGTGGTGAGTGAGGAGTGTGTGTGGTGTGGTGAATGAGGAGTGTGTGGTGTGGTGAGTGAGGAGTGTGTGTGGTGTGGTGAGTGAGGAGAGTGTGTGGTGAGTGAGGAGTGTGTGGTGTGGTGAGTGAGGAGTGTGTGGTGTGGTGAGTGAGGAGAGTGTCTGGTGAGGGGCACGTGGAGGGGACCCGGGGTGTGGCCGTGTATGTAACCATGGCTGCGGACTTTCGTTTCCTCGCATTGTGAATTCACTGGATGGGATCTGCACGAGGGGGGTAGTGGGAGGTCGGGCAGCAGCTGATGGTGCCCAGCAGGGTCCTCAGGGCCCCTCGCGTGCTGCGAGTGACGATTCATCGCTTCATCAGTTGACGTGTTCATTCACATACTCTGGCCTCTTCTTCCACTTATGATCCGGGCAGTGGGTCTGGCTACCTGGGTTGTGGGTGGAGCTACCTGAGCAGTGGGTCGAGCTGCTTGGGTACTGGGTGGAGCTACTTGGGTAGTGGGTGGAGCTACTAGAGTCGTGGGCGAGGCCTATATCATAAATACAAGGACTCCTCTACTTACGAATATTCGACCTACGAACTTTCAGAGATACGAACAAACCTGTCCCAATGTCCAGTTGCCTGTTCGGACAAAGAGTGGTAAGTTCAACTACCACGCAATCGATGGCAGTGGTGGCATCTAAATCTGCAGAACATGAAGAATCAGTGGCATCTACAGGCGATGATACAATTTTTAAAGCGATTCCCATGTTTAGTGCACATGTTGTACAACATGTTTGGAATCGAGTTGTGAACAGACCTCTGGAACCTAACTCGTTCGTAAGTACAGGGGTCCCTATGGTGATGAGGCCACTCTTTGTGTGGGCAGCACTTGTGACCTGCCTGGGCATGGCGATGTGAAAGTGGGATGGGCCAACCGAGGGAGGGCCTGCCTGCTCGCCACTTGTCCAGGTTGAGCCTCATAGACGTGACGCAGCTTCACTCCCTGTCGTGTGTCTCTTACAGATGCAGGTGCTGCTGTACCGGCCCAACACCTCCCAGAGCCTGGAGCAGGCCATCGCCAGTGGGGACAGCATGGCCGCAATCGCCATCCTCTTTCAGGTGGGGCGGGTAACTGGGTAACAGGGGTAATGAGGTAGTGAGGTGATTGAATATCTGGGTAAAATCTGACCAGCATGTACGGTGTGAAAGAAATTCAACATATATACATATGTAGTTTTCTTCATGGAGGCACACACTTGACTTGGAGGCAACACGTTTATTATAACACCCCGACAGGGTAACTACATAAACGTACACTTGGTTAACTAGACCACAACAGGGTAACTATACCACAATGGAGTAACTACATAACCGGGCCAGTAACATTCTGACTGACCCACGATGCCGAGCGAAGACCAAAGATCGAAGAGCCGTAGCACCGAGGGTGGATTCCAGAGAACAGCTCCGATCGGGGCTCGGGACTCGGCCTTTATCGGCCGCGGCGTGGCCAGGCTCCGCCCTTGGCCTCGCCCCCTTCCAGATCCTTCCCGAAGACTCTGGCCCCTACATCACGTGTCCCTTTCTCCCCCTTTTGGGCCCCCTTGCCACGTTGTCCGGTCACAAGCCCTCTCGGGGTCACCCAGACTGTCACGTCCTCACCCGACCTCTCTCTCACTGTCACCCGGGACTATGCCCCCCAGGGTCCGTTTCCATGGTATACCCACTCTGGGGCACGAGAGAGGCCCAAGACACACAGCTCCACTCTTGTGACGGTAGCTGGCGCTAACCGCCATAGTGACCCCATTTATGTCACTACACATACATAACCAGTGAGCGAGGTAACTGGTTAACCAATTAACAGATAACTGGATAGTGGGGTAACAGGGTATTGTGGTGATCGGCTAGTGGGGTAACTTGGTAACAAGGTAACAAATTACTGGGTAGTGGAGTTACTGGTGAATGGGGTAACGGGTTAATGAGAACGCAGGTAACAGAGCAACAAGGTAAATAGATGACTGAGCAACTGGATAATGGAGGTGCCTTGCTAAACGGGTACCTAGGTAATGGAGTAACCTGGTAATCAGGTAACCGGATAATGGGGTACTTTGGTAAAGGGGTACCCAAATAATGGGATTACTGGATTGCCCATTCACTCTCCCCCTCGCAGCCTGTCTCATTTGCGCCGCCCATCCCGGTTGTACCGCCCCGTCCGCCTGTGTGGCCACCGGCTCTCCTGCTCCCATCCACGCGTGGCGCTAATGGGCTATCGATTCGGCTCTCATTTGTTTGTGTGTGTGCATGCGCAGTGCTTATGTCTCTTTATGTGCCACCTGTGAGTTATGGCGAGAGGGAGGCCGCCGCAGTGGGTGTCTGGGTCAATAGCAATCATAACCACAACAACAACAACAAGAACTATTACAGGCATAATTTATCCAGGAGAGCCTCCCCGCGTGTCATTGCCATGGCCACGTCCGATAATGGGGCCCCAGGTCCCAGGCCCCAGGCTCCAGGCCCCAGGCCCCAGGCACCAGGCACCAGGCCCCAGGCCCCAGGCCCCAGGCCCCAGGCACCAGGCACTAGGCCCCATGCCCCAGGCCCCATGCCCCAGGCCCCAGGCTGTAGTCGAGTTCAGGGCCTGGTTCTGTAGGATCCCTGTGGAAGCGTTTTGAATGGACGGAGCGATACCAGTCCACGCGGCATGGTGTTCGCCACCGCACACCAGTTTCCCTTTGCTTTGTCATTGTGACGGGTGTTGTTTTGCGCTCTCGCGTTTGCCGTCATCCCAGTTGTGAATGGAGTGCCTCTGCTGTGGTCCAGCCAACACAAGTTAGCCCTCCGCGGGCTGATCATCATAGCTATTCCGCTTCACCACGTTCAGAACCCGCACGCGCGCTGTCAATCCCACAGTGATTAGCGAGAGTTGCTGTCAATTAACTTGGGAAATGTGCGCGGTGCTGATTTAATGTCCAATCGCGACTTGTTTAAACTAAACTGATTGCTCTTGCCGTTTCATAAATATTTAATCAGGAGATCAAATATTTACTGGAATGAAACGGATGGCGATAACAGTCGTTACATAACGGTGTTATGCAAAACGGGCGACGCGTCGAAAGTGGGTTGTATATCCATACAACGTGACCCAAATGGACTGGGTCATCTCACGTACTGCATGATGCAGCACCACCACACTGCAGGCCACAACAACAGATTCGCTCACTCACTCACCCACTCACTCACCCGCCCACCCAATCAACCACTAGCTCACTTGCTTACACACCCGCTCACTCACTCGCCCACTTACTTACAATACTCGCTCACTCACTCGCCCCCTCCACCACTCACTCACTCGCCCCCTCCACCACTCACTCACTCGCCCACCCACTTTCTCACCCACTCACCACACTACAGGTCTCAACGCCTCTCTTTCCCTCGTGCCGGTCTATTTGGGAACCCCCTCCAATCATTTTCTCTTTCCCCCCCACGCTCTCAAAACAGCGACCTCCAACCTCGCTCACATCAACAATCAAGAGACGGCGTCAACACCCTTTCTCTATTGCAGCGTCCACAGTGCCGGTTGTTGCTGGCCGCTTGCCATTTTTGGCCTTCGGGGCCTGTGCTCAGCCACAGTGGGGGGATATGACGTCGCAGTGTCCCCCACGTTGCGGCGACCCTACGGTTCTGAGCGTGTGTGTCTGTCGGCAACCCTACGGGTTTGGGGGTGTGTGTGTGTCTGTCATCCGGACGCGGAGGTCCATGACCTCGAGACACTGGTGATGGCGGTGGCGGCAGTGCAAGACTCGGCCACGCAGGGAGGTCTGCGAAGAGGAGAGGGGAAATTGTAAAGACGGCACCCCGGTGTAATTCCACGCCACTGCTGGTGGAGAGAAGAGATCCGGGAAGCCTTGGGAGGAATGTCGTTGGGGAGAGTGAGGGGGGGCAGGGGAGAGAGGGGGGGCAGGGGAGAGACGGGATCCTTCTCGACACACGCCCAGAGAGAAGCAGCGGTGTGGGAGGGACGTGGGAGTCCGGGAGATGGACAGCGAGCGAATGTGTCTGCGCGTGCCGCGCGCGTATCATAACTCAGCCTGAGTGAGTGGACTTGTCACGGGTGTCACCCGCGGACTTGTTCGTCACTGCGAAGCGGGAGACGTTGTTGCCGCATCTCGCCGGCCGGCGCTGTCAGCTTTCGCCCCGGGTCGCGCCGTGCCATCTCAAACCGAATTCTCGTCCGGACATTCCGTGTGTCATGCGTGCCACGTGTGTGTGTCACGGTCAGCACGCTACGCTATGAACCCAACGATCCATGTTAATTTCCCGCTCAAGGTCAACACCAGTCACGAATATCTGAATCGGTCCTGGGCCTCCCTTAGGTAGACTCAGCCTCAAATGAGTACCTGGTGCGATGTGTAAACATCGGCACTGGGGAGACAAAGGCAGCCGGGCGTGGTGCTGGCTACCCCACCCCCTCGTATGCTGCGTCAGCCTTTATACAGTGAGGGAAAAAAGTATTTGATCCCCTGATGATTTTGTACGTTTGCCCACTGACAAAGAAATGATCAGTCTATAATTTTAATGGTAGGTTTATTTGAACAGTGAGAGACAGAATAACAACAAAAACATCCAGAAAAACGCATGTCAAAAATGTTATAAATTGATTTGCATTTTAATGAGGGAAATAAGTATTTGACCCCCTCTCGATCAGAAAGATCTCTGGCTCCCAGGTGTCTTTTATACAGGTAACGAGCTGAGATTACCTGTCGACAGAAGCAATCAATCAATCAGATTCCAAACTCTCCACCATGGCCAAGACCAAAGAGCTCTCCGAGGATATCAGGGACAAGATTGTATACCTACACAAGGCTGGAATGGGCTACAAGACCATTGCCAAGCAGCTTGGTGAGAAGGTGACAACAGTTGGTGCGATTTTTCGCAAATGGAAGAAACACAAATGAACTGTCAATCTCCCTCGGCCTGGGGCTCCATGCAAGATCTCACCTCGTGGAGTTGCGATGATCATGAGAACGGTGAGGAATCAGCCCAGAACTACACGGGAGGATCTTGTCAATGATCTCAAGGCAGCTGGGACCATAGTCACCAAGAAAACAATTGGTAACACACTATGCCGTGAAGGACTGAAATTCTGCAGAGCCCGCAAGGTCCCCCTGCTCAAGAAAGCACATATACATGCCCGTCTGAAGTTTGCCAATGAACATCTGAATGATTCAGAGGACAACTGGGTAAAAGTGTTGTGGTCAGATGACACCAAAATGGAGCTCTTTGGCATCAATTCAACTCGCCGTGTTTGGAGGAGGAGGAATGCTGCCTATGACTCCAAGAACACCATCCCCACTGTCAAACATGGAGGTGGAAACATTATGCTTTGGGGGTGTTTTTCTGCTAAGGGACAAGACAACTTCACCGCATCAAAGGGACGATGGACGGGGCCATGCACCGTCAAATCTTGGGTGAGAACCTCCTTCCCTCAGCCAGGGCATTGAAAATGGGTCGTGGATGGGTATTCCAAACGTCAGCCTCGAAATCTTAATGACTTGGAGAAGATCTGCAAAGAGGAGTGGTACAAAATCCCTCCTGAGATGTGTGCAAACCTGGTGGCCGACTAGAGGAAACGTCTGGCCTCTGTGATTGCCAACAAGGGTTTTGCCACCAAGTACTAAGTCATGTTTTGCAGAGGGGTCAAATACTTCTTTCCCTCATTAAAATGCAAATCAAGTTATAAAATTTTTGACATGCGTTTTTCTGGATGTTTTTGTTGTTGTTCTGTCTCTTACTGTTCAAATAAACCCACCATTATAATTATAGACTGATCATTTCTTTGTCAGTGGGCAAACGTACAAAATCAGCAGGGGATCAAATACTTTTTTCCCTCACTGTAGGTGCTAGCTTACAGCACTTGCTCACAAATAGCATTTGCCCCCTTAGCCTGTGCAGGATATAGAGGCAATCTTTATCCGCGTGTGTGCGTGCGCATGTGTGCACTTGAATACGGTTTCCTTTACCCTGTATTACATACTGCGCACTTGACCTTTGACCCGTGCCCTCTGACCGCGTGGGTGTTGCTGGTGCAGGTGCGTGATGAGGATAACCCCGCGCTGGACCCCATCACCAATGGCCTGGCGCACGTGGCTCATTACGGTGCGTATCCCTCCGCCGGCATTTCTTGCGTGGGGAGCGACGGGTACTCCTTATATTCTTGGTTCTTTCGGTAAAGTCACGTAGAAGGGAAACAGTGCCCGGGAAATATTATACGTTTACCCGTCCGTCCGCTTGTAATCCGTCTATCTGTCCGTTCATTCCCCACCGTCCGTTCGTTGCTCTGTCCTTAATTGTATCTGTCCAAATTCGTAAATCTTGTCAGTTCATCCGGACATCTGGAAATTACGTGTCTGTTCATGCGAGTGTGTGGGGATCAACGTTTGTTTTGATTCATAGTTGACCTCCTCGGGCGACTGTAGGCCACCGTTCACCACAGTGTCAAACTTACATTTTGTTGATTCCCAAATGGAGGCCCCACCCTCGTTTATCAAATCACAACGGAGACGGAAATTTATCCTGAATAATATCGTTCGCGAAAGCCTACGCGTTAAAAAATAATTATTACCGGTCTTATGCGCACAAGTGCAGATTCCGTCCGCTCGGTAGTGAAACGCTGCGCTGACTTCCGGCGGGGGGGGCATCAGCCTGGTGTGCTCGTCAGAGCTGGGATAGTTAATCTTGTGTCGTTTTTAGCGCAATCGATCATCACTTGTAAATGAAGGAAACGAGTTAAAGATCGATGGTGGGTTTAGCGCACGGGCGTCGGGGCTCTCTTGCTGGACTGCCTTTTGTTGTTGTAACTTTCTGACCTGCCCCAACCAGACATCTGCGAAGTAAAGCTTCATAGCGGGGGTGCGCAGTAGTGCTGCCTCCACTCCCATAGTGCTGCCCCCACTCCCATAGTGCTGCCCCCACTCCCATAGTGCTGCCCCCCCACGTGCTGCCTCCACTCCCATAGTGCTGCCCCCACTCCCATAGTGCTGCCCCCACTCCCATAGTGTTGCCCCCACTCCCATAGTGCTGCCCCCCCACGTGCTGCCCCCATTCCCATAGTGCTACCCCCACTCCCATAGTGCTGCCCCCACTCCCATAGTGCTGCCCCCATTCCCATAGTGCTGCCCCCACTCCCATAGTGCTACCCCCATTCCCATAGTGCTGCCCCCCCACGTGCTACCCCCACTCCCATAGTGCTGCCCCCATTCCCATAGTGCTACCCCCACTCCCATAGTGCTGCCCCCACTCTCATAGTGCTGCCCCCACTCCCATAGTGCTGCCCCCATTCCCATAGTGCTGCCCCCCCACGTGCTACCCCCACTCCCATAGTGCTGCCCCCACTCCCATAGTGCTACCCCCCACTCCCATAGTGCTACCCCCACTCCCATAGTGCTACCCCCACTCCCATAGTGCTGCCCCCATTCCCATAGTGCTGCCCCCACTCCCATAGTGCTATCCCTCATGCTCCCCCCATGCTGCCCCCACCATCATAGTGCTGCCCTCCCCCCCACCCGTGCTGCCCCCACCATCATAGTGCTGCCCTCCCCTCCACCCGTGCTGCCCCCACCGTCATAGTGCTGCCCTCCCCCCCACCCGTGCTGCCCCCACCATCATAGTGCTGCCCTCCCCCCCACCCGTGCTGCCCCCACCATCATAGTGCTGCCCTCCCCCCCACCCGTGCTGCCCCCACCATCATAGTGCTGCCCTCCCCCCCACCCGTGCTTGTCGTGGTTACCGCAATCGCGTGGCGCCCCTCGCCGCTCCTGCCCTTCTCTTGCGTCCCTCGTTAATCGTCACGGCAACGTGGGAAAGAGGAGGATCCGTCCCAGCTGCTTCATCCATCTGCTGCCTCCTCCTGTGCCTCTACTTTGGCAGAATTATCACTTTACCCTTCACACAACGGCCCACACCGCACCCTCACCCACAACACACTGCTGGTGATCCACACCGCACCATAGACCCACACCGAACCCCACCATAGACCCATGCCACACCCCAGACCGCACCATAGGCCCACACCACACTCCAACATAGACCCACAACCACACCATAGATCCACAACAACACCCCCACACCACGCCACAGACCCACACCGCACCATAGACCCACACTCCACACGGCAGTAAGCAGGGCGGTTAACAGGTTAATGGGGTAACAGGTTAATGGGTTAACGGGTTAACAGGTTAACGGATTAACTGCCGCCGCCACAGTTTGTGGCGCGCGTCCCATAACCATGCTGCGCGCGTGCGTCACTAACGCACCGCATACACATGACCACAGGTCACTGGCGTGCGACGAGCTCCACTCGCGCTCGCACTCTCGCACTGTCACACTCTCACACACTCACACTCTCACACACTCACACACTCACACTCTCACACACTCACACTCTCACACTCTCACACACTCACACTCTCACACTCTCACACTCTCACACACTCACACTCTCACACACTCACACTCTCACACACTCACACACACTCTCACACTCTCACACTCTCACACACTCACACTCTCTCACACTCTCACACTCTCGCACTGTCACACTCTCACACACTCACACTCTCACACTCTCTCACACACTCTCACACACTCACACTCTCACACACTCACACTCTCACACACTCACACTCTCTCACACTCACACTCTCACACACTCACACTCTCACACTCTCACACTCTCACACTCTCTCACACTCACACTCTCACACTCTCACACACTCACACACTCACACTCTCGCTCACTCACACTCTCGCTTACTCACACTCTCGCACTGTCACACTCTCACACTCTCACACACTCACACACTCACACTCTCACACACTCACATTCTCGCTCACTCACACTCTCGCTTACTCACACTCTCGCACTGTCACACTCTCACACTCTCACTCTCGCTCACTCACACTCTCGCACTGTCACACTGTCACACTCTCACACTCTTGCACTCTGGCGCTGTCACACTCTCTCACACTCACACTCTCACACATTCTCACTCACTCACACTCTCGCACTGTCACACTCTCACACACTCACACTCTGGCTCACTCACACTCTCACACACTCACACTCTCGCTCACTCACACTCTCGCTTACTCACACTCTCGCTCACTCACACACTCACACTCTCGCACTCTCACACTCTCGCTCACTCGCACTATCGCACTCTCGCTCACTCGCACTCTCGCACACACACTGTTACACTCTCACACACTCGCTCACTCACACTCTCGCACTGTCACACTCTCGCACTCTCACACTCTCGCTCACTCACACTCTCGCACTCTCGCTCACTCACACTCTCGCACACAGACTGTTACACTCTCACACACTCACACTCTCGCTCACTCACACTCTCGCACTCTCGCTCACTCACACTCTCGCACACAGACTGTTACACTCTCACACACTCACACTCTGGCTCACTCACACTCTCACACACTCACACTCTCGCTCACTCACACTCTCGCTCTCTCACACTCTCGCTCACTCACACTCTCGCACTCTCGCTCACTCGCACTCTCGCACACACACTGTTACACTCTCACACACTCACACTCTCGCTCACTCACACTCTCGCACTGTCACACTCTCACACACTCACACTCTCGCTCACTCACACTCTCGCTCTCTCACACTCTCGCTCACTCACACTCTCGCACTCTCGCACTCTTGGAGAATCGCTTAATTAGCGTCATACAGGGTGTGGGGTGCGGGCGGCGGTGAGGGGGGAGGGGGGGACCACGGGGAGGTGGGGGGACCTAGCATTGGGGAGAGCGTGGGGAGACAGGACAGACAAGAAGGGAGGGAGAGACTTGTGGGAAGAGAGCAGATGGGAGGGAGCCTTGGGGGCAGTAGTGAGTGTACAGGCGGTGCAACTGCACCGGGGTCCGTGAGCCGGAGGGGCCCAGGCTGTGGGATACAGAGATGGGGGAGGGGAAACTGTAAATGGGGGGGGGGCATGGGACTCCACTGCTGGGAGAGAGAGAAGACATGGGGGAGCTTTGGGAGGAATGTGGTTGGGGAGAGAGGGGGATCCTGATGGGAGAGAGGGGAGGCACTCGGGCCAGGGGTGGTGCAGACCGCCGGTGGTAGGGGGGGAGGAAATCGGCTGTGCCGTGGGGGGTGGGGGCACTCGCCGGTTCGGGGTGGAGCGCTGCTGCTGCTGTCCAGCCGGGATTTTCTAACAAAGACACAGAGGGAGGGGGGAGAGAGAGAGAAGGGGATGGAGGCTGCTGTGAATCCGAAACAGCAGCCGGTACCCGGACGTCAGGGACAACGGTGGCGGGGGTGGGCGGCGCAAGGTTTCGAGCCCACAGAGTAGCCCCCCGCGCCCCTCCCCCCATCCCCGGCCCCCCCTCCCCCACCGGCGCCCAGGGATGAAATGAGACTCATTTGCCGAGCGGTAATTTAAACGTCGTTCGGGGGAGACTGGCGGCGTCGTGTGCCGATCCCCGCTCGGGATGCAGCGCCGCGTCGACTTTCGTCCCACGCTCGGTCGCACCGCTCGCTCGGCTTCCCACTCTGACTACCCGCCCCGCTCCCACTTACCAGCGCCGTTAATTGCCTCAAACGGCGCCCCCTCCCATTTCCCCCCACCTCCTGGTGCCGTTCATCACCGTAATTAGCCCCCCGCTTGTTTTGCGCAAATGATTCGTTCCCATTAGGGTGACGGCACGGCTGCCCGATAAGCGGTTCCTCGCTGTCCCACGTTGGGCGGAGGGCTTCAGTTGGTACTTGCTGTGGTATGCGTGGTATCTGCGTTGTGTTTTGTGGGTTTGGTGTCATGTGCTGTGCTATGCGCTGTGCTATGTGGTATGTGTGATATCTGTGCTGCTGTGCCGCAGAATGTGTGCTGTGGTATGATAATAGCCACTGTGGAACTGCTCCCCACACATCCATGACAAATATCCCCCATATAGCCTCAACAGACTGTAGGGGCAAGTGCTGTTTGCGAGCACCTATTAAGGCCAGAACGGCACACGAGGGGTTGGGTGGCCAGCACCACACCAGCCGCTTTTGTCTCCCTAGTGGCGATGGTTACACACCGCACCAGGTACTCATTTGAGCCTGAGTCGACCTAGGGGAGGCCCAGGACAGGTAAAAAAAAAACGTCACCGGTGTTGGCCGTGAGTGTACTCGTGTCACCAGGTTCGTAGCGGAGTGTGCTAACCACTGCACCACCGATCCCACCACCTCACACACACACGACGCCAACTCCATGTTGAGCTGCATCCCAGGTGCTTCTGCCACGCGGCACCTAATCCTTTGCGTCGTGACTCTCCCATAATACATGCCTCCTCCCCTTTCCCCTCTGCTCTCTCTCCCACGCTCCCCTCCCCCCGTCCGCAGGCAAGGAGACGCTGATCCCCGCTCTGTCCCCGCGCTCCCTGCTCCCCGCGGAGCTGGGCTCGTATCTCAGCTACGAGGGGTCGCTCACGGCGCCGCCCTGCTCCCCGCTCGTCAGCTGGGCCGTCTACACCCAGCCGGCCTTCATCTCACATGCACAGGTGCGGCCGCACGCCCGCACGCCGCCACTGGGCTCGCCTGACCCCGGGTCAGAGGGGCCCACGAGAGGGGAGTTGTCGGTGGCATCACTGGACAGGGTCATCGACGGATCACTTGTGTGGTCACCAGTGGGGTTACTTGGTGGAGTCACTTGTGGGCTCACTGATGTTTTTCTTTTAATTTTACCAGGTAAGTCCCACTGAGCTATTCAGATTCAGAAGTGACCTGGCAACAAATGATAGCTCAACAAAGTGGTTTATCGTGTGGAAATTTACAGCAGCCAAATACTCTCAAGGTGTGATGTTGATTCTAAATGTGGAGGGAAAAACTGGAGGACCCGGCGAAAAATCCACATTACCACAGGGAGAGAGACATGCGAACGAACTCCAAATATACAGGCGTCAGGGTCGGGATCGAACCCACGACATCCTGTATACCAGGCGAAGTCGTTAGCATCTCCTAGCCACCGTGTCGCCTCGTCGGTGAGGTCATCGGCGGGGTCACCAATTGGGGTCCATGATGAGGTTATTTGAGGGGTAACCGTGGGGTAACCAATCGATTAACCGGTGGAGTCACTAGTTTTGTCACTGGTGGTGTGCCACGAGTTGTTCTACAAGCGCTGTATGTGCATTGTTTTGTGTGTTCCACGTGTTCCATGCCTCATGTATCATATGTGCTATGCAATGCTATCTGTAGTGCTATGACATGTACCACGTGTGCCGTGTCTAATGTATCCCATGTACCGTGTATGCTGTGCTCCTGCCATGCATGCCATGCGCGTGCTGTGTGGCGGAGGGCAGCTGTCCCGTTTCTGTGGAGTGTTCACGGTGGAGTGCGTGGGCTTCAGCAAGGTGGTGGACTACCTGCAGGACAACTACCGGCCCCTGCAGCCCAGCGCCGGCATCGCCATCTACCTCGCCTCACCCACACACCTCGCCCTGGCAGGTGAGGCTCGCCACACAAGTGCGTGTCTGTACACAGGTGCGTGTCTGTTCATAAGTGCGTGTCTGTACACAGGTGAGGCCCAGCGGTCTCATTTGTCCGGCCAGTACCTTCGCAGAGTGACCCTCGCAGAAAAGGAAAGAGCTCCTGCTCGGCTATGTGATTGGACACTTTGTTTTTTCCTGCTGTGTGGCACCTGGGCTGGTGGTGGTGGTAGTGGTGGTACTGGCCGCGGTGGTGCTGGCGACTGCTTTGAGCGTGTTTTGTCGCGGGCGCCGGGCCAGGGAAGGGGTTAAGTCTGACCGTGGTGGACACATTAGCATCAAAACGAGCAGAAGCCAGATAGATGTCGTTAGGGAGCGAATGTCAGGATTCGCAGATTAGCAACGCTCGTTCCGCACGCACACAGACACAAAGACAAAGATCCCCCGTGTAACCTCAACAGACTGTAGGGGCAAGTGTTGTTTGTGAGCACCTACGAAGAGGTGGGTGGCCATAAAGGGTGGTTGGCCAGTGCCACATGTGTACACATGCGGTAACAAAGATAAAGATCCCCCGAATAGCCTTGAACAGACTGTTGGGGCAAGTGCTGTTAGCGAGCACCTATGAAGGCCGGCACAGCACACGAGAGGGTGGGGTAGCCAGCACCACGCCCGGCCGCCTTTGTATCCCCAGTGGCAATGTTTATACATCACACCAGGTACTCATTTAAGGCTGAGTGTACACAAAACCGGTTCGGATATTCATCGCCGGTGTTGGTGGACGTGAGTGTGAATCGAACTTGGGTCATCAGGTTCATAGCTCAGTGCGCTAACCACTGTGCCACCGCTCTTCATACAGACACACACACACACGTACACACACACAGGTGACCCCTGCTCCTCTTTGCACGAGCCGTGCGTGGGTCGGGGCACACATGATCATGACAGCTGGCTGGCACGTTCCTTTGAATAATTTTAATTGGAGGCATTTGCACACGTCTTACCGGTGGCGAGGGTGGGGGCGTCGTGGGTGGTGAAGTGGAGCGGGCAGCCTGGGGCTATTCTGGCCAAGTTGCCGAGCAGGGTGGGGGTGGGAGGTGGCGGGGGCAGTGATAAGGGTGGTGGAGGTTTTAGCTGTGATGTGGGGGCCACTGCTGGTGGTGATGGTGGGTGTGGTGTTGGTAGCGGAGGACTGTGGTGTGCATAGCCTCCCCCCCCCCCCGTGTGTAATCATGCCACCTGCTCTCCCGTGGCGACCCGGCGTGTCAGTCGGCGTGTGCCGGGGTTTGGTAATGAGATGGCGGGGTCACAGTGTTTGCTGTCTGGACGCGTCACGATTCCCGCCCCCCTAGCGGTTTCATAAATTACCACGATCAGGATCACGACTTGGTAGCCGTCCATTTATAGATATGGATTCCTCCGTCTCGCGGCAGTACAGTCATGTTGCTGGCATTACAGCCAGAGTGAAATCTGGGGGGAGGGGACGGTGGTTGGGGTTGGAAATGCATTTTTAAACAAATTTCAATCATAATTAATCGATTTTCACACTCGTACTGTTCATGCCACTTGTCGTGAGTGGGGCTGACAGTAATTGGTGGTGGTCGCGGCGGCGGTGGTCGCGGCGGCGGTGGTCACGGCGGTGGTAGTCATGGCGGCAGCGATGGGGCTGGTGAGCGGTAGAGGCAGCGGTGGCAGTGAGTGTTGAATTCCGCCCGAGCGGCCCATGGTTCACCACAATTTCTGTGTTTGGCGGTTGTGTCGTGGCAGAGTGCAGCACCGTGCCGGACGGGCTGCGCGTCGAGCGGATCGACGGGGACGAGCGGTCGGCGGCTGGCAAGGGGTCGGGGATCGCCACAACCCTGCGCGTGACCTGGGCTCGACCCCGCGAGCTCTCGGCCAATCCCATCGAGCGCTACGCGGTGACATACTCGCACGGGGCGAGCCAGGAGGAGGAGGAGCGGCTGACAGACGGAGACCAGGACACGGTGAGGGTGGTGGTGTGACCGGCGTGGGAGGTTAGGCGGAGAAGCCGTTTGACGGTGCGCGAGAGCGTGCGTGGAACCGAGGAAGGCCTCGGGAGACGCAGAGCCGGCATTGCCGAGCGAGGCCCTGGGCTCGAATCCGAGGGTCGGCAGCAGCCCACGCACGGTGGAACTGAGAACAGTCGTCAGCGTCTGCGTGGAGAATCTTGGCAGCAAACCGAGCGAACGAGTCAACGCGCCTCTCATCGCACTCGCAGAAGGCCCTCTGTGGCTGATGGGATGTGTACAAAGACAAATATATTTTAATGAATGTGCGGGGACAGATACGTGAAGGTGTAGGCATATTGTCTGTTGCTGATTGACTGGAATTAAACTGGGTTCTCAAGTGTTGGGAAGATGACGAACTCGGTCACCGTCCCTTATCCCCGCTCGTTATTTTCCGTGAAGAGGGTTGTAATTGAAACTGCGGATGGCGTAGCTGCGAATGAAGCAATCGCGAGCGGCGCTTTCTCGGCGATCAAATGTGTGAGAGCGGCTGATATTCGGGTTAATGGGGACCCTGCCTCGATTGGGGAGAGCGCGGAGGTTGGCTCGCCCACCGGTGGAGATTCCACTTCACATTGGCCCCCAACACTACTCCTGCTGCTGCTGCCACTGCCACTCGGCGATCTGGGGGCTCACTGCCCACCCCCGCACAGCCCCACGCACGGTGGGCTGCCTCGCGTCGCGTCCGACCCGCCCGTGGCAGGGTCATCATCTCCTCCCCCCACCCAGCCCCACCCTCCCCACCCAGCCCCTCCCCACCCTCCCCACCCAGCCCCTCCCCACCCTCCCCAGCCCCTCCCCTCCCCACCCTCCCCTCTCCACCCAGCCCCACCCCTCCCATTTTATCCGGGTGTCTGGATACACGTGGACAGACATCCACAGACATACACAATTAATCCCCTGCCTCCTGTGAATTAATCCCGGTTGGGCTTCCAGTCCACTACGTTTCCTACCAGTAATATCAGTCTCTCAATGCAGACACGGCGCAGTGTTCCACTGATCTTGTGTGCATTTATAATGTGTATGTCTCCCCTTTGTGTGTGCATAATGTGTATTTGTCTGTATATAATTGCGTGTGTATATAATGTGTGCATGTGTGTATGCGTATATTAAATGTGTTCGTCTTTTTGTGTTTGCATTATGTGTGTGTGTATAATGGGTGTGTGTATAATGTGTGTGTGCATAGTGTGTATAATACGTGTGTGTGTGTGTGTGCGTCGTGTGCTGCGGTAGGGCGTGGTGCTGCGCGACTTGAGCGCCGGCGCCGTCCACCAGATCCGCGTGCGCTCCGTGTGCGAGGGGGGCGTGCGCAGCGCGCCCAGCGACCCCGTCTCCTTCCCCCCGCGCGCCGCCGACCCCGACGGTAACGCGACGCGTCACGGTACAACGTTACGGGCGGCGGCTACGACGCTGAACGTGGCTTGCCTCTGATCCAGCGCTGTGGAGGCAGAGTTTCACAACCACGCAGACGTGGTTGTGAAACTCCGATTTCCCCGTGGGCATCGAGCAAAAGCTGCGCCCCGGCTCGTCAGGAGAAAGCAACACAGCAAGTGTGGACTAATCTCCATTGCTACGGCACAGCGTTATCCCATCGCACGCATGCGTTGTGGGTGCTTCGGTTTCCTCCCACGTGTAAACGTGAATTGGCCGATACACCTTCATACGTAGAGGACCGCAGAGCTTGGAGGGAGGGCTGGAATCTCTCACCTCTCCTCCTCGTGCCTCTGGGTCGCACTCTCTCTGCGAGCGGATACTCTGCGGCGGCGGTGGCGCAGCGTCGTTACAAGTCGAGATCGTTATTATAGTGACAACGATATGAAACGACGTGATACAGAGCGGCATAACGTGATTCGCCAAGACGACGTACACAACACGACGTAACACGACGCGAAACAATGACACGGCACGGTGCGGTATGAGATGGCACGTTACAGCGGTACGCGCTGCCACACGACACCGCTCCATAGGCAGCGTCGTTACGCGCGACGACGCTACGGTGACGATGCCGCGACGTAACGCCAACGCGCTACGTGAGACTGCGCGACAAAGTCACGTGACACAACAGGAAGCGATACGGTGCAGCACAACACAACCCACTCCGCGACACAAAACGACGCGTGTGAATATACAGACACGTAGTACACACGACAGGACACACGACAGGACACACGACACAGCGTGAACCAACAAGACGTGACGGAACGAGACACGTTCTCACGACGCAGAGCGCCCTGCCGGAGGCAGCGGATCCTGCGCCGTGACCACTCGGCATCGATCGTGACCCCGATCACGCGGCCGTGTCGTGTACCGCAGGCTCGGCGAGCAGCGGTCGGGGCGTCCTCTCCTCGTCCTCCTCCCCGGCGAACTGGGTACGTCTGCTCGCTCCTCGCTCCCAGCTCACCCTCTGTCACCCTCGCTCCTCACTCCCAGCTGACCCTCGCTCCCAGCTCACCCTCACTGCTCGCTCCACCACTGCGGCCCAATACAGCATGGGGCGGCAGGGGGCGTGCGGGCAGGGGGTGGTGGTGGTGGCGGGGAGCACGTGGGTGGGGAGGAGAATTAACCACATCGCCCTCCGTGACTGATGCGGCAAGTGGAGGACTTCATCCAGCAGTGGAGTGACCAGGGCTGATGATGTTCGGCGAACGAAACTAGCGCCGGACACCTTCCCGATGGGCCGGAGCTGCGATTGGCCCATCGCACGCGCACTGTTTTGTGGAAAGTCTTTTGTATTTTTCTGCTGCAATGAGCATCGAGGCAGTGCTTGTCTCCTGTTTACAAGTTCGAGGTTCAAGTAGATTTTGTTTAACTCGGTGAGAACTCACGAGACCAGGATAGAGGAGTTTCATTTGTGAGAGTGAGTGAGTGGGTGGGTGAGAGAGAGGATGGGAGAAACGGTGGGTGAGTGAGTGGGTGAGTTTGGGGAATGTAAGAGATAGTGGATGAGTGGTTCAATGATTGAGTTAGTTGGAATAGATTTTACGTGAAGAGGGCGATGAGGAAGAGCGATCCAGACGTCCGGAGAAGCGCATCTGAAAGCGCAGGATGCAGTGACCGATGCAGTTTACATGATTGTAAATAATGAATAATTGTACCGCATCGCAGGATCGCGATAGGTGCCGGCGGCGTGGGGAGGCCTTCATTCAGCAGTGTATTGACCATGGCTACTCGGCTTTTAAAACAACCAAAGTTCCATAGATAAAGCGATAATTTCAATTTGACGTGAAACCGTCACGCGGCGTCGCCTTTGACGGGAACAACAAGGGGATGCTGCCGCGGACGTGCCGCTCATTTCCAGCGGATCACGTTTGGAGATTTTCGTTGGTGACGGCTCGGCTTTGTCCGAGTGTAGTTCTGCGTTGTTCGCTTCCACGCGGGCCCTTCCCCGACACGGATGGGTCGCGCTGCCCCGCGATTCTTCGTCTTGCGACGGCGCGACGCCACGATCACGATAAAATGTGGGGGGTGGGGGGATGAGGGGTAGAGACCGTGAGGATGTGATGATAACCACGGTGAGGAGGCCAGGAGGTGTGGTGAGAGTGCGGTTGAGTTAGGTGAGAATGCAGTTTGGACCGTGGGTTATGTGGCGAGGACCGTGGCGCGAATGCGGTTGAGAAAATGCGGTTAACCCCCCCCCCCCATCCCAGGAGACTGGTGAGAATGCGGTTGATGCCGCTATGAGAATTACCAGGCCTGACGGCGGCGGTGGCGGTGGCAGTGCCGGTGTGAGCGTCGGATGTGTTGATGCGCCGTGGTTTTAATTTTCACCTCTCGCTAATGTCTACGCGCCGAGCCGAGGGGCGGCCACTCGGCCCCTAATGCTTCACACCTGCCAAACGCGTTGCCGTGGCAACGCTCCAGGGCCGGGGAGGGGGTTCGCTGTGGGGCCCGCTACTGATATGACACAGCCCACCCCCCACCTGGTTGTAATGAATTCATTGTTTCTTTATGATTAAGTACAGCACCGGGCATCTGGAAAATCGTGACGGCATGCGGACGGCTGGCACCGCGCTTGCTTCTGGGACAAACTTTCCATGCAATCAGCACGGCCATTATGGAACTTACCGAGGGATAACACGGGCACTGTTATTACGTGTCTGATTACGGATTGCTGCATACGGCCATTATGAGTCCTTTTATAACAGCTCACCATGCTAGACCGAGTAATCTGCTGTCAGCCCGGCCACCATGGACTGCACAAACACAAAAAAACTCATCGTATGAAGTTTGGTTTTGCATTATAATTTGATCCTCATGGCGGTAGCCCGGGGCACCAAATAATACAAACTGGCCGAGGCAATTAAATATTTTATTTCTGGGACACTATTTTTATCCAGGGGTGTACTTCACTCCGCGACTGAGGTACCAATCAATCCGACATCAGTGCCACTCCACGATGTCGAAACGCAGCGAGGACGATTGCGCCGAAACCCTGAACGCTCGCACGCACCGTAGCGGTGCATCGTGTACAGCTCGTCGAGATGAGTCGATTGCCGCATCGCCATCATCAACAGACTAAAAATGACTCCATCATGGACATTGTGCGAGATCCGGGGTACTATGGTACCCCGGGGTACCACCATAAGGTTAATTTGTGTAAATTCCATCGCTGGGATTTTGAATAACGGTTTGACTGTCATGCGACATACATTACTAAGTGTGGCAGGGGCGAGCAGAGGGAGCTCTGCGTTTTCCGCTTCTGCGGGGCGTTTGCTTACCCAAGAGTGTGATGCACCACTTCGAGTGTGAACGGATTTGTCGTTTATGACGTGCGCCGATAATGCGATCGGGATAAACCCCCGGGGAGGTTGGGGGGGGAACTAAAATAAATGAAAATTTAAAAAAATTGATTCTTTCAGCAAACTATAATTATGATTTAGTGATCGCGAAGGAAGCCGTGGCTGTGTTTCCCAGACCCAGGCTGCAATTATTTAGCTGTAGGGGCGCTGTGCGTGTGCTTGTGTGTGTGATCCCAATTGGGTGACGTGCGGTGCCATTTTTAGACATCAAATTTCGGCGGTGACACCGGCCAGCAGCAGCCCTCGACTCGATTTCATCGACGTCACGGGGAGGGCTCAAACGTGAAGTGGGCGGCGCGGAGCCACATTGCGGTTCACGCACCACCGGATAGTAATAACCAGGGCGTCCCGCCGGGACGGAACCGCGAGAACGGGCTACCGCCGGGCCGCGTGAAAATCATCAAAACCCCTGGGGTGGCAGAAATTACTTGGTGTCAACCTGGCCCTCCACGGCCCGGTTGGCGTGCCTTGGCTGCCACCTAGTGGCGTGGCGAGCTGCCCGCCCTGCCTAGTGCTCTCTAGTGGAGCCGGGCTGTATACCGATTAATTACTTAAGCAATCAATTACCCTTCCGATTTCCTCCCCTCGCTCCTCCACTCCTTCCCGTCCCTCCCCTACCCCTTTGTAACCTCTAAGTACTCTCTATTGCAGTTGCTCATTCCTCAATCCATACATGCTCCTGTCATCTAAATCATTCCCTTCTATCACCTTTTTTTTACTATGTCCAGTGCCTTGAATGAAGGCGCTCTATAAATCAAATTGTAAGCGATTAAATCGTTACTAGTTAGGGGACCCCGTGTGCTCCGCAGGTCACCATGGAAACCCAAGGCACGGCGGCAGGACCGCCTGCGGGCAGCGGCAGTGCCGCCCCCTCTCCTGGCGCAGCGGGAGATGCTGGGAATTCCCCCCTGTCCTCCGCTGCGCCCCATTGGTCGGTTCCGGCGGCCGCGACCACGCCCATGCCGGTGACAGCAACTGCGGTGCACCCCCCGCGGAGCGGCGCAGCCCCCACCCCCGCGGTCCCTGTTACGACCGGCAGCACCGCGACTACCGGAGGAGGTGGGTAACGTCAGCTGGACCGGCCGAGAGGTCATGGGGTCGCTAGCCAACAGTTTCCGGGTCGCGTTAGATGTGACGCCTGTCGAGGTAGCTGGGTGGTATGGGGTGGTTCACAATGGCCGTGTTGGAGACACTGAGCCAGTGCCGCTGAGATCCTGGGGTTGAAATCAGATTTCGTTCGCCCAACCATTCTCCAGCGTAGCCCTCAAGTGTAGCGAGTACTTGGATCACATCCAATAATTTCGCCACTGACAGCTCAAGTTTGGCCCAGTGTAGTTCTGCGATATCCTTTTCCCTGGGCCCTTCCCTGACACGGAGGGGTTGCGCTGCCCCGATGAGGAGACCCACAGACTTGCTTGGAGACCCAATGGCTTGCAGAGAGACCAATAGACTAGCGTGGAGACCCAACGTGACGCCAAAAGATCCAATTTAAAGATGGGGCGCCTCTCACCGCCTCCATAATTTCAACCACGCCAGAGTGATTTACACGCCATCCCAAGGCAACCGCCCCACCAACAGAGAAACTCGAGTCGCGAAGAAGAGGCGGGGGTGAGAAGGGTAGTCAGGGAAGGGAAACATGGCAGAGGAGAGAGGGAGAGCAACACCGCGGACATCAGCCCAGGTACAAGCAACCAGGACCCAGGCCCAATAGCAATAGCGTTTGAGTTGCAAGGTGATTCTGTATGACCACATGAGGACTCGTGAGACCAGCATAGAGGAGTCTCATTCGCAAGATGAGTGACCTGGGGTCACCTCAGTGACAATAGCAAAACAAATACAATACAGGAACAACGATGAAAGAAACGGAAATCGGCGCATCGTCAAGCATTGTCGCCCGTGGATGTGATCGGTGATTGTGCGTACCCAGGGACCACAACTGCGTGGGTCGCCGTGACGACCGCATCCCGGTCCTCGCCTCCCCACCCCCGGAGCCCGACGCCTCCCACGCAGAGCGGCGCGACCACGGCGACGGGGGGGCGCCGGGGGGGCACCACGCGCGGCGCGGCCTCTGCATCGGCGCCGGCATGGAGCAGCCCCACCGCCACGGGTTAGCCGCACCACACCGCGCCGCACTAAGGGTGAGCCACACCGTGGGTGAGCCGCGCCGCACTAAGGGTGAGCCACACCGAGGGTGAGAGCAACACCGAGGGTGAGCCAAACCGAGGGTGAGAGCAACACCGAGGGTGAGCCACACCATACTACGGGTGAGCCGCACCACCTCACCCCAGTAACACGCACGCCTCACTCCCATCGCTAAGGAAGTTCCCAGATAACCTTCGCTCAGCGGGAGGTCCTCATTCTCTTCTGCTACCCCCAGGGTCGGGAACTCCATTCCCCCCGCTGCCCACGCTGTCGACTCCCTGTGTCTGTTCAGGTCCAGACTCAAGACTTCTCTTCTCTGCTGCTGCCTTTGACGGACTTCCCCTCTCTGCCATAGACTCCCATAGAGACCCTTTGACTCACATAGAGGTCCATAGACTCTATGCCTCGGTCTCTATAAAATAAACATGGCCACTGTTTCTATGCAGAACCTGGATGGAGGCAGATCTATAAACTTCCCGGAGGGCGGGGCTCTCAAGATTGAAAGCGTTTTAACTCGGCCCCTGCATTAATAATATTAAAAAAAAAACATTAAATATATTTGCTTTTGCAAAAGTCAATACCCTACCAATTTCCAATTATTTGATCTCAAGTCAGTAGGGGAGGGAGGGGGATGAGGGGTTTATCTCCCCCCCACTTGGACCCTCGACTGCGTCTTGAGCTGGGGTCGCGTCGGAGGTGGCAAGGTGGCGGCGTAGTGGAGACGCACGTAGCCCACGGCAACCAGGTCCTGGGTTCGATTCACGACCATGACGTTTGTATGTTCTCTCGCCCTGTTCTGCGTGGGTTTCCTCTGTGTTCTCCGGGTTCCTCCTCCCGTAGCTAAACCCACACACACAGTGGAACCCCCAGAACATCCCAATGCTAAGAAATCACCGACAGATCACTCAATTGGGATCACACAGCAGCAGCAGCAATGGCGTCACCCCCCTCTACCGCAAAAACTTGGCAAGGCTCTCCTGAAAAAGAGTATTGAGGCTCAGTGACGCTCTCCCGGGTAAACGAGCGTGAGTATGATGATAGCAATAACAACGATAATGATTTAAATCCACATTGTGCCTGCGTTGTTGTTGTCATTGTCAGCCCCGTCGACGAACACCACAGAGGCTGCGGCGGGGCCAGGCGTGACAGACAGAGGAGAAGGGGGCAGCGGCAGCGGCGCCGTCTCTGTTCCCGCAGCGCTGCCCACCACTCCCCGGCCCGCGCTGGTCGGCACCGCCGCCGCCAACGCCACCCTCGCCACCGTCGCCCACGGCGACCGCAGGATGTGGGCGACCGCCGTCGTTCCGGACCCCGGGGTTCGGAACGGCACTGAGCGCGCCGGCGGAGGGCGCACTCGTGCAGGTGTGGGCGCCGTCCGTCTCCGGGGAGTGTGTGTGTATGAGAGTGTGCATGTGTTTTCGTGTGTGGGGTAGTCGTGGGAAGCCGGTGGCGTAGCATTTAGTGCGTTGCGCTATGAACCTGGCGACGGCCACCAACACCAGTGACGATTATCTGAACCGGTCCTGGGTCTCCCCTAGGTCGACTCAGCCTTGAATGAGTTCCTAGTAGAGTGTGTAAACATCGCCACTAGGAAGATAAAGGCGCCTGGGCACGGTGCTGGCCACCCCACCCCCTTTCGGCTTTTCATGGGTGTTCGTTAACAGCACTTGCCCCAAGTCTGTTGAGGCTATACGGGGGATCATTGTCTTTATGTGGGATAGTGTGGTGCTGTATGGTGCAGTGCTGTGTTGTTGTGTGTGGTTCTGTACGGTGCAGTGCTGTGTTGTGGCATATGGCGCGATACTGTATGGTACGGTGTGGTGCGGTGCTTTGTGGTGTGGTGCAGGCATGGTGAACGAGTCCCACGAGGGCCTGGCTCGTGGCCCCATCACCGACTGGAAGATTCCTCTGATGATCGTGTCGGCGCTTACCTGCGTGTGCCTGGCACTGCTGCTGTCCATCCTCGTGTACTGGAGGTACTGGCACCCACACACAGCCGGAGAGACAGAGATGGAGAGAGACGGTGACATGCCGTGCGGTGTGGGGTGCTCTTTGGTGATGCTGTACAATACTGTGCGGTGTGGTGGTGACATGCGGTGTTGTGTAGTGGTGCGGTGTGGTGGTGCTCTGTGGTAACGTGTGGTGGTGCGGTGTGGTGGTGATGTGCCGTGTTGTGCCACAGGAAGTGTTTTCAGACGGCGCACTTCTACGTGGAGGACAGCAGCTCCCCACGCGTGGTGCCACCTTCCGGCCTCCCCGCAATCCCCATCCCCGGTGAGCACGCACACACTCACGGGTACAGCGCACACATACACAACAATAACATCAACAACAGCTGCCATTCACCACCAAGTGGCGGTGACATCACCACGGAGATTGTGCCAGGCTAGTTGCACGTTGAGGCCGTCACATGAAGTGTGGAAGGCTTGCTGGTCGGGGGTCACGGGACAAACCCAGATATCATTATCTACGAGCCTTTTGCCCATCAAAGGACAGGTGTATTTCAGTAAATCTGAAACTTGCAAGCGAAAAGCAGACCGCGACGTGATATTCATTGCATCAATTCGTGTGCAATTTGTAAGGCTGCGGTGACACAGACCTATTTAATTTAAAGGTTATAATCCTGACTTAAAGCTTTCGTGACTGCAGGAATTCATTCTCTTTGGGTCTTTCAGTAAAGTCGCGTAGATAGAAATATTATAAAAAAATAACTACTGTTCACCTGCTGCTGTATTTTCTATCTGCGTGACTTTACCGAAAGACCCAAAGAGTATAGGTGATAATCCCTTGTTCATCATGACATCCTTTTTACTTTGATGTCTCAATAGCGTTACGGTGATCGCGTGACGTGAGGGTTCTGCCTTTGTAGTGAGGGTTGTAAGTTGACGCTGAGGAGGGGGGAGGAGGCGCCTCGCCCCCCCATGTGGAGTGATGTCAGCTGCTAATTCATATTAATGGACGGTGGGGGGGGGGGTGTTCATTTGGAAGATGTCACCTCTTCATGATTAGTGATGTGGGGGGCTGTTCGATGTGGAGTGACGTCACCTGCTCATGATTATTAATAAGGGGGGCTGGCCGACGTGGAGTGACGTCACGCGCGGGACACACAGACATTCTTGGCTCATTATAGTAGTAAATTCCTCCACATGACAACACACCGCATCATGGTATAGCGTTTAAAACATCAGCACTGGGGAGACAAAGGCGGCCAGGCATGGTGCTGTCCACACCACCCCCTCTTTGCACTGTGGCGCCCTTCACAGGTGCCCGCTGTACAGCACTTGACCCAGCAGGCTGTTGAGGCTATCAGAGGGATATTTGTCTTTGTGTGTGTGCGTGTGGTGTGTAGAGGACGGCGAGGCGCTGCCAGTGAAGCTCTTTGCCCGACACGTCGGGGAGATGCATGAGGGTGCCCTGCACAGCTTCAGCCAGGAGTTTGAGGTCAGGTCAACAGAGTCATGGGGTCAGAGGCTGAATTACAAGCAGACCCATTTTATTTCAAATTTGGTACAAAACTCAATATTTCAAGAGCCGCCAATGTATGTGAATAAAGATAAAGATCCCCCGTATAGCCTTAACAGGCTGTAGGGGCAAGTACTGTTACCGAGCACCTATGAAGGCCGGAACGTTACACGAGAGGGTGGGTGGCCAGCCCCAAGCCCGACCGCCTTTGTCTCCCTAGTGGCAATGTTTACACACCACACTAGATACTCATTTGAGGCTGAGTCGACCTAGGGGAGGCCCAGGACCGGGTCAGATAATCATCACTGGTGTTGGTCGTAAGCGAGAATCGAACCCGAGTCGCCAGGTTCATAGCGCAGCGCGCTAACCGCTACACTATCGCTCCCCATACACAAATAGATACTCACTCACATACTCCCCATACACGCATACATACTCACTTCCATACTCCCCATACACACATGCATACACAAATACACACATAACGTCACGAAGCAGTCGGTAAAGAGCTGAAGGTTGTCATCCCAAAAGTCGGGGCCCATCCCAGAATGTCACGCGCTTAAGTCAGGGCCCACATTAATAATATAAACATTCAATGTGTTTGTCTCCGGTAAATATCAATAATAAAACACCGATATCCCGGATCTCTAGGTGGGAGCGATCGCCCCCCCCCATTGCCTCTCCCCCACCGCCCCCCCCCCCCTCGCCTTACTCCAATAGCTAAAAAAAACCCACGCAGTGTAACCGGTATCGGTCAAAACATCCCAATGCTGAAAAATCACCTGCTGATCACTGACTTGGTGTTCACGCAGCATCAGCGTCCCCCTATTCTGCAAACATGGCAGGACCCTCCTGAAGAAGAGTCTTGAGACACGGTGAGGGTTTTTACGGGTAAAACAAGCTTAGCGGTAACAAGAACAACAATAATGATACGGCTACTGTTGTGGCCGCGCCCAATAAGCCGCGTGGTGTGGTGGCTGCGTGGTGTGGCCGTCCTCCACAGGAGGTGCAGCGCTGCACGGCGGACCTGGGAATCACGGCGGAGCACTCGAACCACCCGGAGAACAAGCACAAGAACCGCTACGTCAACATCGTCGCCTGTACGGCTCCCCCCCTTGCACCACACCCCGTGCGCATAAACACACACACAGACACAGAGCCCCCGCGTAGCCCACACGGGCTGTTGGGGCAAGTGCCATCAGCGAGCACCTTACGAAGGCCGTCATGGCACACCCTGTATGTATGTGTGTTGAACTTATTTCGAACCGTACATAGCCCATCGTGTTCATCGGAGGTGCGTCTCTGTGTCTACGTGTGCGTGTGTGTGTCACATCACTCAGACGACCACAGCCGCGTCCGTCTGCGTCCGCTCCCGGGCAAGGATTCGAAGCACAGCGACTACATCAACGCCAACTACGTGGACGTGAGCGCCGCACTGCCAACAACACCACCACTACTGCCGTCACCGCCACAGTCGTCACCGACACCGTCATCACCGCCACCACCACCGCCACCACCACCGCCACCATCACCACCGTTATCACCACCACCATCCCATCACCGCCACCATCACCACCACTGCTGCCACCATTACTGCCACTACTACCCTGGTCAGGGGCTGAGAGTGCATCACCTGACCTGGGGAGCCAATGAAACCCGGCTTGACCGTTTGTAGCTGCTAGGAGAGTTCACTGACTTCACATGCACACTCTTGTGGGGGGCTGTGGGGTTGGAGGGCTGGGGTCCATCATTCTGCTTTACATCGAGAACCAAGAGGAGTGGAAGGATGAGGTCCTGTATAAGAATAATTTGAACTTGTAAGTCGGTGCTGTTGCCACACAGTAAGTATCGCACGCTCTCGTAGAGAGAGGACGACTCAGAGGCACCAGCAGGAGGAACCACAGATGAGCAGGGAAGGTAGAAGCCACACAGTGAGCTGGCACTATCAACAATTGCACAAGCTCTACTGTTCTCTCTATTCGTAAGCATTTTAAGCCAATTAATGAGTGCTCACATGCGGGAGGAAACAGGAGCGCCCGATGACTGGTACCGGCGGTGTCAAGATCGACCTCTGTGGAGGAGGAGGCTCGTGAATGACGCTCCTGGGCAGTCGGAGACAGTCACCCTTCAGCAACAGCGGAGGAGCGACGCTCACAACGAGCGGAGAACCGGGCGGATAAAACGCCGCGAGTTTGCACAGTAGGAAGCACAGGTGGTGCATCTGTCAGTCTTTCCATTTAGTCTACCCATGGTACCTGGGTCTGATCTGCGACCACCTCCTGCCAGCAGCAAGAGCCATTTACACTCCACCTGAAGGCCTCCAAATGCAACCTAGCCTGGCACAAGCGCCGAGGTGATGTCACCACCACCGCGTTGCGAATGACGCCATGTACGGGCCACACGGGCCCATGCGCTTGGCTACACCGGGGCGGGGGTCCCTCTTGTCTCCGTGGCGGCGTTGTGCCGCCGTGCAGGGCTACAACCGGCAGAAGGCGTACATCGCGGCCCAGGGACCCCTCAAGGCCACGTTTGCCGACTTCTGGAGGATGGTCTGGGAGCAGAACACAGGCATCATCGTGATGATCACTAATCTCGTGGAGAAGGGTCGGGTGCGTCCTCTGCTTTACGAGTCTCATTGTGTGGCCGGCAACATAACAACTCCGGCGTCACGTGCGTGTCTGTACACACGTGTGTCTGTCCACATGTGTGCTTGTGTGTGTGTTTGTACAAGTGCGTGTACACACGTGCGTATGCGCGTGTACACACGTGCGTATGCGCGTGTACACACGTGCGTATGCGCGTGTACACACGTGCGTATGCGCGTGTACACACGTGCGTATGCGCGTGTACGCAAGTGCGTAGTGGAGCGGTTAGCGCGCTGCGCTATGAACCCAGAGACCTAAGTTCAATTCCCACTCACAGCCAACACCAGTGACGATTATCTGAATCGGTTATGGGCTTCTCCTAGGTCGACTCAGCCCCAAATGAGTACCTGCTGCAGTGTGTAAACATCGGCACTAGGGAGACAAAGGCGGCCGTGCGTGGTGCTGATCACCCACCCCCTCGTGTGCCGTGCCGGCCTTCATAGGTGCTACTCGCTAACAGCACTTGCCACTACAGGTTATTAAGGTGGGGGGTCTTTGTCTTTGAGTACACGCGTGTGCTTGTGTGTGTCGAGAGCGGTGGCACGACATCGATGACGGATATCTGAGCCTCCCCTAAGTCGACGCAGCCTTGACGATGTGACGATGTGACGGTGTGACGTGTGACGATGTGACGATGTGACGTGTGTTGCATGTGACGTGTGACGATGTGACGTGTGACGGTGTGACGTGTGCTGCGTGTGACGTGTGCTGCGTGTGACGTGTGCTGCGTGTGCTGCGTGTGCTGCGTATGCAGCGCAAGTGCGACCAGTACTGGCCGTCGGAGAGCAACGAGGAGTACGGGAACATCCTGGTAACGCTCAAGAGCACCCGCACGCTCGCCTGCTACACTGTGCGCCACTTCACCATCCGCAACACCAAGCTGCGGAAGGTGCGTCCCGTGTCTCGCTCTCGTCCGTGTCTCGATCGCGTGCGTGGCGACGCCGTACAGAATACGTGTGTGAGTGTTGTGAGCTGTGGTACGGGGGACTGGTGGCACAGTGGTCTGCGCACTGCGATTGCCGCTCACGGCCACCAACACCAGTGACGACTTTCTGAACCGGTCCCGGGCCTCTCCTGGTGCGATGTGTAAACGTCGCCACAAGTGATTCAAAGGTGGCCAGGCGTGGTGCTGGCCTCCACCCCCTATTGTGCCGGACTTCATCGGTGCTCGCTTAACTGTACTTGCTCAAACAGCCTGTTAAAGGCTACACGGGGTATCTCTGACTTGGTGGTAATTTGATAGGGTGTGCTGCGGTGATGCGTTATAGTGCGTGTAAACAAGATACATGCACGTATCTCGGGCTGTAAGAATCGATTTGAAACAATCGTGTACATTTGTGTATATTGTCGCACGTGTGTGCGGTCGCGGGTGTCCTCGCACACGTCCGTGTGTTTGCATCGTCGCGCGCACACATCGCACACCCCGCATCACTGCACACAGTGCCCGCCTGCATCCCCACCACCGCCCGCCCACCCGCCCCCCCTCACCTCCCTGTGTGTGGCACAGGGCACGTCGCAGAAGAGCTCTGCCCGCGGCCGTCAGAACGAGCGGCTCGTGGTGCAGTTCCACTACACACAGTGGCCCGACATGGGCACGCCGGACTACGCGCTGCCCGTGCTCACCTTCGTCCGCAAGTCCTCGGCCACGCGCACCGACCTCATGGGCCCCGTCGTCGTCCACTGCAGGTGCTCGCGCCAACAGTGCCGGCGGCTGCCGTGGTGGCGCCGGCGATGGCTCTGGCATGAGCCGACGCCTCCGCCCACGCGGATTGACGAACTCGTTGGTCCGTCCGTTGGTGTTGGGGCCACGGTGACCGACAAGCGGTTTGGTTGGCGTTCAGGGTTCGCGCGATCGGGGCCAGAGGTCGGGCGATCGCGGGCGGTGAGGAGTCGCACGCTCAGAGCGAGGGTTCGCTTGGTTTGGTTATCGGGGAGAGAGGGGTCATTGTGGTGTGGCCGTGGTTAGGGGTGGGGGATGAGGGGTCACTTGATAAGGTCGAGGGAGGTCACGCCATTCAGGCGGTCGGTCACGTGAGCTCACGTAACGGAGGCGTTGTGTCGCGGGCGCAGCGCGGGCGTTGGCCGCACGGGGACCTACATCGTCCTCGACTCCATGCTGCAGCAGATCCGGGACTCTGGCACCGTCAACGTGCTGGGGTTCCTCAAGCACATCCGCACGCAGCGCAACTACCTGGTGCAGACAGAGGTATGCACACACATGTGCACGCACACAAAGACTAAAATCCCCGTGTAGCCTTAACAGCCTGTTGGAGCAAGTGATGTTAGCGAGCACCTATAAAGGCTGGCACCGCACACGAGGGGGTAGGTGACCATCACCACGCCCAGCCGCCACCTTCTCCCCAGTGCTGATATTTTACACACCACGCCAGGTACTCATTTGAGGCTGAGTCGACCTAGGGGGGGGGGGGGCCCAGGACCGGTTCAGATAATTGTCACTAGTGTTGACCGTGAGCGGGAATTGAACCTGGGTCACCGGATTTGTAGCGCAGCGCGCTAACCCCTGCGCCATCACTCCGCACGCAAGCATGTACGCACGCACGCACGCACACAAAACGTGCACGCACGCACAAAAAACGTGCACACACGGCGTGGATCATGGAGGGCGCCTAACCCACCCCGCTGACCCCGCACGGCTGTGTCTGCTACCATTGCACTGGCCCGCTGTACTGTCCTCCCCCACCCTGCCTTGCTGCCCCTCTCGTTGCTCCTCTTGCTGACCCCGTCCTGTCCCCGCAGGAGCAGTACACATTTATCCATGAGTCGCTGCTGGAGGCGGTGCTGACGGGCGAGACGGAGGTGGCCCCGGGCCAGCTCCACGCCTACTACACCTCCATCCTGTCGCCCGCGGCAACCGACGTGACACGGCCCGTCGTCACGGCGACCGAGAACACCCACCTTGAGAAGCAGTTCCGCGTGCGTGCCCCACCCGCGCCCCCTGCGGTAGCCATGGAAATCCTGGCCGACCTTGTCCGTTTGCTTTGTTTACCTTTATAAACACAACAAAATAAACAAGCAATCGCATCCTTCTTCGGATGCCTGCCTGCCCCTCCACGTAAACAAACATATTTTTAACACATCCCGACAGCGACTTCTGGGAGTGCATAATTTCGGCAGCATCGGTTGCGTAAGTCAATCGTGACTGGGCAGAGAGCGTCAGCTCACTCCGCTTGAGAATCCCAGTTTAATCACAATTCGGTCTATAGATCTCTGGGTGAGTCAATGGTGGCTGGGTAGAGACTTTAAACTCGCTCCATTTGAGAACCCAGATTTCAGCGGCGTCGGCTCATGGCTCAGACTTCCGAGCCGCCCGGCCACCTCCCGAAGAGTCGATGGGATTGTGCCATCACAGTCGTGGTCGGGACCGGCAGACAACTCGCTAACCGTGCAACTGCCTCCCCCCTGCTCCGCCCCCCCCCCCCCCCCACCATGTTCCTGCAGCTTGTGACGCAGTGCTCTGTGCGGCAGTCGGAATTCTTCAGCGCCACCAAACACTGCAACAAGGAGAAGAACCGCAACTCCTCCATCGTGCCAGGTGCGATGCGCTGGGCAGGGTCTGCACGCTGTCATCGTCGTCGCCGTTGCTCTCGTCATTGTTGCCGTCGCTGACGTCCCTGCTGTTGTGTCTGCGCCACAGTGGAGCGCTCGCGTGTCGGTCTCTCGTCGCTGTCCGGACTGGAGGGCACAGACTACATCAACGCCTCCTACATCACGGTACGCGTCCCCGACATCGACACCACGGTACCGCACGGCCATCGCGTCTCCACCGTCATCGCTCGCCCGTCACTTCTTTCCCGTCACCGCTGCCCCATCGCATGTTGCGTGTGTGCGTTCGCTGGATGCGTGTGCTGAGCACGCGCTGTGTGTGCGTCCACAGGGCTATTACCGCAGCAACGAGTTCATCGTGACGCAGCACCCTCTGCCGCACACAACGCGAGACTTCTGGAGGATGATCTGGGACCACAACGCGCAGATCATCGTTATGCTGCCCGACGGGCAGGGCCTGGTGCGTGACTGTGCGTGACGTCAACTTCGCTTAGTGGAGAATGGAGGGTATTGGTGTGCGTGTGGGGAGCGGTGGCGCAGCGGTCAGCACGCTGTGCTACAAACCCTAGCGACCCGAGTTCGATTCCCGCTCACGGTCAGCACTGCTGACGATTATCTGAACCGTTCCTTGGCCTCCCCTAGGTTGACTCAGCCTCATAAATGAGTACCTGGTGCGGTGTGTAAACATCGCCCCTGGAGAGACAAAGGAAGCCGCGAGTGGTGTTGGTCACCCACCCCCTCGTGTACCATGCCAGCCTTCATAGGTGCTCGCCAACAGCACTTGCCTAAACAACCTGTTAAAAGGCTATACAGTGGAGGGTGGGTCTTTGTGTGTATGTGTGTGTGTCAGGCGGAGGATGAGAGTGTGTACTGGCCGGGCCGTGAGGAAGCCATGAACTGCGATGACTTCACGGTGACGCTGATTAACGAGGACCGGCTGTGCCTGGCTAACGAGGAGCAGCTCGTGATCCACGACTTTATTCTGGAGGCCACACAGGCACGTATATACACACGTACGCGTATGCTCGCACACACACGCATGCGTGCTCACACGCACGCATATACATACATGCTTTGTCTTTGTGTGACGAGGTGTGTGTGTGTGTGCCACGGTGTTTGCAGGACGACTACGTGTTGGAGGTGCGGCACTACCAGTGCCCACGGTGGCCAGACACGGAGGGGCCCCTGAGCAACGCCTTCGAGATTATCAACGTGATCCGCGAGGAGGCGACGACGCGCGACGGCCCCACCATCCTGCACGACGAGTGAGCCGACCGCACCGCCGCTCCCCCCACACTGAACCCCCCCCCATAGCCCCACACTTAACCCTCTTACCCTAACCCATAGCCCCTCATGTAATACACCGCTCCCCCACACTCATAACCCACACCCCAAACCCTTAGACCCTACAGCGGCTGCGGGATCTGCCATTGGTAGCGATGAGGTGCGGCGGTGGCAGCATCACCAACTTAGGGTACTGTGATGCTCAGAAAGCTTTGCCCCTGTGACATGTGCCTGGCCGCTTGCCTGCCTGCCTGCGTGCAGATTTGGCGGCGTGTCGGCCGGCACGTTCTGCGCGCTCACGACGTTGCTGCACCAGCTGGAGGAGCAGGAATCCGTGGACGTGTTCCAGGTCTGCAAGATGGTGAACCTGATGCGGCCCGGCGTCTTCACCGACATTGTGAGTGCCGGCGCGATTGCTCACGCCTCCCCCGCCCCTAGGTCGACTCAGGCTCAATTGAGTACCTGGTGCGGTGTGCAAACTTCGCCACTAGAGAGACAAAGGCGGCAGGGCGTTATGCTGGCCACTCACCCCCTTGTGTTTCGTGCCGACCTTGAATAAATAGGTGCTCGGCAACAGCACTTTCCCCAACAGTGTTAAGGCTGTACGGGGGATATTAGTCTTTGTAGTTGTCATTAGCTGTCGCATCCGTGACGTCATTAATGTTTTCTCTCTTTCATGTCTTTCTTCTCTCCCTATCTTCTTTCCCCAGTCTTCACGCTCGGGATGTTAAGAATGTCGGCGGCTTTGTGTGACATTTGAGTGACTAATGCATGCAAATCCCACCCACCCCCATCCTTTGAATTGGCCTCGTCGTAAAACCGCGGCGAGGATGAAGCGGCGCGCGTCAACGCGACCGCGATCGCCGCGCGTCACCTTTACCACGTCCGCACGTCACCTTCACCACGTCCGCACCGCGTTACTCCTTCACGGTGAAGTGTGGGCAGCGTGAAGGCTGGCGCCGGCACAAGCGGAGAGACGGATCTCTCCTGCCTCTCACTCGGTCTTTCGCTCCATCGCCCTCCTCCCCTTCCACCCCTCGCTCCCCTTGTGCCCCCGCCCCCCACCCACAGGAACAATACCACTTTGTGTACCGCGCGGCGCTGAGCCTGATCGGCACGCGGGAGGATGGCGGCATGGCGAGCGAGCGCAATGGCTCGGCAGGCGCTGGGGAAGAGGCGGACGGCGCCGAGAGCACCGAGTCGCTCGTGTGATTGGGAAAGGAGGGGAGGGAAGGGCGGCACAGGGCGGGGGGGGGGGGGGCACAGGGTCTGCTGGGGCGACCTGAAGAGCAGCAAGAGGGATCTGATGACCAAGGACCAGAGCCCAGGGAGACTGAGTCCAGGGTAGATGAGACTTGGAGCCATAGGGAGATGAGACCCAGGTCCAGGTGTAAATATAGATGAGACTTAAGACCAGGGCTGATAGTACCTGAGACCAGGACAGTTATGAATAGGTCCTGGGACCAGCGGGACTCGGTCAGTGGGAAATCAGATTCTAGGGGACAGGGATCCTGGCCCAGGGAGAATGAGACCTGTGTCTTTGAGAGCTGTGGCATATACACCAACGAACAAAGCACCCGACAACATCAAAGACCACTTCTACAAGTCTCTCGAACAGTCGCGAAACGTCACAAAACTACGGGACCTCATCATGTGCTTCGGAGATTTCAATGCAGTCTCTGGCACTTCTAGAGACGGTCTCTGGAACGTGATCGGCCCACGTGGCAGCGGCATCTCCAATGATAACTCAGAAAGGCACCTGCATTTCTGTGCAGGAAATGGGCTTCGAAAATGTGGTTCTTGGTTCCAGCACCGCACCATTGTCCAACAGCCGCACAGAAAGAAATCGACCATATATATACTCATTAACTCCAGGTGGAAAGCTCTGCAAAATTGCACAATTTACTGGAGCATGGAGTTCGACACAGATCGGCTCAGTTATTACAACTATCGGTATCAGACTGAAACGATTGTCCGGCAGGATTATTGTCTCTGTCTTCCCACTACAACATAAAAAAAACTTTAAAGACCCTGCATTCGAACAGCAATTCATAGTCACCATTAACAACCAATTGTTAGCCCTCCACAATGAATGGCTGACAGACCGGGACCAGTTTCGAGACTCCGTCAACAATGCTGCCCAACACCTGCCTTGGAATGTGTAGCAATATAAAAAAAATAGAGTGGATCAGTGACGACGCGTGGAGCCTAATTGACAAGAAACGCAAAGCACGGCATGCAGGGTCTGACCAACACTACAAGGAACTGAGAAGGTAATGTAAGAACCAGATCTGGGGATGACCGCCAGAGATGGGCAAATGAGAAAGCTGTGGCCGCGGAGCAAGAACTCGCGAATGGCCAAGTCAGGGATGCGTTTTGCCAACTTCAGACAGCCCAATCATTAACTCTCGTGGCCTCTCGTGGCCTCGTGGTCAGCGATAGGAGGCAAACAATGAGTCCGTTGGAAATAACTCTACTCTCAGCTGCTGAATCACCCTCCGTCGTGGGTGTATTGTACAACATGGTGCCATAAAGAGGTGAAGATTTTTTTTAATTCATGCTATTTTGTTCAGAGTCTCGAAACAAAAGCGTGAGTCCACACAGTTGTTTCACGTTTACAAAATAAAGCCACTGTTAGTGGACGAACACAAGCGGCCATGAGGAAACAGGCAGCTGGTGTGTGCACCGGGACAGGAGCTGCCTATGATACATACACACACCCCGATACACACACGGGTGCACACACCGTGATACACACACATTTCTTGATATATACACACACATCATGATATATACACACGTTGCTACACACACACCCTATAGGTTGGGAGACCACGTAAAATGTGAGGGGTTCACCCACAGGTCACAGGACAGACCCAGATATCATGGGTTGACTGTGATGACTGATAGATGCACCACCCGTGCTCCCACTGTGCCAACAAACGCACCACCCAACACGCTCGCACACACTGCCATGCATACGTGCCAAGATGCGTGAGCTGAGGTTGCCTACCTGAACAAATCACTGGGGCTGGGAGGAGGGAATCACTCACTCTGCTGCCTTGTGCAGCCGCAGTAGGCCTCTTGTGTAGGCTTCTCTGGGCTCGTTAACAAATTGAGCTCGCTCTGCACGTGACCAGGAACAAAGGGAAACTCAAGAAGAAGTGCCTCTGGGAGGCGGGGGGGGGATTGGGGGTAAGGAGGCGCTGGCCTGGAGCCTCCTGCTTCGTGATTGCAGTGGTGTTCACATGAACCACTCGGTCGCTCGCAAAAAAAACGCTCTCTCATACACCCAGAGGTCCTGGGCAATCAGGGAGGGATTTGTGGGTTCGGGGACAGGGCGAGGGTTTAATCAGGGGTTACCAGAACCCAGGGACAGGGGTTTTCGTGGGTTGGGGGGGGGGGAATCGGGGCGGTGGGACCTAGGGGCAGGGTGGTCTCGTGTTTTCTCGTGCAATAATCAAAACGTAAACCAACTCCATTCCACTCCTGTGAATGCCCGGCCCGCGTCGTCGTTCGCGTCTTCTCAACGTTCACGTTCTTTCTTTTTTTTATTATCGACGAAACTCGCTATAACTTTTTTCCAGTTTGTAATTAAGCATCTTCATAATCTAGCCATATTTATGAGCGTGTTTAAACATGTTCACAATAAAGGAACATTCTATTTCATCACACCTGGCGGCTTGGTGGTCAGTGCTGCGACCGTGCGAAAGTGGGGGGGGGGGGCGGTGGTAGGGCGCAAGCGAGTGGCACAGCCAGCTAGAGGCGGGGCGGGGGGGCAAATGGTTTTCCTACCCAAAGAGTAAACGGTGAAGGTCAAGCCCTGCAATTGCTTGCACACTGCATTGCTCGCTCGTGCAAGGGGCTGCCACCAGAACGAACGCTCGAGGTCTCCCCTTGACGGCATCTGGACGACTTGTCCACACTTGGCAGGACATCTTGGAAGAGAGAGGTGGGAATCGCCCACACTTGATCCCACCATGCGTCACCTGCCTGCCGATCCACCACCCACGGTGGTGGGGTGGTCCCTATTTAAGCTGCTGCCTGGAACAGAGGTGGCGGGGTGTGATTTCAGAAACGTGATCACAGTTTCATCTGCCACGCTGGGAGATAAAACCGACGACCTGCGGATACTATCCAGAGTACCAAGTTGTAAGTAAAATGTCACGTTTATATACTAATTTACCTGCAAATGATTTCATTGGGGAAAATCACGTCGCTGATGCCGAGCGCAGACTTCGTCTGTGGAACATAGTGCGCTTGTGGATCGCCTTCGTGCTATCAGAATGTCGCGAATGCCAAATGTACATGAAATGTTTTTGTTTATTGTTGTGGTTGGTGGGGGGGTCCAGTGTCGGGCTGTGTGGAGGGTCAAGCGTTGCCCTGTGGGGCGGGGGCATCGCTCTCAGGCTGAGTGGAGGCCTCGTCGGGCCTGTGCAGGACGCCTTCCCAATCCGGCAGGAGGCGCTCCACCGACGCCCAGTACCTGCACTGCGACACGGACAAAGACCCCCCGCCCCCCTCATTTAGCCTCTAACGTGCTGCTGTTGGGGCAAGTGCTGTCAGCGAGTACCTGTTAAGGCCGGCACAGCACCGCGACGGGGGTTAGTGGCCAATAACCACGCCCGACCATCTTCGTCTCCCCAGTGCTGATGTTTACACACTAAGTACTCGGTTAAGGCCGAGTTGACCTAGGGGAGGCTCGGGACCGGGTCAGGTATTTGTCACCGATGATGGCTGTGAGCGGGAATGTAACTCGGGTCGCCAGGTTCGTGGCGCGGTGCACGAACCAACACACTACCGCTCCCCTGTGCACTGACACGCACACACGTGTACACACATACGTACGTACACACACGTACACACCCACACGTACGTACGTACACATACGTACACACACGTACGTATATTTTTGCGTTAACACAGTTGCTGAGCAAAGGACGAAAATGTCAAAGCGGCGGCCAGCAAGGGACAGCACTCATCGGACCATCGCCCACACAGCACTGAACCACTGTGAACTCTGAAAATTCAATGGAGGCATCGAAACAAGTCCACCGTACATCGAGTAAAGCCAATTCAATGCCGCGGCCCAATCTGAGCACACACACAGCTCTGAGATGCCAGTCACCCGGCCATATAAACGGCCAATAACAAACTCTGGGGAGATTTCACTTCAATGTTTTATGCAGTCGGACAGAGGGAAGTGTAACACGGGTAAATTGCGCCACGGGCTCACCATGACCCGCAGTGCTCCTCACCCTCACCTGCAGGACCCCGCCTCACCTCGCACGTGCTCACCTGCTGGGTGAGGATGTCTGCGCGGGACGAAGCGTCAATGCGCGTCTTCAGACGATGCTCTGCTGCGTCCACAGCCTAAAGGACACGCGGGCAGTGACCGATTGGGACTGGCTGTGTGTGTGGCGTAGCTATGTTTAGCGAGCTGTATGTGGTGTAGCTGTGTCTGGCGGTATGTGTGTGTGTAGCTTTAGTATCACATTCACAAATCACTCTCTTAATTCCATCAAAAAGGTAACTTGCAGCACCACACCTTGCCATTCTTCAGAGAAAGAATGGTGTGATTCCATACGACCTCCAGAAATAGGTTTGCTGAGCATTTCTGAGGTCTTGGGGGAGGGGAAACCCTTCAACTCGGATAACATGGAGCAAGGTGGAGACTCTACCGCTGAGTGGAGCGCGTGCTACAAAGATGTGGGGGGCTCCACCACAACAAAGAAGTGCCGACCGAGGTGTTTTATGTCATAAAACGCTCCCGCCTCCACTCGCCCCGAGTGACGGGGCAGTTGTGGAGAGAGTGTCGGGGTCTCTCTACCTGGGCAGTGTGCTTGTGACCAGGTTCAGCGGCGGAGGTCTCGTCGACGACGTAACGCTGTGTGGTCGTGACCTGGCCTATAGCTCCATACGAAGCTCCCGGGTCTTCTCGGCCACAGTTATTTCCTACGTTATTATTTGTGCTCGTGAAACGTGGAGCCCTTTAAAGGATCATCCGTGCCGTTTCTAAACATTCAGGCTCGCCTGCCTACGATCCATCCTGGATTTAACCAGATTGGATTGTGTGAGCAGCTCGCAGATATTTTTTAGAGATCTGGACATGGTCCCATCGATAAGCTCCTTGCAGGCGAGGCTGGGTCATGTACCCCACACGCCAAGCGGCCGGATCCCCAAGCAGCTGCTGCTTGGCCGGATCGAGGGGGCGAAACGGGCGCGGCACGGGCTAGAGAAGAGATGGAGTGATGTGGTACAGGAGGCACGGGGCTAGAGAAGAGATGGAGTGATGTGGTACAGGAGGACGTGGAGCTGAGTGGACTTGTCAAAGGCTGGTACCAGCGGTGTCAAGATCGGCCTCTGTGGAGAGAGGCTCGTGAAGGACGCTGCTACTGGTCGCTTGGAGGCAGTCGCCATTCAGGATCAACGGAGGGCGGAGGAGTGACGCTCACAACAACGAGCAGAGCGCTGTGCGGCTAAAGCACAGAGAGTTGGAACAGGTGCGGCATCTGCCAGTCATCTCAATCAACCCATGGCACATGGGTCTGTCCCGTGACCTGCCAGCAGCCAGATCCTTCCACACTTAACGTAGCCTCAAGGTGCACCTAGCCTGGCACAAGCGCCGCGGTGGTTGTCGTGGCCGTGCGCGCCCCACCTGCAGCATGGCGCTCCTCTTGGCCGCCGCCGCCTCGGCCGCCTCGAGGACACGGGGAAGGCCCTGGGCGCGGGAGTCGGCGAGGCGCTCCGCGGCCCTCAGCGCGACCTCCCGGCGCGCCAGGCTGGGCACGGAGGGGGGGGGGGGTGAGGTCACGGGGTGGGGGGGGGTGAGGTCACGGAGGGGTGAGGCTGAGGTCAGGGGGAGTGATGGTGAGGTCACGAGGTGGGGAGTGAGGTGGGGATGATGGTGAGGTCACGCGGGGTCAAGGTGACATCACGGGAGTATGAGGTCAAGGGGGGGTGATGGTGAGGTCACGAGGTGGGGAGTGAGGTTGGGGTGATGGTGAGGTCACGAGGTGGGGAGTGAGGTTGGGGTGGGGGTGATGGTGAGGTCACGGGGGGTCAAGGTGAGGTCACGGGAGTATAAGGTCAAGGGGGGGGGAGTGATGGTGAGGTCACGAGGTTGGGGTGGGGGTGATGGTGAGGTCACGGGGGGTCAAGGTGAAGTCACGGGAGTATGAGGTCAAGGGGGGGAGTGATGGTGAGGTCATGGGGTCAAGGTGAGGTCACGTGAGTATAAGGTCAAGGGGGGGAGTGATGGTGAGTTCACGAGGTGGGGAGTGAGGTTGGGGTGGGGTGATGGTGAGGTCACGGGGGGTCAAGGTGAGGTCACGGGAGTATGAGGTCAAGGGGGGTGATGGTGAGGTAATGGGGGTGACGGTGACGATGGTGAGGTCACGCTGACCCTTACATCTCCTCGTGCTGTTGGCTCAGCGCCATCTCCTCCGCCAGCCGTGACGCCATGTCTGTTGTTGTGTTCGTGTTGCTTGCTTTTAATATTTACGTTGTTAATGTTGTTAGTGGTGTTAATCTTAGTGTTGTTGTGAGTACTGTTGTTGTGAGTTATTGTGAGTGTTGTGAGTTGTTGTGAGTGTTGTTGTGAGTTGTTGTGAGTGCTGTTGTTGTGAGTTGTGAGTGTTGTTGTTGTGAGTGTTGTGAGTGTTGTTGTTGTGAGTGTTGTTGTTGTGAGTGTTGTGAGTTGTTGTCGTTGTGAGTTGTGTTGTCGTTGTGAGTGTTGTTGTTGTGAGTTGTCGTTGTGAGTGTTGTTGTTGTGAGTGTGGTTGTTGTTGTTGTGAGTTGTGAGTGTGGTTGTTGTTGTTGTGGTTGTTGTGAGTTGTGAGTGTGGTCGTCGTTTGCATCCTCCGGGCCGCGCCGTTGACTCGGTCGCCGTGGAGACAGAATCGAGGCGTCGATTCCGACCGCCTCACCGATTCCGACCACCCCAGCGATCCCCGCAGCATAGTTCATAGTTCATTTATTTGGTATAACCCTGTGAGCCATTCGGCTCTTGAATCGGGTGCAACCGTAACAAACAAAAAAACATGAACAAGAAAACATCTTAAAGTGATTATGTGACTGTGCAAACAGAAAATACAGGAAAAAATATCAAAATATTCCTGAAATAGCACCGTACACCAACGCTGTGTGCAAAAATCCCAGTGGGATGCAAGTCAAACAACAACAACCACAAGACAACTAAGATTAAGGCCATCAGTCTAACTCCGTACTACAATAAACAAAAACATGGCCAAAACAAAAAAACGTTTTCGAAGTCACCAAAATAAAAGCCATAAATGCAATGTAACAGTGATCATAGGGACTGACCGAATTTTTAACAATAAACTACATAAATAAATTATAACACGAAAATCTAGAGCCATATTTTAGGCCACTGAATAGCAGTGGCAGCTAGGGGTGTACAACTCCTCTAGAGCAGTTTTGAGAGAGCCATTTCCGAATTGGGACGAAGGTCCTTTTGTCTGTAAGATCTGGGGGGCTCGCCGGCAATGATTCGCAACCAGAGCCTTGGCTGCGATGAATCGACACACGAGTATCAGTCCAGTCTCGTCTTGCTCGTCTGTCATCAACGCCGCTGTAAATTACTGTCCATAAAGGGTTTTTGTTGTGTTACATCGCGTTAATGTGTCACGAACCTGCCACCACCCGACACTGCCAATTAGTGAGGTTTTGGCACGTAAGAAAAAAGCAATTAGTTACTTGAGCACACCGTTGTGTTGGAGAATAAACTCACATTTACAATTGAAATTCGAAGTTTCACTGGTACTCAAATCGTAGATGTTGTGAGTTTACTCTCCAACACACCGGTGGGCTTAGTGACTAATTGCATCGCTGTCAACCCGTACGGTCTACCCGCATTCTTGTACAGGGACATTGAGTGTTCAGATCCATGATACGCATAGCCGTTCCGATATGGCCAAAACAATGTCTTTGTGTTTCTCCCTTGTGATGCGACTTTGGGGCCGTCCATAAATGACGTCACGCGATTTGGGACTTATTCTTGACCCCCCCCCCCCTCGTCACACGGCGTCACAAAGTCAGACCCCCCCCCCCCTCAAATATGACGTCACGAAGCTCTGCCCCCCCCCCTCCAAAATAAAACATGCTTCAAATCTATATTCTTGTTTTTTTCGGTAAAGAACCAAGAATATGAATCCCTGCAGTCACGAAAGCTTCAAATCAAAAATGCTTCAAATCGCTTTAAACTATTGTCATTGTAGTGCGTATTTAATGTGGCGCTGCACTCTGATGTTGTAGGAGAAAACATTAATTAAAAATTCGATTTAATTAAGTAGAACGTGTTGTCTTTATTTAAAGTTGCACATTTTGATGTGACGTCACATTTCTCAACTCCCCCCCCTCCCTTCGTCACACATCGTCACAAATGTCTGACCCCCCCCCCCTTTAGGTACGTGACGTCATTTATGGACGGCCCCTTTGTATGATGAGCGTTGACATGTATAAGGGCACGGGGTGACCAATACGGTCTGAGTAGGTCAGTAACACGGGCTTGAGATGTTTGTAATTGCTACTTTCGTTCACGTGACAAACCTTACTAATTGTCTGTGTCGGCTGGTGGGTTAGCGACACATTTATATTTCCGCGATATAACCCGACGAGATAAACCTTTAGCATGGATTATGATAATAGTTGTCGTCGGCTGAAGGCTGACTCGGCCGTGACACGTGACCCGCCGCCCTGCGTGCACTTGTCCAGAAGGGCCGCGCGGGCTGAGCCTCGCCACGTGACTTCCTCTTCCGGTCTGGGCCCCACGTGGTGGGAGCCGTCCGCTGGGGTTCAGGGATCGAGGGGTGAGATGGGGACTCGCGCCGTGGCCGAGGGGGCCCAGGGAGCGACGCGGGGGATCGAGGGGGCCCAGGGAGCGGCGCGGGGGATCGAGGGGGCCCAGGGAGCGGCGCGGGACGCCTCGCGCCGCGTGTTTGTGGGCGGCCTCGTGGCGAGCGTGCGGCCCGAGGAGCTGCGGCGCCGCTTCGAGGCGTTCGGGGCCGTGGGGGACGTGGCGGTGAAGACGCGGAGCGACGAGACGGGTGAGGGGGGTGAGCGGGTGAGGGGGGTGAGTGAGGGGGGTGAGTGAGTGAGGGGGATGAGTGAGTGAGGGGGGTGAGTGAGGGGGGTGAGTGAGTGAGGGGGGTGAGTGAGGGGGGTGAGTGAGGGGGGTGAGTGAGTGAGGGGGGTGAGTGAGTGAGGGGGGTGAGTGAGTGAATGAGGGGAGTGAGTGAGGGGGGTGAGTGAGGGGGGTGAGTGAGTGAATGAGGGGGGTGAGTGAGTGTGTGAGGGGGGTAAGTGAGGGGGGTGAGTGAGTGTGTGAGGGGGGTGAGTGAGTGAGGGGGGTGAGTGAGTGGGTGCGGGAGGTGAGTGAGTGAGGGGGGTGAGTGAGTGTGTGAGGGGGGTGAGTAAGTGAGGGGTGTGAGTGAGGGGGGTGAGTGAGTGAATGAGGGGGGTGAGTCAGTGAGGGGGTGAGTGAGGGGGGTGAGTGAGTGAGTGAGGGGGGTGAGTGTGTGAGGGGGGTGAGTGAGTGGGTGCGGGAGGTGAGTGAGTGAGGGGGGTGAGTGAGTGGGTGAGGGGGGTGAGTGAGTGTGTGAGGGGGGTGAGTAAGTGAGGGGTGTGAGTGAGGGGGGTGAGTGAGTGAATGAGGGGGGTGAGTGAGTGAGGGGGGTGAGTGAGTGAGTGAGGGGGGTGAGTGAGTGGGTGAGGGGGGTGAGTGAGTGAGGGGGGTGAGTGAGTGAGTGAGGGGGGTGAGTGAGTGAGTGAGGGGGGTGAGTGAGTGAGTGAGGGGGGTGAGTGAGTGAGGGGGGTGAGTCAGTGAGGGGGTGAGTGAGGGGGGTGAGTGAGTGAGTGAGGGGGGTGAGTGAGTGAGGGGGGTGAGTGAGTGGGTGAGGGGGGTGAGTGAGTGAGGGGGGTGAGTAAGTGAGGGGGGTGAGTGAGGGGGGTGAGTGTGTGAGGGGGGTGAGTGAGGGGGGTGAGTGAGTGAATGAGGGGGGTGAAAGAGTGAGTGAGGGGGGTGAGTGAGTGGGTGAGGGGGGTGAGTGAGTGGGTGAGGGGAGTGAGTGAGTGGGTGAGTGAGTGGGTGAGGGGGTGAGTGAGTGGGTGAGGGGGGTGAATGAGTGGGGGAGTGAGTGGGTGAGTGAGTGGGTGAGGGGGGTGAGTGAGGGGGGTGAGTGAGTGGGTGAGGGGGGTGAGTGAGTGGGTGAGGGGGGTTAGTGAGTGAGTGAGGGGGGTGAGTAGGTGAGGGGAGTGAGTTAGGGGGGTTAGTGGGTGAGGGGGGTGACTGAGGGGGGTTAGTGAGTGAGGGGGGTTAGTGGGTGAGGGGGGTGAGTGAAGGGGGTGAGTGAGTGAGTGAGGGGGGTTAGTGGGTGAGGGGCGGCTAAGGTGAAGGGGTGGGGGGGTGATGTGGAAGTGTGAGGGGATGAGGGGCGGGGAATGGGGAGGTGAGGTGATGAGGAGGACGATGAGTTGAGGGGTGAGATGAAGTGAGGAGAACGGTGATGCAGAGAGGGTGAGGAGCCTAATATGAGGGTTGTTTGGTAATAGGATAACGAGGTAAATGTGGTGAGGCGTAAGGGTTGAGGGGAAGCGAAGGGGTACAGGGGTGAGTGAGTTCGTGAGGAGGAGTAAATGAACGATTGAAGAGGACGCGTCACGGCTAGGAGAAGGGATGGCGACCGGTGGTCAAGACTAACGCCAGAGTGCCAGCCAAAGCAGGAACGTTTCCATAATACGTCCGCCGCGGAGATGGAGCGGCGAAATCAGCTCTTGTAACCCGAGCTCTGCTGGGTTGTATCGTAGGACAGTGAGAGATGGTGACAGCTTGGGGAGGCCTTAATCCAGCAGTGCATAGAACATGGCTGATAGTGGTATTGAATGAGGACCTCGTGTGTGTTTGGGGGAGGCATGGCTCAGCGGTTAGCGTGCTGCGGTATGAACCCCGCGCCCCAACTTCGGTTCCCGCTCTTGATGATCTGAGCCGGTTTTGTGGCCTCCAATTGGTGGACTCAGCCTCAAATGAATATCCGGTACTGTGTGTGAACATCCCCTCTAGGGAGACAAAGGCGGCCGGGCGTGGTGTCGGCCACCCACTACCGCCTCGTGTGCCATGCCGGCCGTCATAGGTGCTCGCTAACAGCACTTGCTCCACCAGTCTGTTAAGGCTACACGGGGTACCTGTGTCTTTGTGTTGCAGGCACTCCCATCAAGACGTTCGCCTATGTGAGCCTGCAGACGAGTGACGCCGAGCTACGGAAGTGTAAGGGGGAGAGTGCTATGCAGAAGGGCCGTTGCCCAAAACGTCACCTATTGTCTGTTTTTCTTTTAGGGCCACAGTGTTCTTGATAAATGTGCCGAGTGTTGTTGAGGAGTGAGATGAGTGAATGAGTGAGCGAGGCTATGAAGGAGTGACCACATGAGTAAGTGAATCATGATTACTATGTTTGCTTTCCACGTGTGTTGGAGTGTCGTGTCGTTGTGTAGCCATGTGTTGTGTCACGTCGTGCCTCTGTTGTTTTCACTGGTCCTGGTGGCAGTTGTGACGTGGTTGTGGCTACGGCGCAATTGTGGCACGGTTGTGGCTGCAACGTGGTTGTGACGCGGTTGTGGTTGTGACGCGGTTGTGGCTGTGGCTGTGACGCAGTTGTGGCTGTGACGCGGTTGTGGTTGTGACGCGGTTGTGGTTGTGACGCGGTTGTGGCTGGGACGCGGTTGTGGTTGTGACGCGGTTGTGGCTGTGACGCGGTTGTGGCTGCAACGTGGTTGTGACGCGGTTGTGGCTGTGACGCGGTTGTGGCTGCAACGCGGTTGTGACGCGGTTGTGGCTGTGACGCGGTTGTGGCTGTGACGCGGTTGTGGCTGCGACGCGGTTGTGGTTGCGACGCGGTTGTGGTTGTGACGTGGTTGTGGTTGTGGCGCGGTTGTGGCTGGGACGTGGTTGTGACGCGGTTGTGGCTGTGACGCGGTTGTGGCTGCAACGTGGTTGTGACGCGGTTGTGGCTGTGACGCGGTTGTGGCTGCAACGTGGTTGTGACGCGGTTGTGGCTGTGACGCGGTTGTGGCTGCGACGCGGTTGTGGTTGCGACGCGGTTGTGGTTGTGGTTGTGACGTGGTTGTGGCTGCGACATGGCTGTGACGTGGTTGTGGCCGAAACGCGGTTGTGGCTGTGACGCAGTTGTGGTTGTGACGTGGTTGTGGTTGTGACGTGGTTGTGGTTGTGACGCGGTTGTGGTTGTGACGTGGTTGTGGCTGCGACACGGTTGTGGTTGTGACGCGGTTGTGGTTGTGACGCGGTTGTGGTTGTGACGCGGTTGTAACGCGGTTGTGGTTGTGGTTGTGACTTGGATGTGTCTCCTCCAGGCTTCTCCGTGCTCAACCACACCAAGTGGAAGGGTGGGACCCTGCAACTGGAGCTCGCCAAGGAGAGCTTCCTGCAGCGGTGAGCAAGTAATCGGATTACTATGTGAACCCGGACCTGTAATCTGTAATCCGCTATCAGCACGTGGCAGCGGGTCAACGTCAAACCATTCCAGGGCTGTGGCTGCGTGCTACAGGAGCTCTGCGTTCATTTGAACTATCTACGTGGTGTGGGATAACACAAAGATTAACATGCTCTCTGTAGCCTTAACAGACTGTTGGGGCAAATCCCATTTGCGAGCACCTACAAAGACCGGTACAGTACACGAGTGGGGGTGGATGGCCGGCACCATGCCCGGCCGCCTTTATCTCCCCAGTGTTAAAGTTTACACGGCGCGATAGACCTAGCGCACCTTCGATTAGCACGGTTTGGCTACGTACGCTGCGAAATAATTTCAACATACATACACGCATAGGGGAGTCGCAGGACCGGTCATGTTGATGACTTGGGTCACTCTTGCAAATGAGGCTCTATCCTGGTCTCCTGAGTGCTCACCTGGTGAAATGAAATAAACTTGACAACCTGCATCGTCTACTCCTCACACCACCTCATCCCGTCTCCCCCCCCCTTCCCTCAGGCTGGAGAAGGAGCGAGCGGAACGCGCGGTGGCGAAGGAGGAGGAGGTGGGTGCCGCGGGGGGTGGGGGCCCAGGGAACCCTCCCCTCCTGGTGGCGCTCAACGCCGCTGGCGCCGCCAACTTCCACATGCGCGGTGTCGTTCCGGGCACCGAGGTGCCGGGGGTTCCGGTACGGCGCCAGCTCGCTCGCCCTATCGTTCTCCTCTTCCGTCAACCCCTCGTTCGCTCGCTGCCTCGCTCAACCCTTTCTTACCCACTCGCTCACCCGTCGCTCACTTGCTCGCTCGCTCAACCCTTTCTTACCCACTCGCTCACCCGTCGCTCACTCGCTCGCTCGCTCCACCCTCGCTTACCCACTCGCTCACTCGTCACTCAATCCCTCAATGCTTGCTTACCTTTGGGTGACTGAGTGTGTGTGGTTGGCGTGGTTGGGTGACTGTGTGTGGTTGGCGTGGTTGGGTGACTGAGTGTGTGTGGTTGGGTGACTGAGTGTGTGTGGTTGGTGTGGTTGGGTGACTGAGTGTGTGTGGTTGGTGTAGTTGGGTGACTGAGTGTGTGGTTGGTGTCGTTGGGTGACTGAGTGTGTGTGGTTGGGTGACTGAGTGTGTGTGGTTGGTGTGGTTGGGTGACTGAGTGTGTATGGTTGGGTGACTGAGTGTGTGTGGTTGGTGTGGTTGGGTGACTGAGTGTGTGGTTGGTGTCGTTGGGTGACTGAGTGTGTGTGGTTGGGTGACTGAGTGTGTGTGGTTGGGTGACTGAGTGTGTGTGGTTGGTGTGGTTGGGTGACTGAGTGTGTGTGGTTGGTGTCGTTGGGTGACTGAGTGTGTGTGGTTGACCTGGTTGGGTGACTGAGTGTGTGTGGTTGGGTGACTGAGTGTGTGTGGTTGGTGTGGTTGGGTGACTGAGTGTGTGTGGTTGGTGTGGTTGGGTGACTGAGTGTGTGTGGTTGGTGTAGTTGGGTGACTGAGTGTGTGGTTGGTGTCGTTGGGTGACTGAGTGTGTGTGGTTGGGTGACTGAGTGTGTGTGGTTGGTGTGGTTGGGTGACTGAGTGTGTGGTTGGTGTCGTTGGGTGACTGAGTGTGTGTGGTTGGTGTGGTTGGATGACTGAGTGTGTGTGGTTGGTGTGGTTGGGTGACTGAGTGTGTGTGGTTGGTGTGGTTGGGTGACTGAGTGTGTGTGGTTGGTGTGGTTGGATGACTGAGTGTGTGTGGTTGGTGTCGTTGGGTGACTGAGTGTGTGTGGTTGACCTGGTTGGGTGACTGAGTGTGTGTGGTTGGTGTGGTTGGGTGACTGAGTGTGTGGTTGGTGTCGTTGGGTGACTGAGTGTGTGTGGTTGACCTGGTTGGGTGACTGAGTGTGTGTGGTTGGGTGACTGAGTGTGTGTGGTTGGCGTGGTTGGGTGACTGAGTGTGTGTGGTTGGGTGACTGAGTGTGTGTGGTTGGTGTGGTTGGGTGACTGAGTGTGTGTGGTTGGTGTCGTTGGGTGACTGAGTGTGTGTGGTTGACCTGGTTGGGTGACTGAGTGTGTGTGGTTGACCTGGTTGGGTGACTGAGTGTGTGGTTGGTGTGGTTGAGTGACTGAGTGTGTATGGTTGGGTAACTGAGTGTGTGTGGTTGGTGTGGTTGGTTGACTGAGTGTGTATGGTTGGGTGACTGAGTGTGTGTGGTTGGTGTGGTTGGGTGACTGAGTGTGTATGGTTGGGTGACTGAGTGTGTGTGGTTGGTGTGGTTGGGTGACTGAGTGTGTGTGCTTGGGTGACTGAGTGTGTGTGGTTGGTGTGGTTGGGTGACTGAGTGTGTATGGTTGGGTGACTGAGTGTGTGTGGTTGGTGTGGTTGGTTGACTGAGTGTGTGGTTGGTGTCGTTGGGTGACAGAGTGTGTGTGGTTGGGTGACTGAGTGTGTGTGGTTGGCGTTGTTGGGTGACTGAGTGTGTGTGGTTGGGTGACTGAGTGTGTGTGGTTGGTGTGGTTTGGTGACTGAGTGTGTGTGGTTGACCTGGTTGGGTGACTGAGTGTGTGTGGTTGGTGTGGTTAGGTGACTGAGTGTGTGTGGTTGGCGTTGTTGGGTGACTGAGTGTGTGTGGTTGGGTGACTGAGTGTGTGTGGTTGGTGTGGTTGGATGACTGAGTGTGTGTGGTTGACCTGGTTGGGTGACTGAGTGTGTGTGGTTGGTGTGGTTGGGTGACTGAGTGTGTGGTTGGTGTCGTTGGGTGACTGAGTGTGTGTGGTTGGTGTGGTTGGGTGACTGAGTGTGTGTGGTTGACCTGGTTGGGTGACTGAGTGTGTGTGGTTGACCTGGTTGGGTGACTGAGTGTGTGTAGTTGGTGTGGCTGGGTGACTGAGTGTGTGTGGTTGACCTGGTTGGGTGACTGAGTGTGTGTGGTTGGGTGACTGAGTGTGTGTGGTTGGTGTGGTTGGATGACTGAGTGTGTGTGGTTGGTGTGGTTGGGTGACTGAGTGTGTGTGGTTGACCTGGTTGGGTGACTGAGTGTGTGTGGTTGGTGTGGTTTGGTGACTGAGTGTGTGTGGTTGACCTGGTTGGGTGACTGAGTGTGTGTGGTTGGTGTGGTTGGGTGACTGAGTGTGTGTGGTTGGCGTGGTTGGGTGACTGAGTGTGTGTGGTTGGTGTGGTTGGGTGACTGAGTGTGTGTGGTTGGTGTGGTTGGGTGACTGAGTGTGTGTGGTTGGTGTGGTTGGATGACTGAGTGTGTGTGGTTGGCGTGGTTGGGTGACTGAGTGTGTGTGGTGGCGTTGTTGGGTGACTGAGTGTGTGTGGTTGGCGTGGTTGGGTGACTGAGTGTGTGTGGTTGGTGTGGTTGGGTGACTGAGTGTGTGTGGTTGGTGTGGTTGGGTGACTGAGTGTGTGTGGTTGGCGTGGTTGGGTGACTGAGTGTGTGTGGTTGGGTGACTGAGTGTGTGTGGTTGGGTGACTGAGTGTGTGTGGTTGGTGTGGTTGGGTGACTGAGTGTGTGTGGTTGACCTGGTTGGGTGACTGAGTGTGTGTGGTTGGGTGACTGAGTGTGTGTGGTTGGTGTGGTTGGATGACTGAGTGTGTGTGGTTGGTGTGGTTGGGTGACTGAGTGTGTGTGGTTGGTGTGGTTGGGTGACTGAGTGTGTGTGGTTGGTGTTGTTGGGTGACTGAGTGTGTGTGGTTGGTGTTGTTGGGTGACTGAGTGTGTGTGGTTGACCTGGTTGGGTGACTGAGTGTGTGTGGTTGACCTGGTTGGGTGACTGAGTGTGTGTGGTTGGTGTGGCTGGGTGACTGAGTGTGTGTGGTTAACCTGGTTGGGTGACTGAGTGTGTGTGGTTGGGTGACTGAGTGTGTGTGGTTGGCGTGGTTGGGTGACTGAGTGTGTGCGGTTGGTGTGGTTGAATGACTGAGTGTGTGTGGTTGGTGTAGTTGGGTGACTGAGTGTGTGTGGTTGGTGTGGTTGGATGACTGAGTGTGCGTGGTTGGGTGACTGAGTGTGTGTGTGGTTGGCGTGGTTGGGTGACTGAGTGTGCGTGGTTGGGTGACTTAGTGTGCGTGGTTGGGTGACTTAGTGTGCGTGGTTGGGTGACTTAGTGTGCGTGGTTGGGTGACTGAGTGTGTGTGTTTGGCGTGGTTGGTTCCAGGACTGGGTGGTGAGCAAGTTTGGGAGAGTGCTGCCCATCGTGAAGGTGAGGAGAAAAGACAAGAAGAAAATATCCTTCACTGCGTCCGTCCGACGACTGGAGACGAGTGTCTCCAGATGTCTCTGTGTGTCTCTGTGTGTCTCTGAGTGTCTCCTGTCTCCAAGTGTCTCTTGGTGTACTTGTGATATCTTCGTCTTCCAGTGTATCTCTTACTGTGTGTGTTTGTCTCGGACTGTCTTTTGGTGTCTCTATCTCCTGCCTCCGAGTATCTGTTGGTGTCTCCTTGTTTCTCTGAATGCCTATGTGTGTCTCTGTGTGTCTCCTCTTTCCAAGTGTCTCCGTGTGTCTCCTTCTGTCTCTGAGTGTGTCTGCATGTGTCCTTGTGTCCATGTTGAGCATTGCGGTGTGTGCAGCTAGAACAGCTGCACACACCGCAAAGTCTCAGCTTTCTAGCCATGCAATGGCGCTGGCTGTCAGCTGGTGAATCGCTCTAATGCCACCGTTCAGAACTCATAGACTCACAGAGACTCATAGAATCACACCGAGACACATGTACTCGCACAGAGACCTATAGACTCGCACATAGACTCGCACAGATACCCATAGACTCTCTCTGCATGTCACTGTGTCTCTGCATATCACTGTGTCTATGTGTGTCACTGTGTCCCTAGATGTCTCTTTAAAAGCTACTCATAGCTTACATCCATTTATCATCTGCTGCTGGATGAAGGCCACCACATGCCGTGTCCATCATGGGAGTTGTTGGTCAGTGTGGATTTCTCTGCCCAAAACCCCTGCTTTGCCAGCGTGGTTTGTGGTTAGGGTAAGCGTTAGCAGTTAGGGTTAGTGGTTAGGGTAAGGGTTAGCAGTTAGGGTTAGTGGTTAGGGTAAGGGTTAGCAGTTAGGGTTAGTGGTTAGGGTTCCCGGTTAGGGTTCATGGTTACGATAAACGGTTATGGTTAAGTGGTCAGTGTTAGTGGTTGGAGTGAGGGTTAGCGGCTAGGTTTAGCGGAGAGGGTTCGCGGTCCGGGTTTGGGACCGTGGCCACGCCGTTCCGCCCTTGACTCCTCCGTGCTCACGTCATCCGGTACGACCCGTCCAAGTTCTGCCACAACCTCAAGCGCCTGGCGGCGCCGGAAGTTGAGACCCCCCCCACGCCGGTGAGCCAGCTCACCTGGCAGCTCCCCGACGACGACAAAAAAAAGAAAAAGACGAAGCGGCCAGAACGGCCGCCCGCTGCCCGACGCGGCGCCGCGACACCGAAGCCGGCGTCGCGTAACAACCGCGGTGGCGTCGGCGCCCGCGGTAACGGCGCCGAATCCGACGAGGCGGACTCGGAAGAGGAGCTGGCCCGCATGGTGGAGGCAGCGGCGCAGGTGGAGGAGCGGCCGCGGCAGCGCCGCCTGCGGGACGACGGCGACCAGGAGCTGGAGGTGGTGCCCGTCGGGTTTGTGCCCTCGCGACCCCGCGCCGGCGACGCGAGCGACGGCAACGATTCCGACGGTGAGGAGGGCGGTTCTGTATGGTTGCCGCGGGCGACGGACCGTGCTGTTGTCGCCGTGGCGACCGGGGAAGCGCGGACCGCCGCATTACCCCGGCCGACCCCGAAACGCGGAGCTGCTCCAGGCACTGCCGCAGCGGAGGGGAAGAAGCGGAAACGCGTTGGGAAGAGTTGCCCACATTGCAGCAAGGAGTTAGCGGAGGAGGATGAGGAGGATGAGGAGGATGATGAGGAGGATGAGGATGATGAGGAGTATGCGAAAATGATGCAGGGCTGCTACCGCCTCGAGCTGAGCCTTGACGACCTCCGCGCGGCCGTCTCGGGGTCTCAGGGGGGCAGCCCCGACGACGACCCCAGCGACCGCAACAAACTCAACGGCCCGGAGCGTGAACCCCGGGTCGCGGAGCCAGAGCCAAAGCGTGGAGCGCCGACTCCGGGAGGAAGTTCCACCACCCGCAGTAGCAGCAAAAAAAAACTGAAACGGGATTCTGTGGACAGGGACGTTGACGAGGTGTGTGACGAGGAGGGAGGGCTCTCGGCGGGAAGGCACAGCTCTCGGCCGCCCCTGTTCCTCGGCACGCGCTGGCTGTTCGGAGACACTCGGGACGGCGGCGGTGGCAGAGGAGGGGGACCTGGGGAGACGGCCGGGTTGCCTGCTCGCCCGGCACCGGGAGATGAGAGCGGCCGGGGAGCGGGCGACGAGGAGGAGGTGGAGGAGGAGAAGCAGGAGGAGGAGGAGGTTTTGTGTCGCAAATCTAAAAGCAAGAAGAGGAAAAAGGTAGAGAAGGAGGTGGTGGAGGAGGAAGAGGAGGAAGTGAAGGAGAACGCTGTGTATTGCAAAATCAACAGCAAAACAAAGAGGAAAAAGAAGAAGAAAGAAGAGGAGGTGGAGGAGGAGGTGGAAGAGAGCGTGTGCCACAAAAACAAGAAGAAAAAGAAGAGAAAGGAAGAAAAGGATGAGGGGGTAGAGGAGGAGAGGGGTCACACGGAGGTCGCGGGGTCGCAACCCCAGGAGGAGGAGGGGAAAGAAGAGGCGACCATGTCAAGGCCGGGTCGTGTCGTCAAGGTAACACCCCCTCACCTCTTCCCCTGCCCGTCCCCCTCATCCTCTAACCTCCTCACCCCCTCATCTGCTCCCTCATTCCTCACCTCACCCTGTCACCTCACCTCACCCCCTTTATTCTCTAACCTCCTCACATGCTCACCTCTTCCTCACCTCGCCTCTCTCGTTCACCACCTCACCTCACCCCGTCACCTCCTCAACCCCTCACCTCCTCTCCCGTTCACCACCTCACCAACTGCCGCTGTCGCTTCCTCACCCCACAGACCGGGTTTGGAGAGGACGAGCGTTTCCGTCTGGACGGGAGGTTTGAAGACAACGACGAGGAGGGGGAGGGGTCGCAGGGGGGCGGTGACGGTGAGGATGACCGCCCCCTCCTTCCTCAACCCGCTCCGCACTCATCCCTCTTGCTCACTCCTCGCTCACCCCTCGTCCCTCGCTCACTTCTTCCTTACTCCCTCCTCGCTCCCTCTTTTAATTCCTTTCCTTGCTCCTCTCTCGCTCGTTCCCCAACCTCCTCACTCACCACCGCTCTTCTCAGTCCTTCCCTCGGTCATCCCTCACCCCCTCGCTCACCGCTCTCCCACTCCTTCCCTCACCCCATTGCTCACCCCGTGTTTATGGCGGTTTCATCATTGACACCATCACCCTGCCACAGTGCGCGCGCGTGCGTGCCTGCGTCTGCGTGTGTGTTGCTGACCCACCCCTACTCGACATCTGTGAAAAAGAGCTTCATTGCTCATGGGATTCCTCTTAAGTCGAAATGAAGATTTTGATTCTGTGTGTGCGCGTCAGGTGTGGAGACACCAGGGGGCTCGGAGCTGAAGCAGCCGAAGAGTGGGGAGCTCGTGAAGGGGGTAGTGACCCCAGCCTCCTTCCAGCAGGACCCGAAGGGGGCCAAGCGCACCACCCTCAGGTGGCCACCACACACGCGCACACACACACACACGCAACGCACACACACACGCAATGCGCACACACGCGCACACACACGCGCGCACACGCACACACACGCAACACACGCACGCGCGCACACGCACACACGCAAAGCACACACACGCAAACACACGCGCACGCACGCGCACACGCACGCACACACGCATACATACGCGCACACGCACACACGTATATATGTACACGCACGCACACATACACGTTTATATGTACACGCACGTACGCACAATCACACGTACGCACGTACACACACGCACGTACACGTATATACTAGCACGCACACACGCACGTGCACGCATACCCTAGGTCGACTCGGCCTTAAATGAGTACCTGGTGCATGTGTAAACATCAGCACTGGAGAGACAAAGGAGGCCGAAAGTGATTCTGGCCACACCAGCCTCACGTGTGGCGTGCCGGCCTTCATAGGTGCTCGCTAATAGCACTTTCCCCACCAGTCGGTTAAAGGCTACACGGGGGATCTTTGTCTGTGGTGTGCGAGCAGCAAGGCAGAGCGGAGGCAGCGCCGCGAGGAGGAGAGGTGGGGGCCGCCCGTCTCCGCCAACACCTACTACCACGTGACCTCCGAGCTCAAGCAGCTGTTTGGCGGGGGGCAGGAGGAGAAGGGGGCGGCGGTCGTGGACGAGGTCCCCCCCCCAACCCAGTTTGCGTTTGACTTCCTTTCGGGGGGCTCCGGATCTACGGAGGCTCGGGACCAGGGCGGCTTCTCCTTCTGCTTCTCCGTTCCGGAGGGAGCTCAGGAACTCGCCCCGGCCGGTACGCTTGCTCGCCCGCTCACTCGACCCCACGCACTCGCCCGCTCACTCGCCCGCTGACCCCAACGCCTCTCGCTGGCTTTCCCACCGACTTGCGCCTCTTCGTTGCCAGGAGACCGCAAGTCGGTTCCGTTTCAACCGGATGGGAGTTTCCACGACAGCAGCTCGGAAGAGGAGGAGCAGGACGAGGTGGAGGAAGAAAACGAGGTGGAGGGGGCAGGGACGCTCGGGTACGGTGGAATGTGGTGAAGTGAGCGTGTCGTGTTGCTCCTCATTTATGCACTCGGCACAACCCGACTCCGTGGTGTCAGGTAACGTGGTGAGCGAGCGCCTTGCGTCTGTGTGTCTCACCGTGTCTCACCTTGTCTCTCGCCATGTCTCTTCTTAGGTCTCCCTCGACTGCATCAGGACTCAAATTTTTCTTCTTCACGAAGGACGACGCGAGGCTCACGGGTGAGGGGTGCACAACACTTGCTTACCCTTAGCAATACCACTCTCACCGTCACCACATCCACGTCTTATACGCTGATGTTAACCACACTCGCCCCTCACCACATTCGCCTCTCACGCTCACCCTCATGACACTCACCTCAAACCTACGAGGTGCAGTAGTTTGCGCACTGCACTGAACCCGGCGACCCAAGGTTCAATTCCCGCTCACGACCAACGTTAGTTACGGTCATCTAAACTGGCCCTGTGCCTCCCTTCGATCAACTCAGCCTCAAATCAGTACCTGGTGCAGTGTTTAAACATCAGCACTGGGGAGACAAAGGCGGCCAGGGCTTGGTGTTGTCCACACCGCTCTCTCGTGGTGCCGTGCCAACCTACCATCGGTGCTCACTAGCAGCACTTTTCCGAAAAATCTCTCAAGGCTATAGGGGGGATCTTTGTCTTGTGTGCATGCAGAAGGCCCGCAGTCGTTCTGTCGGAGCAAGGCGATGGAGGAAGTGAGGGACGGCTGGGAGGAAATGCGAGCCAACCTCAGACAGGTGAGCGCTCACCAGAGCCACATCGCCTCCTGACCCTCACCCCTAACCCAGCCAAAGGCTCTTGGGTGTGACCTGTGACCTCCGTGCGTGACGCCCCGTCACGCACGGAGGTCACAGCTGGCTCAGCAGCAGAGTGAGCGGCTAACAAATTCAAATCCTGGTTTGGAGGATTTGAACTGTGTGAACAACCAAGTCCCACATTGGTTGTCCACTGTAGTCTGGGCTCTTTCAACGGAGGAACATAAACACGACACAAACGCTCTCTCCTAAAATCCTCTGCCCTCCCTTCTCTCTCCCCATGCTCTCTCCGCTGCAGGATTACCGCAAGAAGCACAAGGACGCCATTCGCAAGAGTCGCACCAAGCCCGGCACTGCTAAGTAGCCGGCATGGGGGGCGCCGTGGGGGGACACGGGGTGGACACGGGGTGGACACGGGGAGATACGGTGGTGGGACCGTGTCGTATTCCCCGCTCGGCTCGCGTGTTCCCGACGTTCCAATTGACGCGGCGCGTGTACACCTTGCAACGCTTGCACCGTGTATTTTCCGTAATACAGGTTTTTTTGGGTTAGATCGCGTAAATATATAATTGTGTCATTAAACCCGACAGAGCCAATTAGTAAGGGTTGTCACATAAACAGAACGTGACAATTCATCACGAGTACAGCACACCGGTTTGTTGGAGAGCCAAGCCACAACATTTACAATCTGAGCACAACGTTTCGCTAGTAATTACAACTAGCTTCATCAGGCGACAGCCAGATTTGTGGAGAAGTCTATCTGTTTCATTCCTTATATAGAGGCCTTTACGTAACAACCTTTATTAATTGGCTGTGTCGGGTAGTGGCCGGTTTAACGACACATTTTATATATTTACGCGATCTAACCCACAAAAACCTGTATTATGGATGATATTGGTCGCGAAAGCCTACGTGTTAAACTGACTATTTTTTAAATAAACAACGATATTTTATTTATTTGTATTTCCTGACCAAGTCTGTGCTATGAGTGCTGCGGCATGAGATCAAGAACCCATTCAACCCACGGAAGCGGATATTGCAGAGCTACCTCCAAGGCCCCTCTCTGCACTTGACGTCTGGTCCACAAAATAGGGGGCGGCTCATTCCTACCCACCAGTTTGACTGTCATAGGATGACGCTTGTCATCCTATGACAGTCAAACTGGTATCGTTCGTTCTCAGGGTTGGAATTTTAACAAATTAAGCACAGCACAAATAATTTTTAATGTGATGCGTATTTTTTGGGCGACCGGGCTGAGACCATCATCAACTTGCTGCACTTGACAAGCCGGTTTAATCACCAAGGCTGCCGGGATTCTGAACCCAGGAATTTCGGCGGTCCCAGCTCAACGCCTCAGAGCGGCAGGGCCACGTCCACAAGGGTGTGGGAGAAGAGGTCAAAGGGCAAGGGCAGCAGCCATGCCCTTTGAGAACTGGGGTGGGTAACAATGCACGTGGATGAATCGATTTAAGTCAGTTTCTTCCACTGGGACCGTGGTTGTAACAAGCAGTTTAAGATTTATGACCAATGAGACGTACACAACGCAATGAAGATGGCGATAATGGTTGGGCTGTGGCGGAGCAGACAGGAAACGAAGCAAACGAGGGTTCTCCAATCGCAGATCGCGCACCGTGGCAAACCATCAAATCTCTGCAATTGGCTCGATCGTGTTGGGAGAGGACGCGCGGTCCGGATATCATTAAAAACATGGATAATGCAAATCACGTCCTTTTAAAATGGAACGCGTGTGCGTTATAACTTGCATTTTGAATAAATAAGTTTAAAAAACGTGTTCATTTACCGATGTGGATGGAGAATGCGTCTTATTTCTTGGCTGCTCAGACGAGTTTGTTGCTTTGACGTTTGCTGTCACATGGGCACCGAGTTGCTAATCCTCGACGAGAGAGGAGCAGCGACTATATACAGCATAATCCAGCACGCGTGAACGTAGTTATATTTTGGCAGTTTCATCCCCGATCCTGTGATAAATCCGTCCATAATACAATTTAGACTTCAACGTAACCTAGGAAATTCTTGGGTCGGGTATTGATGTTACTTTCTGACCCGCCCCTACCGGACTGCTGTGATAAGGAGCTTCATAGCTCATCAGTTTCCTCCAGGATAAATAGAAGATTGTATTTATAATTACCAATTTCAGTGCACCTTCGATTGTGTGGTACCACGACCGCAGAGTCACTCCAAAAACGCTGCGACTCCCCCCCCCCACCCCCGCCCTGAAGGTGCCGCACACACAAACACATGGTGTCCCAGTGGGGGATCGCCTGGCACCACGGGTTTTCATCCGAAGGGCCCCTAGAGGGGAAGTCCCACGGTTTCCCGATGCCAGGAGATTGGCCGACCCCTTCAGGACAAATTACATTGCGGCCCCCTAAATTGGCTTAAAGTTGTATTGGCGCAGAGAAGCTCACCAGGCTAATCGCAATGAGACGCTCAGCACCGAGAAGGGGCCAGGGTGAAATATTACGTGAGCAGCGCAGACGAGGAGTTGAGAGGGAAATCCCTGCACGCACCGCGGGTTTGTATTTGGCAGCGGGATGGCCGCTCAGGGTAAACCGGCTGAGTCAGGGGTAAGAAATGAGGGCGCAGAGACAATGGGCCGGGGGATAGCGTAACGTAATGCCCTAGGTAACGGCAGCGAAACGTTGGAAAATCAAAAGGTAGGTGCACGATCGGCTGCGCAGGATGATGCAATATAACCCTGGAATTTCGAAATCCCAGGGCATAAAAAGGGGAACCCGAAACGGTTCAGGGGTCTTCCTGACTCCCTGTCTGCCTCCTTGAGCCGCTCGCAGCGCCCGTGCGACCCAGGGAGTGCAGCCACGAAACGGCGATAGGCGAGGTTCTGTCCCATCTCCGTCCTCCACCTCTCTCCGTGTCCGTGCGACGCAGTGAGAACGGCTGCGAGGTGCGTAACAGGGCGCGTGAGTATTTGGGGAATTGGGTAGGGGTAGGATAGGCTCTGCTCGCAGAATATTTCCTCCGGGCAGTGCAGAGTTTTTGCGCCGCAAATAGAGCTTCGGCGCAGTGTTTGTGACTTGTGTGGAGCAGCTGCGTGGGTGGACGAGCGGCGAGAGTGAGGGCAGAGCCGCAGCCTGAGCGTTCGTTAGAATAATCGCCTGCAGGGGCGCGCGTGTTCGCGCCGCCGCTCCAGCGTTGGTCTTTGAGTGGACGCCGTTGGGGTGGTACAGCCGCCCACCGACGCGCGCGTGTTCGCGCAGCGGCTGTCGCGTCAGCGTTGGTGTGCGTGTGGTGTGTGTGTGGTGTGTGTGGTGTGTGTGTGGTGTGTGTGTGGTGTGTATGTGGTGTGTGTGTGGTGTGTGTATGTGGTGTGTGTGGTGTGGTGTATGTGGTGTGTGTGGTGTGGTGTGTGTGTGGTGTGTGTGTGGTGTGTGTGTGGTGTGTGTGTGGTGTGTGTGTGTGGTGTGTGTGTGGTGTGTGTGGTGTGTGTGTGGTGTGTGTGTGTGGTGTGTGTGGTGTGTGTGTGGTGTGTGTGTGGTGTGTGTGTGGTGTGTGTGTGTGGTGTGTGTGTGTGGTGTGTGTGTGTGGTGTGTGTGGTGTGTGTGTGTGGTGTGTGTGTAGTGTGTGTGTGGTGTGTGTGTGTGGTGTGTGTGTGTGGTGTGTGTGTGTGTGGTGTGTGTGTAATAACCCCGCGTGGCGGTGAGCCAGCGATCTCGCGATGTCCGTTAGAGGGGGCGCTCACGCGGGGGGGCCGATCACCCGGTCGGCGGGGGCCTGGCGGGGGCCGATCGACGCGGTGGAGGAGGAGGGAGCGGAGGGGGAGGGAGCGAGGGGGAGGGAGCGAGGGGGGAGGGAGTGGAGGGGGAGGGAGCGAGGGGGAGGGAGTGGAGGGGGAGGGAGTGGAGGGGGAGGGAGCGAGGGGGGAGGGAGTGGAGGGGGAGGGAGTGGAGGGGGAGGGAGCGAGGGGGGAGGGAGCGGAGGGGGAGGGAGCGAGGGGGAGGGAGCGAGGGGGGAGGGAGTGGAGGGGGAGGGAGCGAGGGGGAGGGAGTGGAGGGGGAGGGAGTGGAGGGGGAGGGAGCGAGGGGGGAGAGAGTGGAGGGGGAGGGAGTGGAGGGGGAGGGAGCGGAGGGGGAGGGAGCGGAGGGGGGAGGGAGTGGAGGGGGAGGGAGCGGAGGGGGAGGGAGCGGAGGGGGAGGGAGCGGGAGGGAGTGGAGGGGGAGGGAGCGAGGGGGAGGGAGCGAGGGGGGAGGGAGTGGAGGGGGAGGGAGCGAGGGGGGAGGGAGTGGAGGGGGAGGGAGCGGAGGGGGAGGGAGCGAGGGGGGAGGGAGTGGAGGGTGAGGGAGTGGAGGGGGAGGGAGCGGAGGGGGAGGGAGCGAGGGGGGAGGGAGTGGAGGGGGAGGGAGCGAGGGGGAGGGAGTGGAGGGGGAGGGAGTGGAGGGGGAGGGAGCGAGGGGGGAGGGAGTGGAGGGGGAGGGAGTGGAGGGGGAGGGAGCGAGGGGGGAGGGAGCGGAGGGGGAGGGAGCGAGGGGGAGGGAGCGAGGGGGGAGGGAGTGGAGGGGGAGGGAGCGAGGGGGAGGGAGTGGAGGGGGAGGGAGTGGAGGGGGAGGGAGCGAGGGGGGAGAGAGTGGAGGGGGAGGGAGCGAGGGGGAGGGAGCGGAGGGGGAGGGAGTGGAGGGGGAGGGAGCGGAGGGGGAGGGAGCGGAGGGGGAGGGAGCGGAGGGGGGAGGGAGTGGAGGGGGAGGGAGCGGAGGGGGAGGGAGCGGAGGGGGGAGGGAGCGGAGGGGGAGGGAGCGAGCGGGAGGGAGTGGAGGGGGAGGGAGCGAGGGGGGAGGGAGTGGAGGGGGAGGGAGCGAGGGGGGAGGGAGTGGAGGGGGAGGGAACGGAGGGGGAGGGAGCGAGGGGGGAGGGAGTGGAGGGTGAGGGAGTGGAGGGGGAGGGAGCGGAGGGGGAGGGAGCGAGGGGGAGGGAGTGGAGGGGGAGGGAGCGAGGGGGAGGGAGCGGAGGGAGCGAGGGGAGGAAGCGGAGGGGGAGGGAGTGGAGGGGGAGGGAGCGGAGGGGGAGGGAGCGGAGGGGGAGGGAGCGGAGGGGGGAGGGATTGGAGGGGGAGGGAGCGGAGGGGGAGGGAGCGGAGGGGGGAGGGAGCGGAGGGGAGGGAGCGAGCGGGAGGGAGTGGAGGGGGAGGGAGCGAGGGGGGAGGGAGTGGAGGGGGAGGGAGCGAGGGGGAGGGAGTGGAGGGGGAGGGAGTGGAGGGAGCGAGGGGGGAGAGAGTGGAGGGGGAGGGAGTGGAGGGGGAGGGAGCGGAGGGAGCGAGGGGGAGGGAGCGGAGGGGGAGGGAGTGGAGGGGGAGGGAGCGGAGGGGGAGGTAGCGGAGGGGGAGGGAGCGAGCGGGAGGGAGTGGAGGGGGAGGGAGCGAGGGGGAGGGAGCGAGGGGGGAGGGAGTGGAGGGAGCGAGGGGGGAGGGAGTGGAGGGGGAGGGAGCGGAGGGGGAGGGAGCGAGGGGGGAGGGAGTGGAGGGTGAGGGAGTGGAGGGGGAGGGAGCGGAGGGGGAGGGAGCGAGGGGGGAGGGAGTGGAGGGGGAGGGAGCGAGGGGAGGGAGTGGAGGGGGAGGGAGTGGAGGGGGAGGGAGCGAGGGGGGAGGGAGTGGAGGGGGAGGGAGTGGAGGGGGAGGGAGCGAGGGGGGAGGGAGCGGAGGGGGAGGGAGCGAGGGGGAGGGAGCGAGGGGGGAGGGAGTGGAGGGGGAGGGAGCGAGGGGGAGGGAGTGGAGGGGGAGGGAGTGGAGGGGGAGGGAGCGAGGGGGGAGAGAGTGGAGGGGGAGGGAGCGAGGGGGAGGGAGCGGAGGGGGAGGGAGTGGAGGGGGAGGGAGCGGAGGGGGAGGGAGCGGAGGGAGTGGAGGGGGAGGGAGCGGAGGGGGAGGGAGCGGAGGGGGGAAGGAGCGGAGGGGGAGGGAGCGAGCGGGAGGGAGTGGAGGGGGAGGGAGCGAGGGGGAGGGAGCGAGGGGGAGGGAGTGGAGGGGGAGGGAGCGATGGGGGGAGGGAGTGGAGGGGGGAGGGAGCGGAGGGGGAGGGAGCGAGGGGGGAGGGAGTGGAGGGTGAGGGAGTGGAGGGGGAGGGAGCGGGGGGGAGGGAGCGAGGGGGAGGGAGTGGAGGGGGAGGGAGCGAGGGGGAGGGAGCGGAGGGGGAGGGAGTGGAGGGGGAGGGAGCGGAGGGGGAGGGAGCGGAGGGGGGAGGGAGTGGAGGGGGAGGGAGCGGAGGGGGAGGGAGCGGAGGGGGAGGGAGCGGGAGGGAGTGGAGGGGGAGGGAGCGAGGGGAGGAGCGAGGGGGAGGGAGTGGAGGGGGAGGGAGCGAGGGGGGAGGGAGTGGAGGGGGAGGGAGCGGAGGGGGAGGGAGCGAGGGGGGAGGGAGTGGAGGGTGAGGGAGTGGAGGGGAGGGAGCGGAGGGGGAGGGAGCGAGGGGGAGGGAGTGGAGGGGGAGGGAGCGAGGGGGAGGGAGTGGAGGGGGAGGGAGTGGAGGGGGAGGGAGCGAGGGGGGAGGGAGTGGAGGGGGAGGGAGTGGAGGGGGAGGGAGCGAGGGGGGAGGGAGCGGAGGGGGAGGGAGCGAGGGGGAGGGAGCGAGGGGGGAGGGAGTGGAGGGGGAGGGAGCGAGGGGGAGGGAGTGGAGGGGGAGGGAGTGGAGGGGGAGGGAGCGAGGGGGGAGAGAGTGGAGGGGGAGGGAGCGAGGGGGAGGGAGCGGAGGGGGAGGGAGTGGAGGGGGAGGGAGCGGAGGGGGAGGGAGCGGAGGGGGAAGGGAGCGGAGGGGGGAGGGAGTGGAGGGGGAGGGAGCGGAGGGGGAGGGAGCGGAGGGGGGAGGGAGCGGAGGGGGAGGGAGCGAGCGGGAGGGAGTGGAGGGGAGGGAGCGAGGGGGGAGGGAGTGGAGGGGGAGGGAGCGAGGGGGGAGGGAGTGGAGGGGGAGGGAACGGAGGGGGAGGGAGCGAGGGGGGAGGGAGTGGAGGGTGAGGGAGTGGAGGGGGCGGAGGGGGAGGGAGCGAGGGGGAGGGAGTGGAGGGGGAGGGAGCGAGGGGGAGGGAGCGGAGGGAGCGAGGGGAGGAAGCGGAGGGGGAGGGAGTGGAGGGGGAGGGAGCGGAGGGGGAGGGAGCGGAGGGGGAGGGAGCGGAGGGGGGAGGGATTGGAGGGGGAGGGAGCGGAGGGGGAGGGAGCGGAGGGGGGAGGGAGCGGAGGGGGAGGGAGCGAGCGGGAGGGAGTGGAGGGGGAGGGAGCGAGGGGGGAGGGAGTGGAGGGGGAGGGAGCGAGGGGGAGGGAGTGGAGGGGGAGGGAGTGGAGGGAGCGAGGGGGGAGAGAGTGGAGGGGGAGGGAGTGGAGGGGGAGGGAGCGGAGGGAGCGAGGGGAGGGAGCGGAGGGGGAGGGAGTGGAGGGGGAGGGAGCGGAGGGGGAGGTAGCGGAGGGGGAGGGAGCGAGCGGGAGGGAGTGGAGGGGGAGGGAGCGAGGGGGAGGGAGCGAGGGGGGAGGGAGTGGAGGGGGAGGGAGCGAGGGGGGAGGGAGTGGAGGGGGAGGGAGCGGAGGGGGAGGGAGCGAGGGGGGGAGGGAGTGGAGGGTGAGGGAGTGGAGGGGGAGGGAGCGGAGGGGGCAGGGAGCGAGGGGGGAGGGAGTGGAGGGGGAGGGAGCGAGGGGGAGGGAGTGGAGGGGGAGGGAGTGGAGGGGGAGGGAGCGAGGGGGGAGGGAGTGGAGGGGAGGGAGTGGAGGGGGAGGGAGCGAGGGGGGAGGGAGCGGAGGGGGAGGGAGCGAGGGGGAGGGAGCGAGGGGGGAGGGAGTGGAGGGGGAGGGAGCGAGGGGGAGGGAGTGGAGGGGGAGGGAGTGGAGGGGGAGGGAGCGAGGGGGGAGAGAGTGGAGGGGGAGGGAGCGAGGGGGAGGGAGCGGAGGGGGAGGGAGTGGAGGGGGAGGGAGCGGAGGGGGAGGGAGCGGAGGGAGTGGAGGGGGAGGGAGCGGAGGGGGAGGGAGCGGAGGGGGGAAGGAGCGGAGGGGGAGGGAGCGAGCGGGAGGGAGTGGAGGGGGAGGGAGCGAGGGGGAGGGAGCGAGGGGGGAGGGAGTGGAGGGGGAGGGAGCGAGGGGGGAGGGAGTGGAGGGGGAGGGAGCGGAGGGGGAGGGAGCGAGGGGGGAGGGAGTGGAGGGTGAGGGAGTGGAGGGGGAGGGAGCGGAGGGGGAGGGAGCGAGGGGGAGGGAGTGGAGGGGGAGGGAGCGAGGGGGAGGGAGCGGAGGGGGGAGGGAGTGGAGGGGGAGGGAGCGGAGGGGGAGGGAGCGGAGGGGGGAGGGAGTGGAGGGGGAGGGAGCGGAGGGGGAGGGAGCGGAGGGGGAGGGAGCGGGAGGGAGTGGAGGGGGAGGGAGCGAGGGGGAGGGAGCGAGGGGGGAGGGAGTGGAGGGGGAGGGAGCGAGGGGGGAGGGAGTGGAGGGGGAGGGAGCGGAGGGGGAGGGAGCGAGGGGGGAGGGAGTGGAGGGTGAGGGAGTGGAGGGGGAGGGAGCGGAGGGGGAGGGAGCGAGGGGGGAGGGAGTGGAGGGGGAGGGAGCGAGGGGGAGGGAGTGGAGGGGGAGGGAGTGGAGGGGGAGGGAGCGAGGGGGGAGGGAGTGGAGGGGGAGGGAGTGGAGGGGGAGGGAGCGAGGGGGGAGGGAGCGGAGGGGGAGGGAGCGAGGGGGAGGGAGCGAGGGGGGAGGGAGTGGAGGGGGAGGGAGCGAGGGGGAGGGAGTGGAGGGGAAGGGAGTGGAGGGGGAGGGAGCGAGGGGGGAGAGAGTGGAGGGGGAGGGAGCGAGGGGGAGGAGCGGAGGGGGAGGGAGTGGAGGGGGAGGGAGCGGAGGGGGAGGGAGCGGAGGGGAGGGAGCGGAGGGGGGAGGGAGTGGAGGGGGAGGGAGCGGAGGGGGAGGGAGCGGAGGGGGGAGGGAGCGGAGGGGGAGGGAGCGAGCGGGAGGGAGTGGAGGGGGAGGGAGCGAGGGGGGAGGGAGTGGAGGGGGAGGGAGCGAGGGGGGAGGGAGTGGAGGGGGAGGGAACGGAGGGGGAGGGAGCGAGGGGGGAGGGAGTGGAGGGTGAGGGAGTGGAGGGGGAGGGAGCGGAGGGGGAGGGAGCGAGGGGGAGGGAGTGGAGGGGGAGGGAGCGAGGGGGAGGGAGCGGAGGGAGCGAGGGGGAGGAAGCGGAGGGGGAGGGAGTGGAGGGGGAGGGAGCGGAGGGGGAGGGAGCGGAGGGGGAGGGAGCGGAGGGGGAGGGATTGGAGGGGGAGGGAGCGGAGGGGGAGGGAGCGGAGGGGGGAGGGAGCGGAGGGGGAGGGAGCGAGCGGGAGGGAGTGGAGGGGGAGGGAGCGAGGGGGGAGGGAGTGGAGGGGGAGGGAGCGAGGGGGAGGGAGTGGAGGGGGAGGGAGTGGAGGGAGCGAGGGGGGAGAGAGTGGAGGGGGAGGAGTGGAGGGGGAGGGAGCGGAGGGAGCGAGGGGGAGGGAGCGGAGGGGGAGGGAGTGGAGGGGGAGGGAGCGGAGGGGGAGGTAGCGGAGGGGGAGGGGGCGAGCGGGAGGGAGTGGAGGGGGAGGGAGCGAGGGGGAGGGAGCGAGGGGGGAGGGAGTGGAGGGGGAGGGAGCGAGGGGGGAGGGAGTGGAGGGGGAGGGAGCGAGGGGGGAGGGAGTGGAGGGGGAGGGAGTGGAGGGGGAGGGAGCGAGGGGGGAGGGAGCGGAGGGGGAGGGAGCGAGGGGGAGGGAGCGAGGGGGGAGGGAGTGGAGGGGGAGGGAGCGAGGGGGAGGGAGTGGAGGGGAAGGGAGTGGAGGGGGAGGGAGCGAGGGGGGAGAGAGTGGAGGGGGAGGGAGCGAGGGGGAGGGAGCGGAGGGGGAGGGAGTGGAGGGGGAGGGAGCGGAGGGGGAGGGAGCGGAGGGGGAGGGAGCGGAGGGGGGAGGGAGTGGAGGGGGAGGGAGCGGAGGGGGAGGGAGCGGAGGGGGGAGGGAGCGGAGGGGGAGGGAACGGAGGGGGAGGGAGCGAGGGGGGAGGGAGTGGAGGGTGAGGGAGTGGAGGGGGAGGGAGCGGAGGGGGAGGGAGCGAGGGGGAGGGAGTGGAGGGGGAGGGAGCGAGGGGGAGGGAGCGGAGGGAGCGAGGGGGAGGAAGCGGAGGGGGAGGGAGTGGAGGGGGAGGGAGCGGAGGGGGAGGGAGCGGAGGGGGAGGGAGCGGAGGGGGGAGGGATTGGAGGGGGAGGGAGCGGAGGGGGAGGGAGCGGAGGGGGGAGGGAGCGGAGGGGGAGGGAGCGAGCGGGAGGGAGTGGAGGGGGAGGGAGCGAGGGGGGAGGGAGTGGAGGGGGAGGGAGCGAGGGGGAGGGAGTGGAGGGGGAGGGAGTGGAGGGAGCGAGGGGGGAGAGAGTGGAGGGGGAGGGAGTGGAGGGGGAGGGAGCGGAGGGAGCGAGGGGGAGGGAGCGGAGGGGGAGGGAGTGGAGGGGGAGGGAGCGGAGGGGGAGGTAGCGGAGGGGGAGGGGGCGAGCGGGAGGGAGTGGAGGGGGAGGGAGCGAGGGGGAGGGAGCGAGGGGGGAGGGAGTGGAGGGGGAGGGAGCGAGGGGGGAGGGAGTGGAGGGGGAGGGAGCGGAGGGGGGAGGGAGCGAGGGGGGAGGGAGTGGAGGGGAGGGAGTGGAGGGGGAGGGAGCGGAGGGGGAGGGAGCGAGGGGGGAGGGAGTGGAGGGGGAGGAGCCAGGGGGAGGGAGTGGAGGGGGAGGGAGTGGAGGGGGAGGGAGCGAGGGGGGAGGGGAGTGGAGGGGGAGGGAGTGGAGGGGGAGGGAGCGAGGGGGGAGGGAGCGGAGGGGGAGGGAGCGAGGGGGAGGGAGCGAGGGGGGAGGGAGTGGAGGGGGAGGGAGCGAGGGGGAGGGAGTGGAGGGGGAGGGAGTGGAGGGGGAGGGAGCGAGGGGGGAGAGAGTGGAGGGGGAGGGAGCGAGGGGGAGGGAGCGGAGGGGGAGGGAGTGGAGGGGGAGGGAGCGGAGGGGGAGGGAGCGGAGGGGGAGGGAGCGGAGGGAGTGGAGGGGGAGGGAGCGGAGGGGGAGGGAGCGGAGGGGGGAAGGAGCGGAGGGGGAGGGAGCGAGCGGGAGGGAGTGGAGGGGGAGGGAGCGAGGGGGAGGGAGCGAGGGGGGAGGGAGTGGAGGGGGAGGGAGCGAGGGGGAGGGAGTGGAGGGGGAGGGAGCGGAGGGGGAGGGAGCGAGGGGGGAGGGCGTGGAGGGTGAGCGAGTGGAGGGGGAGGGAGCGGAGGGGGAGGGAGCGAGGGGGAGGGAGTGGAGGGGGAGGGAGCGAGGGGAGGGAGCGGAGGGAGAGAGGGGGAGGAAGCGGAGGGGGAGGGAGTGGAGGGGGAGGGAGCGGAGGGGGAGGGAGCGGAGGGGGAGGGAGTGGAGGGGGGAGGGATTGGAGGGGGAGGGAGCGGAGGGGGAGGGAGCGGAGGGGGGAGGGAGCGGAGGGGGAGGGAGCGAGCGGGAGGGAGTGGAGGGGGAGGGAGCGAGGGGGGAGGGAGTGGAGGGGGAGGGAGCGAGGGGGAGGGAGTGGAGGGGGAGGGAGTGGAGGGAGCGAGGGGGGAGAGAGTGGAGGGGGAGGAGTGGAGGGGGAGGGAGCGGAGGGAGCGAGGGGGAGGGAGCGGAGGGGGAGGGAGTGGAGGGGGAGGGAGCGGAGGGGGAGGTAGCGGAGGGGGAGGGAGCGGAGGGGGGAGGGAGTGGAGGGGGAGGGAGCGGAGGGGGAGGGAGCGGAGGGGGGAGGGAGCGGAGGGGGAGGGAGCGAGCGGGAGGGAGTGGAGGGGGAGGGAGCGAGGGGGAGGGAGCGAGGGGGGAGGGCGTGGAGGGGGAGGGAGCGGAGGGGGAGGGAGCGAGGGGGGAGGGAGTGGAGGGGGAGGGAGTGGAGGGGGAGGGAGCGGAGGGGGAGGGAGCGAGGGGGAGGGAGTGAAGGGGGAGGGAGCGAGGGGGAGGGAGCGGAGGGAGCGAGGGGGAGGGAGCGGAGGGGAGGGAGCGGAGGGGGAGGGAGCGGAGGGGGGAGGGAGTGGAGGGGGAGGGAGCGGAGGGGGAGGGAGCGGAGGGGGGAGGGAGCGGAGGGGGAGGGAGCGAGCGGGAGGGAGTGGAGGGGGAGGGAGCGAGGGGGAGGGAGCGAGGGGGGAGGGAGTGGAGGGGGAGGGAGCGAGGGGGGAGGGAGTGGAGGGGGAGGGAGCGGAAGGGGAGGGAGCGAGGGGGGAGGGAGTGGAGGGGGAGGGAGTGGAGGGGGAGGGAGCGGAGGGGGAGGGAGCGAGGGGGAGGGAGTGGAGGGAGCGAGGGGGAGGGAGCGGAGGGGGAGGGAGTGGAGGGGGAGGGAGCGGAGGGGGAGGGAGCGGAGGGGGGAGGGAGTGGAGGGGGAGGGAGCGGAGGGGGAGGGAGCGGAGGGGGGAGGGAGCGGAGGGGGAGGGAGCGAGCGGGAGGGAGTGGAGGGGGAGGGAGCGAGGGGGGAGGGAGTGGAGGGGGAGGGAGCGAGGGGGGAGGGAGTGGAGGGGGAGGGAGCGGAGGGGGAGGGAGCGGAGGGAGCGGAGAGGGAGGGAGCGAGGGGGAGGGAGCGGAGGGGGAGGGAGCGGAGGGGGGAGTGGAGGGGGAGGGAGCGGAGGGGGAGGGAGCGGAGGGGGGAGGGAGCGGAGGGGGAGGGAGCGAGGGGGAGGGAGCGGAGGTGGAGGGAGCGAGGGGGGAGGGAGTGGAGGGGGAGGGAGTGGAGGGAGCGAGGGGGGAGGGAGTGAGGGGGAGGGAGCGGAGGGGGAGGGAGCAGAGGGGGAGGGAGCGGAGGGGGAGGGAGCGAGGGGGAGGGAGCGGAGGGGGGAGGGAGCGGAGGGGGATGGAGCGAGGGGGAGGGAGCGAGTGGGGAGGGAGTGGAGGGGGAGGGAGCGAGGGGGGAGGGAGGTAGGGGAGGGGGAGGGAGTGGAGGGGGAGGGAGCGAGGGGGGAGGGAGTGGAGGGGGAGGGGAGTGGAGGGAGCGAGGGGGGAGGGAGCGAGGGGGAGGGAGCGGAGGGGGAGGGAGTGGAGGGGGAGGGAGCGAGGGGGAGGGAGCGAGGGGGGAGGGAGTGGAGGGGGAGGGAGCGAGGGGGAGGGAGTGGAGGGGGAGGGAGCGAGGGGGGAGGGAGTGGAGGGGGAGGGAGCGAGGGGGAGGGAGTGGAGGGGGAGGAAGCGAGGGGGGAGGGAGTGGAGGGGGAGGGAGCGAGGGGGAGGGAGTGGAGGGGGAGGGAGCGAGGGGGGAGGGAGTGGAGGGGGAGGGAGCGAGGGGGAGGGAGTGGAGGGGGAGGGAGCGAGGGGGGAGGGAGTGGAGGGGGAGGGATTGGAGGGGGAGGGAGTGGAGGGAGCGAGGGTGGAGGGAGTGGAGGGGGAGGGAGCGAGGGGGAGGGAGTGGAGGGGGAGGGAGCGAGGGGGAGGGAGTGGAGGGGGAGGACGTCGCGCCCCACCTGCCTGGCGAGGGCGGTGGGGTGGACATCGGCCCCCACAATTGCACCAATTCTTGTGCACCAATTTTTGTGGACCAATTCTTGCGCACCATTCCAGCGCCCTCGTGACCTCTGGCTCAAAGGCGCTATAGAAGTGTACATTATTCTTTATTCATAGAATATTTTTAACTTGGAAAAATATTTGTCGTCATGATGCGAGGCCTCTCGTTTCTTAACGTTGTCCGGGGTGTCGGCTGACGCATAGCGATTGAGCCACGCGCACACAGAGTTGAGGGTCACAGTCCCTACAGTCCCTATGATCACTGTTACGTTGCAATTATGGCTTTAGTTTTTTGGTGATTTCGAAAACTTTTTTTGTTTGGACATGTTTGTGTTTGTTGTAGTACGGAGTTAGACTGATGGCCTTAATCTAAGTTTCCTTGTGGTTGTTGTTGTTTGACTTGCATCCCACTGGGATTTTTTGCACACAGCGCTGGTGGTGTACGGTGCTTTTTTTTCAGGAATATTTTGCTGTTTTTTTTCCATGGATTTTCTGTTTGCACAGTCACATAGTCACTTTAAGATGTTTTCTTGTTCGTGTTTTTTTGTTTGTTGTGGTTGCACCCGATTCAAGAGCCGAATGGCTCACAGGGCTATACCAAAATAAATCAACTGAAACTGAAGCGGGTGCCAGGGTCAGAGTCGGGGTGTGGCCGTGAGCAACGCTGCGTCCCCTGCCGATGATGATGATGATGCGAGATGGTGCCAGGAAGAGACTTGAAGGCAGATCGTGATGCAGCACGCATACATCACTTCGCGGCACTGGTCCCGGTGTAGCGCACTGAATTCAGTGCGCCAATTCCACTTCACGGAATACGGTCCACCGGTTCCCGCTCCACAGAGTCAGGTGCACCTATTCCAGGACACCGTTCCCGATGCACAAAATCGAGTGCACTCACTGCATTGCACCAATTACAATGCTCCGACCCCCAACGCCGGCGAGCGGACACCGATGCTTTGACCACCACCGGCACCCGACGCGCTCCGATCCCTCGCACCGCTCCGATGCGTGCGGCCACCCGGTGGCGCCGGCGGTGCCAATAAAAGCGCGCGGTGCAGTTGCACTGCGGGCAGATCTCGAGCAGCACTGTCCACGCATGGCCACACGCGTGCATCATCATCATCATCGCGCCGTCGAAGGCACCTAACGGGGACGCCGCCTCCTCCCCCCGCGTCTCTTCCCTTGCACCTCCAGCCGCCTCCGTCGTCTCCTCGCTCCTCCAGGCCGAGCCGCCGTCATGAATTACCTGCGCCGGCGGCTGTCGGACAGCGGCTTCGCCGGCAACCTGCCCAACGGCTACCTGTCCGACCTGCAGCGGCCCCAGCAGGGCGCGCCATCGACGGCGGGGACGCCAGGCAAGGCCGATGCTTCGGCCCAGCCCGCCTCGGGCTCCTCGGGCTCGGCGGGCTTTCTGAGCTCGCTGTCCTCGTCGCTGACCCACGCCGTGAAGAGCACCGCGGCGGGGCTCATCGGGGAGGCGGCGGCCGCGGGGTCCCCAGGCGACGAGGGGAAGTCGGCGAAGAAGAAGATCTTGCTCGTTATAGACGATGGCACCACGGAGTGGTGAGTGGTGGTGGCACTCGCTGCACGTTGATGGTCATCATCGTCGCCGTGTTTTGACAGCAGCAAGCAGCATCATCAGCATTAGCAACAGCATCATCAGCTTTAGCAACATCATTAGATCCATCAGCAGCAGCAGCTAGCGCTGATGCAAAGTGCCATCGTCATCAATAGCTGATGCATCATTATCATCATCGGTCGCATTCGCTGTTACTGATGCTCGTGTCATCAGCAGCTGATGCAGTAACAGCTTTGCTGATGCTTATTCGAATGTCATCATCATCAGCAGCAGCCAATGCAGTATCAGCAGTTGCATTAGTAGCATCATCCGCTCATGCATCAGCAGTAGCTGCTGATGCTAGTGTCATCATCATCAGCTGTCATCAGTGTGATCAAATTCACCATCGGCTACAGGAGCAATCGGCAACAGCTGATGCATTAGCGCCAGGCGTTGCAGCAGTGCCATCGTCAGCATCATTCATTGCAATCGACTTCTGTAGCAGCTGTGGCATTGGCAGCAGCAGATCCATCGGTAGCTGCAACAGCATCAGCTGCAGTGTCGCCATCATATTCATCAGCACCAGTATCTGCAGCAGCAGCAGCGTATTTTAATTTTTACAACTGCAGTTACAGGAATATTCCGAGCATTATAATTGTCAGCAGCGGCGTAATAATCAGCACCAGTAGCTGCAGCATCAGCAGCATCGTAATCGGCCGCGGTAGATTGCGTGGGGCAGCATCTTTAGCGGCAGCATCGGTGGTAGCAGCGTCAGCAAAACGGTTCGTCTGCATAAGTAGCAGCAATCCCAGGAACAACAAAATCATAATCACTATCATAATTACCATCACAACTACCATCAGCACGTCCATCATCACGTCCATCATTACGTTCATCATCACGTCCATCATCACGTCCATCATCATCATCACCACGTTCATCATCACCACCACCACCATCACCACGTTCATCATCACCTTAACCACCACGTTTATCATCACCTTAACCACCACGTTTATCATCACCAACACATTCACCATCACCACCACCACATCACCACCACATTCACCACCACCACATTCATCACCACCACATTCACCATCACCACCACCACATTCACCATCACCACCACCACATCACCACCACATTCACCATCACCACCACCACATTCACCATCACCACCACCACATTCATCCTCGCTGCGGCGGAGCCGCCCTCAACCCATGATTTACGAGCCACGAGGCCGTGGCAGCAGCAGCAGCAGCAGGGTCATCGTCTTCGTCTTGTCACGCTGACCCCGCGCCGCTTGCAGCCTCCGGTGCGGTGCGAGCGGTGGCGCAGTGAGGAGAGGCGCTTCTGGGCTGCGACCCCGGCCGCCCGAGTTCAAGTCCCGCTCACGGCCACCAGTGACGATTATCATCTCCCCTAGGTCGTCTCGTACCTGGTGCAGTGTGTGAACGTCGCCACTGGGGAGACAAAGGCGGCCGGGCGTGGTGCTGGCCACCCACCCTCTCGTGTGCCGTACTGGCCTTCATAGGTGCTCGCTAACAGCACTTGCCCCAAAAGTCTGTGAAGGATATATGGGGTCTTTGTGTATCTGAGAGGTGCGTGTGTGTGCGTATCGTGTGTTGTGTTTGTGATAGATAAGAGTGTAACACATCTCTTGAATTCGGCAAGGTTATTATGTAAGAGCCTGGGGTGAGAAAGAGACGACGACGATGATGGGAGAGGGAATTCCAATGTGGGAAGAAGCAGAAAGGGTGGGTGAGTGTTATAGTGACCTGCAGTGTGGTGAGTGAGTAGGTGAGTGGGCTGCAGTGTGGGGAGTGGGTGTGGTTAGTGAGTGGGTGAGTGTTGTTGTCACCTGCAGTGTGGTGAGTCGATGTGTGGTTGTGATCTGCAGGTGGTGAGTGGGTGGGTGTGTTGTTGTGTCTGTTGTGTGTGTTGTGCGTTTTTTGTGTAGTTGTGTGTGGTGTGTGGTGCGTGTGTAGTGTGTTGCGTAGTGTGTTGTGTGTGGTGCTGGTGTTGAGTGCAGGCCACGTCTCCTCGGCCCTGGCGCCTTCAACCGCAAGCAATGAATAAAACAGCGGCCAGTGCATGAATGATTAAATATAGGAATCGAATGAATCAAGGAACGATACAAAGGAACGATTGCATGGCCATATGTGAATAAATGCGCAATGGGTAAGAATGCACGGTGTGAATTCGTAAGAATGAATTCCAGATGGAAACAAATTAATGGACGATTGTAATTCTGTATGGCAATGAATGAATATGTGATCTGATGGGAATTCATTTATGAGAATTAATGCATGCACGATGGGAATGAACGAAAGTATGAAAATAAATGCATGATGCTAATAAATGCATGAGAATGAATGAGAGCTGAAAATGTATGAAAGCATGAGAATTAATGCATGATACGAATTAATGGATGTTGGAAAATTAACGTGTGGACAAAAACGGAATCGGTGCAGAATTAAAGAAAAAGTAATGAATCTAAATAAATGATTGACAGATCAAATTCATGAACGAAATTCATTAATGGTAAATGCACCGTTCAGGTTGTGAATGAATGACTAAATAATTGAATGAATGCACAAGGCAGTGAACTCACAAGGCCTGGGGTGAATGATTGCCACGGATGCTGTCGTCGGGAAGTGAATGAATGCAAGGGACAGAATGAAGGCGGTGAATGCGTCAAGAGCAGTGATGCAGGTCGGCTCATCTGTGCGTGTGTGGAGGCGAGGGTTCGTGCATCACGCAGACAATTTACTACTGGGTTACGAGGAGGCAATACAGAAAGTTGATCCGTGAATCCATCTGTGCGGAGCTATGAGTGTCGCCCCGTTGTGTATAGCAGTGAGGTGCTGGGTATTCTCCGCGCTGTCCGGTTTCCTCCTCCCACACAAGGCCAAGCTCTCTGCTACGAGTCGAATTCGTTGCCAAGAAATCCCAACGGTAGCAGGGCCTGTCTGTAAAACGAGTCTTGAGACTCAATGAGGCTGTCCTGTGTACATTTGGGACGCCACGGTGGTGAGGTGTTAACTACCTTGCCTGGTATACAGGAGGTCATGGGCTCGATCCCCACCCTGACACCTGCTGTATATTTGGAGTTTGTGTGTCTCTCCACGTGGTCGCGTGGATTTTTCTCCGAGTCCTCCGGTTTTTCCCTCCAGATTTAGAATCGTGCGTTTAGAGTGTGTGGCTACTGCTACACATGTCCACACGATAAGCCACTTCGTTGAGCTATCATTTGTGGCCAGGTCACTTCTGAAAAAGAGCTACATAGCTCAGTGGGCCTTACCTGGTAAACTAAAAATAGTTTTAATTTATATAGGGCAACAGACTAGCGAGTGTGCTGTGTTTTCTGAGTGAGTGTGAGAGTGTGAGGGTGAGGGTGTGAGACGGAGAGTGTGAGACGGAGAGTGTGAGGGTGAGGGTGTGAGACGGAGAGTGTGAGACGGGGAGTGTGAGGGTGTGAGACGGAGAGTGTGAGACGGAGAGTGTGAGACGGAGAGTGTGAGGGTGTGAGACGGAGAGTGTGAGACGGGGAGTGTGAGACGGAGAGTGTGAGGCGGAGAGTGTGAGACGGAGAGTGTGAGACGGGGAGTGTGAGACGGAGAGTGTGAGGGTGCGAGGGTGAGACGGAGAGTGTGAGACGGAGAGTGTGAGACGGAGAGTGTGAGGGTGCGAGGGTGAGTGAGCTTGGTTGATAGCGAGCGTGAGTGACTGCGCGTGAGTGAGTGCGCTTGGTTGAGAGTGAGCGAGTGAGTGAGCGAGTGTGAGTGAGCTTGGTTGAGAGTGAGCGAGTGAGTGAGCGAGTGTGAGTGAGCTTGGTTGAGAGTGAGCGAGTGAGTGAGCTTGGTTGATAAAGAGCGTGAGTGACTGCGCGTGAGTGAGTGCGCTTGATTGAGAGTGAGCGAGTGTGAGTGAGCTTGGTTGAGAGTGAGCGAGTGTGAGTGAGCTTGGTTGAGAGTGAGCGAGTGTGAGTGAGCTTGGTTGAGAGTGAGCGAGTGTGAGTGAGCTTGTTTGAGAGTGAGCGAGTGTGAGTGAGCTTGGTTGAGAGTGAGCGAGTGAGTGAATTTGGTTGAGAGTGAGTGAGTGTGAGTGTGTGAGCTTGGTTGAGAGTGAGCGAGTGAGTGAGCGTGAGTGAGTGAGCTTGGTTGAGAGTGAGCGAGTGAGTGAGCGAGTGTGAGTGAGCTTGGTTGAGAGTGAGCGAGTGAGCGAGTGTGAGTGAGCTTGGTTAAGAGTGAGTGAGCTTGGTTGAGAGTGAGCGAGTGTAATTGAGAGTGCGAGCGTGAGTCACCGTGGATGAGAGTGCGTGAGTAAGTAAGCATGTTACATCACGCCCTGCTCTACAAGTCTCTGCCTTTCCTTAGCCCGAGCGTGGTTGCTAGACGACGGGCCGGTTCCCACGGCAACGCTGTGATGGCTCGGCTAGTTAAGAGGCAGCACCTCGTGACTGTTTCACGATAGCCTTGGCGGCGCTAACCAGCAGTGTCCCGCCAACTAAACGCCATCACCGCCGCCGATCCACTAAACAGGAGGCCCGCTGCCTTTGGAACCAAGTCACAGCGCAAAGGTTTTCCAAGCAAAATTCGCCGTTCAAAAATCAAATGAGTTCTGTACGATCAGCTTTGAGAATGTGTACGCGACAAGGAGGGTTAAACGCCGGCCACGTGCCGCTTGCCTCAGTAGGGACGGCAGGAACACTGCTGAGCAGTGTGGGACCCACTGCCAACATTGGTGATGAATATCTGAACCGGTTATGGCCTCCCCTAGGTAGACTTAGCTTTAAATTAGTACCTGGTATGGTGTGAAAAATAAAAATCAGCATTGGGGAGACAAAGGCGGCTGGGCGTGGTGCTGGCTACCCACCCCCCTCATGGGCCGTAACCGGCACATATTGGGCGACCTCACAGTCGCTGAAAAGGCCCTTAATTACTCTCGTGTGGGGGTGTGTCACTGGAGGCAGTGGTGACCTGCAATGGTGGAGAGCATGTGGATTATTATTTGATGGACAGAGTCACCGGTTTGAAACGTTTACAAAGCTGCAATGCACTGTGACCACCATCCCCAGAGTGATATGCTGAGTATCGTACGTCCGACACCATCATATATAACCCTCAACACGTTCGTCGATAACGCTGTGTGCAGCCTTTATGGATGATATTGGTCGCGAAAGCCTACGTGTTAAACTTAAAATAAATCATATATAATGGGTGACGTTTCAGGGCAGTGGCCCTTCTCAAAGTGCTGATTGTTTGAGCCCGGTCACCAATGTATGCTCAAACATCTGTCTGATTTTCGCTGTGATAGTGAACGAATTGTCTTGTACACGTCTTCAATCATTCGTGTTAGTGGGTGTCTGCATCGGTCCTGGGCTTCCCCTAGATCGACTCGTCCATGAATTAGTTCTTGGTGCGTTGTGTTAAAACATTATCACTGGGGAGACAAAGGTGGCCGGAGTGGGCGTGGTGTGTCCACACCAGCCCCTCGTGTGCCACGCCGGCCTTCATAGGTGCTGCTCGCTAACAGCACTTGCCCCAACAGCCTTCCAAGGCTATATGGGGGATCTCTGTCTTTGTGGTGTGTGTGTATGCAGGGTGCGTCTCTTTCGAGGGAAGAAGATTTTACAGGATCATGACATCGTGGTGGAACAGGTGGGAGCAGGGGAGGAGGGGGCTAAGTGTGGGGGGTGCGCTGATGATGATGGTGGTTCTATTGCTGCTGATGACGATTCTGATGTTGATTGCATTGGTTTTGCCGACGCCTATGATCAAATCATCCCAGAATGCGCCCCAGTCCCGGCAGGTCTCAGAAGCTAAGCAGGTTTGAGCCTGGATAGCCCCTGGATGGGCGACCGCCACCGTGCATAGTTGTGGTAGGCTGCTGCCCAGCTACATTGACAGCAGAGGCCAGTGCAGCAAAATCCATTGTGTTGCATTGTACTTCTCTGCTCCGACATCAATGCTCCCCGCTTTCACCAACCCGCACTGCCCAGTGTGTTGAAGAATGATCCTATAACTCCTACGACCCGTGCGGCGTGGGCAGGCCCTCATCCAGCAGTGGCTGTACACAGCCTGACCATCACCACCCCTAGCCCCTACCCAACCACAGCCCTAACCATTGCCATGCTGTGCTCTGACGAAGCCGTGATGGTGACGTTGCCGTGATGGTGCCGTGACGCTGTCTGTGATGGTGCCGCGATATCCCCTACTCCCCCAGGCCGAGTTTGGAGACATCGGGTTGGTGGCGCAGTCCGGGGAGCCGTGCGTCGTCACCGTGAGACAGAGCCACAACCTCCGGCAGCCGAGCAGGTGAGGAGTTTGCTCCACCCTGGGGCTGCCTCATCCTCGGGGATACCTCCATCCTTGGGCTGCCTCCACCTCAGGTTGCCTCCACCCCAGGTTGCCTCCTCTCTGGGGCTAACACCACCTTGGTACGACCTCCTCACCAGAGCTACCTCCTCCCCAGGGCTAAATCCACCCTGGGGCTTCCTCCTTCCCGAGGCTTCCTCCACATAGGCACTACCTCCTCCGTGGCGGCTACCTCTAACTTGGGGCTACATCCTGCCCAGGACTACCTTCATCACAAGGTTACTTCCAACTTGGTATGACCTGGGACTACATCCTGGAGCTGGCCACACCACCCCCTCGTGTGCCGTGGTGCCGGCCTTCATAGGTGCTACTCGCTAAAAGCACTCGCCCCGCCCGTCTCTGTAAAGGCTCTATGGGGGGACCTTTGTCTTTGTGTGCGTTGTCCGCAGGTCGTTTGTGCCGGATTTCGTCCTCATTCGGCAGCACGTGTGCGACGGTGGGCGGGGCCAGGATTTTCGCTCGCTGCTGATTGGCCTGCAGTTTGGAGGTGTGGCCTCGCTCAACTCCCTCTCGTCCATCTACCACTTCTGTGACAGGCCCTGGGTGGTGAGTCTCCAAGCCCCGTCATCATTAGCAGCAGCACCAATATCACTACCAGCATCACTCGCAATCTGCTTCAGACACTAAGATCTCAAACTGTTACACAGCCTCACGTCGGTTCTCTACTGTTGCCCTTTCGGTATTGAACTCTCCATCTCTTTGCACGTCCGCAACATCAAATGCACTCCGACTTTCAAGAAACATCTAAAGGCCTCGATCTGCCTGGGTCAGGCTTTCGAGCAGCCCTGAGCTTGGCTCTGCGCCTCTGAGTTGTTGACTTGTCTGTAAAATCTGGCATGTTATGAATTTCATTATTATTATCAGCAGCAGCAGCAACGGCCACATCAGCAACGACATCAGCAACAACGCGAGTATATGAGCAAAAACATCAGCAGCATCAACATCAGCAAAATCATATTTTGCAACATAAACATCAACTTGAGCATAATAATAATCAGCAATATCATCATCAGTAACATTAACAATATCAGAAACATCATCAGTGCCAGTGATATTTAAACCGGTTCTGGTCCTTCGCTAAGTCGACTCGGCCTTAAATGAGTATGTACATCGTGCGGCGGTGTAGATGTAAAATCATCATCACTGGGGAGACAAAGGTGGCCAGGTGCGGTGCTGGTACACGTCAGCCCAATGTTTGGCCGTGCAGGTGTTGTTCATAGCTGCTTGCCTCAGCATTTGCTCCTACGTCCTGTGTGCCTACATGGGGGATCTTTGCCTCTATCTTTGTGGTTGTCGGTGACAGTTTGCTCAGCTGATCGGGGTGAGGAGAAAGCTGGGGGGAGAAGCGTTTCCTCTCATCACCCAGGCCTTCTACCCGGACCACAGGGCCATGGTAACTCGTCAACCCACAGAGCCATGCACACTCTAGTATAGACACAGAACCGGACACACGGCCACGCAGAATGCATGGACACATACGCATACATAAACACGTGTACGCATACTTATGTAGTGGGTTCTACGGAGCCACACACTTGAACTTGGAGGCAACACGTTTATTACACGACCCCAACAGGGTAACTACATAAACGTACACTGGTTAACTGGACCACAACGGGGTAACTTCATAACCAGGTCAGCTAACACACTGCCTGACTCACGATGCCAAGCGTAAATACTGAAGAGACGTAGCACCGAGGGTTCCATTTCAGCAGACAGCCGCCATCGCTCTCGGGACTTCCCTTTTATGATCCCGAGCGTGGCCTCGCTCCGCCCTCGGCCACGCCCCCTTCTGGATCTTCCCAAAAGGTTCTCGACCGAGCACCACGTGTCCCTCAAGCCACCCTTTGGGCTCCCTTGCTACCCTGTCCCGGTCACGTGGCCTCTCAGGTTCACCCAGACTGGCACATCCTTACTTGTCCTCTCTCTGACTGCCACCAGAACCATGCCCCCTAGGGCCCACTTCCATGCCATGTCCACCCTGGTGCCAGAGAGAGGCTCAAGACGCACACTTCCACTTTTGTGACAGTAGCTGGCGCTAAACACCATAGTAACTCCATTTACGTCACTACACTTAGACATGTGTAACGACTGACCCACAGTTATGTACTCGCACACGCACATAAATACAAAAAGACAGTAACTGCCTTTCACCACTAATTGGCGGTGACGTCACCACGGCGCTTGTGCCATGCTAGGTGCACTTTGAGGCCATGCGAAGTGTGCTTGCGAGTATACAGTGTGACCTACGCATCCCAGGTGAGCACTCAGGAGCTACCGGCGGTGGTGAAAATGGGACACACACACGGCGGCCTCGGCAAGGTGAGCACCTCACCACACTCTCACCACTCCTCTCACCACACTCTCACTACGCCACTCTCACCGCACCACACTCACCATGCCCCGTGCAATGGTCCCATCGTCTCGTTTTCCCCCAAGCTCTCTCACAATAACCTCGCTCCGTTCAAGAAACCTGCGTACACTCGATATCCATCACCACTTTGATGGTGCTGTTTGTTGCTGGCCGCTTGACGTTGCCATTGGTGATGGAATTTCTAGCTGCTGCGCCTAGTGTGGTTAATAGGTGAGGGTGTAGAGCCACAGCTGATGATGATGTTGGTTGGCAGGTGAGAGCTATGGCTGATGATGATGTTGGTTGGCAGGTGAGAGCTATGGCTGATGATGATGTTGGTTGGCAGGTGAGAGCTATGGCTGATGATGATGTTGGTTGGCAGGTGAGAGCTATGACTCATGATGATGTTGGTTGGCAGGTGAGAGCTATGGCTGATGATGATATTGGTTGGTAGGTGAGAGCTAGGTTTATGATGATGTTGGTTGGCAGGTGAGAGCTATGGCTGATGATGATGTTGGTTGGCAGGTGAGAGCTATGACTCATGATGATGTTGGTTGGCAGGTGAGAGCTATGGCTGATGATGATATTGGTTGGTAGGTGAGAGCTAGGTTCATGATGATGTTGGTTGGCAGGTGAGAGCTATGGCTGATGATGATGTTGGTTGCCAGGTGAGAGCTATGACTCATGATGATGTTGGTTGGCAGGTGAGAGTTATGGTTCATGATGATGTTGGTTGCCAGGTGAGAGCTATGGCTGATGATGATGTTGGTTGGCAGCTGAGAGTTATGACTCATGATGATGTTGGTTGGCCGGTGAGAGCTATGGTTCATGATGATGTTGGTTGGCAGGTGAGAGCTATGGTTCATGATGATGTTGGTTGGCAGGTGAGATCTATGACTCATGATGATGTTGGTTGGCAGGTGAGAGCTATGGCTGATGATGATGTTGGTTGGCAGGTGAGAGCTATGGCTGATGATGATGTTGGTTGGTAGGTGAGAGCTATGGCTGATGATGATGTTGGTTGCCAGGTGAGAGCTATGGCTGATGATGATGTTGGTTGGTAGGTGAGAGCTATTGCTGATGATGATGTTGGTTGGCAGGTGAGAGCTATGGCTGATGATGATATTGGTTGGCAGGTGAGAGCTATGGCTGATGATGATGTTGGTTGGCAGGTGAGAGCTATGGCTGATGATGATGTTTTGGTTGCCAGGTAAGAGCTATGGCTGATGATGATATTGGTTGGCAGGTGAGAGCTATGGCTGATGATGATGTTGGTTGGCAGGTGAGAGCTATGGTTCATGATGATGTTGGTTGGCAGGTGAGAGCTATGGCTGATCATGATGTTGGTTGGCAGGTGAGAGCTATGGCTGATGATGATGTTGGTTGGCAGGTGAGAGCTATGGCTGATGATGATGTTGGTTGCCAGGTGAGAGCTATGGTTCATGATGATGTTGGTTGCCAGGTGAGAGCTATGGCTGATGATGATGTTGGTTGCCAGGTGAGAGCTATGGCTGATGATGATGTTGGTTGGCAGGTGAGAGTTGTGACTCATGATGATGTTGGTTGGCAGGTGAGAGCTATGGTTCATGATGATGTTGGTTGCCAGGTGAGAGCTATGGCTGATGATGATGTTGGTTGGCAGGTGAGAGTTATGACTCATGATGATGTTGGTTGGCCGGTCAGAGCTATGGTTCATGATGATGTTGGTTGGCAGGTGAGAGCTATGGTTCATGATGATGTTGGTTGGCAGGTGAGAGCTATGGTTCATGATGATGTTGGTTGGCAGGTGAGAGCTATGGCTGATGATGATGTTGGTTGGCAGGTGAGAGCTATGGCTGATGATGATGTTGGTTGGTAGGTGAGAGCTATGGCTGATGATGATGTTGGTTGCCAGGTGAGAGCTATGGCTGATGATGATGTTGGTTGGTAGGTGAGAGCTGTGGCTGATGATGATGTTGGTTGGCAGGTGAGAGCTATGGCTGATGATGATATTGGTTGGCAGGTGAGAGCTATGGCTGATGATGATGTTGGTTGGCAGGTGAGAGCTATGGCTGATGATGATGTTTTGGTTGCCAGGTGAGAGCTATGGCTGATGATGATATTGGTTGGCAGGTGAGAGCTATAGCTGATGATGATGTGGGTTGGCAGGTGAGAGCTATGGTTCATGATGATGTTGGTTGGCAGGTGAGAGCTATGGCTAATGATGATATTGGTTGGCAGGTGAGAGCTATGATTCATGATGATGTTGGTTGGTAGGTGAGAGCTGTTGCTGACTGACGACGATGATGACGATGACAATGATGATGTTGGTTGGCAGGTGAGGGCGGAGAGCCACGGGGGGTTACAGGAGCTGCCGGGGCTGCTGTCGCTGGTGCGTGCGTACGCCACCGCCGAACCGTACCTGGAGGCCAAGTACGACGTGCTTGTCTACAAGATCGGGGCGGCCTACCGTGCGTTCATGTGAGCGCTAACCCTACCCCTAACACTAACATTGCCGCACGTTCATGTGAGTGCTAACCCTACCCCCAACACTAACCCTACCGTGCGTTCATGTGAGCGCTAACCCTACCCCTAACACTACCCCAACCGCATTTTCACGTGAGTGCTAACCCTACCCCCAACACTAACCCTACCGCATTTTCACGTGAGCGCTACCTCAACAACACGAGCAGTTTTGTGGTTGTGCTGTGTTGTGCTGTGGTTGTGCCATGTTATGATGCAGTGTGCTGTACTGTGTTGCGCTGCGGTTGTGTTGCTCCTTGCTGATGGGGCGCATGTCCCTGTGTGACGCCTGCAGGAGGACATCCATGTCTGGCAGCTGGAAATCCAACACGGGCTCCGCCATGGTCCAGCAGATCGCGATGACGGACAGGTGTGATGCAGAGACACACGGAGACACGCAAAGGGACACACACAGGGACGCACAGAGATATACACGGGCATGGACACACAGGTTTCCCACTCGCAGCCAACATGAGGGAATTCTATACCAACATGTCCTGGGCCCCTCCCCTAGGTCAACTCAGCCTTAAACGAGTACCTGCTGCAGCGTGTACAACACATCATCATTGCCGGGCATGGCGCTGGCCACGTGATCCCTTCCCCGTGCACTGTACTGGCCTTCATAGGTGCCGCTCACTTTCAGAGCACATGCCCCAACAGCCTGTGTGGGCTACACAGGGGACCTTTGTCTGTGGGGTGGCGCAGGTACCGCGTGTGGGTGGACGCGTGCGCCCAGCTGTTTGGCGGCCTGCACGTGTGCGCCGTCAAGGCGGTGCACGCCAAGGACGGCCGCGACTACATCATCGACGTGAGCGCTGTTGCTGCTGCCATCACCACTATATCATTACCACCACCACCACATCATCGCCTTCACCACTACACCGCCAACACCATCACCACTATACCATCACTGTCGGTACCAACATCATCGCCATCGCGACTGCTTTGAATGGGTGCTATATGATTCCAAAATAGAATAGAACCACACCATTGGCTTCACCACTGCATCACCGCCATATCACCGCCATATCACCGCTATATCACCACTATCACCACTATGTCACGATATCGTCATTGTCATCACGACTACATCACCACTATATCGTCAACATCACCACGACATGACTGCCATCATCACCACTGCATCACAATCGGCTCTACATCAAAACTACATCACCGCATCAAAAGCACATCATAACCACCATCATAATCATCACCACCATCACCAGCATCACGACAGTCACCATGAACACCACCATTATCATCATTGTCACCACCACCACTGCCGTCGTTATGACCGCCATTACCATCGTCACAACTATACCATCACCACCACCATCATGCTACTACGATCACCACTACCCTCATCATCACCATAGTCTTTCCTTCCCGAGTCCCTCACCCCTCGCTAACTCGACCCCTGACTGCTGGGTCCGTGACCCCTGACCCCGCTGGGCAGGTGATGGACGGCTCGGTGCCGCTGGTCGGGGAGACGCGGGAGGAGGACGAGCGACTCATCGCGCAGCTCGTCACCTCCTCCTGGGAGGCCCTACTAACCCACCAGCGCGCGCAGGCACAGGTGAGGGTGACACCTCCATCGCCATTACCATCATCTTATTGTCGTCACCACCAACATCATCATCGCCACCCTCATTATCACCACTCTCCCCACTTTCATCATCATCATCATCACCACAATCACCACAATCATCATCATCATCATATCGAGCACCTCTCTTGAGGTTTGTTTGGCGACTTTTCGCCACGAGAAGTTGGCAACGCTTCCCGGGGAGCTGCGGCCCACGCTGGTGGGTGCCATCCGTGCAGGCAATGAGGCTCCGGTCGGTGCAGCTGCGCTTTGGCTATCGTGCCGCCAACCCACTACCATTATCATCACAATCATCATCACAATCATCACAATCATCATCATATCGAGCACCTCTCTTTGGCCTTCGTGCCGCCAACCCCCCCGTGTGGCAGAACAGAAGAGCGGCCGCCCGTGCCCAAAGCTGGACTCCCATCATCGCGAGCGCTGCGAGGATTCACCCGCGTCCAATCCCACCGCCCCTCGCACCGCGTTCGCGACTTGGTTCAGAGCGTTCGGGTTGGGGTTGAATGGGCAATGGAGTGGTCTCCACGAGTCTGGCGACCAGGGTGCAGGGAGGTAGCGCAGTGGTAACGCTCGTGTCGCAGCGAAAAGGGCCTGGGTTCAATTCCCAATTCGGGTGCCTTCCTGTGTGGAGTTTGTATGTTCTGCCCCTGTTCTACAGAGTGTGTGAGTGAGTAGAGTGTGTGAGTGAGTGGAGTTTGTATGTTCTGCCCCTGTTCTACAGAGTGTGTGAGTGAGTGGAGTTTGTATGTCTGCCCCTGTTCTACAGAGTGTGTGAGTGAGTGAGTTTGTGAGTGAGTGGAGTTTGTATGTTCTGCCCCTGTTCTAGAGAGTGAGTGTGTGAGTGAGTGGAGTTTGTAAGTGTGTGAGTTTGTGAGTGAGTGTGTGAGTGAGTGAGTGGAGTTTGTGAGTGAGTGGAGTTTGTGAGTGAGTGGAGTTTGTGTGAGTGAGTGTGTGAGTGAGTGAGTGTGTGAGTGAGTGTGTGAGTGAGTGTGTGAGTGAGTGAGTGAGTTTGTGAGTGTGTGAGTGAGTGGAGTTTGTGAGTGGAGTTTGTGAGTGGAGTTTGTGTGAGTGAGTGTGTGAGTGAGTGAGTTTGTGAGTGTGTGAGTGAGTGTGTGAGTGAGTGGAGTTTGTATGTACTATCTCTGTCTGCTCTGCGTGGATTTCCTCCACATTCTCCGGTTTCCTCCCATAGCAAAATAAAAAAAAATGTCATTGATATTGGCCAAACATCCCAATTTAGCAGCACCCTCCTGAAAACAAGTCTTCAGACTCAGAGTGCCTTTCCTAGGTAAATAATGATAACACTTATTACAATTACTATCCTAACGATGAGTCATGTGACACGGCTGATCCCGTTCCAGGGCAGCACCACAGAAGGCCCGGACGACCCCAAGCCTCCGGCCCAGGGCTGCCTGCAGTACATCCTGGACTGTAACGGTGAGAGCCTTCCAGCCGCCCCACTGCTCGGGACCTATCCTGGCTTCTCCCTGCCCTGTCCTGCCCCTGCCCTGCCCCTCTCCTGCCCTGCCCCGCCCTTCTGACGAGGTGCCCCACCCCCCTTGTGCCCTCAGGGTCGCAGGGCACGACTGAGACTGACAAGGCCGGGCAGCAGCAACAACAGCAGCGAGTACAGGCAGCCCAGCCACAACCCTCGGGCCACACGCCACAAAAAGCACAGCCACAGCCTGTTCAGCCACAACAGAAGCAACAGTCGCAGGTGGGTCAGCCACAACCCAAGCCACAACAACAACCGGGGCAGCCACAACCGAAGCCACAGCCTGGGCAGCCACAACCTAAACAACAACAGCCGGGGCAGCCACAACTGAAACTACAACAACAGCCTGGGCAACCGCAACCCAAGCCACAACAACAGCCAGGCCAGCCACAACAGAAACCACAAGCACAACTGGGGCAGCCACAACAACAACCTGGGCAACCACAACTCAAACTACAACAACCTGGGCAGCCACAACCGAAAGCACAACCGCAACCTGTCCAGCCACAACCCAAGCCACAGTCATCACCACCTGCACAACCACAGCCACAGCCACAAGCTCAACCACAGCAACAAGTGGGTCCACCACAACCGAAACCACAACCCATTCAGGCACAGCCTAAACTACAGCCCGTGGGTCACTCTGCACAGCCGCCAGCCAGGTGAGGCTGTGTGTGGTGTTGCACTGTGTGTTGCCGTTGTAGTGTTGTGTAATGTGTTCACATAACTGTCAACCCCTTATCAGTGCCCTACCTTATTACAGACCAATTCAGACCTTATTGGTCACCCCGTGCCCTTATAAATCTCAACGTGCATCCTACAAAGTGCCATCGCAAGGGAGAAACACAAACAAATAGACACAAACATTGTTTTGCCCGTATTGAAGCGGCTGTACGCCGTATGGACCTGAAAACTCAATGTCCCTGCACAAGAATATGGGGTAATAAACCGTACGGGTTGGCAGGTTTGTGTTCATCAGGTTTGCATAGAGTGCTCGCGAACAGCACTTGCCCGAACAGTCTGTTGAGGCTATTATGGGGGATATTTGTCTTTGCTATTGAGCAATATCTCAACCAGTTCTAGGTATCCCCTGGGTCAGTGACTCGGCTTTACACATGAGCATGGGGTCCAAGTACAAAGAATGCTCGTAAAATGCAGCAGGCTGCGTAAAATGCAGCAGGCTGCGTTTGTACTGGGCTCTCTAAATGCCACCGCGTGAAACATGATTTTTATCTGTAGGATCGTAAATCTAGGGGCGGGGCGGCGGGGATTACAAAATCACTGCCACTGTTCCAGGATGACCCCCCAAGCAGACATGGCCGCCGTAACATCACCCATGCGACCGTGGGAATCCACTCGGCACTGTCTTGGGGGACCGTGCCGAGTTTCACGGGGAGTAACGATCCGCGAGTTTCCACGTGTTTGGCCCATACGGCTACAGCGCCATCTATTTTTAACGCTATTCAACCGAGGCTCCGACCTCGGTTGACGAACGCTACAATAGCTCCCTGTGTCCGTCTGCGACGCCGCGATAATGCTCGTCAACGATGGCCCAATGTGAACGACACGCGCATCGCGATGGGCCCTGCAGGAACAAACCTCACGCCCCCGCAATGTAATGAGCCAGCAACATTTCACAACTTTACTTATAATACAACCGAGTTTAATTGGTAAATATTGCTTGATTGCTGAAGAGTTTGTCTGTTGTTACTCAGTAGCTACTATTTTGTGCCAGTCAAAAGGGTAAAACCTATTCCTATATCTTGTTTCTGGCAAAGGAGGTCTCATAATGTAAATGCTCACCCCGAGCCCTCAATACTCTGATAGTGTGCTGTTTTTTGAGTTGTACGCCTTTTGGCATCTTCTGGTCCAACACCAATGGAGACTAGGCTCGAAGAAAAGCTGTCTCGGGTGTGGACCAATCAAATTCAAGGACAGTGCATATTATCAGAGTTGTCTTTTTTGTTTGCATTTTGACTGCTTGTGTTGTGGTTATTGCAAACATGATGCCTTGAATAAAGGTGTCAGTTTTTTGTGCCAGTCAAAAGGGTAAAACCTATTCCTATGGCTACTATTAGTTTCACTATTCATTTTCCTATTTAAAAACTCGGTCATCAGAAAACTATGCAGTCTACAACTTTTATTCTCTGCGCTGTCTCTCTACTGCCCTACATTCACGTGCCGTGAAGAAGTGCCATTGCCTGAAACGTCACCTGTTATATTTACATTTTATCATTCAAGGTCGCACCACACGCGCACAGTGCAATTGACGAACACATCGAGTTTTGTTGTTTAGTGTAAAGTCGCCATGCCCTGGGGAGAAATCTGGCCACACTGACCACGGAGTTATAAAAACCAGCGCGAAACGGATTCGTCTTGACGGTCTCGGTGAGGACGTCATGACACGTGGTCTAGGTGGTGACGTCATGACACGTGGTCTAGGTGGTGACGTCATGACACGCGCAACATCTCGAGGCACCGCGCGACGTCGCGTCGGGACGGAACGTCGTCACCGACAGGAGGGCACACGCGTGCTGGGAAAAGCGTGGTAGAGAATCCGTGCGTATGCCCGATTCTCTTCTTCCTCGCAGACCGGTGGTCATACAGCAGCAGAGGCCGCAAGACGGGGCCCGCCCGGAGCCCCCCCAGACCCGGGCCCCGGGACAGGTGGCCCAGAAGTGGAAGGCGGTAGGGGGCGTGGGAGCCGCGGGGGGGCCGCCCGCGACGGCGGTGGCGGCGTCCTCTGGCGGGGGCCGGGCCCCTCATCCTCGGACCCAGGGGGAAGGATCGAGCCCCCCGCCCCAAGCCGCGCAATCGAGCGGCGCTCCCCCGCCGTCCGGGGCGGCCCAGGCCCCCCACGGGCCGCAGGGGGAAGGGGGGCCGGCGGCTCAACGAGCGGCCGGCGGAGGGCAACGCCAGACAGCAGCGCTGCAGCCGATGGGGGGGACACAGCGGCCGGGTGGGGGGCCGCAGCAGCAGCAGACGCAAGCCACCGGGTCCACCTCCAGTGAGGAGGCGAACGACCCCAACGTGAGCCAGCGCTTCGTGGGCGATGGCGCTCCGTCCGAGAAGCAGATGGCGCTGCACCAACAGTCGCAACAGCAGCAACAGCAGCCATATCAGAAGCAGCAGCAGCAGCAGGTGGTAGGGTTGGCTGGAGGGCAGCAGGGCAGCCGTACAGCACCAGCCGTGGGTCAGAGGTCACGCACGCAGTCCCACTCGGAGCAGGCAGGGTCACCCGTTCCGCAGTGGAGTGGGGTGAGACAAGGGTCAGTGCCTGGGCCAGTGCCGGGGTCGGCACCAGGGTCGGCACCCGAATCGGCGCCGGGATCGGCGCCGGGATCGGCGCCGGAATCGGCGCCGAAATCGGCGCCGGGGTCAGGCCCGGGGTCGCCCCAGCACCAGAGGTCGGCAGCCGGACCCGGCTCGCCACAGCAGGGGAAAGCTCGCAGCCGGTCAGTGCAGGGTGCGGCGCAGGCAGACGTGGCTGCGCCGGCACCACCATCACCGCAGAAGCAGCGAGCGGAGAGCATGGGCTCGGATAGACGCAGCGATCTCATCAGGGCACCTTCCCCACAGCAGCAGCAGTCACCGGTCCCACAAGCAAAACTACAGCAGCAACAGCAGCCTCAAGCGCAGGCACAAGGGCGGCCGACCTGGGTGTCACAGGAAACGGGGACCCGCGGCGGTGTGATTGGGGAGCAGCGCGCAGTCGCCCCGTCGGACTACCAGCCACAGCAGCCACAGCAGCCACAGCAGCCACAGCAGCACGGTCAACACGGCCAGCACGGCCAGCCATCACTCTACCAACATGACAGTCGGCAGCCGTTTAACGAGCTGGACAATCACCATCATCATCAACAGCAGCCGCAGCAGCAGCAGCAGCAGCCAGCTGTGAGCGAGCATCAGGCCAACCAGAGCCAGAGCCGGTCCAAGGGCCCGTCCCCCCAGGCGTCCCCACCACCCCACCAGCCACGGGAGAGGCCCCAGCCCGGCGTGCTAGCCCAGCGAAGGTGGCCCCCCGAGCAGGCGCCAGGCACGGGGCCTGTCCCGCAGCAGCAGCTGCAGCAGCAGCAGCCACAGCAGCCATCGGGGCCCGTGGCGAGCCAGAGAGGCCCCACCGCTGAACCCCTGCCGAGCCCCCAGGCCCGGCGGCACGGTCCCTCGGCGCAGCCATCTCCTCCCCCGCAGCAGAGGGCCCCCGGGGAGCGGTCCCGTGGACCCCCCCCACCGCTCCAGCCAAAGCCGGCCGAGCTGGCCGCGAGGCCCGACCGGGGCCCGCCTGCTGCGGGAATGCCGGAGAGGATCTCGCCCAGAGGCCCGCCGGGCCAGCCCCGCCCCGCGGAGGGCGGCGGAGAGGCCCAGGGTAGGCCGCGTCTGCCCCCGAAGCCCAGCGAGCTGGCCGCTCAGCCGCCGTCGCCTCGGCCGCAGCAGAAGGCCGGCGGCTACGCAGCGCCGCAGCAACAGCAAGGGTCTCCACAGCTGCAGCAGAGGCCGGTGTCGACCCAACAGCCGCAAGGGCCCTCCTCCTCCCCAGTACCCGCACAGCGGCCACGCAAGTCGTCGGTGTCTCCCGAGCACCAGAGGGGCCCCGCTGGGAGAGCCCCGGCTGTGGCACAGAGGGGCGCTTCTGTGGCCCAGGTGCCAGCACCGTCGGCACCCACGCAGCAGCAGCAGCCGCAGCAGCCGCAGCAGCAGCCGCAGCAGCCACAGCAGCAGCAGCAGCCGCAGCAGCCACAAGAATCGGCGCCCCAACCGCTCAGGTGAGTGGGCAGTGGGGAAGCGCTTGGCGCAGGTGAGATGTTGCTGCTTTTGTATCTGTGCTCATGTGTTTGTGCATGCGTGCGTATGAATGTGTAAATGTATGCGTGCTTGTGTATCTCTACATGCGGGTGTATATACACGTGTGCGCATGTGTGTGTGCAGGGAGCGGTAGTATAGCGGTAAGCGTACCGCGCCACTAATCCAGCGAGTTCGATTCCCGCTCCCATAACAGCGACGCATATTTGAACTGGTCCTGGGCCTTCCCTGGGTGTGGTGGGTAAACATCAGCACTGGGGAGACAAAGGCGGCCGGGCGTGGTGCTGGCCACCTACCACCTCGTGTACCATGCCGGCCTTCGTAGGGGCTCGCTTACGGCACTTGCTCCGATAGTCCGTTAAAGACTACACGGGGGATCTTTGTCTTTGTGTGTGCAGCTCATCTGGCGACCTCCAGTCGGGCCAGGAGCAGACCGAGAACTGGCCTCCCATTCGCAACATCCGCAAGTCCTTCGCTTCCTTCTTCCTCGACTGAAGCATGCGACCGCACGACACGGCCACACTATCGCATGCACCGCACGCACCGCGCCACCGACATTGCCGACACAGCCACGCACACCGCGCAACACGTGTCTCAACTCCCATTGCGCACCGGTCCCACCCAGGTTCTGTCTCACCACCTCAGTAACCCTGCCTCATATCCACGGCCTGATTTCAGCACCCGGCACACACGTCCAGTATATATTTCACTGTGACTGTGGCTACTTGGTCACGTGCTAACTATTCCAGTCTACCAACGACCCATAAAATATTTCTGCACACCAGTACACCACATCCAGTATACCTATCGTTATGGCTGTGGCTCCTACTAGTCACGTGCTACCTACTCCAGTCTACCGGTAACCCAGAAAATATTTAGTTTGAAATGAATTCCTGCTCACCTCCCTCCCTCCACTACAACCCAAGCCACCTCCCTCTCAAGGGAGAATGTTGGTGGTGTTGTGGGTGGGAGGGAGGTGTGGACCGGTGAATGGTCACTTGAAGGGATCTCACAGGTAACTCTGTGGTATCTGCTTCCGGGGGCCCGTCGTCCAAGACAAAGGCTTGTTGCCGCTCTGCGAGAGAGTCCCGAACGGATTCGTCATGTCCAGGATTTCTAACCGCGAGCATTTACAACGAGCAATGACGAGTACAAGCACCATGGGCGCGCGTCGCCGCCGACCGGCGACCGCGACCTCCCGTGACCCCAAGGGTCACCCGGCCGTGACCGTGGCCACGAGCGAGCGCCCGCCTGTTTGCGCCCGTGGGGCTGGCGGGCGACCCATGCTTATCCGTTCTTTAGCCGTGCCGTGACCCCGTCAAGTGCCGTGACCCCGTGTCGCCGTTACTCCTGCGCCATGGGCGCGCACGCGCCTGTACGTGTGTAGGTGTGTGTACGTGTGTAGGTGTGTGTACGTGTGTAGGTGTGTGTACGTGTGTAGGTGTGTGTACATGTGTAGGTGTGTGTACGTGTGCATGCGTGTTCTCCCGTGTGGGCAGTGCTGCAGGTTGGGGCGATGTCGTGGTCCAATTTGAAAAAATATAAAATGGCTACCACAACAATGCGATGCTTCTGCTTTCGCGGTGTGGCGGACAACACACCGGACCTGCAATCCAGAGGCCACCGGTTCAGCTTGATTTGACCTCCCGGTGCGGCAGTTTAAACAACGGAGCAAGTTTCTTAATTCCGCTCGCCTCTGTTCATACATGCACATCCATGGCAGCACCACAGTCGCCTTCCACCACGACGCGGGTGAAAGTGTCCTCCCTGAGTATGTCCAAAGCCCTGCGGTAGTTTGAGCACTTCTCCCTTGTCACGTGGGGGGGGCGGTGGTGGCACACCCAAAGCCGGAGGGAAAGTGCTAAACCCCCCCTCCCCACCCCTAATGTCACTTGAAGAGATCTTGGAAGTAGCTCTGTGGTGTCCACTTCTGCGGTACCGTTCTTGATACACTGAGGGCCGCGCTGCTTTGTGAAAGATCCGAACGGATTCTTCATCTGGTGACGACACGACGCCGGTAGCAGTGATAGGGATCACATTTGGGGGGAAAAAATGCAAAAGTGGAGGGATTATTCTATCGGAATACCGCACATATACTGGACATCTATGGAAAAAGAGCTTCTTAGCTCATCGGATTCCTCCAGGATAAATAAAGATCTCGATTCTGAATGGTGGAGGCGCCGCTATGCTCCAGGGAAAATCCGCTCGATGACTACTCCAATCGTTGCCCACGTCTACAGAGTTTCTGGGCAAAACCCCGGCCTCGTGCCGTCACGCGGAGCTCGTTTGCCGCCTGAAACGACGTAGGCCCGAGCCTGTGCGGCACTGCCCGTGTGCCGTGCGCGTTGTGCGCGTGTCGCGTGTTTGGACTGCCGTGTGGTGGCTGTCCCTTTGGGTTCCCCAGCGTCGACCGAGCGACAGGAAGGGTGGGGCGGCCGAGCACAGGTGCTAGGCCAGGTGAGGTATCTTAGACTGAGTCGTGGGCCAGGTGTTCACTGGCGGGCTGCAGGGTACGTGATGGTGGTGGGGGGGTGCCGTGTCAAGTTGATGGGATACTTGGTTGAGCTCGGGGACTGCGTGTAGCTGGGAGAGAGTTTCATGGCTGAGTTGGGAGTTCCTTTAATGGAGCTCGCGATCCATGGTGGATTTAAATATTACGGGGGGTGAGTGGTGGAGTTAGGTGGTGAGTGGTGGAGTTAGGAAGTGAGAGGGTGCATGGTGGTGTTCAGGGGGTAGGTGGGTGGGTGGTGGTGGTAATGTCAGTGTCCGGAGATTTGAGTCCGCGAATGTTGGGACAGCAGAAGGAATGGAACCTCCTCGACATTGGCGCATTACCTTCTTGTGTTTGTTACCCCAGCGAGTGCGCACGCGTCAACGTACTTACTTATTGTTCTTGTTGCGTGCGTAAGTTTACTCGTGCGTGTGAATGTAATATATCGGCGTGAGTGTAACTTATTGATCACCGTGAGTGTAACTTATTGATCACCGTGAGTGTAACTTATTGATCACCGTGAGTGTAACTTATTGATCACTGTGAGTGTAACTTATTGATCGGTGTGAGCGTAAACGTATCGATGATCACTGCGCGATCACTGTTATCGACGATTCTGGTGGGCATGAGTCGACGTATTTGATGGTTGCGTCTCAGTGTGTTGGTTAATGCGGCGGTTAGCACGCTGCGCTACGGACCTGGCGACCCGTGTTCAATTCCCACTCACGGCCACGAACAACCACCAGTGACGATTATCTGAACCGGTCCCTAGGACCTCCCCAAGGTCGACTTAGCCTCGGATGAGTACCTCGTGCGATGTGTAAACAACATCAGCACTGGAAAGACAAAGGCGGCCTGTCGTGGGGTTGGCTACCCACTCCCTCGTGTGCCGTGCCCGTTTCATAGGTGCTCGCTAACAGCACTTGCCCCTACAGTCTGTAAAGGCTACACGGGGGATCTTTATCACGCATCACTCCGAGCCTGTTGCTGTGGTTGGACGACGCTGCTGGTGTGTGGGTTGACCTGGGGCCTCTGTCGTTTATTTATTGAGTTGCCATTGATTGAGGAACGCCGGTTCCGGTTCGACTCCAGGATCCTGAGCCTCTTTATTTGGCGCTTGAGTGGATGATGGTGATGATGATTTTTAGGTTGTTATGGTAATGATGGTGAAGTTGGTGATGATGATGATGCCAAGACCCGTGTTGTGATGGTCCTGATGATGGGGCCGGGGCTTATAACGGTAACGACGGGGCCCTGCTTGTGATGGTAATGAATGAGAGATGTGAGTGCAGGGATTCAGGTTCCGGTGGTGTTGATGGCTGTGGCCATGGTGATCAGGCTGCATTGTGACGATGGTGATGGAGCTTGTGATGTTCATGAAGATGGGACCCGGGTCAATCTTGGTGCCCGGGTATTGATGGTGGTAATGGGACATGGATTACGGTATTGATGATGATGGTGGTTTATAGACATCATAAGGCCCATGTAATGACGATGATGACTAATTTGAGTTGATAATGTTCATTTATGGTGGTGATGATGGTTCAGTTGTGATTGTGATGATGGAAACCGGGTTACTATGATAATTGATAGAGATGATGAGGCCCATCAAATGATTCATGATAACCATGATGGTTCCGTTGTCGTAATGATGATTACATGATTCAGTTGTGGTGATAATGTTGCCTGGATTACGATAATGATGGGACCCGGGTTACCATTATGATTGATATAAGTGATGATGATGGTTCAAATGATGATAGTTCAGTTGTGGTAGTAATGATGATAATGATTCCGTGGTGGTGGAAGCGATGTTGAAGCCACAGGCCCTGGAGTCCGAATCGTTGGGCCCAAGTCGATGTCGCCGCGTGCTGACACGCGGCTCATTGTGATTGGTGAATGATTAGAAGTAGCGCGATTTAGAAATAGTTAATTAGTCGTTAGCTGTTGGTTAATTGCTCGTTCGCTGTGGGTTAGTCATTACCTGTGCGTGTTGATTTTTCAGTCGCTGTGGATCACGTGGTTGTTCATTACTGGCGGCGCATTGCACCGTTAATGTGAGTTTGTGATTGCTCAGTCGCCGTGTTAGTTCTAGATTAGCTGTGCGTTGTTGTTAACTGCTCATTAGCTATGGGGTAATTGGCTCTGGGTTAATTGCTCATTAGCTGTGGGTTAATTCTTCATTAGCTGTGAGTTCATTGCTCATGATCTATGGGTTGCCAAAGGCTCAATAGATCTGGGTTAATTGCTCGTTAGCTGTTGGACAATTCCTCATCTGTGGGTTAATTGCTCTTTAGCGGTGGGTTGCTGTGATTTGACTGTGAAAAATAAAAGTGCGAGAGACACCTGGACTATTTGTTTGGGAGCAAGAGAGAACCCCACCATCATCACAACCCTCATCATCACCACCCTCATCATGACAATCATCAACACAACCACCATTATCATCACACCCGTCACCTCCGATTAGCACAGTTGGCTACGTACGGTGCGAAAGAGGTTCTGCATACATCACAATCATCAACAACCACTATAACCATTATCACAACAATCATCACAATAATCACAGAGATCGTCATCGTCACAACCATCACCAGCTATCGTCATCCCCACAAACAAGATCATCAGCAGCGCGATCGCCACCATCGGCCAGGCGCGGATGGCTGAGCTGCACCGTCGGCTGCCTGTGGCCCAGCACTGGGGCGTGGCGAGGGTTGGTGGATCACACGCGCGCACAGCGGTGCAGCAAGCAGGCTGATTACCATCAGCAAGGGGGGGAGGGGGCGTATTCCCCCTCGTACGCGTGGTTTATCTCCGAGTACTCCACAGTACTCGTTAGAATGGAGTTGGCCAAACGTGCCAATATAGGACCACAGAGCTTGGGGCAATTGTTTGAGATAGAGTGTTGCTCCCTCGCATCAATTATTAAACGCGTGGAGTTCAGGCGTTACGCCCAAACACACATCGCGCGACCTCATCACGAACACGGGAGTCACGAGCTCCCTTGTGGAGGCATTTGAATAATAACAACACGGAGTAGTAACTGGTAACGTACCCTTAACATAAATAATACAAATGTATTTGTTTACACAGCCCATGAACCGCACGGCCGTCTGGGAATGCATTGATTCAGTACGAGCGAGACTCGAGCGGTGTCTACATTCAGTGCCTCTGCGGGTCGAACCCATGGTACCAAACCAACGCTGCTGAAACGATCCACTCCCAAAAAGGCCGTGCGGCTGATGGGATGTGTAGAAAATAAGTGCATTGTATGTGGAGAGACGGACACTCCGAAACGGAGACGTATTGCGTGGTTATCTGTTCTGGTCTCATCATTGACTGGGCGTCCTGCCAAGGGTGTCCACACCCATACCCCGCCCCCCCAATCACCCGTACCCCGCCCCCCCAATCACCCGTACCCCGCCCCCCCCAATCACCCGTACCCCGCCCCCCCCAATCACCCGTACCCCGCCCCCCCCGTTCACCCATACCCCGCCCCCCCAATCACCCGTACCCCGCCCCCCCTATTCACCCGTACCCCGCCCCCCAGCCGGAACACCTGAAGGCGGAAACCCCGTCTCGAGGAAAGGACGACTGGAGCAGCGGCTACCAGGTGTGTATCAGGTGTGTGTGTGTGTCAGGTGTGTGTGTGTGTCAGGTGTGTGTGTGTGTGTCAGGTGTGTGTATGTATCAGGTGTGTGTGTGTGTCAGGTGTGTGTGTGTCAGGTGTGTGTGTGTGTGTGTCAGGTGTGTGTGTGTGTGTCAGGTGTGTGTATGTATCAGGTGTGTGTGTGTGTCAGGTGTGTGTGTGTGTGTCAGGTGTGTGTGTGTGTGTCAGGTGTGTGTGTGTCAGGTGTGTGTGTGTGTGTCAGGTGTGTGTGTGTGTGTCAGGTGTGTGTGTGTCAGGTGTGTGTGTGTGTGTGTGTCAGGTGTGTGTGTGTGTGTCAGGTGTGTGTGTGTGTGTCAGGTGTGTGTGTGTGTGTCAGGTGTGTGTATGTATCAGGTGTGTGTGTGTGTCAGGTGTGTGTGTGTGTGTCAGGTGTGTGTGTGTGTCAGGTGTGTGTGTGTCAGGTGTGTGTGTGTGTGTCAGGTGTGTGTGTGTGTGTCAGGTGTGTGTGTGTCAGGTGTGTGTGTGTGTGTGTGTCAGGTGTGTGTGTGTCAGGTGTGTGTGTCAGGTGTGTGTGTCAGGTGTGTGTGTCAGGTGTGTGTGTCAGGTGTGTGTGTCAGGTGTGTGTGTGTGTCAGGTGTGTGTGTGTGTCAGGTGTGTGTGTGTGTCAGGTGTGTGTGTGTGTGTCAGGTGTGTGTGTGTCAGGTGTGGGGGAGCGGTAGTGTAGCGGTTAGCGCGCTGCGCTATGAACCTGGCGACCCGGGTTCGATTCCCGCTCACGGCCAACACCAGTGACGATTATCTGAACCGGTCCCGGGCCTCCCCTAGGTCGACTCAGCCTCAAATGAGTACCTGGTGCGGTGTGTAAACATTGCCACTAGGGAGACAAAGGCGGTCGGGCGTGGTGCTGGCCACCCACCCCCTCGTGTACCGTTCCGGCCTTCATAGGTGCTCGCTAACAACACTTGTCCCTACAGTCTCTTAAGGCTATACGGGAAATCGTGTCAGGTGTGTGTGTGTGTCAGGTGTGTGTGTGTGTCAGGTGTGTGTGTGTGTCAGGTGTGTGTGTGTGTCAGGTGTGTGTGTGTGTCAGGTGTGTGTGTGTGTCAGGTGTGTGTGTGTGTCAGGTGTGTGTGTGTGTCAGGTGTGTGTGTGTGTCAGGTGTGTGTGTGTCAGGTGTGTCTGTGTCAGGTGTGTCTGTGTTAGGTGTGTGTGTGTGTCAGGTGTGTGTGTGTCAGGTGTGTGTGTGTCAGGTGTGTAGGTGTGTCAGGTGTGTAGGTGTGTGTGTGTCAGGTGTGTCAGGTGTGTAGGTGTGTGTGTGTCAGGTGTGTAGGTGTGTGTGTGTCAGGTGTGTCAGGTGTGTCAGGTGTGTGTGTGTCAGGTGTGTGTGTGTGTCAGGTGTGTGTGTGTGTCAGGTGTGTGTGTGTCAGGTGTGTGTGTGTGTGTGTCAGGTGTGTGTGTGTGTGTGTCAGGTGTGTGTGTGTGTGTGTCAGGTGTGTGTGTGTGTGTGTCAGGTGTGTGTGTGTGTGTGTCAGGTGTGTGTGTGTGTGTGTCAGGTGTGTGTGTGTCAGGTGTGTGTGTGTCAGGTGTGTGTGTGTCAGTGTGTCAGGTGTGTGTGTGTCGTGTGTGTCAGGTGTGTGTGTGTCGTGTGTGTCAGGTGTGTGTGTGTCGTGTGTGTCAGGTGTGTGTGTGTCGTGTGTGTCAGGTGTGTAGGTGTGTGTCGTGTGTGTCAGGTGTGTAGGTGTGTGTCGTGTGTGTCAGGTGTGTAGGTGTGTGTCGTGTGTGTCAGGTGTGTCGTGTGTGTCAGGTGTGTGTCAGGTGTGTGTCAGGTGTGTGTCAGGTGTGTGTGTGTCGTGTGTGTCAGGTGTGTAGGTGTGTGTCGTGTGTGTCAGGTGTGTGTCAGGTGTGTGTCAGGTGTGTGTGTGTCAGGTGTGTCGTGTGTGTGTGTCGTGTGTGTCAGGTGTGTCAGGTGTGTGTCGTGTGTGTCGTGTGTGTCAGGTGTGTGTCAGGTGTGTGTCAGGTGTGTGTGTGTCAGGTGTGTCAGGTGTGTGTCAGGTGTGTGTGTGTCAGGTGTGTCAGGTGTGTGTCAGGTGTGTGTCAGGTGTGTGTCAGGTGTGTGTGTGTCAGGTGTGTCAGGTGTGTGTCAGGTGTGTGTGTGTCAGGTGTGTCAGGTGTGTAGGTGTGTGTGTCAGGTGTGTGTGTGTCAGGTGTGTCAGGTGTGTGTGTCAGGTGTGTCAGGTGTGTAGGTGTGTGTGTCAGGTGTGTCAGGTGTGTAGGTGTGTGTGTGTCAGGTGTGTGTGTGTGTCAGGTGTGTGTGTCAGGTGTGTGTGTCAGGTGTGTGTGTCAGGTGTGTGTCAGCTGTGTGTGTGTGTCAGGTGTGTGTGTCAGGTGTGTGTGTGTGTGTGTCAGGTGTGTGTGTCAGGTGTGTGTGTGTGTCAGGTGTGTGTGTGTGTGTCAGGTGTGTGTGTCGGGGTGTGTGTGTCGGGTGTGTTCGCCAAGTTTGTTGCATCCGGTGTGTTATCCAGGTGTTAGCCATGTGTGTGTTAGCCAGATGTGTGTGTTAAGTGTGTAAGGTGTTAGACATGTGTGGTCGCCATGTGAAGTAGCCATGTTTGCGTGATGGGGCGTGTGATGGCATGTAATGGCATGTGATGGTCTGTGATAATGTGATTGAGTGTGTGATGGAGTGTGTGATGGAGTGTGTGATGGTGTGTGATAATGTGATGGTGTGTGTGATAATGTGATGGTGTATGATATTGTGATGGTGTATGATCATGCGATGGTGTGTGTGTGATAATGTGATGGTGTGTGTGTGCTAATGTGATGGTGTGTGATAATGTGATGGTTTGTGTGATAATGTGATGGTGTGTGATGTGATGGTTTGTGTGATAATGTCATGGTGTGTGATAATGTGATGGTGTATGAAAATGTGATGGTGTGTGTGATTTTGTGATGGTGTATGATAATGTGATGGTGTGTGTGATAATGTGATGGTGTGTGTGATAATGTGATGGTGTGTGATAATGTGAGAGTGTGTGTGATAATGTGATGGTGTGTGATGTGAGGGTGTGTGTGATAATGTGATGGTGTGTGTGATAATGTGATGGTTTGTGTGATAATGTGATGGTTTGTGTGATAATGTGATGGTGTGTGTGATAATGTGATGGTGTGTGTGCTAATGTGATGGTGTGTGATAATGTGATGGTGTGTGTGATAATGTAATGGTGTGTGATAATGTGATGGTGTGTGTGATGGTGTGTGTGATAATGTGATGGTGTGTGATAATGTGATGGTGTGATAATGTGATAGTGTGTGTGATAATGTGATGGTGTGTGTGATAATGTGATGGTGTGTGTGATAATGTGATGGTGTGTTTGATAATGTGATGGTGTGTTTGATAATGTGATGGTGTGTGATAATGTGATGGTGTGTGATAATGTGATGGTGTGTGATAATGTGATGGTGTGTGTGATAATGTGATGGTGTGTGTGATAATGTGATGGTGTATGATAATGTGATGGTGTGTGTGTGATAATGTGATGGTGTGTGTGTGATAATGTGATGGTGTGTGATAATGTGATGGTGGGTGTGTGTGCTAATGTGATGGTGTATGATGTGATGGTGTGTGTGTGTGTGATGGTGTTGGGGCATCTTCCAGACCGATTCAGCCTCAAATGAGTACCTGGTGCCGTGCGTAAAATCATCACCACTGGGGAGACAACGACAGCCAGGCGTGGTGCTGTCCACCCACCCTCTCGTGTGCCGTGCCGGCCTTCAAAGGCGCTTTTTAACAGCACTTGCTCCAACAGTCTGTTAATGCTGCACGGGGGATCTTTACCTTGTGTGATGGTGTGATGGTGTGTGTGATGATGTGTGTGATACTGTGACTGGAGCGTGCCACTAAGAGATTGGGCCTTACCATCAGCCCCACCAAAACTGAGCACCTGCCTGGGTATTTGTACCATTGGACACTCCACCCTCTCCACAACTCCCAATCGGTGATGGGGCAGTTGTGGAGAGAGTGGAGAGTTTCCCATACCTGGGCAGTGTGCTTATGACCGGCCCCAGTTTAACAGCAGAGGTCTCACTCCGAATCAGTCGAGCGGCAATATCTTTTCATCGGTTGCGTAACGCTGTGTGGAAGTTACCTGGTCTGTCGCTCCGCACTAAGCTTCAGGTCTTCTCGGCCACGGTCATTCCCTCCCTTCTCTACGCTTGCGAAACGTGGACCCCCCTAATGGAACATCTTCGCCGGTTAGAAACATTTAGGCTGGCCTGCCTACGATCCATCCTGGGTTTAACCAGACTGGATTGTGTGAGGAGCTCACAAATCCTTGAAAGATCTGGGCAAGGTCCCATCGGTGAGCTCCTCCGGCGGGCAAGGCTGCGATGGCTGGGTCATGTAGCCCGCATGCCCAGCCAACGCATGCCGAAACAGCTTTTGTTCGGCCGGATTGAGGGGGCTAAGCGGGCGCGGCACGGGCTAGAGAAGAGATGGAGTGATGTGGTACAGGAGGACGTGGAGCTGAGTGGACTTGCCGATGACTGGTACCAGCGGTGTCAAGATCGGCCTCTGTGGAGGAGGCTCGTGAAGGATGCTACTAGGCAGTTGGAGGCAGTCGCCCTCCAACAACAACGGAGGGCGGAGGAGCGACGCTCACAACAACGAGCGGAGCGCCGGGTGGCTAAAGCACAGCAGGTTGGCACAGTAGGGGGCACAGGTGGTGCATCAGCCAGTCATCTCAGTCAGTCGACCCGTGGCACCTGGGTATGCCCCGTGACCTCCTGCCAGCGGGCGTTCGACACTTCACGTGGCCTCAGGGTGCACATGGCCTGGCACAAGCGTCGTGGTGACGTCACCGCCACTTAGTGGCGAATGGCGGTTGTTGTTGTTGATGGTATGTGATGGTGTGATGGTGTGTGATGGTGTGTGTGATGGTGTGTGTGATTGTATGTGATGGTGTGATGGTATGTGATGGTGTGATGGTATGTGTGATGGTGTGTGATGGTGTGTGACGGTGTGTGTGATGGTGTGGTGGTGTGTGATGGTGTGTGATGGTATGTGATGGTGTGGTGGTGTGTGATGGTGTGTGTGATGGCACCCAGCGTGTATGATGGACCTGATGATGGGGCTGCTGGGAAGGAGTCCTCCCCCCCCCCCCCCACGTGATCACGGCTCCCACACTGCAGCCTCACGAGTGGAGCCATGGGCCAGTTCGTAACGACATCACTCACTCACCATCGCTCACCATCGCTCACCTTCACTCACCTTCACTCACCATCACTCACCATCACTCACCTTCACTCACCATCACTCACCTCCACTCACCTCCACTCACCATCACTCACCTCCACTCACCATCACTCACCATCACTCACCTCCACTCACCTCCACTCACCATCACTCACCTTCACTCACCTTCATTCACCATCGCTCACCATCCCTCACCATCTCTCACCTTCACTCACCTTAACTCACCGTCGCTCACCGTCACTCGCCACCACTCGCCACCACTCACACTTTGGAACAAAGATACATACCATTACACACCACTACAAAGATCCCCCGTGTAGCCTTAGAACTATTGAGGCACGTGCTGTTAGCGAGAAGCACGGCATACCAGGGGGGGTGGCCAGCACCACACCATTCAAAGACAAACCACAATCCCCAATCATAGCCCTGACCCGTGACCGAGTGGCCGTGACTTCTGACCAAGACTTCTGACCAAGTGACCGTGGCCGTGTTCGCGTCGTGCGAGCAGAGGCGATGGCGATGCCCGAGGCCCACGGGGAGAAGCTGCGGTCCCCGGCGAGGGGATCCGCGGGGGGCTCCACCGTGGCGGCATCGCCGTCAGTGCCCCCCGCCGAGGCCGTGGAGTGCCGCGTGTGCGGGGACCGCGCCTCGGGCTTCCACTACGGCCTCCACGCTTGCGAGGGATGCAAGGTACAAAGGAGTGAGAATCGGCACGTGGCCTGCGAGCCGACGGGGGTGGGTGGGCACTGATCGCTCCCACTTGCCGCTGCTCCCTCCCACTTGCCGCTGCTCCCTCCCACTTGCCGCTGCTCCCTCCCACTTGCCGCTGCTCCCTCCCACTTGCCGCTGCTCCCTCCCACTTGCCGCTGCTCCCTCCCACTTGCCGCTGCTCCCTCCCACTTGCCGCTGCTCCCTCCCACTTGCCGCTGCTCCCTCCCACTTGCCGCTGCTCCCTCCCACTTGCCGCTGCTCCCTCCCACTTGCCGCTGCTCCCTCCCACTTGCCGCTGCTCCCTCCCACTTGCCGCTGCTCCCTCCCACTTGCCGCTGCTCCCTCCCACTTGCCGCTGCTCCCTCCCACTTGCCGCTGCTCCCTCCCACTTGCCGCTGCTCCCTCCCACTTGCCGCTGCTCCCTCCCACTTGCCGCTGCTCCCTCCCACTTGCCGCTGCTCCCTCCCACTTGCCGCTGCTCCCTCCCACTTGCCGCTGCTCCCTCCCACTTGCCGCTGCTCCCTCCCACTTGCCGCTGCTCCCTCCCACTTGCCGCTGCTCCCTCCCACTTGCCGCTGCTCCCTCCCACTTGCCGCTGCTCCCTCCCACTTGCCGCTGCTCCCTCCCACTTGCCGCTGCTCCCTCCCACTTGCCGCTGCTCCCTCCCACTTGCCGCTGCTCCCTCCCACTTGCCGCTGCTCCCTCCCACTTGCCGCTGCTCCCTCCCACTTGCCGCTGCTCCCTCCCACTTGCCGCTGCTCCCTCCCACTTGCCGCTGCTCCCTCCCACTTGCCGCTGCTCCCTCCCACTTGCCGCTGCTCCCTCCCACTTGCCGCTGCTCCCTCCCACTTGCCGCTGCTCCCTCCCACTTGCCGCTGCTCCCTCCCACTTGCCGCTGCTCCCTCCCACTTGCCGCTGCTCCCTCCCACTTGCCGCTGCTCCCTCCCACTTGCCGCTGCTCCCTCCCACTTGCCGCTGCTCCCTCCCACTTGCCGCTGCTCCCTCCCACTTGCCGCTGCTCCCTCCCACTTGCCGCTGCTCCCTCCCACTTGCCGCTGCTCCCTCCCACTTGCCGCTGCTCCCTCCCACTTGCCGCTGCTCCCTCCCACTTGCCGCTGCTCCCTCCCACTTGCCGCTGCTCCCTCCCACTTGCCGCTGCTCCCTCCCACTTGCCGCTGCTCCCTCCCACTTGCCGCTGCTCCCTCCCACTTGCCGCTGCTCCCTCCCACTTGCCGCTGCTCCCTCCCACTTGCCGCTGCTCCCTCCCACTTGCCGCTGCTCCCTCCCACTTGCCGCTGCTCCCTCCCACTTGCCGCTGCTCCCTCCCACTTGCCGCTGCTCCCTCCCACTTGCCGCTGCTCCCTCCCACTTGCCGCTGCTCCCTCCCACTTGCCGCTGCTCCCTCCCACTTGCCGCTGCTCCCTCCCACTTGCCGCTGCTCCCTCCCACTTGCCGCTGCTCCCTCCCACTTGCCGCTGCTCCCTCCCACTTGCCGCTGCTCCCACTTGCCGCTGCTCCCACTTGCCGCTGCTCCCACTTGCCGCTGCTCCCACTTGCCGCTGCTCCCACTTGCCGCTGCTCCCACTTGCCGCTGCTCCCACTTGCCGCTGCTCCCACTTGCCGCTGCTCCCACTTGCCGCTGCTCCCACTTGCCGCTGCTCCCACTTGCCGCTGCTCCCACTTGCCGCTGCTCCCACTTGCCGCTGCTCCCACTTGCCGCTGCTCCCACTTGCCGCTGCTCCCACTTGCCGCTGCTCCCACTTGCCGCTGCTCCCACTTGCCGCTGCTCCGTTTTCCCGAAGCATTGCCCTGTTCGCCAGGGCTTCTTCCGCCGCACGCTGCGCCTGGCGCTGGTCTACCCGCGGTGCACGCGCGCCTGCACCGTGCACAAGAACAGCCGCAACAATTGCCAGTACTGCCGCTACCAGAAGTGCCTGCGGCTCGGCATGTCTCGCGACGGTGGGTGGCACGCACTCACTCGTGTCTGTGTGGTGTGTGTTCGTGTCTGTGTGGTGTGTGTGTGTGGTGTGTGTTCGTGTGTGTGTGGTGTGTGTTCGTGTCTGTGTGGTGTGTGTTCGTGTCTGTGTGGTGTGTGTTCGTGTGTGTGTGGTGTGTGTTCGTGTCTGTGTGGTGTGTGTTCGTGTCTGTGTGGTGTGTGTTCGTGTCTGTGTGGTGTGTGTTCGTGTCTGTGTGGTGTGTGTTCGTGTGTGTGTGGTGTGTGTTCGTGTGTGTGTGGTGTGTGTTCGTGTGTGTGTGGTGTGTGTTCGTGTGTGTGTGGTGTGTGGTGTGTGTTCGTGTGTGTGTGGTGTGTGTTCGTGTGTGTGTGGTGTGTGGTGTGTGTGGTGTGTGTTCGTGTCTGTGTGGTGTGTGTTCGTGTGTGTGTGGTGTGTGTTCGTGTCTGTGTGGTGTGTGGTGTGTGTTCGTGTCTGTGTTCGTGTGTGGGGAGCGGTGGTATAGCGGTGGTGTAGCGGTTAGCATGCCGTGCTACGAACTCGGCGACCTGAGTTCGATTCCCCGCTCACGGCCAACACCGGTGACTGTTGTTTGAACCGGTCCCGGAGCTCCCCTAGGTCGACTCGGCCTCAAATGAGAACCTAGTGTTCGGTGTGTAAACATCGCCAATGGGGAGACAAAGACGACCGGGCGTGGCGCTGGCCACCCACCCCCTCGTGTGCCGTGCCAGCCTTCATAGGTGCTGGCTAACAGCACTTGCCCCAACAGTCTGTTAAAGTGTGCACGTGGCCGCGTGTCCCCAGGGCTGTGTTGCGTCTGCGTGTGTGTGCGTGTGACTGCGAGGTCCGGATTATCCGGACCATGAGGAATGTCGCCGCTGCCAGCACGTGCCGGCTGACATTAGAACCCCCTCGCAAGCTCCACCCGCACGCAGCATACTTAGAGTTCCCTGTGGCGAGCGTAGACACGCGGTTCGAATCCGGTGGGCCGCCCTGGTTATTACTGCTGGGGTATCAACCGGTAAATACTGTGACGCGCAATCCACCTTGCTCGCAGTGGACGTCAAAGCTCCCCGTGACGCTATTTGAAGTGAGTAGTAAGCCCGTCTTGCGCCTGCATTGGTGAGCACCGAATTTGGCAGAATCACTCGATTGAGATTCCACACACAGCAGTGCACCGCCCCCCTCCCGCTTTCCTCACCACGAAAACCTGGCCAGGACCCTTCTGGAACAGAGTCACGAGCCTTAGTGAGGCTTTCCTGGGCGATGCGGTGGAGTGGCCGTGGTTGGTGATGCCCGGGGCTAACGCCGTGCGCCCCCACAGCGATTCGGTTTGGCCGCATGCCGCCCAGCGAACGAGACCGCATCCTGGCCGAGACGGCGCCGGAGGCGAGTGGCGGCCCTGGCGGCGGCGGTGCTGGCGATGGCAGCGGCATCGAGAGCGGCGGCGGCGGCGAGCGGAGCTCCCCGTCGCCGGCCGAGGACGGGGAGGAGGCACTGGCGGCGCTGGCGGCCCACGTGCAGGCCGCCTACCGCCGTACGTTCCCGCTCACCAAGGCCAAGGTGGAGGACATCCTCCGGGACCTGGAGTCGGTGAGAGACGGGGAGAGACGTGGCGGCGGATGCCGCGCTCTGCGCGCCATGAGGGGCGTTTGCCCAGCCACGCGCGCAGTCGCTCGTTCGTCGATGGGAGTTGGCTGCACGTCCCAGCATATAGGACCGCAGAGCTGGGAAATTTGGTCGGTCGATTGCGGACAGCCGTCGCGCGCGTGCCAAGGAGGGGAAGGAGGGCTGACGCGGAGTCGACCCCCGTCCGGGATCCGATCTCCACGGCATTCCGGTTGCGAGCCGCTCGCTTGAGCGCCTGCTCCCCGAGTCGAGTCGGTGTCTTGCTTTTGCCGTCGTGGCCTCGTGCAGCGATTCGTGACCAGTGCCGTCGCGGCCCACCTGGAGTGCCGGGGAGGTGATGTTCCAGGTGTGCTGCTGCTGCTGCTGCCGCTGTGGTATTTGTTACAATTGTCGGGAAGGAAGAAACCTCAAGCCCTCCACTCCCCGGCCCCCTCAATTCCCTCGCACGCTCAGTTGGGCAAAGATACTCGCGCAATTTGACAACTTCTTGTCACGGATTTGGGTAGCTCCACTTGACTTCTTTGTTCTCGATAAGATCAGTCGAGTTGTCTCGCAGCTCCTGCGCATTACCACCCACCCCACCCAGACCCAGCCACCCTCCCCCCCCCCCAGACCCAGCCACCCTCCCCCCCCCCCAGACCCAGCCACCCTCCCCCCCCAGACCCAGCCACCCTCCCCACCCAGACCCAGCCACCCTCCCCCCCCCCAGACCCAGCCACCCTCCCCCCCCAGACCCAGCCACCCTCCCCCCCCCAGACCCAGCCACCCTCCCCCCCCAGACCCAGCCACCCTCCCCCCCCAGACCCAGCCACCCTCCCCCCCCCCAGACCCAGCCACCCTCCCCCCCCCAGACCCAGCCACCCTCCCCCCCCCCAGACCCAGCCACCCTCCCCCCCCAGACCCAGCCACCCTCCCCCCCCCAGACCCAGCCACCCTCCCCCCCCAGACCCAGCCACCCTCCCCCCCCAGACCCAGCCACCCTCCCCTCCCCACCCAGACCCAGCCACCCTCCCCCCCCCAGACCCAGCCACCCTCCCCCCCCAGACCCAGCCATGTCGGCTGGGTTTGCAGTTCAGGACAGGGCCGGCAGGACCCGTTCTGCCTGTCGTGGCTCGGCACGCTCAAAATGTGGTCTAACAGGAGCAGCGGGAGTGGTCAGCATGCCGCGTGTGTGGTGTGTGTGTGTGGTGTGTGTGGTGTGGTGTGTGTGTTGTGGTGCGTGTGGTGTGGTGTGTGGGGTATGATGTGTGTGGTGTGTGTGGTGTGTGTCTGTGCTTGTGTGTGTGGGGGGGGGGGGTTTCGTCGGGATATGTTTCGGTGCATAACGCACAGCCACCCACCCCCTCGTGTGCAGGGCCGGCCCCTCATCGGTGCTGGCCGACAACCCCGATCGTTGTCATTGTGTCCTGCGCGAGTGAGCGAGCGTGCACGTGGGCGTGTCTTTTCACGTGTGTGTGTCTATTCACGTGTGTGTGTCTATTTACGTGTGTGCGTCTATTCACGTGTGTGTGTCTATTTACGTGTGTGCGTCTGTTCACCTGTGTGTGTGTCTATTCACCTGTGTGTGTCTATTCACATGTGTGAATGTCTATTCACCTGTGTGTGCGTCTATTCACCTATGTGTGTGTGTCTATTCATGTGTGTCTATTCACCTGCGTGTGTGCGTCTATTCACCTGTGTGTGTCTATTCACCTGTGTGCGTCTATTCACGTGTGTGCGTCTATTCACCTGTGTGTGTGTCTATTCACCTGTGTGTGTCTATTCACCTGTGTGTGCGTCTATTCACGTGTGGGTGTGTCTATTCACCTGTGTGTGTCTATTCACGTGTGTGTGTCTATTCACCTGTGTGTGTGCGTCTATTCACCTATGTGTGTGCGTCTATTCACCTGTGTGTGTATATATTCACCTGTGTGTGTATCTATTCACCTGTGTGTTTATATATTCACCTGTGCGTGTGTGCGCATCTGCCAACACAGCCCCGCCTCGTGCTGTCAGACGATGGGCACTGCGGTGGCGCCGTTTGCGCGTTGTGAGCTGTGCCATTTAGAGGGGCGGGTTGGGGGGGGCTGACGTTGGTCTACTAGTTTGGGGTGATCTTCATCCAGCAGTGGAGATGATCATGCCTGCCCAGTGCCGGGTTATCCCAGTAACAAAAGTAGCTACTACATACGTAGTAGTAGCTACGTATGTAGTAGCTGCCACGTATGTAGTAACTACATACGTAGTAGCTACACGTGTGTGTAGTAGCTACGGGTGTGTGTAGTAGCTACGGGTGTGTGTAGTAGCTACGGGTGTGTGTAGTAGCTACGGGTGTGTGTAGTAGCTACGGGTGTGTGTAGTAGCTACGGGTGTGTGTAGTAGCTACGGGTGTGTGTAGTAGCTACGGGTGTGTGTAGTAGCTACGGGTGTGTGTAGTAGCTACGGGTGTGTGTAGTAGCTACGGGTGTGTGTAGTAGCTACGGGTGTGTGTAGTAGCTACGGGTGTGTGTAGTAGCTACGGGTGTGTGTAGTAGCTACGGGTGTGTGTAGTAGCTACGGGTGTGTGTAGTAGCTACGGGTGTGTGTAGTAGCTACGGGTGTGTGTAGTAGCTACGGGTGTGTGTAGTAGCTACGGGTGTGTGTAGTAGCTACGGGTGTGTGTAGTAGCTACGGGTGTGTGTAGTAGCTACGGGTGTGTGTAGTAGCTACGGGTGTGTGTAGTAGCTACGGGTGTGTGTAGTAGCTACGGGTGTGTGTAGTAGCTACGGGTGTGTGTAGTAGCTACGGGTGTGTGTAGTAGCTACGGGTGTGTGTAGTAGCTACGGGTGTGTGTAGTAGCTACGGGTGTGTGTAGTAGCTACGGGTGTGTGTAGTAGCTACGGGTGTGTGTAGTAGCTACGGGTGTGTGTAGTAGCTACGGGTGTGTGTAGTAGCTACGGGTGTGTGTAGTAGCTACGGGTGTGTGTAGTAGCTACGGGTGTGTGTAGTAGCTACGGGTGTGTGTAGTAGCTACGGGTGTGTGTAGTAGCTACGGGTGTGTGTAGTAGCTACGGGTGTGTGTAGTAGCTACGGGTGTGTGTAGTAGCTACGGGTGTGTGTAGTAGCTACGGGTGTGTGTAGTAGCTACGGGTGTGTGTAGTAGCTACGGGTGTGTGTAGTAGCTACGGGTGTGTGTAGTAGCTACGGGTGTGTGTAGTAGCTACGGGTGTGTGTAGTAGCTACGGGTGTGTGTAGTAGCTACGGGTGTGTGTAGTAGCTACGGGTGTGTGTAGTAGCTACGGGTGTGTGTAGTAGCTACGGGTGTGTGTAGTAGCTACGGGTGTGTGTAGTAGCTACGGGTGTGTGTAGTAGCTACGGGTGTGTGTAGTAGCTACGGGTGTGTGTAGTAGCTACGGGTGTGTGTAGTAGCTACGGGTGTGTGTAGTAGCTACGGGTGTGTGTAGTAGCTACGGGTGTGTGTAGTAGCTACGGGTTGTGTGTAGTAGCTACGGGTGTGTGTAGTAGCTACGGGTGTGTGTAGTAGCTACGGGTGTGTGTAGTAGCTACGGGTGTGTGTAGTAGCTACGGGTGTGTGTAGTAGCTACGGGCCCCGCACTTTCAAGGGCCCCGCGCTAAACGCTTTCAAGCTATCAGTTCCGGTTCAGTGATTCTGCACTTGCTCGATTACTATAGTACTATACCGCCTTCGAATTTATGAACGACTGGGTGTTTAAGGTTAGCGATTTGTCGTATTATCTGCCTGTATAGCGAATGAAAACAATACAATTGCTTTACTATGCAAGTAAAAAATGTGTTTTAATATTTGTGTTGATTTTAATTTGGGGCCCCTATTTAAAACTAGCTTCTTTGCCCATCCTAGGACGAAGCAGAGCATATCTTGTGTAAATTTGATGGCAGTGAATCTTGCACAAAACGAAGTCATAAAACACCTCACTTCATGTCACTGTAGCACTGTATATAACTGACCTTCAATTTGTTCAAATTCACTGCTCTGATACTTTATTCTCTTCTGCTTTCAGTCGCTGGGGTTGAAATTAATTGGAAATCGATACAATATCTGGAAAATCACCGAGAAATGTCTATTTTACCATCATGTAGAAACATAAATTAGACTTCACTTTTGTCTCAAGTGCTGAAAAAATAAATAAAGACACCAAATCCACTTTGCTGCTGTGTAGAATTATTTATTAGATTCACTTTCAATAAAGAAACGTCAAACTTAAAGCGAATTTGCGAAAAAAAAGTCAGTGTAAAAATCTACCCGCTCATGAATATTAATGAGGGGGGGGTGGGCCTCATGTGGAGTGACGTCACGCGGGGAGGTGAGCCTCATGTGGAGTGACGTCACGCGCGGGACGGACAGACATTTCTGGGTGATTATAGCAGGTGATGTGTCATCGGGCATTGTGCCTGCCGCTGATTGTCGGTGTCCACGATGCTCGTGGCGCGTGCGAGTCAGGTGTTGATCGTTCGGGACATGCGGTCCTTCGCGGAGTTCGGCAAAAGCATCGGACTCACTCAGCTGGTAGCGCCGAGCGAGCGCGACCCCTCGATGGAGGCGATGCTCCGGGAACAACTGCAGGCGGCGCCCGGACAGGAGTCGGGTGCGGCGGCGGCGGTGCCAGGCGCGGTGCAGCTGGTCCACTTCTTCAACCGGTTTCAGTACCGCATAGCCGACGTGGTGCGCCAGGTCACAGAGTTCGCCAAAGCCATCCCGGGGTTTGGCGCCATCGACATCAACGACCAGGTGAGGGACGGGGGCGGTGCCCGATTAAGCGAGTGTCCGGCCTGGCCCATACGTATAACAGGGGCCCCTAAATAAATAAATAAAATACTTCAATATTAAAACACATACATTTTTTACTTGAATAGTTAAGTAATTGTATTTTTTTGTTTGCTATACAGCCTGATAATACGACAAATCCATAACCTTAATCACCCAGTCGTTCATAAAAGTCGAAGGCGGTGTAGTACTATTGTAATAGAGCAAGGGCAGAATCACTGAACGGAATTGATGGCTTGAAAGCATTTAGCGCGGGGCCCTTAAAAGTGCGGTGCCCGTAGCTACTACACGTGTAGTAGCTACTGCTACATATGTAGACCTATGTAGTAGCTACTACTACACGTGAAGTAGCTACTAGGATCATCCGGCACTGGTGTGCGGGGAGCATGGGGGTCGCGCCTACACAAGAACAAAGACCCCCCGTATAGCCTGTAACAGTGCTGTTCGCGAGCACCTTTGAAGGCCAGAACGGCACGTGAGGGGGTGGGTGGCCAGCACCACGCCTCGCCGCCTTTTTCTCCCTCGTGACGATGTTTACACATCGCACCAGGTACTCATTTGAGGCCGAGTCGACCTAGGGGAGGCCCCGGACCTGTTCAGATAATCGTCACCGTTGTTGGCCATGAGCAGGACTCGAACTCGGGTCACCAGGTTCAAAGTTGCGTGCAATGCCACACCCGGACACAACGTACTGTTATATATGTGGGTGTTATGAAAATTGGATGAAAACAATGAAAATTAAATGAAATTTGAAATTTGCATAATGTATCAGAAATTATGTTAATGTGTAATTATGCGTATAAATTTTGCTAATTCGAGAGGTAATCGTATTAATTATACGAGTGGGTGTGGTTATGTTAATGATGGCCTTTATGATAATCAGGCCCCACCTCGTTGACGAGGTGGTGTTATCAATCGGGATAATGCAATTAATCGTATGCAGTTATGCTAGTGTCAAGAGTCAACTCGGCTTCGTGGTTTAACTTTGTATTATCGATCAGGATAATACAATGATTCTCGCTTTAGCATTTACCAAGTATGGATTAGAGTTTATGTTAGGTCCCCAAGTTCATATCATTCTCGCTTTAACATTTACTGAGTATGGATTAGTGTGTGTATGTTAGGTCCCCAAGTTCAGGTCTCATTTAGAGTATTTTAATGTAAGGTCCCCGAGTTCATATCTCAGTTAGAGTGTTTGTGTAAGGTCACCAAGTTCATATCTCATCGCAGAACCAGATCTTATGCATAGATTTCAGTAAAGAATCACAGGACCACTTCTACATTAATACATTTATTTCTAATTAAACCTTAACTCTAAAAGATACAACTCTCGGCTTGGAATTACAACACAGTATCAACACAGTCTCATCAATGACTGGGTTGTTTCACTTTGACCACAGCACCTGTGGTTAACTCCGCCGCGTGACGCGAGCTGTTGGTGAAGGAGAGTCGTTAAAACATCTAAACACAACAAAACTCTATTGTGAGAGATTATACGGGAATTCACTCTATTAGGAAAGATTATATGACGATATTAATACGAAAGAGGTGATCAAAACAGTTATTATTCCCAAAGACACAAATATCTCAACAGATCCATCGGGTAGATTCATATGATTACCGCAATGGCTTAGGGTGAGGGGGTGCGGTGGGGTGTGCTCTCTCCCCTGATATCCTTATCTTGGACTAACGTTTAATTAATTGTGGACCAGATCGCCTGATAAGGAAGCCGGTTGGATACGCTATTCCCCCCCACGTGAGCATAGCTCCGTGGTGAAGTTGTCAAGGATTCATTCGTATTGATGGATCGGTTGGTACTTATGCGATTAGAAGTACAGCCCAAAACAAAATATTAAGGAGGAAATATTACGAATATACTTATAAACGACGGAGTGTTCACTCGATCTGCCGCAATGCCTTCACAGCCACTGATGGCCTATGGACTTGGGTATTGGCTTCCGGTTAAGGACCCGTGTATGTTTGAGGGATATGGCGACGTTCCCTCATACGACCTTTACCGACGCACGGAGAAATGGTTAAGTTTTTCTTAAGTTAACATTTTCATCACAGACTTACAGTTATGATTCTGCACGTGACCCGAGGTCTGCTGTGTTTGCTGTGTCAGTCTTCCCTCGTGGCGCTTGACTTTAGCTCCATGGAAAGTGCTTTCTTACGCATATGTATACTCTCATCATGTACAGCAGGGAGACAAAGGCGACTCGGAGACACTCTTTTTCCCTGGCCCCCGGTTTAACATCGCTCAAGTGTCCGCAAGACCATGCCAGCCGGACATAGCTCATGGTGAATAGCGTTAACATTAACGCTGTATGAAATTACATGGTTCCTTTAACTGAAACTCCCTGCCCCACTCTCTCGCTGTCTGTCTCAGTCTCTGCCCCATTATCGTGCAACTGCTAGCTTTAGCACAGACACCCGATGGTCTCTCCCACCCTCGCTTCAGGGCTGCGCCTTTATCCGGACTACACTGCCATGCACCTCAAGGTTTCTCATTAATTTCGTCATTTCGTCTGGCAGCGGTGGAGGAGTGTTATATATCGGTTCTCAGCCTTGAGTACAGGTGGCAGCAATAATGAGCCGGCTCTGTCCTCTCTCACGCTACGATCTAGACAAAGGCGCCTCTGCTCCTCTTCCATTGCCCTTGGGTCAACACTGCACTATTATTCGCCTATGCTAAGGTTAGGGAATTCGTTTTGACTTCAGTAAAAGTTCTGTTTGTCATACGCTTCGGTCAGGTTGTACAGAAACTTATTAAAGATGAATTAACATTCAGTATTGGATTAGCAAATGGGCAATAATTCATTGCTGTAGCTCGTAACCTTGTCTCCAATTGGAGCGAGCACGAGGATCGATAGTTTAGCCTACTCCTATTGTCGAATTTCGAACTTTAACGTTACTTTAAAGCAATGCAGTGTAACGGGATGATCTTTTTGACTTACCTATGTCTGCGGCTACTGTGAACTCTCCGCGACCCTAGGCACCGCTTGCTCTCAGCCTGCAGGTTGCTGTGTTGCGCTCTGTCTGCCTCATTATTTAATTTCAAAACAACGGCCCTCTCATGGCCTCCACGTGCAGTTTGTTTAGGTTAGCCCTACCTTGTGGCTTATTGTGGTGGTTGCTGTAGTTGGGTGGTTGTCGTTGTCGTCGACGGCGCAGGTGACGCTGCTCAAGTACAGCGTGTACGAGGCCATGTTCACCATGATGGCGGGACACGTGCGGGAGGACGGCATGCTGCTGGCAGGCGGCGGCGTCTATATCTCGCGACCCTTCTACGACGCCGTGCGCAGCAACTTCAACAGCAGCGACTCCAAGTTCGAGTTCTCGCAGCGCTTCAACGCGCTGGGCTTGCTCGACGACGACATCGCCGTCTTCCTCGCCGCCATCGTCCTCTGCGACGGTGGGTGCGCGACTTCTCCACGTGGAGCGGGCGCGCAGCGGTGATAGCGCTGCGATCTCAGCCCGGCGGGCCGAGTTTTCTAGTCCTGCTGGTGACCAGTAACAGCGGAGATTGTTTTAACTGGTCGTAGTCCCTTCCCTAGGTCAACTCAGCCTTGACCAAGTACCTGGTAGGGTGTGTAAAAACATCAGCACTGGGGAGACAAAGGCGGCCGGGCGTGGTGCTGGCCACCCACCCCCTAGTGTGCCATGCCGTGCCGGCCTTCATAGGTGCTACTCGCTAATGGCACCTGCCCCTACAGTCTTGTCAAGGCTATACGGGGGGGGGGGTCATCTTTGTCTGTGGCACCGTGTGCCAATGTATGGCAATGTGTCACCGTGTCACTGTGCAACTGTGTTGTGTGCCTGTGTGTCACTGCGTGCACCGGGGAGCAGACCGTCCGGGCCTGGTGAACGTGGCGGCCGTGGAGCGGCTTCAGATGCGCATGCTGCAGGCGCTGGCGCTGCAGTTGCGCCGAGCGCACCCCCGCTGCCCCTTCCTCTTCCCCAAGCTGCTGCAGAAGCTGGCCGACTTGCGCCAGCTCGTCACGGAGCACGTGGAATTCGTGGAGAACTACCGGCGCACGCAGGCGGGTGCCAAGCTGCACCCGCTGCTGCTCGAGATTCTCACCGACATGTACTGAGATGCTCGCCGATACTCACCAACTTGTAAAGAGATACTTGCTGATACTCACCGACTTTAAATGTATTCTTGATGCACACGGGCATGTGAACCTGATGTAGAGACATTGAAATGTATTGGAATACCCATCGACATGGTACCAAGATAGTAATCATGGATACGTAGTGGAGGGCAGGATGAGGGCAGTCGTGGCACTCCGCACTACGGGGCAAGATTGTCCTCGGTTCGATTCCCGACTCAGGCACTGCCGTGTTTGTATTATCTCCCCCTGGTTTGCATGGGGTTTTCTGTGTTTTCTGGTTTGCTCCCACAGCTAACAAAAACGTGGAACTGGTATTGGACCAAACATCCCAATGGTGAAAAATTACCTGCAAATTGAGATTGCACTCTCCTGCAAACACTTGGCAGGACCCTGCTGTAAGGGCGTTGAGACTCATCGAGGCTCCCCTGAGTAAGCGAGCATAAATAAAGTCAGACACCGATGGGAACCTGAGCTAGCGCAACCGGCGTGCGTTAACATGATCGTGGTGCAGAGCACCCATGGCTCGTGGACACGACGAAGCACAGACACGCGGCACCTACTGCTGGTGGTCAGAGGCCTTTGTCTCTCCGGGTTGCTGGTGGGCACCAGGTAGTAGCCACCGACGATAGTCGGAGTGGTACTGAATGTGGTGTGCCGGGTGACGCGTGGCAAAAGAGATGACTGGCAGACGTTCCACCACCGCTTGGTCTGTGCCGGCGTGCGAGTTGACAGCGTTGGCAGTAATCCCTTTGGCTCCACTCCATGATGTTTTCATCCTCTCGACACGTCCTTCTTTGTCTTTACTCTTCCTGATCTGTAGTAGTCGAATAGTACAGCAGCCCTTTGTCAAGTAATCCACTGCTGGATGAAGGCCTCCGAACACCGCCGATGGAACGAACTTTGCCTACACTGGTCGACGTTGCTGCATTGGCCCGGTGACCAACACAGGAACTGCCACGGCCAAGGGTTGAGATGCTGGCATGTACCCGACCCCACCGCCGCCGGTCTTAAGCCATGGCAAGACACTCCACAGAAGCCCCTTTTATTAAACCAACCCTATACATGGAACTGTTAGGATCACACCACGAATACTATAAACGAAGATTTCACCGCGAACTCGGCGGCCGCTTCATAGTAAAATGCAGGCGCTGCGCCACGAGCTTCATAAACACAGCAGCAACGACGCCAATAAAAGGATAACCACCACCACCACTCGCATGCAGACACCATGCCGCTATGTACAAAGTTTACACAGACCACCTTCCAGTTCGTGAACCTCGTTTGCTTTCGAACGTCTTTTCGTGGAAAAGTATGAAATAAAAACGCACTTAATTATCCATCGCTTTTTTCCTAATGAAAATGAGCATGGCATCCGATGTGTTTAAAAAAAAAAACCCTCCACATCACAGCCACAGAATCTCAAATGCAAAACGCCACTGCCATGCAAAACCACCCAGTAGCAGCCACCACAGTCATGTGGGCCCACAGGACTTATCGCAAGCATGCAACAACACCCGTCCATTCAGACCAAAGTGCAAGGCCCCGCAGACCACAGGGCAGTGGACATGGTCCTGTAGACCAAGGGGTAATGACCAGGGCCCCATAGACCACAGGGCAATGTAGGTGGCCCTGTAGGCCAGGATACAGCCCTGTACACCACAGGGCCTTGCAGACCACAGGCTCCAACGAGCACCAGGACACAAGAGGGCGCCTTGCGAGGGACATCGCGACTGGCGCTGGGTACAGTGATATGTTTAATTTCTTCCATAAGGCCTCGAGGCAGGGCTGTGCCACCCGGTCGCAAACCGGTGCCCATTCACAGTGAGGACGCGCAGCGCGGGCGCCGCATTAGCGCCTGCGCTCCCATATGTGGCAAAAAAAGAAAGGCGCGACCCGGCAAGGTATGCGAGCGGCTCCCAACTCCGCATGGGCGAGCAAGAGCAGCATGGAGCAGCTGCAGCCACATGGAGCAGCATTGACAAGCGTGGAACAGCAGCAGGAGCATATGGAGCAGCACGGACAAGCGTGGAGTAGCATGGGGCAGCAGCATGGGGGAGCAGCATGGACAAGTGTGGAGCAGCAGTATGGACTAGTGTGGAGCAGCAGTATGGACTAGCATGGAGCAGCATGGAGCAGCAGGAGCCACACGTAGCAGCATGAACTAGCATGAAGTAGCAGCATGGACGAGCATGGAGCAGCAACATGGACTAGATTGGAGCAGCAGGAGCCATTGTCGGCTGTGTCCAGATTTTAGCGCTAAAATGTAGCAGACCTTGGGTCAACTCTGTGTGATTATTGAGATGTTCTCATTAAAGTTGTTAGACCCGGAATGATATTAACACTGTTCACTCAGATTTGTTCACCGTGCTAGAAAGCTGAATTGGAAGCGGAGACCTCTGGATTGCAAGCTCCGGAGTGATAACCGTGACAACCACGGCGGCTCCTGTCTACCCAAACTACGATCGACTCGCCACGAACGCCACAACTACGATCGCAGCCGCGCGCCACTTGTCGTAGCTCACCGTCACGAGCGACGCAGTCGCTAGCGGGGATTGGACCCCAGGAGTTCGCCCCGTCGCCCTACAGACAGCACAGCAAGGGTTTTCTCCTTCGTGTTTAGTGATTGTTTCCCCCCCTTAGATTCGCGTTCTTAACGCAACCGTGCCGGCACCACGGTCAAGGCCTTGCCGCCGGTTTCACAGAGGCACTACGGCAGCCTCACCCGAGAATAAGGCACATCGTGGCCACCACTGCGTCCACCAGCCCGCTCGTGGAGGCAGACAGGGAAGGCGGGCGGGTTAAGGCTTCAGTGTTGTAAGACCCCAGGGCAGCATAAGTAAACTGACAAGGCTGGAGAAACATTACCCAAAAGGCAAAACCACCACCAAGATGACAGTGCACACACCCACACACAGCCTTATACACCCGATGGGGCAATTGCTGTTAGCGAGCACCTATTGAGGCACATGCTCACACGCAGACAAGCACGCGTTCATGAAATAACAGCTCGATTGAACGCCATAATGGGTTTTTTCTGTTAGTCCCCACGAGGAAAGGTCGACACCGATGGTTTGGCTGACTGGCCTTCATCAGGACACGACCTGAAACGTGTTCTTGTCGAAGAACCTGCGAGCTCACCGATTGGTTTGCGATAAGTTCATGGAAGCAGCAACTCCTCGCGGCGATCCGCGCGATCACCATCGCGATCGTGTGCATACACGGGCATGCACACTCACCTCGAGCACACGCTCACTCACATGACCACATGCTTTACACGCTCGCCCACATGCTCACTCACAGATTCGCACGGCTTCACAAGCATACCCACAGGCTCACCACCCTCATGCTCTTGTGCCAGGCTAAGTGCACTTTTGAAGCCATCACGTGACGTGGAGAAGGCTTGCTGCTGGCAGGTCACGAGACAGACCCAGGTATTATAGGTTGACCGAGATGACTGGAAGATGCACCACCTGTGCTCCCTATTGTGCCAACTTATTGTCGGGGGGGTGACCACCTCCAACTGCCCAGTAGCGTCCTTCACGAGCCTCCTCCTACACTGAGGCCGATCTCGACACAGTTGGTACGTCACCGGCAAGTCCAATCAGCTCCACATTCTTTCGTACCACATCTACTTACTATACGAACTCTCACACACACGCATACACTCAGATGCTCGCACACGTGCACAACCCCGTGCTGGTTGCAGCACATGAGTGCCCTGCCGTGTCTGGGAGCGATGGCGTCCATCTCCTCTTGTACGACGAGTGCCGTCCAAGCCACCACTCCCACATGTTGGGGTGGCGGTGGGGCAGCATCACTCGCCGGTGTGCGGTAGAGGCGGGTACCATCAGAACGCCATCATCTTCCGGCTCGTGAGTGAGGAGGAGAGGTACCACCCCTGTCTGGCGAGCGTGGTTCACGGCGGACACCATCCCCCACCCCCCCCACCCCCCCCGGTGTGCGCTAAGGGATACCCATAACTTGCCGATGTATGCAGTTTGGGGGGGGGGGGAGTGAGAAGGGGTGGGGGGTGGTAGGACCATCCCATTTCCTTTCCAGTGCGATGGAGCAGGAGAGTGGAGCGCCCTCCCCTCGCCGGTTGCAGTGGGGGGGGGGGGGAGGGGGCGCCATCACTTGCCGCCGAAGCGCGTGGGCTGCATGAACATGGAGCGCAGGTCGTCGAGGTCGAGGCCGGCGCGGTGCAGCGACGGCTCCGAGGCGCTGCGGTGGATCTTGGGCAGTGCGTGCGCCAGCAGCTCGATCGACGCCAGGATCTGCGGCGCCGGCGGCACCGGGAAAAGGGAATCGCCACGGAAGCGGCGTCGGTGACCACAATGGCGTCGGCCAATTTGTGGCAAGGGCGCGCCTGTGTACATGCGTGTGTGCGCACTTGGGCGAGCGCGTGTGTGCCAAGGGGCCGACAGCGCACGTGCACACGTGGGGAGCGGTGGCGCAGTGGCATGCAGGCTGCGCTACGAACCCGGTGAGTTCGATACCCGCTCACGGCCAGCAGCGGTGACGATTATCTGAACCGGTCCTGGGCCTCGACTCGGCGTCAAAGGCGTACTTGGTGCGGCGTGTAAACATCAGCAATGGGGAGGCAAAGGCAGTCGGGCGTGGTGGTGGCCACCCTCCCCTTCGTGCGCTGTGCTGACCTGGCCAACAACCTGAACAAGTTCTACTGCAGATTTGAAAGACAACTGGACTGTCCTGAACCACCCCTTCCCACCCAAGAGGCCCCATCCCCCACCCCTACTACAGAGTCGACTCTATCCTTTCAGGAGGGGGAAGTTAATAGACTTTTCAAGAGGCAGAACCCACGCAAAGCAACTGGGCCGGACTCTGTCTCTCCAGCCACCCTCAGGCACTGCGCTGACCAGCTGTCTCCGGTGTTCACCAACATCTTTAACACCTCCCTGGAGACATGCCATGTACCAGCCTGTCTCAAGTCCTCCACCATCATCCCTGTGCCCAAAAATCTAAGGCCAACAGGACTAAATTATTATAGACCGGTCGCCGTTACCTCTGTGGTAATGAAGTCTTTTGAGCGCCTGGTCCTGGCACACCTCAAAGCCATCACAGACCCTCTCCTGGACCCCCTTCAGTTTGCCTACAGAGCCAACAGGTCTGTGGACGACGCAGTTAACATGGCCCTCCACTTCACCCTACAGCATCTGGACTCCCAAGCATCCTACGCCAGGATTCTGTTTGTGGACTTCAGCTCTGCCTTCAATACCATCATCCCTGCCCTGCTTCAGGACAAGCTCTTCCAGCTGAACGTGCCCGACTCCACCTGCAGGTGGATCACAGACTTCCTGTCTGACAGGAAGCAGTGCGTTAAGCTGGGAACACAAGTCTCTGACTCCAGGTCCATCAGCACCGGAACTCCTCAGGGCTGCGTCCTTTCCCCACTGCTCTTCTCCCTGTACACCAACAGCTGCACCTTCAATCATCTGTCCATCAAACTCTTGAAGTTTGCGGACGACACCACCCTCATTGGGCTGATCTCTGGTGGGGATGAGTCTGACTATAGGTGGGAAGCTGACAACTGGTGACCTGGTGTAGCCAGAACAACTTAGAGCTAAATGCTCTAAAGACAGTTGAGATGGTTGTGGACTTCAGGAAGAATACAGCCCCACTCACCCCCATCACCCTGTGCGACTCCCCAATCAAAACTGTGGAGTCCTTCCGCTTCCTGGTCACTATTCTCTCCCGTGACCTCAAGTGGGAACTGAACATCAGCTCCCTCACCAAGAGAGCTTAACAGAGGATGTACTTCCTACGGCAGCTGAAGAAATTCAACCTGCCAAAGACAATGATGGTGCACTTCTATACAGGAATCATTGAATCCATCCTCACCGCCTCCATAACCGTCTGGTACGCTGCTGCCACTGCCAAGGACAAGAGCAGACTGCAGCGTATCATCCACACTGCTGAGAAGGTGATTGCCTGCAATCTACCAACCCTAGAGGACCGGCACACCTCGAGGACCATGAGGCGAGCGAGGAAGATTGTGGCCGATTCCTCCCACCCTGGACACTCTCTGTTCCAGCTACTCCTCTCCGGCAGAAGGCTGCGGTCCATCAGGACCAAAACCTCACGCCACAAAAACAGTTTCTTCCCACCCGCTGCTGGCCTCTTCAACAAGGCCAAGGGCTTACACTGACTTTAACATTTTATCTACAAAGTGACACCTAGCCATATTTACACTGTTACACTATTTGTATTTTTTTGTATTTTTAGATTGTATCTTATAGCTACTTTATACTCAATATTTATTCAAAATTTTACACACTTTAGCCCCTTAGTGTTAGTTAGACTTTGTACCTTTAGTATAGTTAGACTTGTATACCACTTATTTAAGATTTAAGATTCCTATATGTTGAATGTATGCACCTTCCTGCCAAAGTAAATACCTTGTCTGTGTGCACTTTCATGGTGAATAAAACCCTTTCTGATTCTGATTCTGAAAGGTGCTAGCTAACAGGACTTGCCCCAAAAAGTCTGTCAAGGCTACAGGAGGGGTTCTGTGTCTTAGCGCATGCGTGTGCGCCCTCACCTGTGTGAAGAGGGGCCGCTCGTCGCGCAGCTTCTTGAGGCAGTCGGCCATGAGCCTTCTCATGGCCTTAGGGCAGTTCCCACAAACCTTGCTCAGGTCCGGAGACAGGTAACCCCGCCCCACCATGAACAGGATCTGTGGTGGGGGGGGGGACAGGGCAGCGGGCGGGGTGATGCACGCGCTCGCGTGTGCTTGTTCGCGTGTGCATGCGCGTGTGTGGCAGATGTGTCGGTGTGCACGCGTGTGTCTGCGTGAGGAGCGGTAGTGTAGCGGTTAGTGTGCTGCACTATGAACCCGGCGAGTTCGATTCCCTCTCACGGTCAACACCAGGGACGATTATCTGAATCGGTCCTGGGGCTCCCCCGGGTCGACTCAGTCTCAAATTAGTACCTGCTACAATGTGTAAGCATTGCCACTGGGGAGACAAAGTCGGTCGGGCGTGGTGCTTGCCACCCACCCCCTCGTGTGCCGTGCTGGCCTTCATAGGTGCTCGCTAACAGCACTTGCCCCAACAGTCTGCTAAGGCTATACAGAGGATCTTTGTCTTTGTGTGCATGTGTGGGGGGTTAACCTGGTCTCTGGAACAGATGTGTGGGTATGTGCGTGTGTGCGTGTGACCTGGTCTCAGGAGCCGATATGCACGTGTGTGCACGTGTTTGCATATGACCTGGTCTCGGGAGCCGATGTGCGCGTAGGGCAGCTCCTTGGCCATGAGCTCGTAGAGCACGATGCCAAATGCGTATACGTCAGACTTGAACGTGTACGGGTTCGTGTCCTGCATGCGGACCACCTCTGGGGCCTCCACACATGGGCGCACAACATACACACGGCACGCGTTATACATCACACACCCACACTGCCAAGGGGGGTGGGGCTACATAATGGGGGTGAGGCTACAGGACAGGGGGTGGGGCTACAGGACAGGGGGTGGGGCTTACAGAAAAGATCCCAGTATAAAGAGTTAAATGACAGATGACTGGGAGATGCAACACCTGTGCCACACACCACACTAATTACACCAACACAGCCAGGTACACACAGACTACACCTCACCACACACACCACGCCCTCACCATCCACAGGATGGAGCCGGACAGGTTCTCCACTTGCTGAGCTCCGCTCCAGCGCGACTTGACGGTGGCGAGCCCGAAGTCTCCGATCTTCACTGTGAGACCCTCGTGCAGGAAGATGTCTTGCGCCGGCTCGTTAAGGGGGACGGCTTCAGAAGGGTCTCGTTAAAGGGGTGGTTCATTAAAGGGCAGCTTATTATGGGGGGGGGTTAGCTAGATACTAGGGAGAGTATGGGCACACACTTTCCACGTGTGTGCAATATTCATGTTTACAGCAACCCACATTCGCTTTGACGTCACCATGGCAAACGGGAAAGCTAACACGCGACCACCCTCGCACACCCGCACACATGTACACCTGTACAAAGAACCCCCGTACAGTGAGGGAAAAAAGTATTTGATCCCCTGCTGATTTTGTACGTTTGCCCACTGACAAATAAATGATCAGTCTATAATTTTAATGGTAGATTTATTTGAACATTGAGAGACAGAATAACAACAAAATCCAGAAGAAGGCATGTCAAAAATGTAAGAAATTGATTTGCATTTTAATGAGGGAAATAAGTATTTGACCCCTCTTCAAAACATGACTTAGTACTTGGTGGAAAAACCCTTGTTGGCAATCACAGAGGTCAGATGTTTCTTGTAGTTGGCCACCAGGTTTGCACACATCTCAGGAGGGATTTTGTCCCACTCCTCTTTGCAGATCTTCTCCAAGTTATTAAGGTTTCCCTCCACAGATTTTCTATGGGATTAAGGTCCGGAGACTGGCTAGGCCACTCCAGGACCTTAATGTGCTTCTTCTTGAGCCACTCCTTTGTTGCCTTGGCCGTGTGTTTTGGGTCATTGTCATGCTGGAATACCCATCCACGACCCATTTTCAATGCCCTGGCTGAGGGAAGGAGGTTCTCACCCAAGATTTGACGGTACATGGCCCCGTCCATCGTCCTTTGATGCGGTGAAGTTGTCCTGTCCCCTTAGCAGAAAAACACCCCCAAAGCATAATGTTTCCACCTCCATGTTTGACGGTGGGGATGGTGTTCTTGGGGTCATAGGCAGCATTCCTCCTCCTCCAAACACGGCGAGTTGAGTTGATGCCAAAGAGCTCCATTTTGGTCTCATCTGACCACAACACTTTCACCCAGTTGTCCTCTGAATCCTTTAGATGTTCATTGGCAAACTTCAGACGGGCATATATATGTGCTTTCTTGAGCAGGGGGGCCTTGCGGGCGCTGCAGGATTTCAGTCCTTCATGGCGTAGTGTGTTACCAATTGTTTTCTTGGTGACTATGGCCCAGCTGCCTTGATATCATTGACAATATCCTCCCGTGTAGTTCTGGGCTGATTCCTCACCGTTCTCATGATCATTGCAACTCCACAAGGTGAGATCTTGCATGGAGCCCCAGGCCGAGGGAGATTGACAGTTATTTTGTGTTTCTTCCATTTGCGAATAATCGCACCAACTGTTGTCACCTTCTCACCAAGCTGCTTGGCAATGGTCTTGTAGCCCATTCCAGCCTTGTGTAGGTCTACAATCTTGTCCTTGACATCATTGGAGAGCTCTTTGGTCTTGGCCATGGTGGAGAGTTTGGAATCTGATTGATTGATTGCTTCTGTGGACAGGTGTCTTTTATATAGTTAACAAGCTGAGATTAGGAGCACTCCCTTTAAGAGTGTGCTCCTAATCTCAGCTCATTACCTGTATAAAAGACACCTGGGAGCCAGAAAGCTTTCTGATTGAGAGGGGGTCAAATACTTATTTCCCTCATTAAAATGCAAATCAATTTATAACATTTTTGACATGCATTTTTCTGGATTTTGTTGCTGTTATTCTGTCTCTCACTGTTCAAATAAACCTACCATTACAATTCTAGACTGATCATTTCTTTGCCATTGGGGAAAAGTACAAATCAGCAGGGGGTCAAATACTTTTTTCCCTCACTGTATAGCCTAAACATACTTTTGGGACAAGTGTTGTCGGTGAGCACCGATGAAAGCCGGCACGACACATGACACAAGCGGGCGGAGTGGCCAGCACCATGTCTGGCCACCATTTTATCCCCAAACCTAATGTTTACAGACTGCACAAAGTACTAATTTTAAGGCTGAGTCGACCTAGGGGAGGCCCATGACTGGTTCAGCTAATCGTCAATGATGTTGGTCGCCGGGTTTGTCGCGTAGTGCCAATCGTAAAGAGACGAACACACGCGCACACATACCCAATAGTACACAGACACAAACGCGCACACATACCCAAACGTACGCAATATACCTTGCAAAGCCCGCCCCGGCAGCGCCAGCTGGCAGTGAGGATACTGTTGGATTTGAGGTCACGGTGGATGATGTTTTTCGCGTGGAGGTAACTGAAAAAATAAAACAAGAATTATACCATGGGACCTCCTTTGCCAGTACCAAAATATGAGAATAGGTTTTCCCATTTTTTCTGGCAACAAAACAGGTGTTAAGATGTTAAAACACCAAACTGAAACCTTTTACAAGGAATCATGCGTGCATTAACCACAATACTTGTGGTAGAATGCAAACAAAAAAAACACTGATAGTATGATGCATTGTCTTTGTTCTCACACTGTTTGAGACTAAGCTTGAAATAAAGCTGTCTCTGGTGTGGACCAATCAGATTCAAAGAGTATGTTTTTTTGTTTGCATTCTGACCACAAGTATTGTGGTTAATGCACACATGATTCCTTGTAAAAGGTTTCAGTTTGGTGTTTTAACATCTTAACACCTGTATTGTTGCCAGAAAAATGGGGAAAACCTATTCTCAAGAATTATACCAGCGGTGGTGATGGTGGTGCAATTATTTAGTTCGTTTACCCAGGAAAGCCACGCTGAGCCTCAAGACTCTCTGGGTCTTACCTGGTAATATAAAAATAGTTTAGTTTATAGTATATCAGGAGGGTCTTGCCAAGTGTTCACAGCAAGGGGTGATGTTGCCAACCCCCGCCGCCAAACTGACGGTGGCGGTGACGGCGTCGCACTCACTCCATGCCTTGCGCCGTCTGGCGGGCGATGTCGATGAGCTGGAACACCTCGAACTTGCTCTCGTTGACGTGCAGATGGCGGTAGAGGCTGGAGCCCTCGCACCACTGCGTGACGATGGCGAGGCGGGGCTTCGTCAGATATCCCATGAACAGCACCACGTTCACATGCCGCGTCTTCCTGCGGGGTGCGGGGGCGGCAGGGGAAAGGGGCGGTGAGGGAGAGGCAGGGGAGAGGGGCGGCGGGGAAGGGCGGAGGTGCATGAGATGCGCGAGTGGAGCAGCAGGTCTCGACATGGTTCTGAGTAGAGCTATCACATTAACCGATGATCCGGCACGCTCACCGATTCAATTCAGCCACTCGCTCGCTCATCGGCGGTTAGTCGTCTGCTTGTCACGCTGCTGTTGCTACTATTACCGTGGTTACCATGCCCGTGAACGTCACTCACCGATTCACTCCACCCGTGTTGAGTATTCGGTCGGTACCAGGCACCGACTGTTTAGTCTCATCCATCACACTGTGTTCAACCACCACACTGCAGATCACAACAACGACTCACTCCCACCCACTCACCCTCTCCACACTGTAGGTCACACCAACACACTCACTCACACACTCAACAACAACAGCCGCCATTCACCACTAATTGGCGGTGACATCATCACCAGACTAGGTGCACCATGAGGCCACATTCTCAGGTCCTGATGTCTCTCCCCCTCTCTCTCTCGCTCCGTCACCCACCTGAGTACAGCCACCTCGTTCTTGAAGGCCTGCATCTGCTGCGGAGTGGGGTCGGTCACTTTCAGGATCTTCACAGCCACGTCTCCTGAGCAGCACAACCACGGCACAACCGCTTCACAATCGCGTCACAACGTGCAACCAGTAACGCAGGGGGACTATAACACACAGCCATGATGCCATGTCACACACACACATACACTTTCAGGACCTCTGCACGGCACAAACACAGCACAACCACTGCGCTCCGGTGACACTGACAGGACACTTCTATGGCACAGGGCCAACATGGCAGTATCACAACATGCACAAACACTGCACTACGCCACGGGCACGGCTATTACTAGGCAGGGAACCCAATGATTGGCTCGCGCTGCGATGCCACTTATTACTACGATTCAGGCTCCTGATTCTAGTCATGGATTTGTGAGCAGCTGCTGCACACCGCCGGCACACACCAGCCACCAAACTCCACCGCCACTCAAGGCACGATGTGCCACAAGTCACCTGATGCAACAACCAGCACCACCACCAGAAGGAACATTCACCCAACATCACCGCTCCACAGAACACAGCCTCTGGCTCTTCCGACAACTCTCTCTCACTCTCTCCGCTCATTCCACCTCTCTCCACTTCTGTAACCTCCTCCTTCACGTCAGGAGGGCGTCTAGGAGTACTTTACACGCGATGAATGACTTGCATCGCATCTCATCTCGACACATTTGAAAGGGCACCTCTCATAGCAACTGTTCCTATGTGGGCACAAGGCCACTCAACACTTGGCCTGTAAGTGGGCATGAGTCTGCGAGTAGGAGGCGATGGTTGCTGCCATGTGTGTAATCCAACTGAACAATAATTCCATCCACTCGACTTGCCTCCCTCCCTCTCCTCTCTCACTTCCCACCCTTTAACCTCCATCCCTCTCTCCCTTCACCTCCATCCCTCTCAAATTCCCCCACCACCCCTTCCCCCACCTCACCGTGCCACTTGCCCTTGTACACGGTCCCGAAGGAGCCCGAACCGACCATGTTCAGGAGGGAGATCTCCTCCTCCCGAATCTCCCAGTAGTAGCACGAGTCCCGGCCACGGAACTAGAGAGCGCGTGGACGTGGGGGGAGACGTGGGGAGACGTGGGGAGACACAGAGAGATACAATGACACACACCGCGGCACACGAGTAGGGGGCACAAGGAGTAAGAGGAACATATGAGAAGGCATAAGGAATACATGCGTGCCACCACACGCGCACGTGTACGCAGCTGTGAGTGCCATCACACGCACCGCACCGCGTGTCTGTGGTGCCACGCGTGTACGTGCCGCCACACGCGTGTACCAGGCGGTTCTTCTCATCCGAGGGCCGGCGGATGGCGGGTGTGCGGTGCAGTCGACTCGATGTCCCGGCCCTGGTTTCGGTAGTGTCCTCCACCACTTCCACGCTCGACACTAGAGCCGCGCCAACACGGTGAGATGAGAGATGTGTGGAGAGGGTGGGGGGGGGGGAGTGTAAGGTGAGGCATGCAAAATGGTGATGGGAGGGGGTCGGCAGACGGGTCGCATCACACTGCTGAAACGTTGGGGAGGGTGGTTGTTGTGAGTGTTGGACTCACCCACGTCAGCAGAGGGTTGTTGCTGCTGTTGCTGCTGGGTTTGCACGAAGGACTAGGGAGAACAGGGAACACGCAGACTGTGTGTGAGTGGATGGGTGAGCGTGTGGGAGAATATGTAGGTGGGTGAGCGTGTGGGTCGGTGGATGGATCAACGAGCGGGTGGGTGAGCGGGTGGGCCACAGGAGTCGGTGATTATGTGGGTGGGTGGGCCAGCACCTCTATGAAGCCCACATCCACGTTGCCTATGACGCTCGAGTTGATGTTGGGGGTGGAACTCGCTCGATCTCGCTGAGTCAGCTGACCTCCGTGATCGCCTCCGATGGATGGGAACTGGAAGGTTTGCGTGGATAAACGCCTGGCGAAGCACACGTGCACACACAAAGATCTCCCATCTAGTCTACACAGGTTGTTGGGAAGGAGAGGAGGTGACGTCACCACAGAGCTTGTTTCAGGCTAGGTGCACTTTGAGGCAAAGGTGAAGTATTGAAGGCTCTCTGGCAGGAGGTCCCCTCACACACACACAGGTACAACCACACACATACACAAAGACACACACGTTGGCGAGTGAAGGGCGGGGGGGCATTGTGTGGATGCTGCCTGTGGATACCTGGAGGTGGTGGGCAGCACAGCAGAGTGGGGGGGACCGGAGAAGGTGGCGAAATGGAAGTTGTGGCCCTCCTGGCGGATGTGACTCGGGGTGTGACATTCGGTGAGCCTGTACAACGATAAAGATCCCCGTATAGCCTTTAACAGACTGTTGGGGCAAGTGCTGTGAGTACCTATGAAAGCGAACAGGGCGCATGAGAAGGGGTTGGTTTGGCTACCATCACGCCCATCCACCTTTGTCTCCTCAGTGATGTGTACACAACGCATCAAGGTACTCATTTATGGCCGATTTAGATTAACGGAGGCCCAGGCATGAGGGAAAATGGAGGACCGGTTCAGATATTCGTCACCGATGTTGGCCGACAGTGGGAATCAGACTTGGGTTGTCGGGTTCGTAGCACGTGTACTTTTGGCTCATAAGTGGAGGGTCACATGAGGGCGGCTCGTTAGTGGTGTGTGGCTCATTAGTGGTGTGTGGCTAATTATCGGTGTGTGTGGGGGTGGCTCGTTAGCGGTGTGAGTGCGGCTCGTTAGCGGTGTGTGTGTGTGTGCTGCCCTTACCGCAGGCGGCTCACGTTGATGCACATGACGGGCACCTCGGTGCTGCAGCGCTGGTGGAACTTGTAGCCGCATGTCTGGCAGCGGAAGCCCTGGAACATGAGCTTCAGGCAGAAGTCACAGAACGCCAGCCGGAAGAACGTCTTGCGCACCTGGGGGGCGGGAAGCGGGAGGTGGGATGCGGGGTGTAGGAGATGGGGGGCGGGGTTTAGGAGATGGGGGGGTAGGGTGTAGGAGATGGGGGCAGGGCGTAGATAGAGGCGGGGCATGGGAGATGGGGGGGGTGGTGAAATGAGGTGAGCTGCATACCAAGTTGCGCTGCATACCAAGTTGCGCTGCATACCAAGTTGCGCTGCATACCAAGTTGCGCTTGGTGTGATGCTTTGCGGTTCGTGTTGAATGAGGGCAAGTGTTGGGAGGTGAGCATGGTGGTGATTGGTGAGCTGCGTACGAAGTTGTGGGTGGTGACCGTGACGTTGTCCTTCAGCTCCACCTGGAGCTCCTCGGTGCCAACGCTCGCCATGTCCACGTCCCAGCTGAGAGCTGACCTCATGCTGCCCGTCACACCCCGCGTCACATACACCGCATCACACATCACACCCCCCCGTGTCAGACATCACACAACCCTCGTCGCACCTCACGTAACACACCATGTCACACACTGCATCATATGCCACGTCATTATCCCGCATCACAAGCCACGTCACATCACACCGGCGCGCGATGTAAGTTCCAGTGGCGTGCTGTGCCAGTCGCGGTGGGACGGTGTGTATGCACCGGAACCGGGTGGCGGCATACCCATCGCGCACTGTGAAGACATTGCAGTAGTCGGGGATGAGGCCGCGGATAGCGAGGGCCTTGTTAAGGCTCTCCCTCACCGAAGAGCCACCCCGCACGTGCACCTGCACACACACACACGCATGAAAAAAAGTCCCCCCGTGTAGCTTGAACAGACTGCTGGGGCAAGTGCTATTAGCGAGCAACGATAAAGGCTGGTACGGCACATAAGGGGGAGGCCCAGGACCGGCTCAGATATGCAGGAATCAGACTCAGGTTGGTGGGTTCGGAGGGCAGTCCGCTAACCTCTATGATACCACCACCACTCCGCCACCACTTTACCTCCTCAACATGTTATCATCTCACCAAGACACCACTTCACCACGTTACCACCTCACCAGGCCACCCCCTCACCAGCTCACCACCTCACCAGCTCAGCACCTCAACAATTTACCATCTCACCATGTTATCACATCACCACCCCACTATGTCACCGGCATGGGTCACTCACCACGGTGCGCTGTTTGTTGGGCAGAGACACGCGCAGCAGGCCCGGCGTGTCGCCCTGCTGCTGTGCATTCTGGGAAGGGCTGCTGGGTCCTCCTGGTGTATGCTGGGAGCGGGAGGGTGAGGAGGGCGAGGGGGCATGCGGGGTTCGGGAGGGCGGGGGGGACTGCGTTACGCAGCCCCCGTTACGAGCTGCCTCCATGAGGAGGGGGCGCAGGACGTGCCTCAGTCGATCAGCACAGCCCTGCAGAACAAAGGCAAAGATCCTCCTATAGCCTTGAACAGATTTTTAGGGTAAGTGCTGTTAGCGAGTACCTATGAAAGCTGACAGGACATACAAGTGGGTGGATGGCCAGTATCACACACACCCGTCTTTCCCTCCTCAGGTACTTATTTAAGGCTGAGTCGACCAGTTCAGATATGTCATTGCATCGATGTTGGCCATGAGCAGAAACCGAACTTGAATTGCAGAGTTCATTGCGCAGTGCGCTGACAACTGACCTACCACTCACTTTAAGCACTCAAACAAAGACAAAGATTCCCCGCATAGCCTTAGCAGACTGTTGGGGCAAGTGCTGTTAGAGAGCATCTACAGAGAGGGAAAAAAGTATTTGATCCCCTGCTGATTTTGTACGTTTGCTCACTGACAAAGAAATGATCGGTCTATAATTTTAATGGAGGTTTATTTGAACAGTGAGAGACAGAATAACAACAAAATCCAGAAAAACGCATGTCAAAAATGTTATAAATTGATTTGCATTTTAATGAGGGAAATAAGTATTTGACCCCTCTGCAAAACATGACTTAGTACTTGGTGGCAAAACCCTTGTTGGCAATCACAGAGGTCAGACGTTTCTTGTTGTTGGCCACCAGGTTTGCACACATCTCAGGAGGGATTGTGTCCCACTCTTCTTTGCAGATCTTCTCCAAGTCATTAAGGTTTCGAGGCTGACGTTTGGCAACTCGAACCTTCAGCTCCCTCCACAGATTTTCTATGGGATTAAGGTCTGGAGACTGGCTAGGCCACTCCAGGATCTTAATGTGCATCTTCTTGAGCCACTCCTTTGTTGCCTTGGCCGTGTGTTTTGGGTCATTGTCATGCTGGAATACCCATCCACGACCAATTTTCAATGCCCTGGCTGAGGGAAGGAGGTTCTCACCCAAGATTTGACGGTACATGGCCCCGTCCATCGTGCCTTTGATGCGGTGAAGTTGTCCCCCCCAAAGCATAATGTTTCCACCTCCATGTTATATGGTGCGGATGGTGTTCTTGGGGTCATAGGCAGCATTCCTCCTCCTCCAAACACGGCGAGTTGAGTTCATGCCAAAGAGCTCCATTTTGGTCTCATCTGACCACAACACTTTCACCCAGTTGTCCTCTGAATCATTCAGATGTTCATTGGCAAACTTCAGACGGGCATATATATATATGTGCTTTCTTGACCAGGGGGACTTTGCGGGTGCTGCAGGATTTCAGTCCTTCACGGCGTAGTTTATTACCAATTGTTTTCTTGGTGACTATGGTCCCAGCTGCCTTGAGATCATTGACAAGATCCTCCCGTGTAGTTCTGGACTGATTCCTCACCGTTCTCATGATCATTGCAACTCCACGAGGTGAGATCTTGCATGGAGCCCTCGGCCGAGGGAGATTGACAGTTCTTTTGTTTCTTCCATTTGCGAATAATCGCACCAACTGTTGTCACCTTCTCACCAAGCTGCTTGGCAATGGTCTTGTAGCCCATTCCAGCCTTGTGTAGGTCTAAAATCTTGTCCCTGACATCCTTGGAGAGCTCTTTGGTCTTGGCCATGGTGGAGAGTTTGGAATCTGATTGATTGATTGCTTCTGTGGACAGGTGTCTTTTATACAGGTAACAAGCTGAGATTAGGAGCACTCCCTTTAAGAGTGTGCTCCTAATTTCAGTTCATTACCTGTATAAAAGACACCTGGGAGCTAGAAATCTTTCTGATTGAGAGGGGGTCAAATACTTATTTCCCTCATTAAAATGCAAATCAATTTATTACATTTTTGACGTGCGTTTTTCTGGATTTTGTTGTTGTCATTCTGTCTCACTGTTCAAATAAACCTACCATTAAAATTATAGACTGATCATTTCTTTGTCATTGGGGAAAAGTACAAAATCAGCAGGGGATCAAATACTTTTTTCCCTCACTGCATGAAGGACGGCACGGCACACGAGGGGGTGGGTGGCCAGCACCACGCCCGGCCGCCTTCGTCTCCCGAGTGGCAATGTTTTTACACACTGCACCATGTACCAATTTGAGGCTGAGTCGACCTAGGGGAGGCCCAGGATCCGTTCAGATAATCGCGATTGATTTTGGCCGTGAGTGGTAATCGCCGAGTTCGTACCTCAGTGCGCTAACCACTACACTCCCGCTCCCTATACTTATACACTCACCCATACACTCAAGACACTTACCCACTCAATCATTTACTCAGTCACACAATTACTCACTCCACGGAATTACCCACTCATTTACTTACTCAATGTATTGACCACTGACTCACTGGTTGCTCTCTCACTCAACCACCGCAAACGCGCCCAATCACACATTCACTCACACGCTGACTCGCTCACTCCATCCACTACTTATTTTCTACCTCCGGCAATTTCACTCTGTTTTTTTCATTCATTCATTTGCTTACTCATTTACTCACCCAATCAACTACACATTAACTCAGTCACGAATTCACTCTCATAAGTTTTCACTCACTTATACACTGTCCCACTAAGCCACTCACTCATTTATAATAATCAATCGCCCAATCCTTCCCTCCCACCCTCCGTCAGTCACGTGACACAAGGTGTAGGACAACAGATTTTACAGCACCGGTGATCGAGCTAATCCACCCGCGACAGCACCACCACCGCGGCCACCATCATCGTTACAACCACAGCCCCGCCACCGCCACCATCCCACCTCTCCCCAATGCTCACCACTACTCCCCACCAGTAACCACAGCTATTCACCACTAGCCACCACTGCCCACCTCTCCCACCGCCTACACCGAGCTGCGGCAAGCGGCCGCCTTTATGAGGCCGCACCTTTGCCTGCGCGACTCACGCTTGCGGTGGGGAAAACCCGGAGTGGCTCGTTTTATCTGATGAAACCGGAGCCGGCCCCGAGGGCGGGCAGGCACCACACGCAGGCCCCTCCCAGCCACCACAATCGTCAGCTCGTCCATCCGTCTGTCCTTTAGCCCGCCCGTCTGTGACGTGGAATTTGAACCCAAGCGCCACCGGGGTCGACTGCCGTATAAAACCAAGAGCTCTGGCTTTGGTCGGCTGGCTAACCGGTAGACCGGTTCCCCAAAAACATTTGGGATTCCAAAAGCTTTTGTTTAACACGCCTGACTCTGCTGATGATACCCAGAAGGTTCACACCAGTCTAGAGTTTGCTTGTTTAATTAAACAAATCATGCTTGACAATCATGGTCTGGAAAGCCAATACAATATGCTAAAGGAATATGTAATGTACATGTGGAAATACAAAATGGATATCTGCTTATATATGTCTAAACATTGAGAAGTGATGGTAAACGCCGGGAAAGGCCATGTGTAGTGGCACCGACAGCAAGTTCTCAGAAATTTGGATGGTCGGACATCACAACACACAGACACTGGTACCCGACGATATTTATAATCTCGCCCGGCGTAGGATCCAAATTTACCCGACCGCCGCCCCTCTCGGGGTGGGGTGTAAGTGGTGGGACGTCCCTTCCACACGGCTAATAAGGCTACGAGTGTTGCACAGCTTCTCTCACGAGACCCCCCCTACCCGCCCATCAGCCCCCCCCCCTCATCCCGACAGTAGCCAGCATGTGTGATGCTGCCTGGTTAAGAGGAAACACTCCACAGACAAGGGGTGCGAGTCAGATGCCAGGGTTAGTGTCACATTCATGTCCAGGATTAAGTTTGGGCCATGTGTAGAACAGGCCTATAGGTAATGTTCGGGTAAGGGCCAGCGTTTCGGTTAATGTGATGAGCAGGGCTAGCAAGAGAGTTAAGCCGAGAGTTAGGATTAAGGTTAAAGGTTAAGGTTAGTGTCAGGACTAGGGTGATAAGAAGCATTTAGGGTTATGGTATAGCGAGAGATAGTTGAAGAATTACAGTAAGGGAAAGGAGTAGCTCTTTAGGGGGGCCCAGCTCCATAAATCCTTGTAAAGAATTGTGGCTGCTTTCAAATAATTATGCTGCTCAATACCGATACCAGACATTTACCAGGTGACAGCAACTTTCTCCTCTAAGCGTCTCCACACCCTTCACTTCCCCACATTCTCACTGCAGACATCTCAGCTGCACAGTAAACATGATCACATCTTCCCAATCGCACAATCTCTCCACCGGCTCCCGATCTAATCTTCAAGATCTTCCATGGATTCGCCCTATATGCCTCTCCCTTCTCATCCCGCTCTACACCACTCCACGAACTATCCAAATCCAAGGCTTTCGATCGGAGCACCCAGCCAACTTTCACTCAGTCGAAGGTCGCTCATTTTACTCTGCTGCACCAAAAGTCTAAAACGTATTTCCTCAGACGTCCGTGCCGTTGACTCCCAGCCCCCATTCAAGCACAGGCTCAAACATTTCCCTGTTTCTACCACATACGACTGCCTCTTTGAGCTAAAGGAGCCCACTGTTTCTGTACATCCTCTTGAGATGCAGTTGCGTTTTGCCACCGCTATACAATTCGAGTTATAATCGGGTCCCCACTGACCACTTTTACCTGCTCGCAATGCGTGAAGGGGCATCGCAGGCTTCAATAGCAATTTCTCACAAAGTGGCTAACAGCAGGGGCGATGCCACGGCCCAGTGAAAGCAGCGAGTTTGCCGCTTGTTGCAAAGGTTTGCATCCAGCTGGTCGCCCTGGTAATTACTGCCGGTATAAGAACCAACAAATACGTGCCGTCTGCTTGGCAGTGGATGTTGAAACTTCTCGTTAAGTAATTCAAAACGAGCAGGCCATCGAAAATACTAAGCTACAACTTCACATAGCCATATCGTGCCCAACGATGAAACTGCTAGGGGTTGTCAAACATCACTCCTTCGTAACAGCATTGCAGTGTAACAATGGTGCAAATACCAAAGGTACGAAATCAATATTTTTCATGATAAATGCCGTATACCAACCTCCTCCCGAAAAAGTACATTTGTAAAGTTTGTCACGTGAACAGAACGTGCAATGTACCACTACTTCAGCACACTGGTGTATTAGAGAGCACCACTACACAACATTTGCTATTGTAAATTACAATTGTAAATGTTTTTCGTAAATTACAATTGTAAATGTTGTGCTGAAATAGTAATAATTTGGCACATTCGACACCACCACTTTTAATAACCCCACTTTATCTCAACCACTATCATCGTATACAATGTTTTAATTGCTGGAAAGCATCTCGGAATAAGGCGTTATGGAAATATTTATACGGGAGAGCGGTGCTCAGAAGGAAGAGTGGTTATAAACTACTTTTTATGTTCATAAGATAAGTGTTTTTTGGGTTAGATCGCGTAAATGTGTCGTTAAAACCGCCACCACCCGATAGCCAATTCACAAGGTTTGTCACGTAACCCAAAACATGCCCATTCGTTACGAGTACAGCACACAGGCGTGTTGGAGAGTAAACCCACGACATTTACAGAAACATTGTTACCAGGTAAAGGCCGACCGAGCTGTATCGCTCATTTCCAGCAGCGACCCGGCCACAAATGACAGCTCAACAGAGTGGCTTATCACGTGGAAATCTACAGCAGCAGAAGGCAAAAATTCGAAGTCACGGAGTTCAGTGAACAGCCCGTCCCTAGGCACTCGGCTCTCGGGTTCCCCGTGAGAGAGGGCGCCCTGCATCTGTCCCTCTGTCTGCCAGCCGTGCGCCTCGACTCCGCAGGGAGTCCAGGCAAAAGCGGGGCCCCCTCGCGGCCTACCCGCAACACCTCGCCGTCCCGCACGAAACCCCCGAAGGAAATCCCGGGCTCGGCGGCCACCGCGAGGCTCGGAGTCCGAACGCGGCCGATCGCGCGCCACGCACCCACTGGGACAGGGAGGGGGGGGGACTTTAACAACAACAATAACAACTTCCATCAAACTCGAGAGGCGATCACTCACCCAGGACCCGCCATGGCGTGACGTCAGGCACCGCCCAGCGGACGGCCTCGCCCCCTCAACTTAAAGCCCCGCCCACGAATTTAAGCCCCCGCCCCACAACCTCAGTCTTCCGCCCACTAAAGCCATTCCCCGCCCATTAGGTGTCAGGAGCCAATGAACGCGGCGCTCCTCTTTAGGCCCCGCCTTTAAGCCATTGACCCCGACCCTTTGCAGGCAAGGGGAGTCGGGGGGACGGAAGTGGGGTGGCCATCATTTCCGGCGCCGCGAGGGATTGTGGTAGCCACGTACCGGAAGCGCGGCCTGTGATAGCTGAAACCGAAGACCGCTCGCTGCAACCATGGTGACAGTGGGGGATCGGGGACCCCCGTGTACCCCCTTTCTCTGAACGGACCCTCGTGTATTCCCCTCTTGTCCCGTCTTGTGTCTCCATGTTTGTTTCCCTCTATCCCCCTCTGGCTTCCCTGTGTCCCCGTGATCCCAGGTCCCTGTCTGCGTGTCCCTCCAGCTCCTAGTTAGTCGCTGTGGTTCACTGTCCATATGGTCCCCCCCTGGTCTCACGACTCCCCGTGTCTCCCTTTACCCCCCCTCCCCTCCGTATCCCCATTTGTTACTGTAGATGTTGGCGTGTGGAGAGCAGTACTGTAGTGGTTAACGCACTGATTTACGAACAAGTTCGAGTCGCGCTCAAAACCCATCGATAACGAATATCTAAACCGTTACTGTGCCTCCTGTAGGTCAACTCGGCCTTAAATGAGTAACTGGTGCGGTATTTCAGCACCAGGGAGACTGAGGGTCTGGGCTTGGTGCTGGCCACACTCCATACTGCTCGCCAACAGTTGCCCCATAAGACTGTGTTTATGGGGCAACTGTTGGGATGAGTGAGTGGATGTTGTGGGTCTTCCTCTTCGTGTCGCTTGTGGTCACAATTCTGTGGCCGTGTTTAGGCTGTTTCCCCTAACACTCTCCCTGTGCCCCCGTCCCATCTTCCCTCGTGCAGGCTCGCAATGCGGAGAAAGCGATGTGAGTCCCAACCCCTGCTCTGCACTTACAGCCTCCGATTGTGCCACTCTGTAATTTAATTGCCGCTTCTATCTCCACTTGAGCCATACGTTACCGCTAGACTCCTCACCCACACCGTTAACGAGAGCACGTCATCCCAACACTCCGATCGCTCCCTCCACCGGCTCCAACTCTAATTTCAGATCAACTTCAACATCGCGCTTACTGTCTTCAAGATCCTCCACGGCCTCGCCCCTCCATTCTCATCTCACTCCACTACCCCTCCACACACTCTCATCTCACTCCACTACCCCTCCACACACACTGATCTCTCATCTCACTCCACTACCCCTCCACACACACTGATCTCTCATCTCACTCCACTCCCTCCACACACACTGATCTCTCATCTCACTCCACTACCCCTCCACACACTCTGATCTCTCATCTCACTCCACTACCCCTCCACACACTCTCATCTCACTCCACTACCCCTCCACACACTCTGATCTCTCATCTCACTCCACTACCCCTCCACACACTCTGATCTCTCATCTCACTCCACTACCCCTCCACACACACTGATCTCTCATCTCACTCCACTACCCCTCCACACACTCTCATCTCTCATCTCACTCCACTACCCCTCCACACACTCTCATCTCTCATCTCACTCCACTACCCCTCCACACACTCTGATCTCTCATCTCACTCCACTACCCCTCCACACACACTGATCTCTCATCTCACTCCACTACCCCTCCACACACTCTCATCTCACTCCACTACCCCTCCACACACTCTCATCTCACTCCACTACCCCTCTACACACTCTCATCTCTCATCTCACTCCACTTCCCCTCCACACACTCTGCGCTACAGAAACCGAGGCTTTCTGTCCAGCCCCATTTCCGCACCTCGTCTATGAGGTGTGGTCATATTTAGATGCTATTTAAAATCCACCTTTGTGTTGTACGATAGTTTTATTGTAGTCGCTTCTCACACTGCTCCCTCCCCACTGCCGTGTCGCCTGCAGGACGGCGCTGGCGCGCTTTCGCCAGGCGCAGCTGGAGGAGGGGAAGGTGAAGGTAGGCGACCACATTCCCACAACCGTTGGGAATCGAGCCGATCCATTTAGCGTTTTTTTTTTTAACACCAGCTGTGTGGCTCCATTTCACAAAGGACCCGTACACTTTCACATGAAGCCACCTGTACGCAGGTGGAGCAACTGCATTGGAGCCCAAGCACCGGTCCACGAAAAAAGGCATTGATGCCATCGCCCCTCATCTCTACCAACGCTTCTGCCCCCCGCCAGATCCTGCAGCTGCTGCACAGGAGATGCACAGTGCCCTCTAAGATCCGCCCTGACGGTCTCCCTGCACCATCTGGCATTAGACTCGCACAGAGACCAACAGACTCGCACAGAGACCCCCATAGATCTATCCTGACGGTCTCCTTGGGCCATCACTCTTCCCCTCGGTCGCTGCATTTGTGGAGACCACTCCCAACGCCCATCTCGGCAATTTGACCTTTCCCATCCTACTCACAAGCGCAGCTGTTATTGCCTAATTATATCGGGTCACAAATAGAGAAATTGTAGAGAGGGCTTCCATTCATTCCTCGCAGCAAGGCCCATTCCAACCACGCCACCGGCCGTGTTGGCATGTGTTTTGACAAAACAACTGGGCAGTGGCGAGACACCCTCTTATTTAAACTTGTTACAACTTAACCGAACAAAACCTTTTATTAAAATTCTCAAAACACTACCTTTTTATGATGGTCTCCAACCGATTACAAAGCACATCCATCCAAGACAGTTGCTCAAGGTGTACTGGGATCAACATTATGACAAATGGGATGAAAATTAACTTTTTATGAAGAGCAGACTTCGGATCCCATGACCCATGGGCCTACGTGCGTCCGTGTGTGCGTGTGTGTGCCATTTGCAGGAGCGGAGGCCGTACTTGGCATCGGAGTGCGAGGATCTGCAGAAGTCGGAGAAATGGCGACGGCAGGTGAGGTCATGGGAAGCTGAGCGCGGGGTCACGGTTTGCACAGTGGGTTTATTCAGCGTCATAGCTGCCCCGACTGTGCTCCAGCCCATTTCGACCAGTATCACGAAGTATGGTCAAAACGACCTCCACGGCAAGCACGGTTTGGGGAGGACCTCATCCAGCAGTGGATTGACGCAGGGCTGTATGACTACTGCACCTAAATGGGAATGCATCTCGAGATGCTGCACAGAAGCGGTCATAGGCAGGGAGTCGACAGCACACAGATGGCTGGGGGAACAGCTCTAGACGCTGGGGGCGGGGGGAAGAAGCCGTGCCAGGCTCGTGATCCAGCACTTTGGAGGTGAGGGTTGGTGGATCACGTCAAGATACCCTATCTTACTGGGCCAGTAGGTGGCAGCACAGGAGTGCATTCTTGGCTTTGCAGTTTTCGGTCTCTGTCCTTCACATGCGTGGTGGGCTTTCTCCGAGGTTCTCCGGTTGCCTCCCAAACGGGAGGCAAAAACTTGGATGGAATTGGCCACTCATCCTGATGTAGCAGGACCCTCTACAGAACAAGCCTTGAATCTCAAGGGTGGATTTCCTGGGTAAAGGGCGTCGTTATCGAGCTGCAAGATTGAGCGCCGTGCCCCGAGCACGGCCGTTGACGTCTGTTTGCGCGATCAACCGGTGACTCTCCTGCCCTCTTTTCCCCCTCTGCCCAGATCATCAGCGAAATCTCCAAGAAGGTGGCCCAGATCCAGAATGGTGAGTGGGGGTGGTGGGGATGGGGGGGGGTGCATTGCTGGGGTCTTGGTGAGAGCTGGTAGCGTTGTCAAAGCCGTGTTTTTATTGTATTACTGGTAATTGCATGAAAAAAAATTACCCGGTAAAAACTGGTAAATTCCGGTTTGCCACACAGCAGTAAACACAACATGAACATGTTTAGCTTTTCAACCGGGAAACTAAGGCAGGTGCCGCAGCGGAGTCGTAGTTACCTGCACTGGACTGGCAAGGCAGAGGATCCAGGTTCAATCCTACTCCTGCCATGGGAGATGAAGCAATCGTGCTAGTCTTAAGTCCCCTCCACCTCTATACACCCAGAAGCATAAATTGGTATCGCCAAAGTTGAATCACAATCGGCAGCTCATGCCACTCAGTGCATTCATTAATTATATTGCCCATTCTCTTTCCTCCCCCCGCTCCTCCATTTCTTCCCTCCCCTCTACTAACCCCGTACGCGCTTCTTTATCGTGGTCACCCATTCCTCACCATTTGCACGCAACTGCCATCTAAATAACTTATTTTGTCAAGCACCTTGAACAAAGGCACTTTGTAAATATCAATCAAGATTTCACTGGAAATGGTTACTGATTTCCGATTTTCAGAACCGATAACAGATTCGAAAAACGATTAGGAGTTAACTGGATGTCGTTGAGCAACCCTGTGAGCCAGTGTGGGTGCTGGCATGCACGTTGGTTCCACGTGCCTGTTGCTGTGCTAGTCGGTGTGCCTGTGTGTGTTGGGGTGTGGTGGCGTGGCGGTTATCGCGCTGCGCCACAAACCCGGCAATCCGAGTTCGATTCCCGCTCACGACCACATCGGTGACAAATGTCTGAACCGGCCTCTGGCCTCCTGTAGGTTGCCTCTGACTTCTCGCTTTAATGAGTTCCAAGTGCTATGTGTAAACATCAGCATTGGTGAGACAAAGGCGACCAGGCGTGGTATTAGCCACACCACCCTCTCTTGCGCCATGCTCAGCGTTCATAGTTGCTGGCCAAAGCATTTGCCCCAAAAGTCAGTGTTGGTTACACGGGGCATCTTTATCTCTTTGGGTGTGTGTGTACTTGTGGGTGTGATTGTGGAGGTTTTTGCAAATAGGTGTGTGAGTATATGTATAGGTGGTGGGCCTCAATGCGCACCTATCCTGGCACAAGCGCTCTGGTGGTGCGAGCGTGCACCTCCGTGCTGACGTCACGCCGTTTCCCTGTGCGTCTCCCTCTCTGCGAGCAGCGGGTCTGGGCGAATTCCGGATCCGCGACCTCAACGATGAGATCAACAAGTTGCTACGCGAGAAAGGCCACTGGGAGGCGCGAATCCTGGAGCTGGGAGGACCCGACTACGGGGTATGCGCCGCCGCAATACCGCACTACACACGGTGTTACAACCGCCGCTGCTCCACACGATGCCGGGTGGTGGTGGCAAACTGTCGGACATCATGCCAAACGACGTGTCATACAACAAGATAAAACACGGGAGAGCATTATATACCTTGCAGGTTTCCTCGGCCATTGTGATTCATAATTGAGTTACTGGTGATGCCACGTATCTATATATTCCAAAATTTTGCTGTGAGAATTGTCCTGGAACAACAATCGACACGCAGTTAGACGCGTGTATACACACGACATTCAATATTTTTGGCCGTGTCGGGTTGGCTCTACCCACGCTCAGGTCCTGGATGGAATGTGTGATTGTGGGAGGTGGCGGCTGTGGCTTGGGGAGGCGTTTATCCAGCAGTAGATTGACCATGGCTGATTATGATGATCTTTGGTTGTGATAATGTATATTTGGCCTAACACAAAGATCATTGATCAATCTGTATTATTGTTACTGTTGGTGTTGACACTGCGCTCCCTCTGTCCCACTCTCCAGAGGATCGGTCCCAAGATGCTGGACCACGAGGGGAAGGAGGTCCCGGGGAACCGTGGCTACAAGTACTTCGGGGCAGCTCGCGAGCTACCCGGAGTCCGCGAGCTCTTTGACCAGGAGCGTGAGTGGCGCAGGCAACCACAACCGCACAACCGCACAACCGCACACCCACAACCAGAAAACCACACAACCGTACAATGGACTTAGAGGAAATACGATGTACCGCGGTTCTTCAGCTGCCGAGCCAGATGACACACAGACACATCACACACAGACACAAAGATGTAAAAACACATACAAACAAAGATTACCCGTATAGCATTTAACAGACTGTTGGGGTAATTGCAGTCAGTGAGCACCAATGAAAGCTGGAATGGCGCACGAGAGCGTGGGTGGCCAGCACCACGCCCGGCCATCTTCGTCTCCCCAGTGACGATGTTTACACTCCGCATTTAAGGCTGAGTCGACCTCGGAGAGGCCCAGGACCGGTTCAGATAATCGCCACTGTTATTGTCCATGAGCGGGAATCGAACCCGGGTCGTCATGTTCGTAGTGCAGTTTCACTAACCACGACATTACCATTTCCCCTAGACACACAAGACTCCATTCGCCACACCGACGCTCGTGCGCGAGATGGCTGGCACTGCCGTGCGACACGACAGAATGAGCGGACACCGAGTCAGCATTGACCGTGTGCCCCCTTGCCCCCCACCAGCCCTGAAGGCCCCCCGCAAGACGCGTGGGGAGCTCATGAAGGACATCGACGCCGACTACTACGGCTACCGCGATGAGGACGACGGCGTGCTGGTGCCACTCGAGCAGGCGCTCGAGAAGGAGGGTGAGGGGCGCGTGTGCCGTCTTGCGCTCACCCCCAGCCCTCACACACACCACCAGCCCTCACACTCACCACCAACCCTCTCGCTCACCACCAGCCCTCTCGCTCACCACCAGCCCTCTCGCTCACCACCAGCCCTCACGCTCACCACCAGCCCTCACACTCACCACCAGCTCTCTCGCTCACCCCCAGCCCTCGCGCTCACCACCAACCCTCTCGCTCACCACCAGCCCTCTCGCTCACCACCAGCCCTCTCGCTCACCACCAGCCCTCTCGCTCACCACCAACCCTCTCGCTCACCACCAGCCCTCTCTCTCACCACCAGCCCTCACACTCACCACCAACCCTCTCTCTCACCACCAGCCCTCTCACTCACCACCAGCCCTCTCGCTCACCACCAGCCCTCTCGCTCACCACCAGCCCTCTCGCTCACCACCAGCCCTCACACTCACCACCAGCCCTCTCACTCACCACCAGCCCTCACACTCACCACCAACCCTCTCGCTCACCACCAGCCCTCTCGCTCACCACCAGCCCTCTCGCTCACCACCAGCCCTCACGCTCACCACCAGCCCTCACACTCACCACCAGCTCTCTCGCTCACCCCCAGCCCTCGCGCTCACCACCAACCCTCTCGCTCACCACCAGCCCTCTCGCTCACCACCAGCCCTCTCGCTCACCACCAGCCCTCACGCTCACCACCAGCCCTCTCACTCACCACCAGCCCTCACACTCACCACCAACCCTCTCGCTCACCACCAGCCCTCACACTCACCACCAGCCCTCTCACTCACCACCAGCCCTCGCGCTCACCACCAGCCCTCACACTCACCACTAGCCCTCTCGCTCACCACCAGCCCTCTCGCTCACCACCAGCCCTCACACTCACCACCAGCCCTCGCGCTCACCACCTGCCCTCACACTCACCACCAGCCCTCACACTCACCACCAACCCTCTCGCTCACCACCAGCCCTCACACTCACCACCAGCCCTCTCACTCACCACCAGCCCTCGCGCTCACCACCAGCCCTGGCGCTCACCACTAGCCCTCTCGCTCACCACCAGCCCTGGCGCTCACCACCAGCCCTCACGCTCACCACCAGCCCTCACACTCACCACCAGCCCTCTCGCTCACCCCCAGCCCTCACACTCACCACCAGCCCTCACACTCACCACCAGCCCTTTCGCTCACCACCAGCCCTCACACTCACCAACAGCCCTCACGCTCACCACCAGCCCTCTCACTCACCACCAGCCCTCTCACTCACCACCAGCCCTCACACTCACCACCAGCCCTCACACTCACCCCCAGCCCTCACACTCATCACCAGCCCTCTCGCTCACCACCAGCCCTCACACTCACCACCAACCCTCTCACTCACCACCAGCCCTCACACTCACCACCAGCCCTCACACTCACCACCAGCCCTCGCACTCACCACCAGCCCTCGCGCTCACCACCAGCCCTCACGCTCATCACCAGCCCTCACACTCACCCCCAGCCCTCACGCTCACCACCAGCCCTCCGCTCACCTCCAGCCCTCACACTCACCACCAGCCCTCTCGCTCACCACCAGCCCTCCGCTCACCTCCAGCACTCTAGCCAGTAGCCTCGCTAGCAGGCCTCACCGACACGCAGTTACCAACAGTCTCGCCATCAGTCTCTCATACCAGCACCGAGCCTCGCCACCTTTTCTCACCATCACCATCGGCCCTCACCCGCAACGCTGATCTTCATTGGCAGCCTCACCGCAAACACCACCACAACCCTCACCACCGACTTCCTTATTCTCGCAAGTCCTCAAGCTCACCAGCTCTAATCCTCACCACCAGCATCGACCCTTGGCCACCATTCTTCTCTCACTAGCTGCCTCACCACTAGCCCTCACCCATACCACACAAAGAACAGTGTTCTCACCAGCAACATTACAGGATGGACCCTGGCTCATGGGCCAAGGCTATTTCGGTACGCACGTTCAATTTGGTTCCCAAAGGTGGTCACCGACATGCTTCAACTGATCACCATCAAACTCCGTCCTGCGCCACGCATTTGAGAAACTTTAGACGTTTGACAGATGGACACCTTGTGGCACGGCGGGGGCCAATGGGCGTGGCGTTGACTACCGCGTGAACGATCGGCGCTCGTTGCTGTGCCCGGCCCCCACGTGCGAGGTGGCAGTTTGCAGAGCGTTTGCGTTGCGTGCGGTTGCTGCAGTGGTCGCGCAGGCGGTGGCGCGGTGGCGCGAGGAGCGGGAGGCCCGAGCAGCCGCTGGCGGGGACAAGGCGGCCGCGGCGCAGGAGGAGGAGGAGGAAGACATCTACGCGGTGCCGAGAGGCGAGGTGAGCGGCGGGTGACGAGTTTCCGTCGTGATCGGCGTCACCGTGGTAACCGTAGCAGCGGTGGCATCGTGTGGTGTCATTTCGGTGGTAACCTTGCTCCATACATCCACTGTGCTGCCCCCCCAGTCAGATGAGGAGGAAGAGGGCAGTGGCGGGGAGACGCGGGACAAGCAGCAGCAGCACTTCATCGCTCACGTCCCGGTACCCACACAGAAGGAGGTGAGGGCCCTGGGTGTGTGTGTGGGTGTGAGTGAATCAGAGGGTATGAGTGAATGGGGGAGTGCATAAATGAGTGGTTGTGTGTTTGAGTGTGTGAATGAGTTGGTGGGTCAGTAAATGAGTGGGTCGGTGTGTGAATTAGTTCGTGCATGAGTGATTGGGTGGGTAAGTGAATTAATTGGTGAATGGTTGAATGAATGAGTAGTTGAGTCTGCGTGATAGTTTGTTGTTGAGACCGGCAGTGAGGTGGTGGTTGACCAGATATGGCTCGTCCGGTGGACCCATTCACCAACATGTACCATGCATGTGTTTGCCATGTCGAAATAAAGACACACACCGTATAGCCTTATGAGACTGAGCAGCTATGAAGGCATGGCATATGAGGGGGTGGCCAGCACTGTGTCCAGACGCCTTTGTTTCCCCAGTAGCGATGTTTACGCATCGCACTATGTAATCATTTGAGGCTGACTCGACCTAGGGGAGGCCCAAGACAGATTTAGATAAGTCACTGGCATTGGCCGTGAGCGTGAATCGAACTCGGGTCACCAGGTCGTGGCGCAGCACGCTAACCACTCTCCCATGCTGCACAGGTGGAGGAGGCGCTGCTTCAGCGCAGGAAGATGGAGCTGCTGGCCAAGTATGCCAGCGAGACGCTGCAGGCGCAGAGCCAGGAGGCTCGCTGCCTGCTGGGCCTGTAGGCGGCGGGCGCCGACCCCACGTGTACATAACCCGGGCAGCCTCCCACGTTTTTGTAATAAAGCTTCAGATTAATTCGTGGCGTGCGTCACATTCCTTGTGTGTCCTGTCGAGTGCTTGGGTGCAACTGTATCCGCCGCGTGTACCATCGTGTCTGCGTGTTGCTTGCGTCCCACCGCGCGTCCCATGGTGTTGAGTCAGACTCGCCGTCGCTTCGCTATCGCTTTTATTTTCGCTCCCAGCGCTGGGAATATTCACGAGCGGACGATAAATTAATAACGACACCAGCGCCACTAACGTGGCCCCGCCAACCACACTCGGGGCTCCCACTCTACAGGCCGAGCCCTTGCTCGGCAACTGACACTCACAAAGACCTCCGTATAGCCTTCAGAAGGCTGTCGGGGCAAGTGCTGTTAGCACCTATGAACGGGTGCGCATGATGGGTTGGCGTGGATGGCACCACGCCCGGCCACCTTTGTCTCCCTAACGCCGATGTTTACACATCGCACAGGGTACTCCTTTACAACCGATTTGCGTGCTCGGGACAGGCTGTGATTTCGTTCGCTGCTGATGTTTGCCGTGGCCTGGAATCGAACTCTGGTAGCTCGGTTCGTCACGGATGCTAACCACTAACAGGAACATAATGGCACGCGTGTGTGCCAAAACACATGATCACAGACGCTGTGATACACGTACATAACGGTACGCACTGAAACACCGGCAACTACAAAATAAATACACTGTACAGCCCTTGATAAATCCACTGCTGGATGAAGGTCTCCCCAGGCCTGTGTCGGTCAAGAGGGTTGTTTGACCATACTCTATCACGCTGGTCGGTGCAGTCTGGCGAAGGGTTTAGGCCCACCGAACCCGTGTGGCTCTTGCTCGCAACTGGTGTTGGCCGTGGTCTGGAATCCAACGGGTGCTTGCATTTGTGGTGCAATGCCCAAACCGCTGCTCCACACGTTGACATCAAACACCCTAAAGCACGCACACCAACAAGCACACTGAAACTTGCACCAAACTCTTTGAAACACAAGCACACTGACACACGCACACGGACACACGGATCCCCTTCCTGATCTTTCACAGACCGTTGCGGCAAGCACCGAGTAAGCGGCACCACGCCAAGCCACTTTTGTCTCCCCAGTGCTGACGTTTATACACTGCACCAGGTACTCGTATAAAGCCGAGCCTATCTAGGTGAGACCCGGGACCAGTTCTGATACCATGGGCTGGAATCGAAAACTCGGCTGTCCAGGTTTGAAGTTTAGTGCACTAACCACTGTGCCACCACTCACTCGCCACACACAGATATGCACTGGCATTCACAACGCCACACCAAAGAAAGACAAAGATCCCCCATATAACCTCAATAGACAGTTGGGGGCAAGTGCTAAGCAAGCACCTATGAAGGCCGGCACGGCACACGAGGGTGGGTGGCCAGCATCACGTCCAACCGCCTTTGTCTCTCAAGTGGCGATTTTACACACCGCATCAGATACTCATTTGAGGCCGAGTCGACCTAGGGGAGGCCCAGGACCGGTTCAGATCATCTTCACTGGTGTTGGCCACACACTCAGGGTCCCATCTCCTGGCCCACAACACTCCACCATTCCCGACATTAGGGGAGCAGGGGTCGTGCCGCTAGTGCCGCCGCACCGCCGCCTCTCCCCTCCGCTCCACCAGCAGGGGCCCCAGCACGGCCTTCAGGGCCCCCGCCACGGCCTCCTCCCCCTCCTCCTCTTCCCCACCGGAGCCTCCCATGCCGACCTGCGGGATGACAGAGGGGCCACTGCGTCACCGCGTGTGTCACTCCCCGTGTCGTTTGCCCTTGCGTCACTCTCCCCGTGTCATCAGCCCTCGAGTCATCCTCAGTCTCTTACTGTGTTGCCCTCTGTCACCCTCTGTCACCCACTGTTCTTCCGTCACCCCCATGTGTCACTCCCCGTGTTGTCCCTTGCATCACTCCTCATATTACCCCCCCACCCAGAACTGCGGCGCTCCGTGCATCGCGTCTCGTTACCCCGTGTCCCTCCCACGACGCGCGTCGCTCCCGCTCCGTGCCACCGCCCTCCCAGTGCGTCGCTCCGTGTGTCGCTCACCAATCATCCCCCACCGACCCGTACCTGTGTGAGCGCGCGTGCCACTCGACACAGCAGCGCGTCCTCCAGCTGTGGAGGCAGCGGCCCCAGCCCGGCGACACAGTCCATCACGCACAGCACCGTCTGCTCCTGGCCCTAGGGACCAAAGACAAAGACCCCCCCGATAGCCTGAACAGACTGCTGGGGCAAGTGTTGTTAGAGAGCACCTATGAAGGCCGGCACAGCACACGAGGTGGTGGGCGTTAGCAACAGCTTTTGTCTCCCTAGTGGCGATGTTTACACATCGCACCAGGTACTCATTTCAGGTTTAGTCGACCTAAGGGAGACCTGGGAACTGTTAAAATATTTTAATGTGGTTGTGTGGTGCCACGACAGCGAAGCCGCTCCGTGGGAGCCGTGCCTGCAACGGGGGTGCCGTCACAGCGCTTCCCCCACCACCCTCCACATGAACACACGCACTCACGTAGGGCCTCGTGGGGGGGGGGGGGTCACCTGCCCCTGAGTTTTCACCCGAGGGCCTCCCTCGTGGTGGTGCTCCACGGTTTCTCAGGGCCAGGGAATTGGCAGGCACCCCCCCCTCCAGGCCGAACGGCACTGTGGCGCCGTGGACTGACTTAAAGTTGCACGGCCACGGCGAACTACTGAGAACCGCAGTGAGGAAACAGCCAAGGGCACACGCGGACTAGCAGGGAGGTGGGGGGGCGGCACAGGTTGATCCCTATGATGTGGTGCACGCGGCAGGCCGGCAGGGGGGCGGGGTGGCACAGGCCCACCTTTAGTTGTCAGAGGTGCACTTAGCTAAATAATGGGGGGCGGGGCGTCGGAGAGGAGGCTCCTGATTGGATGAGAAGCCAGCAGATCGGCGGCGCGTGGGCTTTGAAGTAGGAGCATAAAAAGGGATGAAATTGGGAAGCCCAGTCTCTTTGGCCGGGATCTTGTGGAGTAAGGGACCGAGGTGTGATCGTCTCCTGCTACTCGAACGTCTGTGAGACGGGTCGCAGAGCAGCCAGATCCAGCTCCCAGCAAAAGCCGCGTGCAGCCTCGTCTTTTCGCGACTTCCAATACCACGAGGTCGGATCGTAAGTACGAAGAGGAGAAGTAAGGCAAAGGGGGAAATTATAATAGAGAGAGTGAGTAGAGAGAGGACAGGCTACTGGAGTATTAGACCGTAGAGAGATAGGTTAGATTTGCCCTGCTGGTCCACACTAACACGGGTAAGCTAACTCTAATTAAACAGAGAATAAATCGCCAGTAGACATTAAACCGTGTCGTGTTGTCTCTGCGAATACGGAGAAGGCTGCGTGGTGAGCCTGCGCTCTGTGGCTTCTTGTGTTTGCGCACGAGCGTATATTTTGCCCGCGCGTGCGCGTTCGCCGTGTACGCTAGCTTGTGAGCCCGCGCGTCGTGGTGTCCCGTGTATTCTGCCCACGTGGGTACTCTCGCCACTGCGCAGCTCGTGGTTGGCGTGTACGAGAAGAGCACAGCGGTGTATTTGTCAAGTGGTTAGTAAAGACATTTAAATCATGCCACGAGGGGCAGCCGCGAGGGGGGGAAAGTCGGAGAACGGGGGGTCACAGGAGAACGGGGAGGCGGGGGGGGCAGTCTCCCCAACAGTTTATTATTATTGATTAGTCGCGTTTATAAAATGTCCCTGCTTTAGAAGCGGCTGGGTCGCCACTGAAAATAACTTCTCAGCTCAATGCGCTTTACCTGAAATAAACCGGTTGACCTGATACACACGAGTATGTATGTATGCATGTGCACGTGTGCGCACGTGGCATGCGTGCGTGCGTACGGACGCGCGTGGCGGCACCTTGCTGAGTGCCTGCAGCGCCCGCGTGGCGGGGCAGACCCCGCGGGCACCGCTCGCCTCGTGCAGGCGCTCCAGGTCGGTGTGGCCCAGCGCCGGCTCGCGCAGCTGCTCCAGCCACGAGAACATGAGGGCGGCGAGCACGGCCGGGCGGCGCTCGCCGCACAGCCGCTCCCACGCCCCCTCGCGCCAGTTCAGCTCCCGCTGCGCACCCCCCCCCCAGCCCCGGCACACGCGGCGACGACGGCGACGCACGTGGCAGGCGGCACACACGCACGGCACACGCGGCACAACACAGGGCACTTGGCACGCAGCGCATGGGAACGAATGGCAAAGGTCCTCCACCCGCCCACCTGCCACCCCATGTAACCTTCACAGACTCTTGGGGCAAGTGCCATTAGCGGGCACCTATGCAACACCACGCCCGACCGCTTTTGCGATATTTACGCATCGCACCAGGTACTCATTTAAGCCTGAGTCGACCTAGGGGAGGCCCAGAACCGGTTCAGATAATCGTCACTGGGTGTCGACCGTGAGCGGGAATCGAACTCGGGTCGCTGGGTTCGTAGCGCAGCGCGCTAACCGCTACACTACCGCTCCCCTGTACACACTCGCACTGTTACACCCGCGCACCTGCCACGCAGCCACCCTCTCCCACAGCGCACATCCCGGCTCTGGCGTCTCCTCTGTCAGCGCCTGCGCCACCTCCAGCCGGCGGGGCCCCCCTTTCCCCCCCACCAAGGGCCCGTCCCCCTCACTCCCCTCCGAGGCCCGGGCGTCCCCTCCGGTGCCACCGTGCAACCCCGGTGGCGTGTCCGCTCGCGTCACCGCCTCCCTGGGCGACCGGCTCCGGCGCTGGTGCCTCCTCACCCTCCTCCGCTGCTGCTGCTGCTGCTGCCAACGTTTCTGCTGCTGCTGCTCTTGCTGCCGGGGCAGAGACTCCCGGCCCTCCCGCTCCGGCCTGCACGTACCGTTGGGCGCCGGTTGCCGTGCCCCGCTAGTCCGATGGTGGGCCCCGCCAGCGGGGATGGGCGGCGTCGTGTCGTTCACCCTGCCAGCGCTGCTGCTGCTGCTGCCACAATAGCGCCGGGTCCCGTCTTCCGACGTGGTCGCTACCTCCCCACCGGGTGCCACCGCGGATACCGCCACCTCCTCTTCCTCGCCCTCGGACGCCGTCGCCACCGCGGACCTCCCGGCGGGCCCAGCGGCGGGACCCGACGGTCCGACGCGGTTGCCGTCCCCCTCCTCGGGCTGCGACTCGTCGCTGGGGCTCTGCAGCACGATCGGCGGGGGGGGGTCCCGAGGGGGCGGTGGCACCACGATGAGAGGGGGGTCCACCGTCCCGGAGGCGCCATCGCCGAGCCGTTGGTAGAACAGCGTGCGGGGGTCGGCTCCGCCGCCCGTCCCGCCGGCCACGCCGTGCTCGCCGTCCTCGCGCCGGCGCCCCGGCGTCCGCTCTCCCGCCGCCCCTCCCGACTCCGTGGGGCGGCCCGGCGGCGGGGGGACCCCGGCGGCAAAGCGGGCCCCCCCCCCCGGCGGGCTCGCGGGGCCTGCTTCCCGCAGGCCGTCGCCGGCGCCCGCCCTCCTCAGGTCCGAGTCGCTGTAGCTGAACCTGCGCGGGCCGGGCCGCCGGGAACCAGCTGCGGCGCGGCCGCCCCGAGGCCACCAGGGGGCCAGGGTGCCGTGGCCGCCGGGGTCTGCGGGCCCCCCCGCCCCCTCCTCCTCCCCCTCCTCGTCTGCGGAGTCAGGAAGCGGCGCGGCATCGGGCTCGAAGCAGAGCAGTGCCAGCTGGGAGACCGTCTTCTCGATCTCCGCCGTCAGGTCGGGCACCTCCACCTCGCTGTCCGACGAGTCCGAGCTGCCGTCCCTGCCGCCGCAGCCACGGCACAACATCACCCGGACGTCACCGCGGAGTATGGCGGTGTGGTCGCGTGGCGAGTGGTGTTGCGTGTTGGAGGAGGCATGGTGTGTGGCGTTGTATGGTGGAGGTGTGGTGTCTGTGCGGTGGTCACGCACCCGTGTGTGGGAGGGCATGCATTGTTGGCGATCTGCGTCAGTAGGTGGCAAACCAGGTGCACGATCTTGGGCACGTGCTTCAGGCGTCGAGCCTCATAGCTGCACTCGAGAACAGGGACACAAGGACAAAGACAAGGATGCGGAAGCACAGATATTAACCCAAGGACACACAGGCAATGATACAGACACAATAACAAAGATTCGGACACAAAGACATTGGGAGGAAGGGAGAGGGTTAGTAGGGTGGAGGGACAGAAGAAAGGGGCAAAGAAGCAATGCAGGATGAGACAGAGGCATAGACAGAGGAATGGAATGACGGAGGCAGATGGAGAGAGAATTGCATTAAGAAGGGGGGATTGAAGGAGAAAGTGAGCGACAGCGACCTGTGCCAACACAACCACCACCCTCCCCGCGTGCCAACCCTCACCACCACCACCGTCGCCAGCACTACCAGCACACCCACCCGTGCAGCAGGTGCCTCTGGCGGATGAGGTACTGCGAGAGCGTGACCGGCGGGGCCCGGTAGGGCGTCGAGGCGGGCCAGGCGGTGCCCGGCGTGAGGGGTTCGGTAGGGGGCGCCCACGCCATGCAGCTGAAGACGGAGCGGAGGGGCGTGAGGAACTGAGCGAATTCGCGCACGCACAGCAGCTGCCCGCGCGTCTGCACCGCGTTGGGGCGGCGTGCGCGCACGTACAGGATGGCCTGGTCCGGGTGCATGCGCCCCGCGAACACCAGGTAGCACGCGATCAGCACACCTGTGTTGCACGTGTGTGGGGGTGGCGGTGGGGGGGGGGTGTGAGGGGGGAAGAGTGGTGGCGCAGTGATTAGGGCACTACGCTATGAAGCAGGCCCCCCGGGATTTATTCCCACTCACACCAGTGAACCCGCCCGCACCAGGTTGTCATTACGCAGACCGTTGGGGCAAGTGCTGTTAGCGAGCACCTATCAAGGCAGGCACGGAATACGAGGGGGTGGGTGGCCAGAACCATTCCCTGCCACCTTTGTCTCTCCAGTTCTGATGTTTTACACACTGCACCAGGTACTCATGTAGAGTCTACCTAGATGAGGCCCAGGCCCGAGTGGAAATGGAGGACCAGTTCAGGTATTCGTCACTGACGTTGGCCGGCAACAAGGGGAATCGAACTCGGGTTGCGGTCTGGCGAACTCGCGTCGTGTTGCCGTCTGGCGCTCACCGGTGCGCCCCAAGCCGGCATGGCAGTGGATCGCCACCTTCCCCTCCTGCAGGGCAAAGGTGATGACCTTGACCATGTCGAGGATGGTGGTGAGCGACGCCACGCCATAGTCCTTCCAGCAGAAGTTGTAGAAATAAACTGCGAAGGCAAAAGGGAGAGTTACGCAAACAAGCTGGGCACGCCGGTCCGTGAAAGCGAGCCTGTGTTCTCTGTTGGGGGCAGTGTTTCTCAACTCCAGTCCTTGCAGAACATTTTACAAAAAATCAACACAATCCTCACTTTTCACAAACGGCCCAGGGGAAACGGTGGGGGACACAGGAACAGAGTTTTTGAAATCACAGCCGAGTCCACTGGGATCTGTGTAGAGTGCGAGTCCGCGCGCGAGTCCGCGCGCGAGTCCGCGCGCGAGTCCGCCCGTGTGTGCGCGCGTGTGGACGAGCGCCCACTGTTGTTGTCCATGAAGACGCGAGGCAGGTAGGTGAAGCCGCTCTCCTCCTCCAGGGGGAAGCCGCAGCTCGCGTGCTCCCCCGGCCACTGCAGGTTAATCACCGTGCTGATACCCAGACTGCACACACAAAGACAAAAACCCCACCATGTAGCCTCTATGAAGATCAGCACGGCGCAGGAGGGGGTGGGTGACCAGCACCACGCCCGGCTGCCTTTATCTCCCTGCTATGCAAGTGTGCCAGTTGTACTCCCTTACCCACCCATTGACCACCTTAACCCACCCCCCCATCCCTGGGTCCCAATAGCACGCCTGAGCCCATGCCCCCTGATCCTCCGTGCCCCCCGCCTCCTCTGTGCCCCCGCCACGCCCCCGCACCTCTTGAACTGCTCGATGACGTCGTACTTCTCGATGGTCTCAGTGGACGGGCGAGCCATGGCCAGGATGTTCTCCGTGACCCTGAGGTCACAGCACGCACACACGGTCACACGCCAGCCCAACTACCCCGTGTGTGCCATCGTTTGCGAGTGTGTGTGCACGCCACTGTGAGAGAGTGCGTGTGCTACTGCGGCCGAGCGTGGTGGTGGTGGCCACACAACCTCCTCGTGTGCGGAGCCGGCCTTCATAGGTGCTACCCGCTAATAGCACTTGCCCAAACAATCTGTAAAGGCTATACGGGGGATCTCTGTCTTTGTACATGCCACTGCCAGCAATGCGTGTGCTTCTGGGGCCGAGCGTGATGCTGGCCACCCACACCTGGGTCCATCTCGTGACCTCCTGTTAGCGAGCTTTCGACACTTCACAAAGTGACGTCACCGTCACTTTGTGGTGAATGGTGGGTGTTCATACTCTTTGGGTCTTTCGTTAAAGTCACGTAGATAGAAAAATAAAATAAAAATCACGATGTTTCAATCGCAACACGAGCAATCGTCTTCAGGTGAAAAAATACAGCAGGCGAACTGCTGAGGCAGGAGAAATATAGCGGGAGAGCTGCTGCAGCAAGAGGTTATATAGGTTTGAGATTGGTGCAACCCAAGGGTAAGTGGGCGGGGCTAGAGATATAATTTGCATGTAAATGTAAGATCGGAGAATGGAGATAAAATAAAAAAAATAATAATAACAGAATAAAATTCTCAAGACGTTTCGGCCACAACACAAGTAGCCTTCCTCAGGTGAAGAAACAGGACTGTCCGGAAGACAGCGCTTGAGTGAACCCTGCCAAGCTTGGAAGCGTCTTTTAAGCTGTGTAGGAGGAACAGAGCGCCTTGACAAAGGAGTTTACATTAGCATGTTTAACATAATTCATAAAGCAATATATAGTACCGTAATTGTATAGTGAATATACAGCAGTGTGGTTTACAGTAGGGTTAGTAAAATACAGTGTAATACTACAAGTCTAATACTTTATAGTCTAAAGTATAGGGTAGTGTATAGTAACGCATTGTATAATTCAAGGGTAGGGTTTGTCTATGGATACGACATTATACAATGTAGTTTAGATTGGAAGGTATAATATTGTAATGTATAGTAGTCTAGTTTATAGCATAGTTATAACGCAACACAGGACAGAGCAGCGCACCGTGGCCGTTTCTTCCTCTTCCCCCCCCCCCCCTCCTCTGTTCCGAACATAGATGGACTCATATTCTTGGTTCTTTCGGTAAAGTTACGTAGAAGGGAAACAATAAAATAATAAAAATATAAAACAATAAAATTCTCACGACGTTTCGACTGCAACACAAGCAATCATCATCAGGTGTGAAAACCACAACAAGAAAATTTGAAAAAAGTGGCGGTTATTTTTTACGTTAGCACCACGAAGAGCGATTTGACAGTTTGTTCAGATGGACGAGTCCATCTATGCTCGGAAAGGAGGGGGGAGACGAAAAATAATGAATGCGGTCTGAAAGCCACTTTAAGTGTGATCAATCAATTAAGACCTGAAATGGTTTATCAAACCATGATTGCTAAGCCAGAATCCATCTTCTCGGTTGAAATTGTCTCTGTGTTTGTATATGTGGATAGCCTCATGAACAAATCTCTCATTGGGCCAGGTTGCTTGCAAAGAACCTCTGTCTTGGAGAAGTCAATGTCATGTGAACCCACTGAATTATAACAGTGATCTGCTAAGGCCGAGGTGTTGGTCCTACCGTGTTTCAGGTCTGCTTTGTGTTCACAAATGCGGTCCGAGACATGTTGTTTGGTTTCTCCAATGTAACTACAACCACAGAGGCAACTTAGTTTGTAGACGTCGTGAGAATTTTATTGTTTTATATTTTAATTATTTTATTGTTTCCCTTCTACGTGACTGTACTGAAAGAACCAAGAATATAGATGGACTCGTCCGTCTGAACAAAGCTCGTCGCTCTCCGTGGTGTTAATCCCTCACACTAACATCATGCTAATCCCCCAGTTACATGCTAATTTACTGTTGATATGTAAACTCTTCTCCCCCCTCCTCCGTTCTGTACATAGATGGATTCGTCCGTCTGAACAAAGCTCGTCGCTCTCCGTGGTGCTAATCCCTCACACCAACATCATGCTAATCCCCCAGTTACATGCTAATTTATATGTAAACTCCTTTGTCAAGGCGCTCTGTTCCTCCCACACAGCTTAAAAGACGCTTCCAAGCTTGGCAGGGTTCACTCAAGTGCTGTCTTCCAGACAGTCCTGTTTCTTCACCTGAGGAAAGCTACTTGTGTTGTGGTCGAAACGTCGTGATAATTTTATTGTTATTATTATTTTTATTATTTTATCTCCATTCTACGTGACTTTACCGAAAGAACCCAGAAGTTGAATCCCTGCAGTCACGAAAGCTTTAAATCGAAATTAAAGATCGAAGAGCCTGAGAAACCTCACGACTACGGTGCTGAAGCGGCCATTGTATTGCGAGATATTAGAGATTAGCATGTCAATGTGAGACGGCTCCCGCAGCAGCGGCTGCGTTAATGAGAAGATTGGGTGTTGTTGTTGCACATTTGCGTGTCTGTACATGCGCGTGCATGAGTGTGCGTGTCTGTATGCGAGCGTACGTTGTACGTGTCTGTGCGAGTGTATCTGTCAGTACGCGTGCGTGCGCCTCTGTACACGTGCGTGCGTGCGCACGCGAGCGTGGCGCTCCCACCAGGAGGAGTACACCCCGTGCACGGCCTGCTCGTCGGCGCGCAGGCGGGATGGATTCTCGTACTTGCAGGCGCGGCCCCCGCATGCTACCGAGCACTGCACGGGCCCCGGGATCACGTGGCGCAAGCGCTCGCCCACCTTCGTGTACTTGGCCGTCGGGCGCCGCGCGGAACCTGCCAGGGTGGCAACACCGCCCCCCCCCCCCCACCACTGTTACTGCCGCCGCACCAACGTACACCGGTCAGCCGAAACTGCTTCATCTCATCCACCACACTGTGTGCAACAACCACAACCAGGTCGCAACAGCACACGCACTCATCCGCACACTCACGCACTCACCCACCCACTCATTCACCACACTGCAGGTCACCTCACTTATCTTTCCTCTTCTTGTGTCGCACCGCTCCACTTTGGAATCCCCTTCAATCAACCTATTTTCCCCCCTAAGCTCTTATAACACAATAACCTTGCTCACTTCAATAAACGTGATACTACAGCACCGCAACTGGCCTCACTACTGCACAGGGCACGACAGCACCACAACGTGGAAACACAGCCACCGGAGCGTCGCACTCACGCACAACTGCATTACAACCACTGCAGCATTGCGAAAGCAGCGTGACTTAACGGCGACAGAGACAATGATGACATTACAGCACTAGCGCTGCAACACAGACAACAAGGAGGCTGCGTGTATCTTACAGGGGTACACAATCATAAAGCGAGACACACTCAAGTGACACACACACACTCCTACAGCGACACAAACTCTCTAGAGACACACTCCCTTGAGACACGGACACACACTTGAGGAACCCAAGTCGCCGGAGTCCCGCGCTGCCCCCCCCCGCGAGCTGCCGGCCGCCACGGCCGCCAGCAGTTGGTGCGAGCTGCGTGACAGCGCTTGCACGGCCGAGCTGCGGCGCCGCGTGAAAATCCTCTGCAGCGCCTCCGACGCCGAGTGCCGGCGCCGCTGCAGCGCCGTCGCCAGCGAGTCGAACACCGACAGCCGGCGCCGCTGGCTGCCCGAGGGGCTCCCGGGCGACTCCACCCGCAGCAGCGGGGAGGGCGAACGTGGGGCGGAGGTCGCCGGCGGCGCCGCCACCGCCCGGTCCAGGTGGCCGTGCAGGGAGGCCGCCTTGCGTACCGGCGGCTGGGGCTGACGCCCCCGGGCGCCCGTGCCGCGGCCGTCGTCGGAGCGGGAGACGACGCGCTTGAGGATGGAGCGGGCGGCCTCACGCCCCCGGCCCTGGGGGCCGGCGCGGCCCGGGGACGGGGGCCTCCGTGGGGCGGCACCGCCCGGCGACGGAGCCGGCGCCGTTGCCAAGCCGGGGCCGCGATCGCGTGGATCCATGTGGGAGGTGCTTGGTGTGCGAGTGTTGTGCATGTGCGCGCGCGTGTGTTGTGTGTGTGCACAAGTGCTGTGCCGGTCTTAATAGGTGCTTGCTAACAGCACTTGCCTTAATGGTCTATTGAAGGCTATGCGGGGAATCTTTGGCTTGTTGTTTTGTGCGATTGAGTTTGTGTGAGGGCGTGCGAAGGTGTGCGCACGTGTGTATATGTATGTGTCTGCTATATATGTGTATGCGTGTTTGTATGTATTTATATTCTGTATGTGTCTGTAGGTATCTGTAGGTATCTGTGTCTGTGTCTATAGGTGTATGTGTCTGTAGGTAAATGTACATGTATATGTCTGTAGGTGTCTGTATGTGTATGTATGTGTACGTGATGGTACGTGTGTCTGCAGGTTGTTGTAGGTGTCTGTGTCTGTAAGTGTCTGTACGGGATGGTTCGGTCCACACGCGGTAGTGCCCCTCCACACTTCCAGGCTGGTGCTGCTCGTGGTACGGGAGCGACCGTCCCCTGGGCCACACAACCAGTCTGCCAGAGCCTCTGACGGCTGAGCGGACTCAAGCGTTGTCCAAACCCTTCACCTCCCTCCCGACATTCAACCCCCCACCCCCTCTGCCCCCCAGCCCCCCACAGCCCCTTTTCCCGGTTGCATTAATCATTCATAAAGCAGCGACCCGCCGTTGTCATGGCAACACAGCAGCATCCAACTTCACCTACAGGTCTACTATTCAACATCCACCTCCTTCACAAGCGGGATGCCTCCTCCTCCGCAAGGGGGATGCCTCCTCCGCGAGGGGGACACCTCCTCCTCTATGAGAGGGATGCCTCCTCCTCCGCGCGGGGAATGACGCTGCCACCTCCTCCATGAGGGGGACTACATCTCCTCTGCGAGGTTGACGCCACTTCCTTCAGCTCATCTGTGAAGGGAACACCACCTCCTCCGCGAGGGGGACACCTCACCCCCCGTGAGGGGGAGACGTCCTTCATGAATGGGGGGCACATAGGAAGTGTCCGCCCTCTTAATCAACTTCTTTGTGGTCAATTTTTTAGGCGCTTTTACAAATGTCTCCCGAAGGCAGAAAACCCCAAACAAGCCACACCCAGTGTGACGACGCGGATGATGCCCATGACATCACCAAGCTCCACCCATCACCTCCCGTCCAGCGGCACACGCGGGGAACAGAAATTAGACCTTTTTCAACTATTCTCGCTTTATCTGATTAGTTGAGCAATGGAACTGATAATCGGCAAACGATTTCTTACAGCACACATCTACTGCATCACATCCCGCAGTGATGACATCACCTCTTCACGGCGCAAGGATTCAGCACTCACCTATTCACTTCAGTCACTTGCTCACTGCCGGTCACTCGCCTCCTTATCACTTTTCTGTTCCTGCTACCTTGATTACTGTGCCCATGAACTTCACTCACCGATTCCTCCATCCGTGTTGAGGAATCAGTCGCTCCCAGATACTCACTGTTAAGTCTCATCCACCACACTGCAGCTCACAGCAACCCAACCACTCACCATACTGCAGCTCACAGCAACGCACGCACTCACCACACTGCAGCTCATAGCAACCCACGCACTCACCACACTGCAGCTCACAGCAACCCACGCACTCACCACACTGCAGCTCATAGCAACCCACGCACTCACCACACTGCAGCTCACAGCAACCCACCCACTCACCACACTGCAGCCCACAGCAACCCACCCACTCACCACACTGCAGCTCACAGAAACCCAGCCACTCACCACACTGCAGCTCACAGCAACCCACCCACTCACCACACTGCAGCTCACAGCAACCCACCCACTCACCATACTGCAGCTCACAGCAACCCACCCACTCACCACACTACAGCTCACAGCAACCCACCCACTCACCACACTGCAGCTCACAGCAACCCACCCACTCACCACACTGCAGCTCACAGCAACCCACCCACTCACCACACTGCAGCTCACAGAAACCCAGCCACTCACCACACTGCAGCTCACAGCAACCCACCCACTCACCACACTGCAGCTCACCACACGTCCCTTTCTGCTTCTTCCCTCGCACTGCTACACCTTGGAATTCTCTCCCATGAATCATCATCGTCCCTTTACCCCAAAAGCTCTTGAAATAATAACCTTGCTCAATCCAAGAAAGGTGTAAACTCTTATCCATATAAACTGTTATGTTAGTGCCGTTTGTTGCTGGCCGCTTGACGTATATTGGGCCTTCGCTCAACAACTGTGTTAAAAACAAAAACCACGGGGGTCGCTGTGGCCCTCTCACTTCCTCCCAGCTCGACCGGCTCAACAGCGGGCCCCCCACCCACTCGCCCCCTTTCCCCCCCTGCTCCCAGACTCCGCCCTGGCAGATAATTAAATGTCAAGTGGCGGTGCGGGTGAGGCACTTGCCTAACGAGCGCGGTTAATTAGCTCCCCGCGGAGGATGCGGCTGCGGGTACCAACTCACAGCGGGCAGCGGCGCAGTGGCGGTGAAGGTGGGAGGCCAGGGCGGAACACACCCGCACGCACAACAACAACCGCCGTTCACCATCAAGTGGTGGTGACGTCACCGCAGCGCCTGTGCCAGGCTAGGTGCACTTTGAGGCCACGTCAAGTGTCGAAAGCTCGCTGGCAGGAGGTCATAGAACAGACCCAGGTGCCATGGATTGACTGAGATGACTGCCAGATGTGCCACCTGTGCCCCCCACTATGCCAACTTGCTGTATTTTAGCCACCCGATGCTCCGCTGGTTGTGAACGTCGCTTCTCTGCCCTCCGTGATTTCTGGAGGGCGACTGTGTCCTTCAAGAGCCTCCTGCATAGAGGTCGATCTTGATACTGCTAGTACCAGTCAAAGGCAAGTCCACATCCTCCTGTATCGCATCAGCCCATCTCTTCTTTAGCTCCCTCTATTCGACCAAAGAAAAGCTGCTTGGTCATGCGTGTGGCCGAGCATGTGGGCTACATGAACCAACCAACGCAGCCTCGCCTGCCGGAGAAGCTCACTGATGGGGTTGTGTCCAGATCTTTCAATGGTCTGGGAGCTCCTTAAGCAATCCAGGCTGGTTAAACCCAGGATGAATTATTTGCAGGCCCGCATGAATGTTTCGAACCGGGGCAGATGTTCTACGCACGCACACACACACCCTTATACACACACATGCACCTATACAAATACACTTATCCACACACATAGACCAAATATACACACATAGACACAACCCTATACATACACACTCGTATACGTGCAAACACACATACAAAGATCCTACTTATAGCTTTCAATAGACTGTTTCAGCAAGTGCTGTTAGCAAGCACATATGAAGACCAGCACAGCACACGATGGAGTGGGTGGCAAGCACCACCACACCCGGCTGCTTTTGTCTCCCCAGTGCTGATGTTTACACACCGCACCAGGTACTCATTTGAGGCTGAGTCGACCTAGGGGAGGCCCGGGACCGGTTCAGATAATCGTTACTGGTGTTGGCCGTGAGCGGGAATTGAACCCGGGTCGCCAGGTTCATTGCGCAGCGCGCTAACCGCTACACTACTGCTCCCCAACAGTCACATGCACACACACACACAGACACACACCCACACACACAGTCACATGCACTCACACAGACACACACCTGTGGCCCCTGGTTCCTGGAAGATGGCCCTCCCGCTAGTTGCCAGGGCAACAGCCATTCCCTCGTTGTGGAGGGATATCCCAGTAGCCATCGCCGTCTCTGGGAATGCAAAGGTGAAAAGCAGCGGGTGAGGAGGGTGTGCAGTGACGGTGTGGAAATTATTTTATTTATTACTGTAACACGGTTGTTTCTGCGCCGCTTTCCATTTGCTTCATACCGGCAATTAGCGAGCATGCTGTTGCTTTTTGTTATTTTGGGGACCCGAGTCACTCTTGCAAAAATGAGACCCATCCGGGTCTCTTGAATGCTCACTTGGTTAAATAAAATATCCTTGGAAAGGTGAAACGTGTGAGAACATCGGTGTTCATTTTAGTTTTAGATGAGCGCAATTTGTTTAACCAGGTGAAAACGCAAGCGACCATGGCGAGTGACCTGGGGGCATGAGGCTGCGCTGCCAGGCGGGGGGGGCGATGGTTGCTGCATGCGTGATCCCAATGGAGGAAATCGCGGTGTAAATTTTGGATTTGGAAAATTTGGACACACGGATGCCGGCACACGGTGGTCTACTCCCGCGAATGGCGCCAGGGGATCTTTAACGTGCACTGTGGGCGATGCAGACTGCGAGTCGTATTACCATGGTAAATATAACACCGCAGTAATGACCATGAACCGCTGCAACAAGTGGCAGCGAACGCGGTACCGCTGGGCCTCGTTGCCACCCTCAAACAGCGCAGGTGAAGAGGGGTGAGCACGATAGGTGAACAGCACAGGTGAGTAGCACATGTCTTTACCTCCAGCACAAGATGTCCCACTTCAGCTCTCAACACCAGGACGCAAGTGGTCTGTACTTGCAGCCGAATACACGTTACCCCCCCCCCCCACCGGATGCAAGTGGGCTGCAGGTGCAGCTGTGTGGCCAAGCGCAAGATGCGTGCGAGCAGCACCAGCGTTTGGTTCGTGAACAAAATTAGCGACAAAAATATTTGTCAACCAATTTCTTTTTTTATTTTATCCGACGATCACCGGCTATGACAAGCCGAGACTCAACTATTCTTAATGAAACGTAGGAGAGCACAGGTGAGCAGCGCAGGTGAGGAGGAGTTTTTTCTGCAGCAGCAGCACTGTGCCCAGTCACTCTGTGTCGCATCATTATTCGAGACTGCACTGCACCGAGGAGGACCAAATATAATATTTGGCTATATGTGTGATGGATATTAAAGGGTATTTAAACAAAAGAGAGATACAAAACGATTTACAGAGGTCACGAGAAAACTTGGAGTTAGACAATGTTTGACTGACTTCGCTGGCATGAGAAGATGACTCAATTAAACTCACAGCCCGAGACTCAACTCCATGTGGGTCTATGGGCCTGTGTGTAAGTCTACGTGTCGCTTGTGTACGTCTGTAGTCCATAAACTCACACAGAGACCCATCGACTCTTTGACTCCATCTCTGACTGCTTTAACCAACCAGACTAAGAGCACCGTTACATGAAATCCACAGCCCGAGACGCGGACTAAAATTCGACGGGTGCATAAGACGATAAGTGTTGACTCAATGCGCACCGGCCGGCACACACACACAGAGCACTCCGCTTACAGGAAGCATTAGGAGCAGCTCATGGCACAAATCCATTTCCTCCCACTCAGATTGAATAGCTGTTTTTGGAACGGTGCAGAATGAAATCTGATCAGGTGATTTCTTAATCGAGTTGCTGCCCCTCTCCCCCGCCCCTTTCCATCATCACGCCAGTCTTGTTCAGACCACGACCATTGGCATCATCAATCATGTATTACTTACACCGTGCCTCCTTCCTTGCAGCACACCTTGAGGAGTCAGGATAAAGGTGTGTTTCAGATGATGACTCGGTAAGAAAGCGATTCCAGACCAAATACTCGCCTCCTTCTCACTGTCCTATCGCTACCACCATCGTTGTTGTTCTCTTGTCAATTCCCCCACACGTGCGGAGGACTCGGTCTCATCCACCATCACTATTGTACACTGTACAACCACCACACTCATCAACTGAATTAACCACTCACTCACCACAGCATTCACGCATTCATTCACCCGCTCACCCACTCACTCACCACACTGCAGGTCAAACACTTAAGAGTCCTGCTTCTTCCCTCGCACTTCTCCAACGTTAACACGCTCTCATCGCCTCTTGACCACAATTCTTTTAACCTTGCTCAACTTAAGAAACCTATCGAGTCGTATCTATTACAACTTAAACAGTGCTGCTTGTTGCTGGTGGCTTGGCATCTTGGGCCTTTGGGCCTGTGCTCAGCATCCGCGATGAAATCAAATTAAAACCACGATGTTCGAAACCGATGGAGTAGACAGAGAACATACACAACAACACCGCTGCCACCGTGGCCATCGAGATCACTCAAAGGGCCGCAACTCTTGCCCCGGAAGCCGCTGTGGAAAACGGCGAATGTTCCCGTCAATCGGCTCAGAAAGAACACCAGGGACAACTCTAGGCTCACAGCAATGACCCAAACGAAGGTTCGATAGCGAATCCCAGCACTTAACCAGTTGTGTGATGCCGACGACCTCCCCCTACCGGAAAACAAGGGAGCACGCGAAGCCATTGAATCCGCACGAGCCGTGGTGGTGACAGAACCGGTCGCCACCTCCACAAGTGGTAAAATCTAATGAAGCCTGACAGCAAAAAGCAACTGCGGAGACCTCAACGGAACCATGGAGCCCACTGCGAACCGTGGAGTTCATTGCGAACGGTGGAACTCATTGCGAACCGTGGAGCCCATTGCGAACCGTGAAGCCCATTGCGAACGGTGGAGCTCATTGCGAACGGTGGAGCCCATTGCGAAACCGTGGAGCCCATTGCGAACGGTGGAGTTCATTGCGAACTGTGGAGTTCATTGCGAACGGTGGAACTCATTGCGAACCGTGGAGCCCATTGCGAACCGTGAAGCCCATTGCGAACCGTGGAGCCCATTGCGAACCGTGGAGCCCATTGCGAACCGTGAAGCCCATTGCGAACCGTGGAGCCCATTGCGAACGGTGGAGTTCATTGCGAACTGTGGAGTTCATTGCGAACCGTGGAGTTCATTGCGAACCGTGGAGCTCATTGCGAACTATGAGGCGCATTGCAAACCGTGTTAGATACGGGTCATAATCACACCGATTACACCTTTTGCGGTCTAGACATATCTTTTGTACCCGTAGTGCTATCGCTCATCACGTAGTGGGTGGTGGACCATCATCTGTTTCAATCGGTCTCGCACTTTTCCGTCCCACGAGTTTCTCATCATCTAGGGAGACGAGTGTAAAAATTGATTTACAACAGAAAAAAAGAGATGTGAAACTGGGCTCGGAGACAATGTTATCCCAGCTCACATTTTCTCTACTCTAGCATTACCCCTCCGGGAGTGTTTTTTTAATTTTTTCACAACACGATCCGCTGCCTTTTCTCCGATTTAGTTGTTATTGTTTGGTAACCAATGTCACTCTTGCAAATTACACTCACCCTGGTCTATTTGACTTCTTACTGGTTATACGAAATAAACAAACAACAATAACTGCAGTCAGCTTCATTTTCGATCCATTTCGATCTTCGTGCACAAATTGACGGGGTGGCAGGCGGTGTTCAAGTGACAAGTTGTCATCATGTGACAGGCAGTGGTTATGCGGCAGGCAGTGGTCATGTGACCGTACCTGCCAAGCAGTAGCGGCAATGCCCTCCGGCAAGCAACATCCTCGCTGTCCGCCTGCTCACGCAGCTGCCCGCACGCCGGTCCGGTCAGCTTCCAACCCACGGATAGCCTCGGTGCCAGTGCAAGGCGGCACAGGGCTGCGCAGGAACTGCGCCTGCCGGCTCCGGGTCAGCCGGTCACGTGGCTAGAAGAGTCCGAGCCCGGTGCGTGGCGGGCACTACGGTGGCGCCGCTGCCTGGCAAACCACGGCTTCCCCCTCGGGTGTCTTCGTAGCACCGTCCCCAGCCGTCCACCGGCCAACAGCGTTGATTGGCGAGCGAGTGCCAAGCACACCTTGCCGCTCCTTATGAATCTCTCACCTCCCGCCTCCACAGCCAGAGGCCGCCCTGGGTGTCCGCTACCCAACCCCTCGGGTACCCGCAAGTGACCGCTCGTCTTACGAGCCAGAGCGAGGCTGGCACGCTCAGCACCGCGCACCTGAATGGCGACCGTGGGGGGCGCGAGTCCGTCTGCGTGCTTGCAAGTCGCCGGTACATGCAGTGCTGCCAGAATGTGTCCGTAACCTGAGCCCAGGGCTGCTTAAACTGGTCAGTGCTGGGTAAGAGAGCAGGTCCGAAGAGGAGGAGAAGGAAGATTAGGATGAAAAGGGAAAAGGTAACGGCTAAGTCCTTGGTTAAACTGCAATTGCCAGGGTCTTTGGCAGACGATGCCCGATCACTGCCACGGCCGCTAAGCGCATACTGCTGGTGGCGACTGCTCGACTTTGCGGCGCACGTGGGGGATACACGCGGGGATGAGCCCGGCCCAGAGCTCATCTCTCGCCTCGCCGCTACCTGGCAACAACGTGTCAGCCGGGCCCTGCCTCCCTCCCTTCCTCCCGCTTCAAATCTGCAGCTGCAGCAGACAATGTGTAGTACTAGGCTTGCCGTGAAATACACAGGAAGCGAAAATACTTAAAAGCAGTAACAAGGAATGACACATTATTTACAAGAGTGTGAATACTACACCCTACAAAGATGTTTTCAAATGAACTTTAAAAACAACAGGATGCCTCCCATACAGACCTTAACAGCTCATTCCACAGTTGAGAAGCTAATGCTCTGCCACTTGCATTCTCTCTGCACCACTGGGAAACCGAGCTCATACGGTGACATATCGTAGTACAGTATAGTCTTATCGCAGAACCCGAATGATTAACCTTGAAGTGGTGTTCGCAGCGGAAACTCTCCGCGTTTTGGCGGCTGCCCGTGTGAGTTAATATCAGACGGGCACGGAAGGTCGGTGGCATTGGCGTAGGAGGAGGGAGCGTGGAGGATACAGGGTTGAGGCCGGAGCACCGTCATTCGGGGGATCACTCGCCGAGAGCTCCACCTCCCTCTCCAATCCGGCCGCAACATAAACAACTCCAGCCTCCTGATGCTAATAGGATGATGGGATAATGCTGAGATACCAAACAAACATGCGCCTCGTTGTTGACCTCACGGGAGAACGTCCAGGCTTAAAACCACCCGGAAACAAAACCACGCCTGCGCGTGACAGTGGGGAGTGGTAGTGCAGTAGGTAGCATGTTGCGCTACATACACGGCCACCCGAGTTCGATTCCCACTCATGGCCAACACCAGCGACGACGATGTTAACTGGTCCTGGACCTCCCCTAGGTCAATTCGCAACCGGGCAGGATGTTGCCCACCCATGTCGACCTTCACAGGTGCTACTCGCGAACAGCACTTGCCCCAACAGTCTGTTAAAGGCCACACAGGGGAGGGGAGGGGGGGGGTCTCTGTCAATACCTAAGGGAGATGAGAAATAACTCGGGTTGTTAAAGGGCAACCGGTAACCGCTTTGGTCAACGATTCCGGTGGAAATTTCGGAATTAATAAATGCGCCAATTGAACCGCACAGCGGCCATAGGATGTTTGCCCACCGTTTCTCAGTTAAAATGTAGCGGTGTACATGGCCTACTCTTCCATGCTGACGAGACGTCTTGCAAAGGTGGGAGTACCAACACTTTACCCCTCCACACGCGACCTACTCATTGAAGATGGGGTGCCCACTCATACTGGTTGTAATCAAACTGACGACCTCTGAAGTCCAGAGCGCTGCTCACCATTACTCCACGGTAGCAGCCCGATTCGTGTCCCAGTTTAAAAGGTAATGTGCGGCAAAATGGTAACGGTTTGTTACAGATTTTCTGCCCATTCGGTTACCAGTTAATGCAAAAGATTACACTTTAACATCGCGAGGAACGACACAGAATGTGACTGCCAAAACCTGGCAAAGGCTATCGACCGCGCTGGAAATTGAATGGCCACATCTCAGACCTAACACTTAGCCACTCCAATAGCCATCCATTAACGTCATCGGCCACGATCAATCCACTGCTGGATGAAGGCCTCTCGCGACCGTGCGATGTAATAATACAGCCCAGCGCCCGCACACGGATCCATGTCATCGCTCCATTTCCCCGCTCGACGTCCTCTCGGACACATTCCGTTCCTGAGCTGCCACTCCAACGTTGTTCTTGACCATCGGCCACCATTATTACAGAATTTATCTCAGATGAAGAATCTGTAATTATATTGGAGAGGAATCAGATCATCTATAAAGCTCTTTTTCACAGATGTTCAGTAGGGGCAGTCAAAACGTTACAACAAACAATACAAAACACGATAGGAGTGCAAGGTACAGGAAAGGTAAACAAATCACTTAATATATATACAAATTAAACTAAACTATTTTGTATCTTACCAGGTAAAGCCCACTGAAATATTAAACTTATTTTTCAGAAGCGACTTGGCCACAAATGATAGTTCGGTTTCAGTTAATTTATATAATTAGCCTTACTACCCAGCTTCGCCCGGGACTTGGGTCCATCAAGACGGCCGCCTTTGTCTCCCCAGTGGCGATGTTCACACCACACCAGTTACTCGTTTGAGACTGACTCGACCTAGGGGAGGCCCAGGACCGGTTCAAATAATCGTGGCCGCGAGCGGGAATCGAACTCGGGTCGCCGGGTTCATCGCGCAGCGCGCTAACCACTACACTACCGCTCCCCCCACCCCACACACGCGCGCGCGTCCATAGGTACACATACACGCGCCTGCTGCAGACACACACACAACTTTCAGGGTGCGTACGGCAGTAAACGACTGAAATAATAAAGCAATGCTGCGCGAAGAACGCCGAAGACCTGCAAAACATTTGTATTTCACTTTACCCGCGATCAGCAGGCACACTCCGTTACGCTTCCACATGCGCGGGTCACATGACAGATGTGGCGTCACAGCTCACTTGCTGTGCCAGAAAATATGCATTATTGAGCCCCCCCCCCCAAAAAAAAACGACAACACAAAAGTGTATTTGTATAATTTTTGCATGGTGTACAGTCTGGAAAGTACCCACATGGCAAATTTCAAGTTTGTTGCATGTCGGGAAGTACGCTAAACATTTTGAACAGACATTCACAACTTTGCCTTTTATATATATGGAGATGGAGATATATGGAGGTTACCCTGTGAGCCAATCATCTCTGAAATCGGGTTTCAACAAAATGGCTTATCACGTGGAAATGTTTGGCTTACATCCTCCCATCTACGCGTTTCTCTTTCGGTCCCCCACTGGAATTCCGAGCACGTTATCTCCCCTCGTTTCTTTACGCAATTTCAGGTTAACTTGTTTTCAATGACCGCTGTGGCTCCTGACGACCGACGCGTCTACTTGAACACGCGTCTAGCCACAAAACCACAATTCTACAGTGCAACCTAATACCACACCTGTTCACCACCCAGCACTACACCTCCTCACCAACCATGATGACCCCTCGTCATTACCCAGCACTACACCTCCCACACCTGTCAACCCCTGGTCAGTGCCCTACCTGATTACAGACCCAATTCAGACACTATTGGTCACCCCGTGCCCTTATAAATCTCAACGTGCATCCTACAAAGTGCCATCGCAAGGGAGAAACACAAACACATAGACACAAACATTGTTTTGCCCGTATTGAAACGGCTGTACGCCGTATGGACCTGCAAGCGCAATGTCCCTGTACAAGAATACGGGGCAATAAACCGTGTGGGTTGACGCGGTATGACCTTCTCACCGCCACCACTACCACACACCTCGTCATCACCCACACCTCGTCATCACCCACACTTCGTCATCACCGACACCTCGTCATCACCGACACCTCGTCATCACCCACACTTCGTCATCACCCACACCTCGTCATCACCCACACCTCGTCATCACCCACGACGACCACCTCGTCCCGACTCTAACCCTCATCAGCCACACCACCAACACTACACCTCCTCACCACCAACACTACCACTCACCACCAACACTACACCTCCTCACCACCAATACTACCACTCACCACCTATACTACACCTCCTCACCACCAACACTACCACTCACCACCAACACTACACCTCCTCACCACCAACACTACCACTCACCACCAACACTACACCTCCTCACCACCAACACTACCACTCACCACCAATACTACCACTCACCACCAACACTACACCTCCTCACCACCAACACTACACCTCCTCACCACCAATACTACACTCACCACCTATACATCTCCTCACCACCAACACTACCACTCACCACCAACACTACACCTCCTCACCACCAACACTACCACTCACCACCAACACTACCACTCACCACCAACACTACCACTCACCACCAACACTACACCTCCTCACCACCAATACTACCACTCACCACCTACACTACACCTCCTCACCACCAACACTACCACTCACCACTACACATCCTCACCACAAACACTACCACTCACCACCAACACTACACCTCCTCACCACCATTACCCCTCACCACCAACACTACCACTCATCACCACCAACACTACCACTCCTCACCACCAACACTACCACTCCTCACCACCAACACCACCACTCACCACCAACACTACACCTCCTCACCACCAACACTACCACTCCTCACCACCAACACTATCACTCACCACCAATACTACACCTCCTCACCACCTACACCTCCTCACCACCAATACTACCACTCACCACCTACACTACACCTCCTCACCACCAACATTGCCCTTCACCACCAGCACTACACCTCCTCACCACCAACATTACCCCTCACCACCAACACTACACCTCCTCACCACCAACACTACCACTCACTACCAATACTACCACACCTCCTCACCACCAACATTACCACTCACCACCAACACTACCACTCACCACCAGCACTACACCTCCTCACCACCAACATTACCACTCACCACCAACATTACCACTCACCACCAACACTACACCTCCTCACCACCAGCACTCACCACCAACACCTCGTCCCCGACTCTGACCCTGTAACACCCTGGCTGCACAGGTGACGGCGCGGCCCGAGAGGGCGCTAACGAGGCCGGCACAATTACACCCCCCCACCCTCCCTCCCCCACCCTCCCCTACCCACCCCCTCCCCCACCCTCCCCGACCCACCCCCTCCCTCACCCACCCCCTCCCTTCCTCCCTCACCCACCCCCTCCCTCCCTCCCCCACCCACCCCTCCCCACCCCCTCCCTCCTCTACCGACCCCCTCCCCCACCCTTCCTCCCTCCCTCCCCCACCCTCCCCTACCCACCCCCTCCCTTCCTCACCCACCCCCTCCCCCACCCTCCCTCACCCTCCCCCACCCTCCCCTACCCACCCCCTCCCTCCCTCCCCCTCCCTCCCCCACCCCTACCCACCCCCTCCCTCCTCTACCGACCCCCTCCCCCACCCTTCCTCCCTCCCTCACCCTCCCCCACCCACCCTCACCCATCCCCTCCCCCACCCACCCTCACCCTCCCCCACCCTCCCCTACCCACCCCTTCCCTCCCTCACCCACCCTCACCCAGCCCCTCCCCCACCCTCCCTCCCCCACCAAGCACCACGCGACCCGTTACTCGAGACGTCTCTACCGCTCACCTCAATTAACGAGACCGCCAGTTGTCGCGCATTCTTGTACATGATAATTAACGCGATGGCTGCTAAACGAGCCTGCTCACAGCGCTCACTCAAAGCCACTCACCCGACACCCTCGGGGCAAGCAATGCGCTTCACCGCCACCGCTGTGGTGATTTGGAGCGACTGCTGACGGCACTCGCCAAATCACCTCAATTCGCTCCCTCACAAAGCTCAGCACTCGCCATCCTCACCCACCACCCGCCCCCGACACGCAATGCTCATCAACCCCCTCACCGGCTCATCCATCTTTAGCCACGTTCACCACAGCGCTCACCAGGGCGAGTTGAAGCGAGCCAATCACTTGTGGAAACCACGCGTGAACGAAGCAGATGGCGCGGCTCGCCTCACCAACTCAAAAGCTCAGCACAACCCCCACTCGCTCACCTGTCCGTAGTAGTAGGCCTTTCGGTCTATCTTCGAAGCCTTCGTTGTTTCCTAGGCGCCGTTGCGGCTCGACCCTTCCCCTTGCAGGCTGTGGTGGAAGGGGGACAGGGGGTAGAAATACTCTCCTCTCCCCGTCTTCGTTCCCTCTCCTACCGGTTTCCCTTCTCCTCCTTCTCGTCGTCCCTCACCTCCTCCAAACCTCGATCGGCCGAGGAGGAGAGAGACGCGGGGCAATGGCCAGGATCTGAGATTCCACACTCAACGTGAGATCACCTCATTGCTCTGGAAGTAACTGCGCGCGTATTCGCGCGCACACACGCACACTTTCGTACGCAGTAACTATCGTTATTCTATTTATTTCTACACGAAGCTATGCCAGAGTCATGTTTACCACCAAATACACTTGTATAATACTTATCGACAATAACGGCGGCTGATCGTGCAGTGCCGATCGATATCGCGAAGCGCACCCAACAAGCGCATTGCAAGTGCCACTGAAGTGGCGGGCAGGGCAGCGCGCGCACAAAGCGCTCCAGTGCGCTGCGCAGAGACAATGCAATTGGCCATTGGGCCAGCGAAATTTATAATTATCCACGCGTGTTCCGTTAATGATGCGTGAACGGAGTAAATTCATTACAATTCATAATTTAAAAAAAATATTTTGCTGGCGGTGGGTTGGATTCGCGGTCCGGTCTTTTGAGAGAGAGAGAGAGTTGCGCCGTGATTTATAACGGCGAGAAAAGCCACTTCAGTAAAGTGCCGTAAAATCCATAGCTGTAAACCAAAACCGTTCACCCCGTATTCTTGTACAGGGAAATTGAGTTTTCAGGTCCATACGGACGTACAGCCGTTTCAATACGGGCAAAAAAACGTTGTTTTGTTCGTGTTTCTCCTTTGCGATGGAACTTTGTAGGATGAACGTTGAGTTGTACGGGGTGACCAAGAAGGTCTGAAATGGTCTGTAATAAGGTAAGGCACTGTTGATAAGGGGTTGGCAGGTGTTCAAAATCTTTGTAAATTTGTCAGCAATAAAAAAATGCACTCAAATAAACACATGGGCGCGCACGTCGTGGCGAATATTTCATGAACAATAACGAACAGTAAATAACAATAATACTGTCAAAATATTTACGTTAAAAAAACAAAGCCGAAGAAACCAACTCACGACAACCCACGGACCACCTCGCATCTCCGCCGTTGCCACAGTGGTGCCAAGACCGCGTGGCCACCATCGGTCGCGTGTCTCGTCGACAGGGCCGGACTAAGCTCGTGCGGGGCCAGTAGCATATTACAAAGGGGCCCTAAATAAAACAAAAAAAAACACTTACATATGAAAACACATACATTTTTAACTTGCATAGTAAAGAAATAGTATATTTCTTATTCGCTATACAGCCAGAGAATACTACAAATCGCTAACCTTAAACACCCAGTCGTTCATAAAAGTTGAAGGCGGTATAGTACTATTGTAATAGAGCAAGTGCAGAATCACTGAACCGGAATTGATAGCTTGAAAGCATTTAGCGCAAAACCCTTGAAAGTGTGGGGCCCGTAGCGTATGCTACTTTTGCTACTAGAATAATCTGGCACTGCTCGCCGACGAGCGATCATAATGAATGACAGCTGTCCTCATTTCGCTTCGATCACCCCCTCCCCACCAAATTCGCCGGCAGGAACGAAGCGCGTCACCCCGACCGTGGTGACATTCACGGCACGGTTCGCTGCGAGAGGCGACCCGAGCACGCGACTTGGGCGAGAGAGAGAGAGGGGGCTTGGCTGCCGCATTTGCGGCACCAAAGGATAACAAACGCCACGAGTCATAAGATTACAGAAATCCCTCGCCAAACGCGGTGTTTAGGTTCGTGAAAGCTCCCGTAGTTGGCAAAACCGTGGTTGGCAAGACTAAAAAAGGCTTATGGAAAATTGGGGGTTAGGTTCCGTCGAAGCCCATAACTACGCATCCTATGCTTTCAATAAACTTGAAAAATATGTACAGTACTGTATGCACTAAAATACCTTTACTATTAAGTGAACAAAAATACTTTTAATTACATTTAATATTGATAGCGAAGTCCAGATAACGTTGACGATGTTAGGGGAGGGCGGGTTAGACGATCGAGCAACCCAACTCTTCTCTCTAAAGACAAAAAAACCTTTCCTTGCCGTCTTTACATTCCTCTCACCTTCACCACCAGCTCGACGCTTACGGGCCATGATTAAGGGCAAAAATTCGTGGTATTGTACGGTAATTGCAGTACACTTTCACCAAGTATAAAGGACAGCACTATGGCGAGGGATCGCTGTACTTTTTAACCGGGGGGTTGATTGCCGATTTTCTGCTCGTAGATTACTTTTAGTTCAATCTTAACGAATGGTCGCGCGGATTGTTCTCTGGGTTCTCCGGTTTTTTTTCTCTCCACATTTCGAAACTTGCGTTTCGACTAATTGGCTGCTATAAATTTCCACACGATCAGACACCTCATTGAGCTATCGTTTGTGGCCAGGTCGCTGCTGAAAAAGAGCTACATAGCTCAGTGGGCCTTACCTGGTGAAATAAAAATTTTGTTGAGTGATTTAATAATTAGATTTTCACCATTTTCCATCCATGGTTATTGCCCATCAATTACTTTCTGCCCATCACTTTAATCTTTAGAAATTCAGTAGATTACTTTGGGCATATGACGTCAACGAGTGGACGGCGAGATGCATATGGTAGTGTAAACATTTGCGTTGTTCGTGTTGCGTATGTTCCCTTATCATATCCAAACACCATACATGGTAATCAAATCCTTCTCACAGTCGATTCACACCATAGTACCTTCCAACGGATGCAGCACGCTCACCTCTGGCAAGCCTGGCAAACAGCTATCTTAGCAACAATCCTCGCAGCGTTAAACCGCGTATGGCCCGAAATATCAGCCCCGTGTTCCGGAAAACACACCTCATTAAGTGTAGAGCCGAAACACGCGATCGATAAAACTGCGTTCGCTTGTCACATCAAATCGTATGATCCATAACTGATTTCCAACGTCCTGACACAGCCATAAGCCACGTGGTGTATTTGGGTAGTGATCCTCAAGCCTAGTTATTCCACAGAACACTTTTTGAGCTTGCTCCGTCTTCAAGGCACACCGAACCAAAGCATCATGGTGGGCCCTTCGTCCAGCAGTAGATTGATCGTGGCTGATGATATCTGCACGTGCAAAGGCGTCTTCCTCAAGTCATGCGCCGTTATAGACGGACTTGGTGATGTCATGGAAATGTGGAATCCGTTCTGTCCATTTCATGGTTTTGTTTGGATTTGTTGCTTTATATTCTTTGGGTCTTTCGGTAAAGTCATGCAGATAGGTTCAAAGAAAATAACAAAAAACTACTCAGTTTCGATCGCAACACAAGCGGTCGTCATCAGGAAAAGGGGGGTTAGCTTCGAAAGACAACTGTTTATAAAGGTTTGAAATGGGCGTAGCCCAAGTGTCAGCAGCCAATGACTTCAAGTGGTTAATAACGTCCAATGATTGGCCAGTTTGTACCAATCTTCACGGTGGAAATTGTCTGCGTCTATATATATGGATGGCTTCATGAACGAATCGTTGTTGATAGCCAGTGGGTTTGCAAATTACCTTCATCTTAGAGAAATCAATTTCGTGAGCCCACCACATTAAAACAATGATCAGCTACGGCCGAGGTATTGGTCCTACCGTGTTTCAGATCTGCCTTATGTTCAGGAACACGGTCCGAGACATGTTGCTTAGTTTCCCCAATGTAACTACTGCAAGGTGATGGTTTTGATTGGGTCCTTAGATGGTTCTTTTCCAACGGTTGGGGCGATAGCTTTATGGATTGTGTAGTCTGAATATCAATTCATTTTGAGAGCTTGGTGTACGTGTTCCAGTTCACTGGCTAGGTGATGGCCGGAAATACATCGAGCTTTATGGTGTAGAGTTTTGATGAGGAACTTCTTCTGGACCCAATCAAAACCATCACCTTGCCATACATAGCAGGGGTCACCAAAAATATTTTCAAAATCATGAGCAAACACAAGATCCAGGTTCGATTTAATACAGTACATAAAATTTGTGATCTGATCCCATCTGTGAAGGATGTGATCCCTGATATGCAGTACCCCAGCGTCTACAAACTAAGCTGTGTCTGTGGCAATAGTTACATTGGGGAAACTAAGCGACATGTCTCGGACCGTGTTCGTGAACATAAGGCAGATCTGAATCACGGAAGGACCATCATTGTTTTAATGCGGTGGGCTCACACGAAATTGATTTCTCTAAGACGAAGGCACTTTGCAGACCCACTGGCTATCAACAAAGATTCGTTCATGAAGCCATCAATATATATAGGCACAGACACAATTTCAACCGAGATGGTACAAATTGAGCAATCATTGGAAGGGCGTTATTAACCAGTTTAAGCCATAACTGGCTGTGATGTTCCAAATCCTACCACCTTCCGATGTTAGTTGTTATTTTCGGCTCTCTGATTTTTTTAACAGATTAAATTTGTCACACTAACGCAGCTACCTCGCGCGCCATCCTCGAGGATGCTGCTTGGCGATCACCCATTAACATGCTAATCTCTTACATTAACATGCTAATATCCCCCATTAACATGCTAATCTCTCACATTAACATGCTAATCTCTTACATTAACATAGCCACCTTAGCACGCTCGCCGTGGAGGATGCTCGGCGATCTTACATTGACATGCTAATTTTTACCTGGCAGCCCTTTGATTGGTGGAAAACCCACCACCGCCGCGGTCGCTGCCCACCACTGGCATTGGCATTGGCTGCTGACATTTGGGCTATGTCCATTTCAAACCTTTATAAACAGTTTGTCTTTTGAAGCTAACTTCCCTTTTCCTGATGACGACTGCTTGTGTTGCGATCGAAAAGTAATAGTTTTTTAGTTATTTTCTTTGAACCTATCTACATGACTTTACCGAAAGACCGAAAGAATATGAATTCCTGCAGTCATGAAAATTTTAAGTCAAGATTTGTTCATTTCAATGTTTATGTTTTATGTTAATGGCGGTTTTCTTCCATTGTCTATGTGTCTGTTCATGAATTAAAAACATACCGCAGCACACCTAGGAATTAAGAATGGGAAAGAAAAGGGTGGGAAAGGAAAGGAGAAACTGGAACAAAGGGTAAGGAAAGATGAGGATCGGGAGGGGGCTACATGAGGGACTCAAGGCTGCTGCAAAGAGGAGCAGCGTCTGTATTCACAGCGGATGGCGGAGAGAGGGGATGGGTTCAGAGTGGGGGTGGCCACACAGAAGCCACGAGATTAACAGGAAGCTGGAGCTGGTCGCCTTTGTTTCCCTAGTGGTGATGTTGACACACCGTACCAGGTCCTCGTTTTAGGGGATGCCCAGGACTGGTTGAAATATTCACCGCTGTTATTGGTCATGAGTGGGAATTGAACTCAGGTCGCCGGGTTCGTAGCGTGGCACGCTAACCATTGTACCACTAATAAGAACCACCCACACCCCGTCACAAGTGCTCCCCTCCACTGATCACCCCTCCTCACTCGCGCCGCCCCTCTCCAGCCCCAGCAGCTCCATCGTGCGCAGGAAGTATGGCGGGGCCGGCGCCCGGATGACGTCACCCCCAAACCAGTTGGCCCAGGGGCCCTCGGTGGGCCACGTGCCCTCCTGGGCGGGCCCGTAGCGCGGCAGGTGCATCGCGGCCAAGTGCAGGTGGAGCGGCAGGCGGTGCACCTGTGGCTGGGACACGTGCATCCTGCACAGGACTGCTTCGTCTAGAACCTGCGGAGCAACGGAGGCAGGGGGTGGGCAGAACACCGGCCGGCACAGCAGCGCAAAGCGGTCGGTTTTCCACGGTGGGAACGCTGGGAAATGTCTCGCGGTGCATGCTGGGAGGTGTGTCTCCAGGTACATGCTGGGAGGCGTATTTCGCGGTGCCTGCTGGGTACCTGAGCACGGGGAAGGGCGGTCTCCGGGGCGACGGGCACGCGAACGCCCAAGACACGTCCGACACGCCCACTGTACACGTGGTCGCCCACGGCGACGCACAGTGCAATGGTGAGGTGCACGCGCAGCTGGTCCCGGAACGCTACATGCACACCGAGCGGAGCACCGGGCGGTTAAAACACAGCGAGGTGATACAGAGGGGAGCACAAGTGCATCTGCCAGTCATCTCAGTCAACTCACGGCACCTGGGTCTGTCCCGTGGCCTCCTGCCAGAAGTGAGCCTTTTACACTTCCCCTCTGTATCACCCGAATTCCTTTGTCAAGGCACCTTAATTACTCTCACACAGCTTAAAGGTCGTGGTCTGAGCTTGGCTGTTTCACTCCAGCGCTGTCCTCGAGACAGTCTGGTCCCTTCACCTGATGAAGGCCGCTTGTGTTGTGGCCGAAATGTCGTGATTTTTGTTGTTTTACTTTTACCTACGTGACTTTACCGAATAGAACAAAAGAGTATACTTCATGTAGCCCCAAAGCGCACCTAGCCTGGTGCAGGCGCTATGGCAACGTCTCTATTACTTAGTGGTGAATGGCGGCTCTCGATGTTGTGGGACATGTTCGTGTGGGTGGAGCGGTAGTGGTGTAAAGTTAGCGCACTGCGCTTTGAACCCGGAGACCCAAATTGAATTCCCGCTCATGGCCAACACTGGTGACCAATATTTGAATCGGTCCTGGGACTAACCCCTCATGTGCTGTATCGGCCATCATAGGTGCTTGGTAACAGCACTTGCCTAAGCTGTTGAGGCTATGCGAGGGGGCGGGGGGGTCTTTGTCTTTGTGTGCCGGCGGTGTGTACCGGTAACAGGCTGCAACTCCACGAGCGCGCAGTCAGCCGCAGAGCACAGCACGCGGTAGCGCGTCAGCGCTTTCTTCACCTCCTGCCTCTTCAGACTGGCCTTGGTTGGGTGTGGGACTGGAACAACCTACTCGCAAGACACATCAACACTCCCTTGCTCGATCGACCACCTGCTCTCTCGCCTGCTTCCCCACCCGCCCGCCCGCCCGCCTGCTCCCTCGCTCAACCGACCGCTCACCGGTGCTTGTCGGCCACTTGCTGGCCACGAAACGAGTGAATGTCCACATGAGACGGGGTCAGGATACTATACTCTACATTAATCGAAGCCTGGGGTACAAATACGACTAAAGCAGCATGACCGCCACCACCCCCCCCCCCAGCTCCCAACAGCATCAGACTCTTACATTGGGTGAGGCTTAGGGTGTCTGCCCATGGTTTCTTACAACCTTGCCCAATGTGGTTTTGGCCTGAATCCACGTACAAAAAAAACAGCAGCAGCAAGCTGTCCAGGACTCCCGACATCACCACAGCAGTGACAAAAGAACAGTGGCCCAAACTGACGGTGGCGATGGATTCTGACCCCGGGGAATTTTCTGGGGGCCAAAACACAACGCGCCTGGCCGGCACCCACCAGCAGGTGATCGCCAATCTTGCGAGTCGCCAGCGGAACGTCGATGTCGCCCTCCCCGCGCTCGGGAGTGCCGACCGTCACAGCCCTGTTACCGTTTACGTGCGCGCACAGACACACAGATCCCCAATGTAGCCGTTAACAGGCTGTTTGGGGCAAGCGCTGTTAGTAAGTAGCATCTATTTAGGCCGATACGGTACACACCCTGGAAGGGGTGGTTGGCCAGCACCACACTCAGCCGCCTTTGTCTCCCCAGTGCTGATGTTGACACACCGTAGCAGTCCCAGGACCAGTTCAGATATCCGTCACTCATATTGGCCATTAGCGGGAATCAAGCTCAGATCCCTGGGTTCGTACATCGGTGCACTATCCACTACACTTCCATTCCCCACACAGACTTGCACACAAAGGCACAGCCCTGCAATTGCTCGCTCACCCCACTGCTAGGAGAAAGGCTTCCACCAGAGAACATTTTTTGCAGACTCTTCCATGCTGGTGTGACACGTTCAAAACGGCGGGAGTACCCACACTTTACCCCACCACCTGCAGGTCGAGCGCGGCGCGCCCCATTTGTACCGCTGGGGCCGCTGGGTGGACCAGAGGCAGCAGTGATTTTAAAAACCTGCACCACTGTTTCAACTGCCGTGTGCTGGCAGATTGAACGGGCGACCCCCCGGATCGTAAGCCTGGTGGCACCACGGCAGGAGTCCCAAAGCACACAGACAATGCATAAAAAAATTAGAGATGCAATCACAAGGTTACAGGAAACTGATATAGCGATAACATCGACATATCGTGAAATCTATCCCGTCGGATGCCCTTCTTATGCTCTTCTTGTGAAGCTTGTATGTTCTCTCCCCCTGTTTTCCATGCGTTTCCTCCGGGTTTCTCAGTTTCCTCCCATAGCAAAAAAAAAAAGGATGCACCGTGGAACCGATGTTGGCAAAAACATCCCAATGCTGAAAAATGACCACCGAGTTACCCATTGGGGTCACACACAGTAGGAGCAGCAACAGCAACATCGCCTCCTGCAACGCAAGCTTGGCAGGACCCTCCTGAAGAAGTCTTGAGACTCTGCGAGGCCTTCCTGGGTAAACCAGTATTGTTATAATAATATTTTCGCGGCTACCATGGCGTTCTCCGGGCGTTACCAGCAGGTGCCCCCGTGGGCACTGCCAGTAGGTGTCCCCCAGGAGCTACCAGTAGGTGCTGGCGGGCTCCCTGGCACGGCGCAAGCGAGAGAACGCGGCCTCCAGCTCCTTGGTGGTGTGGTGGCACACGGAGAGCAGCACCACGCCGGACACGTCCCTGTGTTGGCACAAGCGCACGGACACACACGCAGGCGGACACACGGACACAAGCGCACGGGCACACGGTCACACACGCACGGGCACGCACAGACAGGCACACACGCACAGGTGCATGCACGGACACAAGCGCACGGGCACACACGCACAGCACGTATAATAATTGTCAACTTGTAACGCGGCGGCGCCACACGCTATCCGCTCCTCGCTCTCGAAGAAAGAAGACTCAGAGGCATGAGGAGGAGAAACCACAGACGGGCGGGTGAGGCAGCGTGAATTTCCATCCTCCCCACCACCCGTGTCCTGGTGACCCCCCACCTGCTGGGCGCCTTCACCAGGTGCAGATCGGGAGACACCCCCAACAGTCGGGCCAGCTCAGGCAGCAGAGGCTCCAGCGCCAGCTGTTCAGGCACCGTCTGGGACTCTGTACAAAGACACCCCCGTGTAGCCCACGCAGACTGTTGGGGATAGTGCTCTTAGCAAGCACATATATAGGCCCAAACACACCTCCGCCATGTACCGCGCAATGAGCACACCTGTGTGCGAATGTTTATGGTTTGTATAATCAGAATACTTGCTTATAAAACATGTACAGTCATCATTCATGCAAACTGCTTCTCTCGCAATCACCGAGGAACCACAGACGAGCGGGAAGGCAGCAGACAGGTGAGCCGGCACTCCCAACAATTGCCCAAAGCTCTGCTGTCCTCTATATATTCAGATGTTTTCAGCCAATGAATCAGTGTTTATGCATGTGGGAGTAAATCACACACACATAAGGGCGTCCGGGGAGGGGGCGGTAGGGTCAGGTGACCATCACATGCATGACCCATTGGGACCCACAGGGTCTAGCTGACCTGCCCTGGTTTATTTACCCTACCCTTCCTTGCCCTGCCCATGGTCAAGGGGCAAATTGAGGAGCCTCACCGTGCACGCCAAGTCCGGCAGGTTTACCAATCGCCAGGATGGGATCTGGAAAGGGACATGGGAGGTGGGGGGGCAGACGTGGGTGGGGGGGGAAAGAAATGGTGATTGTTGATGATTGCACAGCTTTCTCACGAGTTGCCTGCCCGCTACTGTGTTCACATGTTAGTGTGCACGCACGTGTGTGTAGTGTAGTGGTTAGCGCACTGCGCTACAAACCCCGGCGACCCGAGTTCGATTCCCGCTCACAGCCAACACTCAGTGACAAAAATCTGAACCGGTCCCAGGCCTCCCCTGGGTCGACTGCGCTTAAAATGAGTACCTGGTGCGGTGTATTTGATTGCCGCTCACACCCCACACCGGTGACGAATATCTCAACCGCTTCCGGGCCTCTCCTAGGTCGACTCGGCCTTGAACGAGCAACTGATGCGGCGTTTAAATATTAGCACTGGCGAGAAAAATGTGGCTCGGGCGTGGTGCTGACCACCCACCCCCTCGTGTGCCGTGCCCGACCTTCTCTAGGTGCTCGCGAACAGCACTTGCCCCAACAGTCTGTTAAGGCTTTACGGGATGGTTGGGGGGACCTGTATCTTTATGCGTGAGTGTGGCCGCGCGTGCCCGCTGTGGCACCTTTCCGGTAAACCACCGCCGCCACCAGGGCTTCGAGCAGCTGCTCGCGGTTCATCTTCGCCGGATCGCTCACTCCCGGCGCCCGCAGCACGCTCTCCCGCCCCGGCACCCGAGGCCTCCAGAAGGGCTCGGCCTTCTTCACCGGGGCCCATGAGACCGCCGGGGTCTCCCTCGCGGCGAGGGGGGCCCGCGTCCCCATGAAGGCCCGGAGGCGCAGCGCCGCCGCGAACCGCGCAGCACAGCGGGCGCCCAGCACCGGGGACGGCATTGTCTGGTGGAAAACGGGGAGATTCGTCACCTTCATCAATCAGCCTTGGTCTATCTACTGCTGGTGGGTTTGGGCCAGCACCATGCTCACATGAACACTATAGCCATACCCCTAACTATCCAAGTGGCAATTAGTAATAACACAAACGTAACCACATCAACACAACACACGATGACACAGCACTGCACAACACTGACCCAATGCTCTACAGCACACATCCTCACCACGACCCTCACACACACTCACCCGCTCTCACCTTACACTCTCTCTCACACTCACCCCCCTCACCTTACACACTCTCACCCACCCTCACCTTACACTCTCACACTCACCCCCCCCCTCACCTTGCACTCTCTCACACTCACCCCCCCTCCGTCACCTTACTCTCTCACACTCACCCTCCCCTCACCTTACACTCTCTCACACTCACCCCCCCCCCCCTCACCTTACACTCTCACACTCACCCCCCCCCTCACCTTACACTCTCTCACACTCACCCCCCCCTCACCTTACACTCTCACACACTCACCCCCCCCTCACCTTACACTCTCTCACACTCACCCCCCCCCCCCTCACCTTACACTCTCACACTCACCCCCCCCCTCACCTTACACTCTCTCACACTCACCCCCCCCCCCCTCACCTTACACTCTCTCACACCCCCCCCTCACCTTACACTCTCACACTCACCCCCACCCCTTACACTCTCACACTCACCCCCCTCACCTCACACTCTCTCACACTCACCCCCCCTACACTCTCACACTCACCCCCCCCCTCACCTTACACTCTCTCACACCCCCCTCCCCCCCTTACACTCTCACCCCCCCCCTCACCTTACACTCTCTCTCACCCCCCCCCTCACCTTACACTCTCACACTCACCCCCCACTCACCTTACACTCTCTCACACTCACCCCCCCCCTACACTCTCACACTCACCCCCCCCCTCACCTTGCACTCTCTCACCCCCCCCTTACACTCTCACACTCAACCCCCTCCCTCACCTTACACTCTCACACTCACCCCCATCACCTCACACTCTCTCACACTCACCCCCCTCACCTCACACTCTCTGACACTCACCCCCCCCTACACTCTCACACTCACCCCCCCCCCCTCACCTTACACACTCACCCCCCCCCCCCCCTCACCTTACACTCTCACTCACCCCCCCCTCACCTTAAACTCTCTCACACCCCCCCCCTTACACTCTCACCCCCCCCCCCCTTACACTCTCACACTCACCCCCTCCTCACCTTACACTCTCAGACTCACCCCCCCCCTCACCTTACACTCTCTCACACTCACCCCCCCCCTCACCTTACACTATTACACTCACCCCCTCCTCACCTTACACTCTCTCACACCCCCCCCCTCACCTACACTCTCACACTCACCCCCCCCCCCCCTTACACTCTCACCCCCCCCCCCCTTACACTCTCACACTCACCCCCCCCTCACCTTACACTCTCTCACACTCACCCCCCCCCTCACCTTACACTCTCTCACACTCACCCCTCCCCTCACTTTACACTATTACACTCACCCCCTCCTCACCTTACACTCACCCCCCCCTCACCTTAAACTCTCTCACACCCCCCCCTTACACTCTCACCCCCCCCCCCTTACACTCTCACACTCACCCCCCCCCCTCACCTTACACTCTCTCACACTCACCCCCCCCCCCTTACACTCTCACCCCCCCCCCTTACACTCTCACACTCACCCCCCCCCCTCACCTTACACTCTCTCACACTCACCCCCCCCCCTCACCTTACACTCTCTCACACTCACCCCTCCCCTCACCTTACACTATTACACTCACCCCCTCCTCACCTTACACTCTCTCACACCCCCCCCCTCACCTACACTCTCACACTCAACCCCCTCCCTCACCTTACACTCTCACACTCACCCCCATCACCTCACACTCTCTCACACTCACCCCCCTCACCTCACACTCTCTCACCCCCCTCACCTCACACTCTCTCACCCCCCTCACCTTACACTCTCTTACACTCACCCCCCCCCCCCCTCACCTTACACTCTCACTCACCCCCCCCTCACCTTAAACTCTCTCACACTCACCCCCCCCTCACCTTACACTCTCACACTCACCCCCCCCCCTCACCTTACACTCTCTCACACTCACCCCCCCCTCACCTTACACTCTCTCACACTCACCCCCTCCTCACCTTACACTCTCAGACTCACCCCCCCCCCCCTCACCTTACACTCTCTCACACTCACCCCCCCCCTCACCTTACACTATTACACTCACCCCCTCCTCACCTTACACTCTCTCACACCCCCCCCCCCTCACCTACACGCTCACACTCACCCCCCCCCCTTACACTCTCACCCCCCCCCTTACACTCTCACACTCACCCCCCCCTCACCTTACACTCTCTCACACTCACCCCCCCCCCCCTCACCTTACACTCTCTCACACTCACCCCTCCCCTCACCTTACACTATTACACTCACCCCCTCCTCACCTTACACTCTCTCACACCCCCCCCCTCACCTACACTCTCACACTCACCCCCCCCCCCCCTTACACTCTCACCCCCCCCCCCTTACACTCTCACACTCACCCCCCCCCTTACACTCTCACCCCCCCCTCACCTTACACTCTCTCACCCCCCCCCTCACCTTACACACTCTCTCACACTCACCCCCCCCCTCACCTTACACTATTACACTCACCCCCCCTCACCTTAAACTCTCACACTCACCCCCCCCCCTCACCTCACACTCACCCCCTCCTCACCTTACACTCTCTCTCACACTCACCCCCCCCCTTACACTCTCACACTCACCCCCCCCCACCCCTTACACTCTCAGACTCACCCCCCCCCTCACCTTACACTCTCTCACACTCCCCCTCCCCCCCTTACACACTCACCCCCTCCTCACCTTACACTCTCTCTCACTCACACCCCCCCCTTACACTCTCACACTAACCCACCCTCACCTTACACTCTCTCACACTCACCCCCCTCCCCTTACACTCTCACCCCCCCTCACCTTACACTCTCACACTCACCCCCCTACACTCTCTCACACCCCCCCCTCACCTTACACTCTCACACTCACCCCCCCCCCCCACCACCCTACACTCTCTCACACTCACCCCACCCCTTACACTCTCACACTCACCCCCACCCCTTACACTCTCACACTCACCCCCACCCCTTACACTCTCACACTCACCCCCCTCACCTCACACTCTCTCACACTCACCCCCCCTACACTCTCACACTCACCCCCCCCCCCTCACCTTACACTCTCTCACCCCCCCCTCCCCCCCTTACACTCTCACCCCCCCCCTCACCTTACACTCTCTCTCACCCCCCCCCTCACCTTACACTCTCACACTCACCCCCCACTCACCTTACACTCTCTCACACTCACCCCCCCCCTACACTCTCACACTCACCCCCCCCCCTCACCTTGCACTCTCTCACCCCCCCCTTACACTCTCACACTCACCCCCCCCCCTCACCTTACACTCTCTCACACTCACCCCTCCCCTCACCTTACACTATTACACTCACCCCCTCCTCACCTTACACTCTCTCACCCCCCCCCCCTCACCTACACTCTCACACTCAACCCCCTCCCTCACCTTACACTCTCACACTCACCCCCCTCACCTTACACTCTCTTACACCCCCCCCCCCCTCACCTTACACTCTCTCACTCACCCCCCCCTCACCTTAAACTCTCTCACACCCCCCCCCCTCACCTTACACTCTCTCACACTCACCCCCTCCTCACCTTACACTGTCAGACTCACCCCCCCCCCTCACCTTACACTCTCTCACACTCACCCCCCCCCTCACCTTACACTATTACACTCACCCCCTCCTCACCTTACACTCTCTCACACCCCCCCCCCCCTCACCTACACGCTCACACTCAACCCCCCCCCTTACACTCTCACCCCCCCCTTACACTCTCACACTCACCCCCCCCTCACCTTACACTCTCTCACACTCACCCCCCCCTCACCTTACACTCTCTCACACTCACCCCTCCCCTCACCTTACACTATTACACTCACCCCCTCCTCACCTTACACTCTCTCACACCCCCCCCCTCACCTACACTCTCACACTCACCCCCCCCCCTTACACTCTCACCCCCCCCCCCTTACACCCTCACACTCACCCCCCCCCCTTACACTCTCACCCCCCCCTCACCTTACACTCTCTCACCCCCCCCCTCACCTTACACACTCTCTCACACTCACCCCCCCCTCACCTTACACTATTACACTCACCCCCCCTCACCTTAAACTCTCACACTCACCCCCCCCTCACCTCACACTCACCCCCTCCTCACCTTACACTCTCTCTCACACTCACCCCCCCCCCTTACACTCTCACACTCACCCCCCCCCACCCCTTACACTCTCAGACTCACCCCCCCCTCACCTTACACTCTCTCACACTCCCCCTCCCCCCCTTACACACTCACCCCCTCCTCACCTTACACTCTCTCTCACTCACACCCCCCCCTTACACTCTCACACTAACCCACCCTCACCTTACACTCTCTCACACTCACCCCCCTCCCCTTACACTCTCACCCCCCCTCACCTTACACTCTCACACTCACCCCCCTACACTCTCTCACACCCCCCCCTCACCTTACACTCTCACACTCACCCCCCTACACTCTCACACTCACCCCCCCTCATCTTAAACACTCACACTCACCCCCCCCCCCCTCACCTTACACTCTCTCACACTCACCCCCTCCTCACCTTACACTCTCAGACTCACCCCCCCCCCTCACCTTACACTCTCTCACACTCACCCCCCCCCCTCACCTTACACTATTACACTCACCCCCTCCTCACCTTACACTCTCTCACACCCCCCCCCCCCTCACCTACACGCTCACACTCACCCCCCCCCTTACACTCTCACCCCCCCCCTTACACTCTCACACTCACCCCCCCCTCACCTTACACTCTCTCACACTCACCCCCCCCCCCTCACCTTACACTCTCTCACACTCACCCCTCCCCTCACCTTACACTATTACACTCACCCCCTCCTCACCTTACACTCTCTCACACCCCCCCCCCTCACCTACACTCTCACACTCACCCCCCCCCCCTTACACTCTCACCCCCCCCCTTACACTCTCACACTCACCCCCCCCCCTTACACTCTCACCCCCCCCTCACCTTACACTCTCTCACCCCCCCCCCCTCACCTTACACACTCTCTCACACTCACCCCCCCCTCACCTTACACTATTACACTCACCCCCCCTCACCTTAAACTCTCACACTCACCCCCCCCTCACCTCACACTCACCCCCTCCTCACCTTACACTCTCTCTCACACTCACCCCCCCCCTTACACTCTCACACTCACCCCCCCCCCACCCCTTACACTCTCAGACTCACCCCCCCCTCACCTTACACTCTCTCACACTCCCCCTCCCCCCCTTACACACTCACCCCCTCCTCACCTTACACTCTCTCTCACTCACACCCCCCCCTTACACTCTCACACTAACCCACCCTCACCTTACACTCTCTCACACTCACCCCCCTCCCCTTACACTCTCACCCCCCCTCACCTTACACTCTCACACTCACCCCCCTACACTCTCTCACACCCCCCCCTCACCTTACACTCTCACACTCACCCCCCTACACTCTCACACTCACCCCCCCTCACCTTAAACACTCACACTCACCCCCTCCTCACCTTACACTCTCTCACACACTCACCCCCCCCTCACCTTACACTATTACACTCACCCCCCCCTCACCTTACACTCTTTCTCACACTCACCCCCCCCCCCTCACCTTACACTCTCACACTCACCCCCCCCCCTTACACACTCACCCCCCCCCCTCACCTTATACTCTCACACTCACCCCTCCCCCTCACCTCACACTCTCTCACACTCACCCCCCCTCACCTTACACTCTCACCCCCCCCCCCGCACCTTACACTCTCTCTCTCATACCCCCCCCCTTTACACTCTCACACTCACCCCCCTAACCTCACACTCTCTCACACTCACCCCCCCCCACACTATCACACTCACCCCCCCCCTTACACTCTCACCCCCCCCTCACCTTACACTCTCACACTCACCCCCCTACACCCTCACACTCACCCCCCTCACCTTAAACACTCACACTCACCCCCCCTCCTCACCTTACACTCTTTCTCACACTCACCCCCCCCCTCACCTCACACTCTCTCACACCCCCCCTCACCTACACCCTCACACTCACCCCCCCTCACCTTACACTCTCTCACTCACCCCCCCCTCACCTCACACTCTCTCACACCCCCCCCCCTCACCTACACTCTCTCACTCACCCCCCCCCCCTTACACTCTCTCACACTCACCCCCCCCTCACCTCACACTCTCTCACACCCCCCCCCCCTCACCTACACTCTCACACTCACCCCCCCCCTTACACTCTCACCCCCCCCCCCCTTACACTCTCACACTCACCCCCCCCCCTCACCTTACACTCTCACACTCACCCACCCCTTACACTCTCACACCCCCCCCCCCTCACCTTACACTCTCTCACACTTACCCCCCCCCCTCACCTTACACTCTCTCACACTCACCCCCCCCTCACCTTACACTCTCTCACACCCCCCCCCCCTCACCTACACTCTCACACTCACCCCCCCCCCTTACACTCTCACCCCCCCCCCCTTACACTCTCACACACCCCCCCCCTCACCTTATACTCTCTCACCCCCCCCCCCCTCACCTCACACTCTCACACTCACCCCCTCCTCACCTTACACTCTCTCTCACACTCACCCCCCTCACCTCACACTCACCCCCTCCTCACCTTACACTCTCTCACACCCCCCTCCCCCCCTTACACTCTCACCCCTCCCCTCACCTCACACTCTCTCTCACTCACACCCCCCCAATTACACTCTCACACTAACCCACCCTCACCTTACACACTCACACTCACCCCCCTACACTCTCACACTCACCCCCCCTCACCTTAAACACTCACACTCACCCCCTCCTCACCTTACACTCTCTCACACACTCACCCCCCCCTCACCTTACACTATTACACTCACCCCCCCCTCACCTTACACTCTTTCTCACACTCACCCCCCCCCCTCACCTTACACTCTCACACTCACCCCCCCCCTTACACACTCACCCCCCCCCCTCACCTTACACTCTCCCTCACACTCACCCCCCCTCACCTTACACTCTCACCCCCCCCCCTCACCTCACACTCTCTCACACTCACCCCCCTCACTTCACACTCTCTCACACTCACCCCCCCCCTCACCTTACACTCTCTCACATTCACCCCCCCCCTCACCTTACACTCTCTCAACCCCCCACCCCCTCACCTACACTCTCACACTCACCCCCCCCCCCCTTACACTCTCACCCCCCCCTCACCTTACACTCTCACACTCACCCCCCTACACCCTCACACTCACCCCCCCTCACCTTAAACACTCACACTCACCCCCCCTCCTCACCTTACACTCTTTCTCACACTCACCCCCCCCCCTCACCTTACACTCTCTCACACCCCCCTCACCTACACTCTCACACTCACCCCCCCCCTTACACTCTCACACTCACCCCTCCCCCTCACCTCACACTCTCTCACACTCACCCCCCCTCACCTTACACTCTCTCACTTATCCCTCACCTTACACTCTCTTACTCACCCCCCGCACCTTACACTCACCCCCCCCCTCACCTTACACTCTCTCACACTCACCCCCCGCACCTTACACTCTCTCTCATACCCCCCCCTCACCTTACACTCTCACACTCACCGCCCCCCCCTCACCTTACACTCTCACCCCCTCACCTTACACTCTCACACTCACCCCCTCACCTTACACTCTCACACTCTCACCCCCGCACCTTACACACTCACCCCCTCCTCACCTTACGCTCTCACACTCACCCCCTCACCTTACACTCTCTCAACCCCCCCCCTTACACTCTCTCACACTGACCCCCCCTCACCTCACACACTCTCACACTCACCCCCCCCCTCACCTTACACTCACCCCCCTCACCTCACACTCTCTCACACTCACCCCCTCCCCTACACTCTCACTCACCCCCCCTCACCTTACACTCACCCCCCTCACCTCACACTCTCTCACACTCACCCCCCCCCCCTACACTCTCACTCACCCCCCCTCACCTTACACTCTCTCACACTCATCCGCCCTCACCTCACGTGCGTCTCCCTGCGCGTGGACTGCAATCACAACTACTGCGCATGCGCGCGCTCTTCCTGAAGTTGGAGGTCGTGGCACCGCTCATCCACGCCCCCCCCCCACAAACGTCTATGGGGCGGGGCAACCCAAGAACCAGCCAATCCACTCGCTGCATGGGCGGTGCTAACGACGCGGCGGGAGGGGCTATATAAAAGAGGGCGTGGCTTCCAACTCGGGGGCCGCGTGTCCCAGTTGTGCTTCCCGAAATGTCGTGGCTTTAAAGTCTCAAGTTGATTGTTTCACCAGGTGAGAACTCGGGAGACCATGATCAGTACGATCTGCGCGAGTGAACGGGTGGGTGAGTTATTGTTGAGTTGGTGAATGAGTCGATAGATGGGTGGGATGTGTGTCGGTTGAGTTATGAGTGGGTTGTACAGGGTGAGGTGGTGAGGTGTTAGGCGAGGCTGTGTGTTGGTGAGAACTCAACAGACCAGGGCAGCAGAGTCTCATTTCTTTAAGAGTGACCTGGGTCACTAAAATGCAAAACCAAACACAAGTTGCAGCAACAAAGCAAATAGCAATCGGAGCAAGAATCCCGTCATGAAAGTGGACAAATAGATCACAAGCTGCTGCTGCACAACATAGAGGCGCACACCGTGGTGCACAATTTCAGTTTGTTTTGATGTTTGTCTTTGTATTTTGTTTATGGTGGACAGCATTCACTGTAATGTGATGATTTGTATTGCTGAGCCTCCGTCATCACACACATAAACAAACATCCCCAGTGCAGCCTTTACAGACTATCGATGCATGCAGCGTTAGCGATCACCTATTAAGTACAGCACAATTGCCAAAGGCACGGGTGCAGTCAACGACACGCACACAGCGGGTGACTGTCTCCCCAGTGCTGATGCTTACGCATTGTACTCGGTGTTCATTAGATGACAGGTTCAGATATCCATGACTTCGGAATTGAACTCTGACCTCTGGGTTCAATGCAGATGGCCACTGCACCAGCAATGCCCAACTGACACAACCTAATATTCACGCAAACAATCGCTCCACGGTCAACCCTTCAAAGAGCCGTTAGCGAGCAACCATTAAGGCCGGCATGGTACACATTTATTTTCTCAAGTGGCATAGCTGAATGTTTCCACCTTGAGGTTCTGTGTACAACGCTGTGTGTCCACACATCCCATCGTCTCCCCACGCGTGACCCCAGTCTCTTCCTCCCATGTGCGTGTCTCTCTGTCCTCCTGTGTGCATCACCCGTGTCTCCACCCGTGTCTCCGCGTGCATCCATGTGAACTCGTCGTCCCTGTGCTAGTGTGTCCCGGTATTACCGGGCATGCCCCAACACTACCCCATGTAATCACGCACCACACCGTTGATCCCCAGCGTTCAATGTCTCCCCGTCCTATCGTGTTCCCGGTATTTTCCCCGGTATCCCCTGGTTGCCCCCCTTAGGTGGCAGCAGCGAGGCCGTTCTGCAGCAGCTGCAGCATGGCTGGGTAGACGGGAGCAAACTCCCTCCCATCCTTGGCACGCACGCCCTGTACGTATGCCTCCAAGGCCCCCCTAGGACACGCACACACAAACACAGTGACAGAGTCAGTGACATGGTTAGTCACCCAGTCACACTGTCAGTGACACGGTCAGTCAATCAGTCATATGGTCAGTCACGGTATTATTTATACCGTCAGTTTAATACGTAGGCTTTCGCGACCAATATCCATTATATAGGTTTTTTGGGTTAGATCGCGTACATATAAATGTGTCGTTAAACCCACCACCACCCGGCACAGCCAATTAGTAAGGTTTGTCACGTAAACAGAACATGCCAATTCGTTACTAGTACAGCATTGTCTCCTTTCTTATAATAACCTCGCTCAATAAAAAAAATCAGGTCAAATCCTATCAAATCACAACTTTGTAAGTGCTGTTTGTTGCTGGTCGCTTGACGTTTTCGTCCTTTGGGCCCGAGCTCGGCAACATCTCGCGGCACCAGTACAAACCGGAATTTGAAAGAATTTCTCCGTATGGAAAACATTGCAGAACAAACGCAATTCTCATCTTGCGCATGATGGCAGCAGCAAGATGTTCAGGAGCAAAATGCCCAATGTGAAGGTCTACTGCCCATGACGAGAGGGCTTCAGGAGAGAGTTTGTTCGTGTCGTTTTGCTTCTCCTCCGTTGAATGAGCGAGTAAACATTGCAGTGCAGATGATACACATGGGCAAACAGGAATAAATGATACTGAAATTCACAACTGTGTTTGAGAGTGCTCTCTGTACTGTGCACTTCATTAGTGTGATTCATACCCTAGCCAGCTGGAAATAATTAGTTTTAGAATGTCAGTGCAAAAGCCACCCACCTGCCAACAACACCAGAGGTGTTGTAGAGACAAAGATTCCCCGTGTAGCCTTCATCCTATTGGGGCTATTAGCGAGTACCTATGAAGGCCGGCAAGGCACACCAGTTGCCAGCACTACTCTCAGCCACCTTTGTCTCCCTGCCATAGCCGATATTTACAGTTGCGCATCAGGTACTCATTTAAAGCTGAAGAAATTGCGCTACTGACGCTAGCTAATAGTCGTGGCCGGGAATCGAACCTAGGTCACCAGGTTCTTGGCGCAGTCCACTGAACAAAATGTTACAGTCATACCGTGATAGTCACACATTCACAACAACAGCCATAGAGGTGACATCCCCACAAAGCTCGAAAAAGAGATTTTAACAACACGAGTACAAACACATGGACACGCAACAACAACAGCCGCCGTTCGCCACCAAGTGGCGGTGACGTCACCGCGTCGCTTGTGGCAGGCTGGGTGCACTTCGAGGCTGTCCCATGAACGGGGAGGCTCGCTGCTGGGCAGGTCATGGGACAGACCCTGCACGTGCCACGGGGTTGACTGACCGAGATGACCGGTGGATGCTCCACCTGTGCTCCCTCCACTGTGAGTCAGAGAGGGTGGGGTACCTGATGAAGGTGAGTCGGTCCCTTTGGCTTGGGTGGTCGTCCATCCACTGGGAGTACCGAGCCACGGACCAGTCCACCCTCTGAAGGGGGAAACGAGAGGTTGGTGGGGGTTAAATAGACAAAGATCACCCATTTAGCCTTTAACAGAATGTTAAAATGCGAGTAGCACCTATTCAAGGCTGGCAGGGCACATGAGGGGGTGGCTGACCAGCACCACTCCCGGCTGCCTTTGTCTACTAGTGGCAATGTTTACACACATTTAAGGCTGAGTTGACCCAGGGGAGGCCTGGGACCGGTTCAGATATTCGTCACCAGTGTCGGCCGTGAGCGGTAAACGAACTCGGGTCGCTGGGTTCGTAGCGCAGCGCGCTAAATGTTAAGTTGAGGGAGGGTGACAACATGCCTGGTGAGGAGAGGGCATGTCGGGCGGCGCGCGAGAGAAGAGCAGGTGCAGCGCGGTGCTGTGCGGCACCAGCTCCCCCAGCGCAGGGCTGGCCGCCACGTGCTCGCTTGTCTGGAACAGCAGTGGCCTGCGGGCATGCACATGGGTACCCACACGGGTACGCATGGGTAAACACGCGGGTACACACACGAGTATGCACACGGGTATGAACTTGGGTATATCTTATTTGTTGCGTTGGTGTGTGACGGTGCGTTGGTGTGTGACGGTGCGTTGGTGCGTGTGTGTTGGTGTGACAGTGTATGACGGGGTGTGTGTGATGGTGTATGTTGGAGTGTGTGTGTTGGTGTGACAGTGTATGATGGGGCGTGTGTTGAAGTGCGTGGGTACCTGAATGAGCGGAGCAGGCGGTACGGCTTTCCCAGGTCTGACACTCGTCGGCACAACGGAGCTACCGCCAGCTCCATCTGTGGGAGTAGGCAGTGGCTGAGCACTCGCACGAACAGATAATAACGCAAAGCAGCCACTGACAGCACAAACGATAGCACAGTAGATAAGAGTGACATAGACTTATACAGGACTCATCGGCGAACACTGCACCCATAGACCTACGAGGGCAGCAGAGGAGAATGAGCAATCTCCCATTGATCGAAGGGTGATTGGGAGATTTGATGGAAAGCCTTGGTAGCTGGAGAGTGAAATGAGAGGTAGGAGAGTGTGCGGAGGGGAGTAGAGAGTAGTGACGGATGTAGGGAGGTGAGGGACGTGGGGAGGTGAGGGACGAGAGGAGGTGAGGAAGTGGCAGACGTGGGAGATGTTGCGCCCGTGGCGGAATGAGGATGGAGGAACCATTCGGGAAGTGCCGCCAACCGGCCAGCCGGCTCTTTACCTGGGCGCAGTCGGCCGCCAGCCGCATCTTGCCGGCTTCGCCGAGCGGCCGCACCAAACTGGCGTGGCGCACGAACAAACGCACAGCGCGTGCCGCCGCCGACTCCAGGGCACGGGTCGTCAGCGCGGCGCACGCCCAGGGGCCGAAGTAGTCGGAGACGGCGCGGCTCACGAAGCCCTGGAGCTCGCGCATATAGAGCGAGCACGGCGCCGCATCGGGGGCACCGGACCCGGGGCCGGGGCCGGGGCCACCAGACCTGCGTGGAGACAAACGCACGCACCGTGGACGCGAGGTCAGACAGGTCAGCGGACGGGCAAGTGGGTGGAGTACGTCCCCGCGTCTGTACGGGAATGGGGAATGTGGACAAAAAGCCGAAGATCGCCCATAAGGCCTCGAACGGGATGTTACACAGTGCGCTAACCACTGCACCGCCGTTCCAGCCACGCACAAACACACACCACACAGACATGTACGCACGCGTGTGCACGAACACGGGTACACGCACGTACAGACGCACGCATAGCACGGACTCGGCCGCTTACACATCCAAACAACAAAACAGAGATTCCACGTGTAGCCTCAAGCACACTTTTGTTGGGGCAAGTTGCAATTATCGATCACCTACGAAGGGCAGCACAGCACACAAGGGGCGTGTGGGTGGCCAGCACCATGCTCGGCAGCCTTTGTCTCCCGAGTGCTGATGTTTGTATTTAGATGTTAGCCGTGGGTAGGAATGGAACTCGGCTAACCGAGCTTCCCACAGCACAAAGACAAAGCGCTGTGCGACGAATCCAGGGACAGGAGTTTGATTGCCACTCACACCGGTGATGAATATCTCAACCGCTTCTGGGCCTTTTCTAGGTCGACTCAGTCTTAAACGAGCAACTGATGCGGTGTTTAAACATCAGCACTGGCGAGAAAAAGATGGCTGGGCATGGTACGAGCCACCCACCCCCGAGTCTGCCCTGCTGGCCGTCACAGGTGCAAGCTAATGGCACTTGCCCCAAACAGCCAGCTAGGGCTATACAGGGGATGTTTGTCTGTGCCCACGACACACGCACATCGTGGGCCGCACACACCCACCCTGAGAAGTCCTCTTGGTGCATCGTGAGCAGAATGGCCTCCACAGCGTCCTGGAATGACTGCAGCTGAGGGCGCAAGGTGCTCTCCATCAGCTGCTCAACCACCTGGGAAATGCGTGCACGCGCGTGTGTACATATGTATGCGTGTGTGTGCGCGCGTGTGCGTGCGTGCGTGTGGAGAGAGAGAGGATCATGTACCCAGACGCAGGGATGCAGCACACACCAGACACATTGACAGCTAACCGCTGTGCAATTGCTCCTCACTCACGTACACGCGTGCACGCGTCTACGCATGACAAACATGGCCATGACGTATTAGGCCTCACCTGCAGGCTTTCCTGAATGGCCTCCATGGCAGCTGGGGGCAGGGCATTAATACAAGACAGCACCTGCAGCACACAAGCACAAGGAGGTATACAATATACATAATTTATATAAATTCATAATGATATATACTTATTTATTTATCCAGGACTACACCGAGTCCAAAGTTTTGTTTGCAGGAAGGTCCTGCATTGGGGTGCTCGTTAACATAACTTTCCCCAAGTCTGTTAAAGATACACGGGGATCTTTGTCTTTGCTTTTGTGGATGCATTGAGTGAGTAGATAGGTGAGTGTGTGTGGATATGTGAGAGTGTACGTGCAGAGGTGAATGAGTGTGTGAACGGGTGAGGGTGGTGAGCACCTTGATGGTGGAGGTGTGCAGGTGGTGAAGGGCGTTGACGAGGGCCACGTTGCGTCTCTGCCCGTCTGTCATGGGCCCGATCACCTGACTGCCCTCGCCCTGCGTGCACAGCTGAGTACGCGCACGCACACGGGCACACACATGTAAAAAACACACACGTGGTTGTGTACCCATGTATGCCTGTGTGCGCGTATGCATTCATGTATTTGTACGTGTGTGCGTGCATTCATTTGTCCTTGTGCGTGTCTTTGTTTTTTGTGTGTGCGCGTGCGTGCGTATACGGGCATGAGTGTACGTGCGAGTATGCGCGTGCGTCTCACCAACTGTTCGGATTTGGCAGCAAACAGCTGCAGCGTCTTGGCTACATTTCTGGCCACAGCAGAGCTCAGATCTCCGTCCACCGATGTCACACCCAGCTCACTGTGGGGGCAGCACACACGAAGTGACACGCGGCGTCACACCCAGCTCACTGTGGGGGCGGCACACACGGGGTGACACACGGCGTCACACCCAGCTCACTGTGGGGGCGTCACACACGGGGTGACACACGGCGTCACACCCAGCTCACTGTGGGGGCGGCACACACGGGGTGACATGCGGCGTCACACCCAGCTCACTGTGGGGGCGGCACACACGGCGTCACACCCAGCTCACTGTGGGGGCGGCACACACGGCGTCACACCCAGCTCACTGTGGGGGCGGCACACACGGCGTCACAGCCAGCTCACTGTGGGGGCGGCGCACACGGGGTGGCACGCGGCGTCACACCCAGCTCACTGTGGGGGCGGCACACACGGGGTGGCACGCGGCGTCACACCCAGCTCACTGTGGGGGCGTCACACACGGGGTGACACGCAGCGTCACACACAACTCACTGTGGGGGGCGTCACACAAGGCGTCACACCCATCTCTCTGTGGAAGGCACACACGGCGTTACACCCAGCTCAGCATTAGAGCGTGAGGTGTGGTGGGGGGTGGGAGTGGAGAGGAGAGGGAAGGCACCTGGAGATGATGCGGACGAGGGAGTCCACCTCGTCGAGGGAGGGGGGGCCCCGCGCCCCTGGCGGGAAGCCGAGGTTGACCGGGTCGAAGAGGCGTGAGAGCGACTTTTCGAGGTACGTGGCCTCGAACGGACGCACGCATGTGCGCAGGTGCTGCTCGGGGCTGTGGGCACGAAGGCAAATGTCCACCATGTAGCCTTTAACAGAACGGTGGGCCAAGTGCTATTTGCGAGCAGCACCTTTGAAGGCCGGCAAGGTGAACTAGAGGGTTGGAGGCCAACACCGTGTCCGGCTGTCTTTGTCTGCAGGTACTAATTTAGCAATATTTATACAATGTACCAGGTACTCATTTGAGACCTAGGAGAAGCGCAGAACCGGTTCAGATAATTGAGCGGCAAATACCAGTGACACACAAACACAAAGATCCCCCGTATAGCCTTAACCGACTTTTGGGGCAAGTGCTGTTCGCGAGTACCAATGACGGCCGGCACGGCACACGAGGGGGTGGACAACACCACGCCCGACCGTCTTTGTCTCCCCAGTGGCGATGTTTTTACCCACTGCACCAGGTACTCATTTGAGGCTCAGTCGACCTAGGGGAGGCCCAGGACGATTATATGTAATCATCAGTGGAGTTGGCCATGAGCGGGAATTGAACTCAGGTCGCTGGGTTCGCAGCGCAGCGCGCTAAGCGTGACACTACCGCTCCCCACACACACACACGAGTACATACACAAATACAATAGAGCACAACAACGCCGGCGCTCGCGCCAGGCTCGGTGCCGGCCCTCACTCGTGAGCGCTCGTGGCGGCACGTTCCGCGCCGTCCGTCGTGTCGTCCCCCTCCGTGGCGGCGCCGTCGCCGGGCCGACCAGAAGCCTGGGGGGGCCGCGCATAATGGGGGGCCCCGGGGGGGGTCTGCAGCCGGCGCCACAGCTCGCTGCAGTGGCGCAGCAGTTTGGGGTACTCGCCCTCCAAAGCCTGGCGCACAGGGCCCGAGTCTACGGGGGCGGGAGGGTAGGGGGGCCGGGGGCACACAGGAGGAGAGGTGAGCGGGAGGTGATTGGAAGGTGAATGGGAGGTGAGCGGGAGGTGAGCGGGAGGTGAGGTTGAGGGTGAGTGAGTGCACTAACCTCTGATTAGCGCGGTTGGCTACGTACGGTGTAAAAGAAGTTCAACATATATACATACATAGTGAGTTGTGAGTAAGAGGTGTGAATGAGGTAGCGAGGGGTGAATGAGGAATGAATGACAGGTACATAAAGCGTGAGTGAGGAGTGGGTGAGAGGTGAATGAGTGAGAGGTGAGTGAGGGCTGAGTGATGGGTGAGTAAGGAGTGAGCGAGGGCTGTGGCCTCACCACTGGCTGCCTTCTGGAGTTCGGTGCTGAGCGTTTGCGTCACTGATGCCCAGAAAGAGGCCAGGATGTCAGCCTGGCCCTCCTGCTCGCACACCCCAATCACCGCATCAACACAGACCACACACACACCAGATACGCACCACACACACATACGCACCACACACCATACACACACCACACACATACTAAAACAAATCAATACATACATCAAAGCACACCATACATCAACACACACACGTCAACATGTACGACACATACCACACACGCGTGTAGAGTAATAGCGCTGGCTGCTGACGGAAAGTGGTACTGACAGCGTATGGCAGTACACACGTCAGCAAGCGACAGTGTATACATGGGGAAAAGACAACGAAGGGGAAAAGCTCAGGAAGGGGTCCATATGGAAGCCCCGGGAACCTGCTAGTAGGTTCCAGAAGAGGGGCGTGGCCTGGGCGGAGCAAGGCCATGCCAGGAGCATAAGAGGGAGCCCAGAGCGAGAGCTCAGGGCTTGTTGCTGAAAGTGAATCCCCTCGCCGTGCTGCTGTTTGTCGCCATTGTCGCCATCGTCTTCACCATCACTGGGCGCCGCTAGCTAGACAGCCTGCCAACTGTACGAGCTAGACGGTGCCGTCAACAGTAGGCGGCTGTGTATAAATCTGATCCTTATGCCGGTACCCCGGGGCACCAAATAATACAAACTGGCCGAGGCAATTAAATATTTTATTTCTGGGACACTATTTTTGTCCAGGGGTGTACTTCACTCCGCGACTGGGGTACCAATCAATCCGACATCAGTGCCACTTCACGATGTCGAAACGCAGCGAGGACGATTGTGCCAAAAACCCTGAACGCTCGCACGCACCGAAGCGGTGCATCGTGTACAGCTCGTCGAGATGAGTCGATTGCCGCATCGCCATCATCAACAGACTAAAAATGACTCCATCACGGACATTGTGCGAAGCTGGGGTACTATGGTACCCCGGGGTACCACCATCAGGTTCAAATATATAAGTGTGCAACCACATAGGGTTCGTAAAGTCCCCATTGTGTGCAAGAATAAAGAAAGGTGCCTCAAATTATTCCTGTCTCCGATCTGCGTCACTACACACGCACCAGACACACTCCACACACACATACTACACAGACATACTACACACACATACTACACACGCACCACACACATCACACACGCACCACACACACACACATACTACACAGACATACTACACACACATACTACACACGCACCACACACATCACACACGCACCACACACACATACATACTACACACACATACTACACACGCACCACACACACATCACACACGTCAACACACATATGAACACAAATCAACACATATCAAAGCACACCACATGTCAACATGTACGACACACACACTACACACACCACACACATGACACCACACAGCCATGTAATCTAGGTCGTGTTTCACAGTTTGTTCAGGGGTGTGTTCAGGATGTGTTTGTGCTCTGGGTGTGTGTGTTCTGTGCGTGTGTGTGTGTTTTGTGTACGTGTGTGTGTATGCTCTGCGTGACCTTTGCCAGCTCTTCCAGGAAGCACACGTGGGTGATTGGGTCTCGTTTTTTTGCCAAAACCTTCTCCAGGTGCTGCACCTAAACCCCCGACACAAAAACAAAGATCCCCCATGTAGCCTTTAGCAGGCTGTTGGGCAAGTGAAGTTAGTGAGGAGTATCAACGAAGGTTGGCACGGCGCACGAGGGGGTGGGTGGCTAACACCACACCCAGCCGCCTTTGTCTCCCCATTGGCGATATCTATACACCGCACCAGGTAAAGATTTGAAACCGAGTCAACCTAGGGGAGACCCAGGACCGGTTCAGATCATCGTCACCGGCGTTGGCGGTTGAGCGGGATTCAAACTCGGGCCGCCGGCTTCGTAGCTCAGCGTGCTAACCGCTGCGCCACCGCTCCCCACAGACGTGCACACAAAGACACGTGCACACACACACCAGCATCGGTGGACGCAAGAGGGTGGACACCAGTGAGGGTGGACACCAGGAGTAATGGACACCAGGAGTGGTGGACACCAGAGAGGGTGGACAACAGAGAGGGTGGATACCAGAGAGAGTGGACACCAGGAGTAATGGACACCAGGAGTGGTGGATACCAGGAGTGGTGGACACCAGGAGTGGTGGACACCAGGGAGGGTGGACAGCAAGGTACCTGGGTGCAGGCTGAGAACACGTGGTCCATGAGCCGCTCCACATTGGTCCACAGGGCTGCTCGGAACGCGGCGGAGTTGCCGGGGGCGACCATGGAGGTACGGCCCGGAGTCGAACCTGGCACACAGACAAAGATCCCGTGTAGCTTTCACAGACTTTTTGGGGCAAATGTTGTTAGCGAGCACCTATGACGGCTGGAACGGCACACGAGGGGGTGGGTGGCCAGCGCCACGCCCGGGCCGCCTTTGTCTCCCCAACGCTGATGTTTACACGCTGCACTGGGTACTTATTTGAGGCTGAGTTGACCTAGAGGAGGTCCAGGACCGGTTCAGATAATTGTCATTGGTGCTGACCGTGAGCGGGAATCAAACTCTGGTCGCCGGGTTTGTAGCGCAGCGCGCTAACCACCGCTCCGCTACTCCACACAAAGACGCGCGTGCATGTGCACGCGCAGTGGTCGATGGTAATTGCATCTGTGTGCGTGAGACCGGGTTATAACGGGCGTGAAAACAGACGCCTTCGGATCACCTCCCTTGCCCTTTACCCCGCACGCCCCCTTCAACACTCATCACCCCCCTCACCTTTCCCTCCACTCACCCCACTCTCCCCACACCCGTCGACTTCCACCTCACCCACCGTCACCCTGTATGCCCCCTCCAGCCTCACCACACGAACCCACTCAACCATCTATGCCCACTCGCCCTCGTCCGCTCGCTGCGCTTCCTGCATTCACTTTCACTTGTTCACCTTTTACCACCATGCCCGCCGCACACTCACTCCTCCAACTCATCTCAGCCCTGCCCCCCCCCCCCCGCCTCACCGCCCCCCTCACCACGTGAGCCCCCCACGGCCTGGCTGAGGGCGCGAGCGTCGAGCGCTCGGCGCGTCTGCTCGTGCAGCGTGGCGCGTGCCGACTCCAGTACGCGCCCCACCGTGGTGGCCAGGCCGCCCAGGTTGTGGAACACCTGCAGCGCCGTGCCCACCTGTGTGGGGTTCTGATGGGGAGACACGCGCACGTACGCAGACACGCACACGTGCACAGATATACATAAAGAAGGACAAAGATCACCCCCCGTATTTCCTCAACAGACTATTGGGGCAAGTGCTGTTAGCGAGTAGCACCTATGAAGGACGGCACGGCACAAGAGGGGGTGGGTGGCCGGCACAACGCCCGGCCGCCTTTGTCTCCCAAGTGGTGATGTTTACAAGCCGCACCAGGTATTAATTTGAGGCTGAGCCGCAATCGAACTCGAGTCGACGAGTGCAGTGCTGCTAAACCACTGCGCCACCGCGCACACACAGATATGCATACGCACGCACACACACCCACACACGAGCGCGCGACCTCCCCTGTGCGTTCGTGTCGAACCCTAACGAGCACCCCATGGTTGGGCTGTGGCCCTAACAAGGCGTCCCAATCGATCCATAATGGCCTCTAATTACGTTAACGGCGGCGCCACACATCCACCGCCGACTCCCACCACCACCACCACCCTCGCTCCTCCAGATCAACGGTGGAACACAAAGGCCAATCCGGCGGGGTGGCAGTGGGCACCACGGGAGGTGGACACCAGGAAAGGTGAACACCAGAAGAGGTGGACACTAAATAGAAGTGGATACCAGGGAGGGTGGACACCAGGCAAGGTGGAGCACATGAGTGGTGGCCACCAGGGAGAGGTGGTCACCACACTGGGGAAGGTGGACATCAGGCAAGGTGGACACCAGGGAGAAGCGGAGACCTCTTGGGGCGCTCACAAAACAAAGAACAAAGATCCCCGTATAGCCTGTAACAGACTGTAGGGGCAAGTGCTGTTAGCGAGCACCTATGAAGGCCGGCACGGCACACGAGGGGGTGGGTGGCCAACACCACGCCCGGCCGCCTTTGTCTCCCTAGTGGCGATGTTTACACATCGCACTAGGTAGTCATTTGGGGCTGAGTCGACTTAGGGGAGGCCCGGGACCGGTTCAGATAATCGTCACTGGTGTTGGCCGTGAGCGGGAATCGAACCCGCGTCGTCAGGTTCGTAGCGCAGCGCGCTGACCGCTACACCACCGCTCCCCATGCGCTCACACACACACACGCGGACGCACGGACTGTGCGTCGGTACGTGATGGCTCGTTCGGGGGCTCTGCTCGGTAACCATGCCAACGGGTGCCCAGGCCGCTCCACTGGGATGCTCGCTCCGTCCCTGCTGGAATGGAACGCGGCTGTTTTCAGGAATTTCCGAGTTAATTATTTTTCCACTGGGTCAAAACAAATCTCGACGGCCGCGACAGAAATCGCTCTCGGTGAAATAGCATCGTAGACTCTCACCAACGCATTACTCTTCCAAGTTGTCTTTATAACACGAACTACAATCGGAGAGAGGCCAGAGTGATAGCGTTGGATAGGATGCATGTAGTCTCTATCTCGTCGTCTGTCTTCTATCTGTCTCTTTTGCTGTCCCTATCTGTCTCTGTGTTTTGCTGTGTCTCTATCCCTGTGTCTCCTTGTGTCTGTCTCTCAATATGCACCTCTTTCTCTCTGTGTCTCCGTCTCTCACCGCTCCATGCTCCAGGAGCTGGGGGTCCGACCTGACGTGACGTGACGTGGGCAGTTCACACGCACCTGGGTCTCCATGCCCTGTTGCAGCAGCCTGGAGCCCTGGGCCTCCACCTCCCCGCGCGCCCTCGCGATGAACACCAGGTCGCCCGCGATCACCTCCACCCCTGACAGGTCCACACCCTGGCACAGGTAGTCTGTACACAGAGAGCACGGCGACATTAGCGAGCGCCTATTAAGGCCGATGCGGTGCACCAAGACGCAATGTGGCCGGAACCACACCCTGGCCACCTCCCTCTCCCCAACGGCGACATTTACGCACCGCACCGGGTACTATATTGTACGTCGGCCGAAGGCAGGCCACGGCCCGGCTAAGACAGACAGAGACAACGGCGATTTTATTTAAGCTGGAAGAACCCAATGATCCGTGAAGCCCATCGCTCACCGCTCTAGCCGCGGCACGGGAATCGAGCTCATCTTGCCGAGTTGGCGGCACAGTGAGTTCGCAAACCGCTATGTTCCAGTTCCATTAATCAGCCACGCAGCGGCTGCCGTGGCGCTATTAATAGCATCGCCAGGGCGGCCGACGCGCCGTGGAAACCCGGTTCTCTTCTCCGTCATTAGCATAACCGCCTCATTAGAATACATCGCCACCGCCGCCTTAGCCCCGCACAGCGCGGGTTTGAGTTGCCGCCGGGAAACTGGAAATCTTTCGAGACGATCCGGCGCCAGGGTGTTCGGGGCCATTGATGAGAGCACGGACTGAATGCAGAGGACTTCTCTACTCTGGCCTCGGTCTCGGGTGAAGCGAGCCGCTCGCAAGTTCAACTGCTGGTCGGGGGGCCAAACTCGTGCCCTTCATCCCTCCGCTTGGTGGGGAAGTCAACAGTGATTGCTCTATAAATGGGCCCACCCCCGCCATATGAATGTGGCATTTCCACCACTAACTCAGGGCTGTAAACGGCGCTAAGCCCTCGACTCCTGCTCCCCACCAGATATATATGTATACACACAAAGATCCCTCCGATAGCCGACAGACTGTGCTGTTAGCGAGTAGCACCCATGAACGCTGGCATGGCACAAGAGGGGATGCGTGGTCAGCACCATGCCTGACCGCCTTTGTCTCCCCAGTGGTGATGTTTACACACCGCACTTGGTACTCATTTAAGGCTGAGTCGACCTAGGGGATGCCCAGGACCGGTTCAGACAATCGTCACTGGTGTAGGTGATCGAGCGGGAAGCAAACATGGGTCGCTGGGGTCGTAGCGCAGTGCGTTAACCACTGCACCACCATTCCCCATATATACACAAACACAGATCTTCTTCTTTCATATGGCATTGTGAAAAGCAACAGTTTTTATACAAACACAGATAACATGCACACAATCATACAGTGTACTACACTTGCCCCTCCCCGGGGGTTCAGTGCCATGTGTGACCTCGTTAGGCCACTGCCCAGCATCGACCGCAGCGGCCTTCAATTAACAACCTCACACAGGCTGGACAGGGGCCGCTGCGTGCAGTGCACGCAGCAAAGTCAACACACACACCATACACAGGGTCTACACACACAATACACAGGGTCTACACACACACCATACACAGGGTCTACACACACACCATACACAGGGTCTACACACACCATACACAGGGTCTACACACACAATACACAGGGTCTACACACACACCATACACAGGGTCTACACACACACCATACACAGGGTCTACACACACACACCATACACAGGGTCTACACACACCATACACAATACACATGGTCTACACACACACACCCACACAATACACAGGGTCTACACACACACACCATACAGAGGGTCTACACACACACACCATACACAGGGTCTACACACACACACCATACACAGGATCTACACACACACCATACACAGGGTCTACACACACCATACACAGGATCTACACACACTATACACAGGGTCTACACACACACACCATATACAGGGTCTACACACACACACCATACACAGGGTCTACACACACCATACACAGGGTCTACACACACCATACACAGACCTCCTTCCAACACTCCCCACCTGGCCCCACTTCCTCGGCCCCCAAGAAGACTCTCCCCAGAGAGTTTGGTCCTCACAGAGCGCACGGGGGAGAGCGAAGGGAGAGAGGGGGAGTGTGCAGAGGGGAGACCGAAGGGAGAGAGGGGGAGTGTGCAGAGGGGAGAGCGAAGGGAGAGAGGGGGAGTGTGCAGAGGGGAGACCGCAGGGAGAGCGGGGGAGTGGGCAGCGGGGAGAGCGCAGGGAGAGCGGGGGAGTGTGCAGCGGGGAGAGCGAAGGGAGAGAGGGGGAGTGTGCAGAGGGGAGAGCGAAGGGAGAGAGGGGGAGTGTGCAGAGGGGAGAGCGAAGGGAGAGAGGGGGAGTGTGCAGAGGGGAGAGCGAAGGGAGAGAGGGGGAGTGTGCAGAGGAGAGAGCGAAGAGGGAGAGTAAGGGGAAATTGAGTTAGTGCAGAGGGAGAGGGCGGCGAGAATAGTGAGGAGAGAGTGAGGAGGGAAAAAGTGATGAGGGAGAAAGTGATGAGGCAGAGAGTGAGGAGAGTGAGGAGGAATACAGTGAGGAGGGAGACAGTGAGGAGGAAGAGAGTGAAGAGGGAGAGAGTGAGGAGGGGGAGAGTGAGGAGGGAGAGAGTGAGGAGGGAGACAGTGAGGAGGGAGACAGTGAGGAGGGGAAGAGTGAGGGAGAGAGTGAGGAGGGAGACAGTGAGGGAGAGAGTGAGGTGGAGGAGAGTGAGGGGGAGAGTGAGGATGGAGAGAGTAAGGAGGGAGACAGTGAGGAGGGAGACAGTGAGGAGGGAGACAGTGAGGAGAGAGTGAGGAGGGGGAGAGTGAGGAGGGGGAGAGTGAGGAGGGAGACAGTGAGGAGGGAGACAGTGAGGAGGGGGAGAGTGAGGATGGAGACAGTGAGGAGGGAGAAAGTGAGGAGGGAGACAGTGAGGAGGGAGAGAGTGAGGAGGGGGAGAGTGAGGAGGGAGACAGTGAGGAGGGAGAGAGTGAGGATGGAGACAGTGAGGAGGGAGAGAGTGAGGAGGGAGACAGTGAGGAGGGAGACAGTGAGGAGGGAGAGAGTGAGGAGGGGGAGAGTGAGGAGGAAGACAGTGAGGAGGGGGAGAGTGAGGAGGGAGAGACAGTGAGGAGGGAGAGAGTGAGCAGAGAGAGCAAATAATTGGGAAGGGAGAGCGACGAGTGACAGACAGCAAGAGGGAGGGAGGGGAGAGAGGAGGAGTGAGGGGGGGAGGGAGAGCGAGGGAAGAGGGGACAGCGAGAGGAGTCTCCCAGCAGTGCAGACACAGCTCACAACAGCACGGGGAGCAAGAAAGACAGGGGAGAGAGATAATCAGAGAGAGAGGAGAGAGAGCCGTGAAGCAGAGCGTGATAAGGAAGAGCGAGGAGAAGCGAGGAGAGAACGAGATCATCAGATTTATCAGACAGAGTTGGAGAGAGTGGACAGCGTGAGAGGGAGAGTGGGGCGGCAGGCCAGTGTGGATGACTGGCAGTGGGCAATGCGGCACTCCTACGTGATGCTATACAGGTGAGTGCATGTACAGGTGAGTGTGGTGTGTGCGCACTGAATGTACAGGTGAGTGTGGTGTGTGTGTTTTTTGTATGTCTTTGTCTGTGCATGTGTCGGTCTATGTATGAGCCTGCATCTGTATGCGTGATGAGTGTATATGCAAGTGTGTAACTACGTCTGTGTGTATTTCTCCGCGTGTACGTTTATGTGTTACACGTGTGCATGTGTGCGGATGAGGAGCGAGTGTAGTGGTGAATGCACTGCGCTATAAACTCAGCACACCGAGTTCACTTCCTATTCATAGCCAACATGAGTGATTATCTGACCTATTTCTGGGCACCCTCTAGGTAGACTCAGCCTTAAACGAGTACCATGTGTGGCACATAACATCAGCACTGGCGAGACAAAGATGGCTGTGCGTGGTTCTGGCCATACCACCCCCTCGTGTACCATCCCGGCCTTCACAGGTGCTCGCTAACAACACTTTCCCCAACAGTCCGTTCACGCTATGGGCGGGGGAACTCTGTGTTGTGTGTCCGTGTGCATGATTTCCGTATGTCAGGATGTGCGTCTGCACACTCCGTGCCAGACTCCACACACAATACACACGACCCACACTCGGCTCCACCACCACCTCTCACAGCCGACCTTCACCCCACAGCGGGGAGGAAGAGCAGGGAGAAGGTCAGGCCACACCACACCCATCCTGTCTCACACACACACGGGCCACACCACACACGGCGTGTCCCCAATACACGGGCCACCCCTCTCTCTCCTTGCGCAGGGCTTGAATGGAGGAGTGACTGAGAGAACAACTCAAGGAATTACTCAAGAAAGACCTGAAGGAAGGGCTGACTGGGTGACGGACCGGAGGAGCGACTGCAGGGTCGACTGTGCTAGTAACTGCACGGGCGACTGAGATGACGGACGGAATGACCCTCGGCTGACCGCGTGAAAGTGCGACAACCGCCCCATCGACTTCACGAGCATCGGTGCCATCGACCGGACTAGCGGCTGCACGAGCGACAGCGCGATCTACTTTACGCGCCACTCGACGGTCCCTCCCTGGCGCTGCCGGTGCGGCCGGCGCCCCCGACATGGAGGAGCCGTGGCCGCTGTGGCTGCGCGCAGGAGTGGCCGCCCTGCTGGTTCTCGAGGCCGTGCTGGGGCTGTCCTGCAACGTGCTGGTGCTGGCGGCCGGCGGAGCCTGCGGCCGCTGCCGCGCCAGCGCGGGGAACGGGGCCCGCTCGGCGCAACGGAGGGGGCTGTCGGTGGGTGGCGCCTCGTGGGGGGGCGCCGGCGTGGGTGGGAGGGGATCGGCGGTGAGCGTGAGCGTCATGGTGACGGCGAGCGTGCACGCGCTGGACTTGCTCATCAGCGTCGCCTGTGCCCCCGTGGCCGCCGCCGCGTTGCTGCTGCCGGTGCCTACGCTGTTGCCCGGGCTGGTGCCCGTGCCGTTCTACCCTGGGGTGCCGCCAACGACGCCGACCGGCGCCGGGGTCAACCGGGACGCAATCGCGTCGGCCAGCGACGCTCCGGCGGCGACTCCCAGCGTCGCCCCATCGGGCTGCCGAGAAGCCGCCGGCACCGCTGAACACGCCGACGAAGCCCCGCGGAGGTCACGCCACGGGGCGAGGACGGTGCACGTCAGGACCGGCCGGAGTATCGCCTCCTCATTGGCCCCCAGACCAACTGGCGCTGGCGCCAAAAATGAAACCGAGAACCCCGTCACTCCAGAGGAGGACGGGCGTCGGCAACGGGGCTGGCGACCAGGCGGCCGCGCCGGCAATCTGTACGCGCTGCACGAGGCGTGCGCCAGTTTCGCGGGCGTTGCCACGTCGACGGGCGTGCTGCTGGTGACGCTCGACCGCTACGACATGGGCGTGCGCCCCACCAGCCGCCTCCTCACGCCGCGCCGCGCTGGAGCCGTGCTCGCCGCTCTCTGGGCACTGTCGGCCGCCGCCTTCGCCTGCCCGCTCGTGCGGCCCGACTGGATCCTGCAGCAGCCCAACCGGCGTGGCCCGAACGTCAGCACCAGAATCGGCAACGACAGCATTGATGACGCCGGCTTTGGGTGTGGCGGGGGTTGCCGGGGCGGCTCTGAGATACGCCTGCGCTTCAACCACCTCGTTCCCCAGGCGCCAGTTTTTCTGCTGGCGACCGGCGCCATGCTGCTCACGTACGGCAAAATTGTGCGCGCGCTGCGCTTCCGCTTCGCGTCGGGGCTGCACAGCGCGGGCGGCGCCGGCGCCAAGCCGACGGCGCGGACTCCTGCGGCGCCAACATTGGAGCCGGCGCGCAAGCCGGCGCCCATGGGCGTGCACACGTCAGTGGCGGTGGTCCTCGCCATTAAGCGCGCCGTGCGGCGGCACCGCGAGCGCCGCGCGCGTAAGCGCCGCGTGCTGCGCACCTCGCTCGCCATCGTCGGCTCCTTCGCCGGCTGCTGGGCGCCCGTGCAGACGCTCAACCTCGTGCTCGCTACGACGGCGGGCGGCGCCAACGGCGACGAGGGGCTGGAGCTGGCGCTGCGGGTGAGGCCGGCGCTTCTGGCCCTCGCCTACGCCACCGCGGCGTTGCACCCGGCGCTCTACGGCTTCACGCGGCAGGGCGTGCGCGAGGCCATCGCCGCCGCCCTCTGCCGGTGCCCGGCCAGCCCCGCCGCCGGTGCTGCCCGGCCTCGGTTCCGCTGGTGGTGGCGCCGCGTGTCGGACGGCGCCGGGAGGGCGCCGGGCTGGCGAGCGGAGAGGGGTCTTCCCGACGGCGCGGAGGAGGAGGGGGAGGAAGGGGAGGGGCTGAGGGGGAGGGCGGGCGTCAGCGTGAGCCCCGGGCAGCACGCAACCCCCGACCCCGCGCCGGGGGTGTTGCGCGGGGGTCGCGCCCTCGCGCGCCTCCGGGTCGAGGTCACGCAGCTCAGCGACACGACGGAGCGCTGCGTCACCGAGATCGTCACCACGCGAGAGTGACTCCCGGATTGACTTCCATCAAGAGTGACTGCGATGCTGCATACCATTCGTAGCGACAGTTGGCTAGGTACGGTGGAAAAGTTCAACATACAAACATATACTATGAGTCACTACCCAAGTAGCCACTGTAAATAACCACTATGAGCGACTACCAAGAGTGACTACCACAAGTAGCCACTGTGAGTCGCTATCCGAGAGTGGTTGAAACGCCTTGCGAATGAGTGTGATGCCGCCGCGAGTGTGGGTAGATTGAGAGCGATCTCACGAGTAGTTCTGTGATGTCATCTTCTGGGGGGCTATTCTCCACTGCTCCCTTCCAGTTCCAAATAATAATAAGACAGGTAACGTTTGTGTCGTAAACCCTCCTCCACCTGACACAGCCAATTAATTAAGTTGTTCTGCCAAAAACAACTACCACCTACAACCACCTACTACCACCTACAACCATCATCAACCACTAACAACCGTCTAGAACCATCATCAACCAACTACAACCACCTACAACCACCTACAACCATCATCAACCACCGACAACCGCCTACAACCATCATCAACCAAGACCTCAAGAATGACCCTCGCTCACGCCGCCAACGGCTCAAGTTCCGTTTCGCTGCTGCTGTCACCATCCTGGAATCTCACCCAGGTCGGGAAGGACGCTGCTGGCGAACAGCGTGGAACAACGCGGACGTCGAGGATAAACACCTCATTCTAGACCCAAACACCGCACACCTCCTCGCTTTGACATTCCTCCTCCATGAACACACTGGTGGTGCGACCATCAACCGCATCAGAACAACAGGCGGCTGCTCGCATCTCCTTCATGAATGCAAAATTAAAACACGAGCCAAGGGAGTGCGATTGTGGCCGTACAACCCAAACTATGGACCGTATGGTAAGCAACTGTAGTCTGCGCTTCTTCAATGAAGGAGGAACAGCAAAACGACACGAACTCTCTCTTGCTGCTGAAGGCCTCTCGTCGTGGCCAGCAGCAGAACTCCACATTGGCACTTCGCTCCTGAAGATCTTGTCGCTACCGTCATGGGCAAGATGAGAATAGAAAAAGCCGTCATGTTAAAAAACGTGGTCAATTGATCAATTTACTACCGCTTCACCACCATCATCACCATCGATGTTGTTGGGGAGCGATCCACTCACTACATTTAACTACTGGGTACCGACGTTTCACTGGCAGTGAGAGCCGGCATGATCAGGCAATTGGCAGAAAATTATGAACCATAACATTGGTCGCTTAGCAGATTAGCAGCTGCATATGATCGTGTAGTAGTGCGGCGGCAGCGGGAATGGCAGCGCGTTTGGGATGTAATTATGATTTTCAAAGGAAGAAAATAAAATTAATTTAGATGGCGGAGGTTAACCTTCGTCATGCATGAATTGCTAAAAAGAAAAGTACCGCCCCCACCTCCCGAAGGTAATTTTGGTTTAATGCGAGGCAACAAAAGCCCCGCAAATATTAATACCGTTCCACAGCGGCCGTGTGAACCGTAGCTGTCTACCGCAGTGGACGCAGCGCTCGACCGCGGTCAAGGGTAGTACTTCAGTAAGCGGGTCACGCGTCACTTAAGGGTCAAGAGATATTAAAGTGCGACGGGTCGTGTGTCTTTCAGGGTAAAAGGGTCGAGATTAGGGTGTCATATGTCTTAAGGGTCACGTGTCAAAAGGGTCAAAAGAGATTAAAGGTCAGGTGTCATAGCAGGGGTCACGTCTCTTTCAAGGGTCAGAGATAAAACGCCACGCGTCACCGAGGGTCGCGCAGCAGATGGGAGGTCGCGTGTCTGGCGTGCACCGTACGACACCCGGCGGGCGTGCTCCACACGGGTCGCGTCTCACCTCAACGCACTTGAAAGGGGCACCCCCTCCAGTGGCAGCTGCCCCTGTGCAGCACAAGGTGACTGGGCACCTGGCCTACGCACGTGCACGAGTCTGTCAGTAGTAGGGTCCGATGATCGCTGGTATGTTTGAGATATTTGCAGCATAATTATTTTTTTTTATTTGGACCGTGACACAGGTGGCACAGGTGGCACAGCTTGGGCCTACTCTTGCGAACGATGTCACGGGATCTTTAATGTCCATTACAGTCACCTAGGGTCAGAGGTCCCTGACCAGGGAGGGGTGGGGGGGTTGGGTAAACAACAGCTGCTAGAGGACGACGGCTCAAGGTGAGCGCGACCGGGCACAGGAAGAACCGGCGATGTCGGACGTTCCAAGGGGGGTGGGGATATGGGGGTGCGGGGGAGAGGAGAGAGTTGGGGGGTTGGCGCAGCTATGAGTCCAATTCATCTTCCCTCCAGGGAGAGGTGGGTAGGCCCCCGGCTCGTTAAAAACGGGCTAGTTGCCATGGCGATTTTTTTTTCCAGCTGGTACCATGGGGGAATGTCAGCCCCAGCAACAGCAGCTTAGCCCGTTACCAAGACAAACCCTAATCTCCCCACCCCACACACACACAAGTACAAAGATCCCCCGTATAGCCTTAGCAGTCTTTTGGGGCAAGTGCTGTTAGCGAGCACCTATTAAGGCCAACATGAGACACGAAGGGGGTGGGTGGCAAATACCACACCCGGCCGTCTTTGTCTCCCCAGTGCTGAAATATTACACACTGCACCAGGTACTCACCTAAGGCTGAGTCTAAATAGGAAAGGCCCAGGACTGGTTCAGACATTAGTCAATGATGTTGGCGGCGAGCGGAAACCAAACTCGGGTCGCACTAGTTGAGTTGGTAGCATGAAGCGCTAATCACTGCGCCACCGCTCCCTCCCGTACGTGCACACACGTACATACACATGTACACCAGTACATGCGTACATACGTAGCACACACATGCACACCTGTGTTCCGGCACTCACGAAAGAAGATCCCCTGTGGAGGTTTTTGACAGATGGTTGGGGCAAGTGCAGCACACACACACCCATGCATGTGTATGTACAAAGATCCCTGTATAGCCTCAACAGAATAATAGAGACAGTGTTGTTGGCGAGCACCGATGAAGGCTGGCACGGCACACGAGGTGGTGGGTGGCACAATCATCTTTGTCTCCATAGTAGCGATGATTACACACCGCACAAGGAACTAATTTGAGGCTGAGTCGATCTAGGTAGCTTGTCTGAGTAACGCAGCGCGCTAACCGCTACACAGCCACTTCACAAATGTGTACGTATACACACTGTACAAATATGCAAAAATGTAAGTGTGTGGTGAGTGGTAGTGTGAGTATGAGTGGTGCGTGGTAGTTAGAGCAGTAAGGTGAGTAGTAGTGTGAGTGGTGTAGAGAGTGGTGTAGTCAGCAGTAGTGTAGGCGATTTGTTGAGTCTCTATGTGAGTCTCTGGGTCTTTCTGCAAGTACATGAGTCTCTATGCGAGTACACGAATCTCTATGTGAGTCTATGGGTCTCTGTGTGAGTACACGGGTCCCACTCACCAAGCTCGTTGAGGGACTGTGCGGCCTTGCTGATCTCGCGGGAGCCGCCCTGCAACTGCGCCTGCAACCGCTTGCTCAAGTAGAGGATGCGGATGATCCGGCGCAGCAGGTCACATGCGGCCTGTGGGCACGCAGACAAAGGTTCCCTGTGTAGCACGCACAGGCTGTCGGGGCAAGTACCGTTAGCGAGCGGCGCCTGCGAAGGCCGGGACGGCGCACAAGCGGGCGGTGTGGCATGCAACCGTGCCCAGCCATCTTTGTCTCCCCAGCGCTGATGTTTACACGCCACGCCGGGTACTCATTTAAGGCTGAGTTGACCCCGGGAAAGAATTGAACTCAGGTCGCTGGGTTGGTAGCGCAACGCGATAACCACTGCACTACCGCTCCCCACACATACGCGTACACACGAACACACACATGCACAAATGTGAATACTGGGGCGAGTGGTACGACAAGTGGCAGTGTGAGTGGTGAGTCGTACTTTGAGTGCCAGGGTGAATATCATGTTTAGTAGTCGGATAAGTGGTAGCTTCAGTGATGGTGAGCAAGAGTGGTGTGCGTGAGAGTGGCAAGCAGTGTGGTGAGGGTCCTCACCTGCAGCCGGGCCAGCTGTGCGGTACGTGCCACGATCTTGTTGTATGGTTCAACAATCTTCACACGTATCCTGAACCACAAAGACAAAGATCCCCCATATAACCTTAACAGCCTGTTGGGGCAACTGCTGCTAGCGAGCACCTATGAAGGCCTGTATGGCACACAAGGTAGTGGGTGTGGCCATCACTATGCCTGGCCACCTTTTCCTCCCCAATGCTGATGTTTACACACCGCACCGGGTATTCAGTTAAGGCTGAGTTGACCTCCAGGAGGCCCAAGACCGTTTCAGATACAATATTCTTCACCGATTTTGCCCGTGAGCAGGAATAAAACTCTGGGCCGCCGGGTTCGTAACGCAGTGCACTCACCACTGTGTCACCGCTCCCCCAACAAATACGTCCAGATGCAGCTGTACACAGATACACCTAGCTAGAGATACAGCTACAGTGGGTGACTGAGTGGGTGAGTGAATGAGTGAGTGATCGATCGAGTGGGTCAGTGTGTTGGGTGAGTGAATGGATCAGTGGATGAGTGGGTGGGTGAACGAATTAGTGGGTGAGTAGGTGAGACAAAACAGTCAGTCTGGAAGATCAAGTGCGGTGATAACAGTATTGGTGATGGAGGTCAATGCTTGAGATGGAGACAACCATAATGTTTGTGATTATGGTGCGTGTTATGATGATGTTATGATGTTGTGATTAAAATTATAATTATGTACGTATGTTAAAGTTCTTTCGCACCGTACATAGCCAACCACAATTATGAATGCAACAAATATTATGTCCGTGATGACGATCGTAATGACGACGATGATGATGCTGACGATAACGTTGACGATGAGTGGGGTTGTACCCCATGATTTGCGAGCACCTGTCCACTGCAGACTGCAGAGCAGATATCCGGGCCTGCATCATCTGCAACACTCCTGTAACGATCGCACACAGCCTTGGATGAAGTAACAACAGATACACCTCCTCACACCTCCCCACACCCCTCACCTCCCCAAACCCCTCACCTCCCCACGCCCCTCACCGCTCACCCCTCACCTCCCCACGCCCCTCACCTCCCCAAACCCCTCACCTCCCCACGCCCCTCACCTCCCCACGCCCCTCACCTCCCCACGCCCCTCACCTCCCCATGCCCCTCACCTCCCCATGCCCATCACCTCCCCACTCCCCTCACCTCCCCAAACCCCTCACCTCCCCAATCCCCTCACCTCCCCACGCCCTTCACCTCCCCACTCCCCTCACCTCCCCACGCCCATCACCTCCCCACTCCCCTCACCTCCCCACTCCCCTCACCTCCCCACTTCCCTCACCTCCCCACTCCCCTCACCTCCCCACTTCCCTCACCTCCCCACTCCCCTCACCTCCCCACGCCCATCACCTCCCCACTCCCCTCACCTCCCCACTCCCCTCACCTCCCCAAGCCCCTCACCTCCCCACGCCCCTCACCTCCCCACTCCCCTTACCTCCCCACGCCCTTCACCTCCCCACACCCCTCACCTCCCCACGCCCCTCACCTCCCCACGCCCCTCACCTCCCCACACCCCTCACCTCCCCACGCCCCTCACCTCCCCACGCCCCTCACCTCCCCAAGCCCCTCACCTCCCCACACCCCTCATCTACCCACTCCCCTTACCTCCCCACGCCCCTCACCTCCCCACGCCCCTCACCTCCCCATGCCCCTCACCTCCCCAAGCCCCTCACCTCCCCACTTCCCTCACCTCCCCACGCCCCTCACCTCCCCACGCCCCTCACCTCCCCACGCCCCTCACCTCCCCAAGCCCCTCACCTCCCCACACCCCTCATCTACCCACTCCCCTCACCTCCCCACGCCCCTCACCTCTCCACGTCCCTCACCTCCCCACCCCCCTCACCTCACATACTCATTTACAGTACTTACATACAGTCCCATTGACTCACAAAGAGACCCATAAATGAAAAGAGAATCCCATATACTCACATACCTAATAAGTCCACGGCTGCTGTGCAGTGTTTGAGAGGTGGTTGCATATATGTGTGTACCTGATGTGGTGTGGTGTTGGCCACCCACCCGCTCGTGTGCTGTGTCGGCCTTCATAGGTGCTACTCGTTAAGAGCACGTGCCCCAACAGTCAGTTAAGGCTACACGGCAGATCTTTGTCTTTGTAAGTATACATATACTGTATATACTGTATGTATAACCCCATTGGGCCAATCCCCGTGAGTCGTGTGGAGCGTGAGCTCACCCTCCAGGGACTCAATTCCAGTGGCTTGAGCCAGGAGGTCCTCATGCCTATCGGACACCTGCAACACAGAGAGTTAAGGTCAGCTCGGGGTCATGTAAGTTCGGGGTCACGTATCGTCAGCTCGGGGTTACGCAAGGACGGGTCAGGTAGAGGCAGTGGTGAATCCAGGGGTGTAGGTCCCATGTGGCTGATCCCACCCCATCCCCTCCTTGGGAGGTTTCAAGATCCGCCTCTGTGCTCGCGACTCGGCGCCCAGCAGCGCCACCCCCCGGGCGAGCTGCGAGGCCGTGTCTGCCCCTCACCTATTCCCCCCTCACCTATTCCCCCTCACCTATCCCCTCACACCTATCACCTCACCTATCCCCTCACACCTCACCTGTGCTCGCAACTCGGCGTCGAGCAGCGCCACCCCCTGGGCGAGTCGTGCGAGCTGCGAGGCGGTGTCGGCTCCCTGAAGCGCGCGGGTCGTGTAGCCCCGCACGTCAAACTCCTCGTTGGCGAAGTCGCGGTACGAGTCTGCGCAGAGATCACCACAGTCACCGTCACCACCACCACCACCGTCATCGCCGTCACCACCGCCGTCACCACCACTGTCACCACCACTGCCACCACCACCGTCATACCACCACCGTCACCACCACCATCACCGTCACCACCGCCGTCACCACCACCACTGTCACCACCGTCACCACCACCACTGTCACCACCGTCACCGTCACCACCACCACCGTCACCACCGCCGTCACCACCACAGTCTCACCACCACCGTCACCACCACCACCGTCACCACCACCACCGTCACCACCGCCGTCACCACCGTCGTCGCCACCACCACCACCACAGTCACCACCGTCACCACCGCCGTCACCACCGTCACCACCACCGTCACCACCGTCACCACCGTCACCACCATCACCACCACCGTCACCACCGCCGTCACCACCACCGTCACCACCACCACTGTCACCACTGTCACCACCACCACCGTCCCCACCGCCGTCACCACCGTCACCACCACCACTGTCACCACCGTCACCACCACCGTCACACCACCACCGTCGTCGTCGTCGTCGCCACCACCATCACCACCACTGTCACCACCGTCACCACCGTCGTCGTCGTCGTCACCACCACCACTGTCACCACCGTCACCATCACCGTCACCATCACCACCGTCACCACTGTCACCACCGTCACCATCACCACCGTCACCATCACCACCGTCACCATCACCACCACCACCGTCACCATCACCACCGCAACCCTCGTCACCACCACCATTGTCACCAACACCATTGTCACCACCACCATTGTCACCACCACCATTGTCACCACCACCACCACCACTGTCACCACCACCGTCACCACTGTCACCACCGTCACCATCACCACCGCCGCCGCAACCCTCGTCACCACCACCACTGTCACCACCACCGTAACGACCACCGCCGTTTTCGTCGACGCCCATGAGCGGGGTCATCCGCGAGACGCAACGCAGTGGGCAACAAAACAAAGCCGACAATTCCCCTCCACATTTCAGACTCATTATTTAAAAGTGGAGAAATCCGATGAGCTATGAAGCTCTTTTTCTTATCTATCCAGGAGAGCCACTCTCTCGAGTCATATATTTTTTTCAGGAGGGTCCTGCTGCTGCTGCTATATTTGTTTTTTTTATTTGAAGATGGAAACAGGATCACTCGGGGAAACCCCGGCGCGGAAGGGGGGTGGTGGTAACTATGCATCTCCAATGAGGTGTAACAGATGGAGATTAGTCCACACTGCGCTGTACCGCCTTCTCCTGGCGATTCAGGGCTACGGCAAGGGAGCTTCACGACGTGTGTGAGCCTTGCTTTGCCCGACTCTTGCTGCTGTAATTATTATGCACCAACAGAGGTTGTGCGGTTGATGGAATGTGTTAAAAAAAACAAGTTTATATTTGATGTGGAGGAACTGATATGCGGGCAGGGAATTGTTTGCTTTGTGTTGTCTTGCTTATATTCTCCAAGACGCCAGGGGTGGTTCTGCGCAAGAGACGATGGTTGATTGATAAAGGAAAATGAGGGTTGCACCGTGTTCACGATTAGAGGGGCGAAGAGAAGCTAGCATCACAGGGTCGACGAGGTGACGATGGTGATGACCTTATCACGAAGAGAGAATCCGTGAGATGTATTCGATGAGAGTGAGCGGGGTTACTCGATCGGAAGTCATTGATGACACAACCGATGTCATCAATGGCGAGGGCGGTCACTTACTGGCATCATGGGGAGGGCAGTAGGGGCAGCATTAATGAGGGCAGCGCCGTGAGGGCAGTCGGGAGGTCAGAACAGTGAGGGCAGCAGTGAGGTCAGAACAATGAGGGCAGCCGGGAGGTCAGAACAGTGAGGGCAGCAGTGAGGTCACAACAGTGAGGGCAGCTGGGAGGTCAGAACAGTGAGGTCAGAACAGTGAGGGCAGCAGTGAGGTCACAACAGTGAGGGCAGCCGGGAGGTCAGAACAGTGAGGGCAGCAGTGAGGTCACAACAGTGAGGGCAGCCGGGAGGTCAGAACAGTGAGGGCAGCAGTGAGGTCACAACAGTGAGGTCACAACAGTGAGGGCAGCCGGGAGGTCACAACAGTGAGGGCAGCCGGGAGGTCACAACAGTGAGGGCAGTCGGGAGTTCAGAATAGTGAGGGCAGCCGGGAGGTCACAACAGTGAGGGCAGCCGGGAGGTCAGAACAGTGAGGGCAGCCGGGAGGCCAGAACAGTGAGGGCAGCCGGGAGGTCACAACAGTGAGGGCAGCAGTGAGGTCAGCGCCCTGAGGGCAGCAGTGAGGTCAGCTGTGAGGGCAGCAGTGAGGTCAGCGCTCTGAGGGCAGCGCGGTGAGGTCAGAACAGTGAGGGCAGCACCTTGAGGGCAGAGGTGAGAGCAGCAGCGAGGGCAGCGCGGCGAGGCCAACGAGGTGTGAGCAGCAGCGAGGGCAGCAGGGAGAGCAGCGGCGAGGGCAGCGCGGCGAGGGCAGCGCGGCGAGGGCAGCGCGGCGAGGGCAGCGCGGCGAGGGCAGCGCGGCGAGGGCAGCGCGGCGAGGGCAGCGCGGCGAGGGCAGCGCGGCGAGGGCAGCGCGGCGAGGGCAGCGCGGCGAGGGCAGCGCGGCGAGGGCAGCGCGGCGAGGGCAGCGCGGCGAGGGCAGCGCGGCGAGGGCAGCGCGCATCACCATCGCTCAGGAGCCGCACTCCACCGCTCTGGGCCGGGGCCGCCGTCATCGCCGCCATCTCCCCTGTTCCGCGTGGCACGCACGTGACCCCCCCCGGTCGTGACGTCATGAGTGTCAACACTCGCGGCATGACGTCATCGTCACCCACATCGTAAACAAAAGACAAAGATCCCCCGCGTAGCCTGTAACAGACTGGCAGAGGCAAGTGCCGTTAGCGAGGAGCAGCAACGCCCGTGAAGGCCGCACGGCACTCGAGGAGTTCAGTTCATTTAGTTCATTTATTTGGTATAGCCCTGTGAGCCATTCGGCTCTAGAATCGGGTGCAACCGCAACAAACAAAAACATGAACAAGAAAACATCTTAAAGTGATTATGTGACTGTGCAAACAGAAAATCCAGGAAAAAAACAGCAAACTATTCCTGAAATAGCACCGTACACCAACGCTGTGTGCAAAAATCCCAGTGGGATGCAAGTCAAACAACAACCACAAGACAACTAAGATTAAGGCCATCAGTCTAACTCCGTACTACAATAAACAAAACCATGGCAAAAAAAACGTTTTCGAAATCACCAAAATAAAAGCCATAAATGCAATGTAACAGTGATCATAGGGACTGTGACCGAATTTTTAACAATAAACTACATAAATAAATTATAACACCAAAATCTAGAGCCATATTTTAGGCCACTGAATAGCAGTGGCAGCTAGGGGTGTACAACTCCTCTAGAGCAGTTTTGAGTGAAGATCTCATAGGTAGTGATTCAAGTTGCAGTTTATTGGCAATAGCATTCCAGACCCTGGGGGCATCAATAGCAAAGGCCCTTCCTCCGGTTTTTGTACGGCAATAGGGAATGTGAAGCTGGTAAATGAGCGAAGACCTGAGGTCAAATTTGTTCTTTGAAACAGAGAGGAGATCCAGTAGGTAGTCTGCGGATTTTTTTGTAAGTACATCATGAATAAATACGATCTGGTGCACAAGCCGTCGAACATTAAGAGAAGTTAAGTTTGACCCAATGTAGAGATCACAGTGGTGAGTCCTATATGGGCAGTTCAATGCAAATCTTAAGGCCGAGTGATGGAATCAAGCTTCTTCAGTACAGTACTGGGGGCTGATTTATACACGATGTCACAGTAGTCAAGTAGAGGCAGTATGGTAGCTTTAATCAATTCCAAACGGAACATTGGGGGGAAGCAGTGCTTGTGTCGATACAGAAAACCAATTTTTATTTTTGTCTTTTTACCAATATAATCAATGTGATCTTCAAAATTAAGTTTTGAATCCAGGATGACCCCAAGATACTTATAGATCTTGACTTGCTCTATTTGATTATTCAAGGAATGTAATTGGGTAAAAATAACTTCCTGTTTTAGTCCCGGTGAGAAGCATAGCACCTTGGTTTTGGAGGTATTCAGGACTAGTTTAAGAGAAACTAGCTGATGTTGTAGTTTGTTGAAATCACCCTGGAGCTTAGCAATCACGTCATCTGGAGAGCGGCCAGCAGTAATCAGTATCGTGTCATCTGCAAATAGATTTACCCTGGAATGATCCAGGTCAGTGCCCATGTCATTGACATAAAGAGAGAACAAGAGGGGGCCGAGGATGGAACCCTGTGGAACCCCTTTTGTCATCTTAACACTGTTTGACCTCCAACCATCTGTGAATACAGTTTGGGTGCGAGAAAAGAGGTAATTTTTTTTAACCATTGTACTGTGCTTTCGGAAAAACCGAGGCAACTTAGTTTACTGAGCAGGGTGTTTTGGTCTACTGTATCAAAAGCTTTGGACAGGTCAAGAAAAAGACAGGCACAGTACTGCTTATTATCAAGGCTATTGTAAATTTGATTCGAAGAGTCTAATGCAGCAGATGTGGTGTGTTGCCGGCACCACGCCCGGCCGCCTTTGTCTCCCCAGCGGCGAAGTGTACACACAACCCGGGTTCATCGGGTTCGCAGTGCAGTCCGCTGACCACGACACCACCACTCCCCACATTAACACAACAACCGCCACTCGCCACAAAGTGGCGGTGACGTCACGACGGCGCCTGTGCCAGGCTACGTGCACGTTGAGGCCACGTGAAGTGTCGAACGCCCGCTGGGCAGGAGGTCACTGGACAGACCCAGCAGGTGCCACGGGCCGACTGAGATGACCGAGATGACTCAGCTGATGCCACCACCACTATACACGTGCAGTACTGGAATAATAATGATCACTGTCAGTACAAACATCATGATCTCCGAGAGTCACTGATATCGATATTCGGAAGCCGCTGGAGCTATGCACTTTTCCAACTACTGTAGAGCGAAAACGCTTTTCTTTAGAACCTGATTTTTGTTTTAAGTTTGTTGTCCTTCCCCGAAACTCCGATTAGCACGGTTGGCTGCGTACGGTGCGAAAGAAGTTCAACATACAACCCGCATTGCGTTGGACGACTGTCTTCTTGCATCGATGGTTTATTGAAACGTCTCGTCACTCCACTCACTCTACAAGGGCAGCAAAATTACGAGCGATGTAAGAATCTCCCGTGCCCAAAATCACCACGCGCGTTGCGCGTTCTTGATGAGGCGTTCCATTGAGCACCATACACATTATATATAACATCACACCCCACGGACCACACGTCAATAACACCGTGGCCTTACAAAATATACTGGATATATACAATAGGTGGCGTTTCAGTGCCATGAAGAAGGGCCGTTTGCCTGAAAAGCCGCCTGTTATATATATTTTTTATTTTCAGGCCACGTGCAGTGAGTCATATTCACGAATGTGTTTGCTGTTGTTTGTGCACAACTACCAACTCAGCAGCAGCAGTAGCTGCATTTCTTAAGTTGATTTTGTAAAATCATCATCGATTTATTTTTAGTTTCATCATCACCATTGTACTACTATTATTACTGAAATGTTTCCACAAGCATAATCATTGCCATCATCAGCAGCAGCCATGATCAATCCACTGCTGGAGGATGTCCTCAGCCACGCCGTTGGTCACCACACCGCCCGGTGGCAGCCTCGCTCAGCGCTCGTTGTCACAGAGGCTTCCGCGGTTCGGTTCCGGCAGGCCGCCCTGGTTATTACTGTTGGGTCATGTCGACCGTAAATGAATCCGAACCGTCCACTTCACCACAGTGGACGTAAAAAATGCCCTGAGGTGTTTTCAAAGCGAGGAACCGGCCGTACTGTGTGCCCAATTTGACAGATTCGAAAATTGGTCACAAATAACTCTTATTATATCATCAATCGGGGTTACACGCAGCAGTGCCTTCCTCCGTGAGAATGGCACCAACATGAAATCTACTAAATGATTGTCATTATTCATTGTTATTACTGATAACTGTAGGTCCCCTTTAATTGATGGACCCATCTAAGTAATGATCGCTGTGACCCCGTTAGGTGAGGGTTCCGCTCCAGTTGAGAGGTTGAAGCTGGAGAAGCTCTCGCTCCAGGCTCCACTCGCGCACTCGCTCGCTCCGCTCCACCTCCCAGCGCAGCTCCATCACCTGCACAGAACCCCCCCATCCCGGGTAACCCCACACATGTCACATCCTCTGCCTGTCTGTGTGTCACCCTCCCTGTCTGTGCATCTTCAGATCTGTGTGTCACCCTGCCTGTCTGTGTGTCACCCTGCCTGTCGGTGTGTCACCCTGCTTGTCTGTGTGTCACCGTCCCTGTCTGTGTCACCCTCCCTGTCTGTGCATCTTCAGATCTGTGTCACCCTGCCTGTCTGTGTGTCACCCTGCCTGTCTGTGTGTCACCCTGCCTGTCTGTGTGCCACCCTGCCTGTCTGTGTGTCACCCTGCCTGTCTGTGTGTCACCCTGCCTGTCTGTGTGTCACCCTGCCTCTCTGTGTCACCCTGCCTGTCTGTGTGTCACCCTGCCTGTCGGTGTGTCACCCTGCTTGTCTGTGTGTCACCGTCCCTGTCTGTGTCACCCTCCCTGTCTGTGCATCTTCAGATCTGTGTCACCCTGCCTGTCTGTGTGTCACCCTGCCTGTCTGTGTGTCACCCTGCCTGTCTGTGTGCCACCCTGCCTGTCTGTGTGTCACCCTGCCTGTCTGTGTGTCACCCTGCCTGTCTGTGTGTCACCCTGCCTCTCTGTGTGTCACCCTGCCTCTCTGTGTGTCACCCTGCCTGTCTGTGTGTCACCCTGCCTGTCTGTGTGTCACCCTGCCTGTCTGTGTGTCACCCTGCCTCTCTGTGTGTCACCCTGCCTCTCTGTGTGTCACCCTGCCTGTCTGTGTGTCACCCTGCCTGTCTGTGTGTCACCCTGCCTCTCTGTGTGTCACCCTGCCTCTCTGTGTGTCACCCTGCCTGTCTGTGTGTCACTCTGCCTGTCTGTGTGTCAGGGAGCGGTAGTGTAGTGATTAGCACGCTGCGCTACGAACCCGGATACCCGGGTTCGATTCCCGCTCACTGCCAACACCAGTGACGATTATCTGAAGCGGCCTTGGGCATCCCCTAGGTCGACTCAGCCTCAAATGAACACGTGCCTGCTGCGGTGGTAAACATCGCCACTCGGGAGCCAAAGGCGGCCGGGCGTGGTGATGGCCACCCACACCCCCTTGTGCAATGCCAGCCTTCATAGGAGCAACTCCCTAACAGCACTTGCTCCCAATAGTCTGGTAAGGCTACACGGGGGATCTTTGTCTTGTTGTCGGTGTGTCACCGTCCCTGTCTGTGTCACCCTTCCTGTCTGTGCATTTTCAGATCTGTGTCACCCTGCCTGTCTGTGTGTCACCCTGCCTGTCTGTGTGTCACCCTGCCTGTCTGTGTGTCACCCTGCCTGTCTGTGTGTCACCCTGTCTGTTGGTGTGTCACCGTCCCTGTCTGTGTCACCCTCCCTGTCTGTGCATCTTCAGATCTGTGTCACCCTGCCTGTCTGTGTGTCACCCTGCCTGTCTGTGTGTCACCCTGCCCGTCTGTGCATCTTCAGGTCTGCGAGTCACCCTGTCTGTCTGTCTCCCTGTGCATGTGCGTGTCCGCGCGTCCCTCTTGCTGGCGGCCCACCCTCTTGTTGTGGTCCCTCACGGCCCGGGAGGCCTCGTGCCTCTCCCGGCCGCGCTGCTCCTCTGCTCGGCGCTCGCAGCTCTCGGCGAGGGCGGCCTGGGCCCGCTCGCCCGCCCCATCGCTCCGAGCCGACTCCCGCTGGGCCACGCGCTCCCGCATCTGGGACTTGAGCCACTCGCGGATCTCCCTCCTGGAGGACCGCAGCACGTGCGCGCGGGGGGGGGGGGATACCACAGAGATACCATTGACATGTCGTAGGGGACACCCGATAAAACTGTGGTGAGGGTCACATGGTGGTGATGGGGATCTGGTGATGGTGAGGATCATGTGGTGATGGTGGTGGACACGTGGTACCGGTATTCCTCCTTCTCCCCCGGCTCCCCGTACACCGGTCTCCTCCAGCCGCGGTGCTGCCTGGGGGACGGGGCGAATGGCAAATGGGAGTGAGCACGTGATCACTCATCTGCCCAGCTCACCTGCCCCCCCACCCCTGTCCGCCTCACCAACCCCTCCACACCTGCCCCCCTAACCTCCTCCCTCACTTACCCCTCTTACTTGCCCTCTTCACCAGCCCCCCACAACCCCCCCCCTCACCTGCCCACGTTACCTGTTCCCTTGCCCGCCCCCCACACCTGCCCCCTTCACTTACCCCCCCTCACCTGCCGCCCCTCTGCACCCACCCCTCACCTGGCCCCCTCACCTGTCGTGCTCGCGTCTCTTCCAGCAGGTGACGCGCTGCTCGTTGTGCGCGTGCGCGTCCCGCGTCTCCAGCATCACGGTGCGCCGCGCCACCCACGGGGGCCGCAGGGGGTTCAGGCGGGGTCCCAGTCCGGGGGGGGCCGTGGGGGGCACGGCCGGGATCACGGCGGGGGGCACTTCGCGGGGGGCTCGCAGTCGCGGAACCCCGCGGCTCGCTGTCGGCACCGGAGGCATCGCGAGACCGAGGGGCTTAGGGCACTCGGAAGATTTGGGCGACCTTTTGGTGGCTTTGGGGGACTCGGGTCCCATTAACATGAGCAGGGGGGGCCCGGGGGCTGGCAGGGCGAGGGGACCGCGAGGGGGCTCCATCTGCGGGCACGACTGAGGACGAGAGGGCGGGGGGTTGAAGCTGAGCGGTGGTAGACATCGCCGCTGGGGAAACAAAGGCGCCCGGGCGTGGTGCTGGCCATCATAGGTGCTGCTTTCTTAACATACTTGCCCCATGTCTATTAACGCTATACGGGGGATCTTTGCCTTTATTTGATGATCATAATGAATGGTTGTACTGATTATGTTGATGGCGGTGATGATGATGGCAGCGATGATCATGGTAGTGATGATGATAGTGGTGGTCAGGAGAGCGATAACGATGGTGATGATTTTGTTGACGCTTATGACAATGAAGTTGCGGTCATTGCTGATGGTGACACTGATGATGCCAACAATTGTAATATTGGCACCCTCGCTCTTGGAGCATACCTGTCAACCCCTTATCAGTGCCCGACCTGAAAACTCTCTTGCTCTGTACAAGAATACGGGCTAAACCGTATGGGTTGACAGGTTTGTGGGAGGATGGCCCTTTTCCTGAGGCGCTGTGTGTCACAGGCGGGTAGAGTCCTCCGCTCGGAGGCGGTGATTGCCGCTGCTCTGCGTGTCATTCTGATTTAAGGGGTTTGCGGTGTCATCCTTCGAAATGGGAAAATTGTGACCATGACTCCGCCACACAGTGGCCTGCCGCTCATTCCAACTGACGCCGCGGAGATCTTTGCCGTCCACTGCGAGTGAGGAGGACGGCGTGGAGGAGTATTTTACGGTTTTGTATCGCAGTGTTAACTAGGAGCGGCCTAACGGATTCGAACCGCCGGAATACGCAATCGCCTGCTGACGATGATGGTGGTGACTGTGCGTGGCGCCACGCCTCCTCACCACGCCTCCTCACCACGCCTCCTCACCACACTTCCTCACCACGCCTCCTCACCACGCCTCCTCACCACACTTCCTCACCACGCCTCCTCACCACGCCTCCTCACCACACTTCCTCACCACACTTCCTCACCACGCCTCTTCACCACACTTCCTCACCACACTTCCTCACCACGCCTCCTCACCACGCCTCCTCACCACACTTCCTCACCACGCCTCCTCACCACGCCTCTTCACCACACTTCCTCACCACGCCTCCTCACCACATTTCCTCACCACGCCTCCTCACCACGCCTCCTCACCACACTTCCTCACCACGCCTCCTCACCACGCCTCTTCACCACACTTCCTCACCACGCCTCCTCACCACACTTCCTCACCACGCCTCTTCACCACACTTCCTCACCACACTTCCTCACCACGCCTCCTCACCACGCCTCTTCACCACACTTCCTCACCACGCCTCCTCACCACACTTCCTCACCACACTTCCTCACCACGCCTCCTCACCACGCCTCTTCACCACACTTCCTCACCACGCCTCCTCACCACACTTCCTCACCACACTTCCTCACCACACTTCCTCACCACGCCTCCTCACCACGCCTCTTCACCACACTTCCTCACCACGCCTCCTCACCACACTTCCTCACCACGCTCACCTGCACGGCTCCTGCAAGCCACGGGAGGCGCCGCGTCTCTTCGCCTGATGACCTCACCTGGAGGGACGGGGCTAGTGGGGGGTGGTGGTGGGGGTGGTGGTGGGGGTGGTGGTGGGGGTGGTGGTGGGGGTGGTGGGGGGGGAGGTGGGGGGAGGAGGTGGGGTGGCTCATTTGGTTCGAGCGCTGCGCCGTGAACTTGACGTCCCGAGTTCGTTTCACGCTCGCGACCTACAACAGTGGCAGTGATTATCTGCACCGGTCCTGGGGGCCTCCGCCAGGTCGCCTCAGCCTCAAACGAACACGTGGTGTGACCTAAGGTCTTCGATGTGACCTAAGGTCTCCGCTCATTTACCAGTTTCACATTCCTTATTGCCGTACAAATACTGGAGGAAGGGCCTTTGCTCTTGATGCCCCCAGGGTCTGGAATGCTATCGCCAATAAACTGCAACTTGGATCACTACCTGTGAGATCTTCACTCAAAACTGCTGTTGAGGAGCTGTACACCCCTAGCTGCCACTGCTATTCAGTGGCCTGAAATCAAATGTTTCGCTCCGGATGGCCGCTCCAAAGTATGATCTTGAGTTTTGATTATAGTGTGCTGATCTTTAAAGGTGCATTGAACAATGTTGAGACTCCTCTTCTAGATTTAAAGCTTTCGTGACTGCAAGGATCCATACTCTTTGGTTCTATTGGGTAAAGTCACGTAGGTAAAAAAATAAAAGCAAAAAATCACGACGTTTAGGCCACAACACAAGCGGCCTTCATCAGGTGAAGGGACAGCGCTGGAGTGAAAAAAGCCACGCTCAGATCACGACCTTTAAGCTGTGTGAGAAGAAACAAAGCGCCTTGACAAAGGAATTAGCATATAATTTAGTATTGAAATGGCTGAGTGATTAGCTTGTGACTGGTCACAGAAATGGCTATGTTAAAGTCAAGGGGTGCCTTTGCGGATGTGTATGCTTTAACTTTAACATAGCCATTTTTGTGACCAGTCACAAGCTAATCACTCAGCTATTTCAATGCTAAATTATATGCTAATTCCTTTGTCAAGGCGCTTTGTTTCTTCTCACACAGCTTAAAGGTCGTGATCTGAGCGTGGCTTCTTTCACTCCAGCGCTGTCCTCCAGACAGTCTCGTCCCTTCACCTGATGAAGGCCGCTTGTGTTGTGGCCGAAACGTCGTGATTTTTTGTTATTTTATATTTTACCTACGTGACTTTACCCAATAGAACCAAAGAGTAGTGTTGATACTCCTACTGATGCTCCTGCTGTTATAGAGTGACTCATGCAGCCAGCTATGGCTGCGGGGTTTGGTCGTACATGTTATGTATATCGTTTATTGTTAAATTTGAATCACAGTTCCTATGATCACTGTTACATTGTTTTTACAGCTTCATTTTGGTGATTTCGAAAACGTTTTTGGTTTAGCCATATTTGTTTGTTGTAGCACAGCGTTAGACTGATAACTTTAATCTAAATTGTCTTATGGTTGTTATTGTTTGACTTGCATCCCACTGGGATTTTTGCACACAGCGTTGATATACGGTGCTTTTTCTGGAAGACTTTGCTGTTTTTCCTGGATTTTCTGTTTGCGCATAGTCACTTTAAGATGTTTCTTGTTCATGTTTTTGTTTGTTGCGGTGGCACCCAATCCAAGAGCCGCATGGCTCACAGGGCTATACCTAATGAATGAAACTGAAAAAAAAACTGAAACTGTGTGAAAATGTCAGTAGTGGGGAGACAAAGACGGCCGGGTGTGGAGCCGGCCACCACCCCCCGCACCGTTTCGGCGTCAACAGCTGCCCCCTCACAGCACTTGCCCCATGAGGGATCTTTGTCTTTGTGGTGGAGGTAATCCCAACGTGAAATCCACAAAACCCACGTGACATAGAAGAAAAAGCCACAAAAATAAGAAAAACGCGATGTTCTGTCACCAGGGCGGACGGGTTGATGGAGGGCTGAATGCTTGACACCGTGGTAGGACAACGTCTGATATGAGGAAGCCGCTGGAGCTATCTATGCACTTTTAAATCTGGATTGAAAACTAATTTCTTGAAAAAAGTTTTAGTGTGTGTGTTTAGTTTGTTGTCCTTCCCCCCGCAACTCCGACTAGCACGTTTGGCTACGCACGGTGCGAAAGAATTTCAACATACGTACATGCTCTAAAGACAGTTGAGATGGTTGTGGACTTTAGGAAGAATACAGCACCACTCACCCCCATCACCCTGTTAGACTCCCCAGTCAAAATTGTAGAGTCCTTCCGCTTCCTGGGCACTATTCTCTCCAGGGACCTCAAGTGGGAATTGAACATCAGCTCCCTCACCAAGAAAGCTCAACAGAGGATGTACTTTCTACGGCAGCTGAAGAAATTCAACCTGCCAAAGACAATGATGGTGCAATTCTATACAGCGATCATTGAATCCATCCTCACCTCCTCCATAACCGTCTGATACGCTGCTGCCACTGCCAAGGACAAGAGCAGACTGCAGCGTATCATCCACACTGCTGAGAAGGTAATTGCCTGCAATCTACCAACCCTCGAGGACCTGCACACGACAAGGTCCATGAGGCGAGCGAGGAAGATTATGGCCGATTTCTCCCACCCTGGACACTCTCTGTTTAAGCTACTCCCCTCCGGCAGAAGGCTTCGGTCCATCAGGACCAAAACCTCACGCCATAAAAACAGTTTCTTCCCATCTGCTGCTGGCCTGTTAAACAAGGCCAAGGGCTAACACTGTTTTTAACATTTGATCTACATAACGACACCTTGCCGATATTAACTATGTTACCCTATTTGTATTTTTTTTTTTAAATTATATCTTAAAGCTATTCTATATTCGATATTTATTTAATTTTATATACTTCAGCCCCTTGGTGTTAGACTTTTAACCCTTATTATAGTAAGACTTGTTTAAAACTTATTTAAGATTTTAGATTCCTATATGTTGAATGTATGCACCATCCTGCCAAAGTAAATTCCGTGTCGGTGTGAACTTACATGGCGAATAAAACCCTTTCTGATTCTGATACAAAGGCCAAATGCGTCAAATGGCCAACAACAAAGAGCATTTATATCAGAGTTGCAATGCAGAAGATAACTAAGACGCGCGTGTTGAATTAACAAGGTTGTTATTCTTATTAAGATAATGTGGGAGGGGATTCCAAAGTGGGCCAGTGCGAGGGAAGAAGCAGAGAGAGAAGTGAGGTGGCCTGCAGTGTGGTGAGTGGGTGAGTGTGTAGTTGTGACCTGCAGTGTGGTGAGTGTGTAGTTGTGACCTGCAGTGTGGTGAGTGTTGTTGTTGTGACCTGCAGTGTGGTGATTGGGTGAGTGTGTTGTTGTGACCTGCAGTGTGGTGAGTGGGTGAGTGTGTTGTTGTGACCTGCAGTGTGGTGAGTGTTGTTGTTGTGACCTGCAGTGTGGTGAGTGGGTGAGTGTGTTGTTGTGACCTGCAGTGTGGTGAGTGGGTGAGTGAGTGTAGTTGTGACCTGCAGTGTGGTGAGTGGGTGAGTGTGTTGTTGTGACCTGCAGTGTGGTGAGTGTGAGTGTGTTGTTGTGACCTGCAGTGTGGTGAGTGGGTGAGTGTTGTTGTTGTGACCTGCAGTGTGGTGAGTGGGTGAGTGTGTTGTTGTTGTGACCTGCAGTGTGGTGAGTGGGTGAGTGTGTATTTGTGACCTGCAATGTGGTGAGTGGGTGAGTGTGTTGTTGTGACCTGCAGTGTTGTGAGTGGGTGAGTGTGTTGTTGTGACCTGCAGTGTGGTGAGTAGGTGAGTGTGTTGTTGTGACCTGCAGTGTGGTGAGTGGGTGAGTGTGTTGTTGTGACCTGCAGTGTGGTGAGTGGGTGAGTGTGTTGTTGTGACCTGCAGTGTGGTGAGTGTGTTGTTGTGACCTGCAGTGTGGTGAGTGTATTGTTGTGACCTGCGGTGTGGTGAGTGGATGAGTGTGTTGTTGTGACCTGCAGTGTGGTGAGTGGGTGAGTGAGTGTGTTGTTGTGACCTGCAGTGTGGTGAGTGGGTGAGTGTGTTGTTGTGACCTGCGGTGTGGTGAGTGGGTGAGTGTGTTGTTGTGACCTGCAGTGTGGTGAGTGGGTGAGTGTGTTGTTGTGACCTGCAGTGTGGTGAGTGGGTGAGTGTGTTGTTGTGACCTGCAGTGTGGTGAGTGGGTGAGTGTGTTGTTGTGACCTGCAGTGTGGTGAGTGGGTGAGTGAGTGTAGTTGTGACCTGCAGTGTGGTGAGTGGGTGAGTGTGTTGTTGTGACCTGCAGTGTGGTGAGTGGGTGAGTGTGTTGTTGTGACCTGCGGTGTGGTGAGTGGGTGAGTGTGTTGTTGTGACCTGCGGTGTGGTGAGTGGGTGAGTGTGTTGTTGTGACCTGCAGTGTGGTGAGTGGGTGAGTGTGTTGTTGTGACCTGCGGTGTGGTGAGTGGGTGAGTGTGTTGTTGTGACCTGCGGTGTGGTGAGTGGGTGAGTGTGTTGTTGTGACCTGCGGTGTGGTGAGTGGGTGAGTGTGTAGTTGTGACCTGCAGTGTGGTGAGTGGGTGAGTGTGTTGTTGTGACCTGCAGTGTGGTGAGTGGGTGAATGTGTTGTTGTGACCTGCAGTGTTGTGATTACACGAAGCAGCGAGTGCCTGGTATAGACCGAGTCGTCAACAAGGGTGGAGGAATGAACGAGTGAAGTTCACGGGAACAGCGACCATGGCGGCGGTCGTAGTAGTAGCGGTAGAAGAGTGATAGGGAGGCGACTGCCCCCGCCGCTGAGCGAGCGAGGGAGTGAATGTAGCAAGCGCTGAAGCATCAATGGTGGTGAGGTAGAATAGTACGTGATGGTATGTGCATGGACTGATGGATATCGACGATGGTGTGCGAGCGTCGAATGATGGCATGGGAGGCAGGTGATGGTGTGCACGGTGCAGGTGATGGTGTGCGGTGCAGGTGATGGTGTGCGCGGTGCAGGTGATGGTGTGCGGTGCAGGTGATGGTGTGCACGGTGCAGGTGATGGTGTGCGCGGTGCAGGTGATGGTGTGCGCGGTGCAGGTGATGGTGTGCGGTGCAGGTGATGGTGTGCGGTGCAGGTGATGGTGTGCGCGGTGCAGGTGATGGTGTGCACGGTGCAGGTGATGGTGTGCGCGGTGCACGTGATGGTGTGCACGGTGCAGGTGATGGTGTGCGCGGTGCAGGTGATGGTGTGCGCGGTGCAGGTGGTGGTGTGCACGGTGCAGGTGATGGTGTGCGGTGCAGGTGATGGTGTGCGGTGCAGGTGATGGTGTGCGCGCCGCAGGTGATGGTGTGCACGGTGCAGGTGATGTTGGGACCTCTACCTGTCGCGTCAAGTCGCGCGCTTCGCGTGTACCACAGCTGCTGATGGTGTTCGTCGTGGTGATGGTGGTGATGGTGCTGATAGAGATGGGCAAGGTTTGCGCTCTGCGTGAGGCCGTGGTCCCTACACAAGAGAACCAATTCACACAACTCAACAACACAATCTAACAACTATTCAACGCTTAACGACACAAATACGCAAAACGTAACTACTCAACAACTACACGACACTTATCTACAAACTATACAACACTTAATAACACAGCACTTAACTACACAACACTTAATAACACAACATCACACGTAACAACACAACTACACCACACTGATGCAACAACTACCGCTGAATTGACAACCACAGTGAGTTGGTGAGTGTGGTGATGAGAACGGTGATGTTGATGACGGTGTATCTGATGGTGGTGGTGATGTTTATGGTCATGATGGTTATGTTAATGATATTGATGGTGATGTTTATGATGGTGGTGATTTTTATTTTCAGTTTCAGTTTATTTATTTTGGTATAGCCCTGTGAGCCATTCGGCTCTTGAATCGGGTGCAACCACAACAAACAAAAACACGAACAAGAAAAACATCTTAAAGTGACTATGTGACTGTGCAAACAGAAAATCTATGAAAAAAAACAGCAAAATATTCCTGAAAAAAGCACCGTACACCAACGCTGTGTGCAAAAAATCCCAGTGGGATGCAAGTCAAACAACAAGGAATTCATAATAAAGGTTTTTGGGTTAGATCGCGTTATTTATAAATGTGTCGTAACCCTCCACCACCCGACACGGCCAATCAGCAAAAAAAGTGTCACGTTGACAAAAGACAAATAATTCACTACTTTAGCCCACCGGTGTGTTGAAGAGTGAATCCACAACATTTACAGTTTGAGTACGACGTTTCGCTGGTAATTACATCCAGCATCATCGGGCAATTCGCCAGAATGGTAAAGCCCTCGCTTGCTCCCGGTTTTAAATAGAGCAGCAGGGTCAAGTCATCATTTAACTCATATCAGGTGCAGTGATTTGAGGCGGAGGGGGGGGGGGGTATTGTAATTATATAATCGATTAGTAATCAGTCAATGGTTATGATTAGTAATGAGTTGTAGCTTAGTAATTAGTTTTAATGTGTGTTAGTGATTATATGCTATGTTAGTAATCCGTTAATTAGTATGTGTTTCCCCTATAAGGAATTGTAATGTGTATTATTTAATAATACGCTTCCAGGCCGCACTAAGCCTGTAGCTGTCAGAGCGATGAAAGTTATTTTTATTCCTCTCAATTTCAATGGATTCTCTAATTAGTCTTTGCCAGTAATAATTCGTTTTACACAACAATACAACGTTATCAAAATCAATTGAGTGTCCTTGTTGACAAGCATGTTCTGCCACTGCCGACAGTTGTGTTTAATCACTAATACACATTACAACTAATTACTAATCTACAACTCATTACTAATCATAACCATTGACTGATTACTAATCGATTATATAATTACAATACCCCCCCCCTCCGCCTCAAATCACTGCACCTGATATGAGTTAAATGATGACGTCACCCTGCTGCTCTATTTAAAACCGGGAGCAAGCGAGGGCTTTACCATTCTGGCGAATTGCCCGATGATGCTGGATGTAATTACCAGCGAAACGTCGTACTCAAACTTTAAATATTGTGGATTCACTCTTCAACACACCGGTGGGCTAAAGTAGTGAATTATTTGTCTTTTGTCAACGTGACACTTTTTTGCTGATTGGCCGTGTTGGGTGGTGGAGGGTTACGACACATTTATAAATAACGCGATCTAACCCAAACACCTTTATTATGAATAATATTGGTCGCGAAAGCCTACGTGTTAAACTAACAACAAGGAAACTTAGATTAAGGCCATCAGTCTAACTCCGTACTTCAACAAAACAAACATGTCCAAACCAAAAAACTTTTCGAAATCACTAAAAAATAAAGCCATAATTGCAGCGTACAGTGAGGGAAAAAAGTATTTGATCCCCTGCTGATTTTGTACGTTTGCCCACTGACAAAGAAATCATCAGTCTATAATTTTAATGGTAGGTTTATTTGAACAGTGAGAGACAGAATAACAACAAAAAAATCCTGAAAAACGCACGTCAAAAATGTTATAAATTGATTTGCATTTTAATGAGGGAAATAAGTATTTGACCCCCTCCCAATCAGAAAGATTTCTGGCTCCCAGGTGTCTTTTATACAGGTAACGAGCTGAGATAAGGAGCACAGTGAAAGTGTTGTGGTCAGATGAGACCAAAATGGAGCTCTTTGGCATCAACGCAACTCGCCGTGTTTGGAGGAGGAATGCTGCCTATGACCCCAAGAACACCATCTCCACCGTCAATCACAGTGTGCTCCTAATCTCAGCTCGTTACCTGTATAAAAGACACCTGTCCACAGAAGCAATCAATCAATCATATTCCAAACTCTCCACCATGGCCAAGACCAAAGAGCTCTCCAAGGGTGTCAGGGACAAGATTGTAGACCTACACAAGGCTGGAATGGGCTACAAGACCATTGCCAAGCAGCTTGGTGAGAAGGTGACAACAGTTGGTGCGATTATTCGCAAATGGAAGAAACACAAAAGACCTGTCAATCACCCTCGGCCTGGGGCTCCATGCAAGATCTCACCTCGTGGAGTTGCAATTATCATGAGAACGGTGAGGAATCAGCCCAGAACTACACGGGAGGATCTTGTCAATGATCTCAAGGCAGCTGGGACCATAGTCACCAAGAAAACAATTGGTAACACACTACGCCGTGAAGGACTGAAATCCTGCAGCGCCCGCAAGGTCCCCCTGCTTAAGAAAGCACATATACATGCCCGTCTGAAGTTTGCCAATGAACATCTGAATGATTCAGAGGACAACTGGGTGAAAGTGTTGTGGTCAGATGAGACCAAAATGGAGCTCTTTGGCATCAACTCAACTCGCCGTGTTTGGAGGAGGAGGAATGCTGCCTATGACCCCAAGAACACCATCCCCACCGTCAAACATGGAGGTGGAAACATTATGCTTTGGGGGTGTTTTTCTGCTAAGGGGACAGGACAACTTCACCGTATCAAAGGGACGATGGACGGGGCCATGTACCATCAAATCTTGGGTGAGAACCTCCTTCCCTCAGCCAGGGCATTGAAAATGGGTCATGGATGGGTATTCCAGCATGACAATGACCCAAAACACACGGCCAAGGCAACAAAGGAGTGGCTCAAGAAGAAGCACATTAAGGTCCTGGAGTGGCCTAGCCAGTCTCCAGACCTTAATCCCGTAGAAAATCTGTGGAGGGAGCTGAAGGTTCGAGTTGCCAAACGTCAGCCTCTAAACCTTAATGACTTGGAGAAGATCTGCAAAGAGGAGTGGGACAAAATCCCTCTTGAGATGTGTGCAAACCTGGTGGCCAACTACAAGAAACGTCTGACCTCTGTGATGGCCAACAAGGGTTTTGCCACCAAGTACAAAGTCATGTTTTGCAGAGGGGTCAAATACTTATTTCCCTCATTAAAATGCAAATCAATTTATAACATTTTTGACATGCGTTTTTTATGGATTTTTGTTGTTGTTATTCTGTCTCTCACTGTTCAAATAAACCTACCATTAAAATTATAGACTGATCATTTCTTCTCAGTGACATAATTTTTATTATGTTGATGATGGTCATTATTGTTATAGTGATGTTGATAATAATTCTGATGTTGATTATAGTGATGTTAACGATGTCAATGATGTGGATGACGTTGATGGTGGCGATGTTAACGATATTGGTGGTGGTGATGTTAACGATTTTAATGGTGGTGATGCTGTTGATGGTGATGTTAACGATGTTGGTGGTGGTGATGTTAACGATGTTGGTGGTGGTGATGTTAACGATGTTGATCGTGGTGATGTTAACGATGTTGGTGGTGGTGGTGATGTTAACGATCTTGGTGATGGTGGTGATGTTAACGATGATGGTGGTGATGTTAACGATGGTGGTGGTGGTGGTGATGTTAACGATAGTGGTGGTGGTGGTGGTGATGTTAACGATAGTGGTGGTGGTGGTGATGTTAACGATGTTGGTGGTGATGTTAACGATGTTGGTGGTGGTGATGTTAACGATGGTGGTGGTGATGTTAACGACGGTGGTGGTGGTGATGTTAACGATGTTGGTGGTGGTGATGTTAACGATGTTGATGGTGGTGGTGATGTTAACGATGATGGTGGTGATGTTAACGATGGTGGTGGTGGTGATGTTAACGATGTTGGTGGTGGTGATGTTAACGATGTTGATGGTGGTGATGTTAATGATGTTGATGGTGGTGGTGGTGATGCTAACGATGTTAACGATGTTGGTGGTGGTGGTGATATTAACGATGTTGATGGTGGTGATGTTAACGATGTTGGTGGTGGTGATGGTGATGATGGTGGTGATGTTAACGATGTTGGTGGTGGTGATGTTAACGATGTTGGTGGTGGTGATATTAACGATGTTGGTGGTGGTGATGTTAACGATGGTGGTGGTGATGTTAACGATGTTGGTGGTGGTGGTGATGTTAACGATGTTGGTGGTGGTGGTGATGTTGGTGGTGGTGATGTTAACGATGTTGGTGGTGGTGATGTTAACGATGTTGGTGGTGGTGATGTTAACGATGTTGATGGTGGTGATGTTAACGATGTTGGTGGTGGTGATGTTAACGATGTTGGTGGTGGTGATGTTAACGATGTTGGTGGTGGTGGTGATGTTAACGATGTTGGTGGTGGTGGTGATGTTAACGATGTTGGTGGTGGTGGTGATGTTGATGATGTTGATGGTGGTGGTGATGTTAACGATGTTGGTGGTGGTGATGTTAACGATGATGGTGGTGATGATATTAACGATGTTGGTGGTGGTGATGTTAACGATGGTGGTGGTGGTGATGATGTTAACGATGTTGGTGGTGGTGATGTTAACGATGTTGATGGTGGTGGTGATGTTGACGATGTTGGTGGTGGTGATGATAACGATGTTGATGGTGGTGATAATGATGGTGGTGGTGGTGGTGATGTTAACGATGTTGGTGGTGATGTTAACGATGTTGGTGGTGGTGATGTTAACGATGTTGGTGGTGGTGATGTTAACGATGTTGATGGTGGTGGTGATGTTAACGATGTTGGTGGTGGTGATGATGTTAACGATGTTGGTGGTGGTGATGTTAACGATGTTGGTGGTGGTGATGTTAACGATGCTGGTGATGTTAACGATGTTGGTGGTGGTGATGTTAACGATGTTGGTGGTGGTGATGTTATCGATGTTGATGGTGGTGGTGATGTTAACGATGTTGGTGGTGATGTTAACGATGGTGGTGATGGTGGTGATGTTAACGATGTTGGTGGTGGTGATGTTGATGATGTTGATGGTGGTGGTGATGTTAACGATGTTGGTGGTGGTGATGTTAACGATGATGGTGGTGATGATATTAACGATGTTGGTGGTGGTGATGTTAACGATGGTGGTGGTGGTGATGATGTTAACGATGTTGGTGGTGGTGATGTTAACGATGTTGATGGTGGTGGTGATGTTGACGATGTTGGTGGTGGTGATGATAACGATGTTGATGGTGGTGATGATGATGGTGGTGGTGGTGATGTTAACGATGTTGGTGGTGATGTTAACGATGTTGGTGGTGGTGATGTTAACGATGTTGGTGGTGGTGATGTTAACGATGTTGATGGTGGTGATGTTAACGATGTTGGTGGTGGTGATGATGTTAACGATGTTGGTGGTGGTGATGTTAACGATGTTGGTGGTGGTGATGTTAACGATGGTGGTGATGTTAACGATGTTGGTGGTGGTGATGTTAACGATGTTGTTGGTGGTGGTGATGTTATCGATGTTGATGGTGGTGGTGATGTTAACGATGTTGGTGGTGGTGGTGATGTTAACGATGGTGGTGATGGTGGTGATGTCAACGATGTTGGTGGTGGTGATGTTAACAATGTTCATGGTGGTGGTGATGTTAACGATGTTGGTGGTGGTGATGTTAACGATGTTGGTGGTGGTGATGTTAACGATTTTGGTGGTGGTGATGTTAACGATGTTGGTGGTGGTGGTGGTGTTAACGATGTTGGTGGTGGTGATGTTAACGATGTTGGTGGTGGTGGTGGTGATGTTAACGATGTTGGTGGTGGTGATGTTAACGATGTTGGTGGTGGTGATGATGGTGGTGGTGATGTTAACGATGTTGGTGGTGGTGGTGATGTTAACGATGTTGATGGTGGTGATGATGATGTTAACGATGTCGGTGGTGGTGGTGATGTTAACGATGTTGGTGGTGATGTTAACGATGTTGATGGTGGTGGTGATGTTAACGATGTTGGTGGTGGTGATGTTAACGATGTTGGTGGTGGTGATGTTAACGATGATGGTGGTGGTGGTGATGTTAACGATGTTGATGGTGGTGATGTTAACGATGTTGGTGGTGGTGGTGATGTTAACGATGTTGATGGTGGTGATGATGATGTTAACGATGTCGGTGGTGGTGGTGATGTTAACGATGTTGGTGGTGATGTTAACGATGTTGATGGTGGTGGTGATGTTAACGATGTTGGTGGTGGTGATGTTAACGATGTTGGTGGTGGTGATGTTAACGATGATGGTGGTGGTGGTGATGTTAACGATGTTGATGGTGGTGATGTTAACGATGTTGGTGGTGGTGGTGATGTTAACGATGTTGGTGGTGATGTTAACGATGTTGGTGGTGTTAACGATGGTGGTGATGTTAACAATGTTGATGGTGATGGTGATGTTAACGATGTTGATGGTGGTGATGGTGGTGATGATGATGGTGGTGATGGTGGTGATGATGATGGTGGTGGTGGTGATGGTGGTGATGATGATGGTGGTGGTGATGGTGGTGGTGGTGGTTGTGGTGGTGATGATGGTGATGATGGTGGTGGTGGTGATGGTGATGATAATGGTGGTGATGGTGATGATGGTGATGGTGGTGATGGTGATGATGGTGATGGTGGTGATGGTGGTGGTGATGATGGTGGTGATGGTGGTGATGGTGGTGATGATGGTGGTGATGACGATGTTGATGATGGTGGTGATGGTGATGATGGTGGTTGCGGTGCCTCACGCAGGCAGCAGCGGGGTGGCCCGTGGAGTCGCCATCGCCGCCTCCTCACGGAGCCCGTGGGGTGCGGGTTGCCAGGGACGCCGACTGAGGTGGGGGGGGTGTCAGGGTGTATCAGTGTGTGTGTCACTATGTGTGTGTCAGTGTGTGTCACTATGTGTGTATCACTGTGTGTGTCAGTGTGTGTGTCACTGTGTCAGTGTGTGTATCAGTGTGTGTGTCACTGTGTCAGTGTGTGTGTCAGGGTGTATCAGTGTGTGTGTCACTGTGTGTGTCAGTGTGTGTGTCACTGTGTCAGTGTGTGTGTCACTGTGTGTGTCACTGTGTGTGTCAGTGTGTCAGTGTGTGTCACTGTGTCAGTGTGTGTGTCAGTGTGTGTGTCACTGTGTCAGTGTGTGTGTCACTGTGTCAGTGTGTCAGTGTGTGTGTCAGTGTGTGTGTCAGTGTGTGTGTCACTATGTGTGTCACTGTGTCAGTGTGTGTCACTGTGTGTGTCACTGTGTCAGTGTGTGTCAGTGTGTGTGTCACTATGTGTGTGTCACTGTGTCAGTGTGTGTGTCACTGTGTGTGTCACTGTGTCAGTGTCACTGTGTCAGTGTGTGTGTCAGTGTGTGTGTCACTGTGTCACTGTGTGTGTCACTGTGTCAGTGTGTGTGTCAGTGTGTGTGTCACTGTGTGTGTCACTGTGTCAGTGTCACTGTATCAGTGTGTGTGTCAGTGTGTCAGTGTCACTGTGTCAGTGTGTGTGTCACTGTGTGTGTCACTGTGTCAGTGTATGTGTCAGTGTGTGTGTCACTGTGTGTGTCAGTGTGTGTGTCACTGTGTCAGTGTGTGTGTCACTTTGTGTCAGTGTCACTGTGTCAGTGTGTGTGTCAGTGTGTCAGTGTGTGTGTCAGTGTGTGTGTCACTGTGTCTCTGTGTCACTGTGTCAGTGTGTGTGTCACTGTGTCAGTGTGTGTGTCAGTGTGTGTCACTATGTGTGTGTCACTGTGTCAGTGTGTGTGTCAGTGTGTGTGTCACTGTGTGTCACTGTATCAGTGTGTGTGTCACTGTGTGTTACTGTGTCAGTGTCACTGTGGCAGTGTGTGTGTCACTGTGTCAGTGTCTGTGTCACTGTGTGTCATTGTGTCAGTGTGTGTGTCAGTGTGTGTGTCACTGTGTGTCACTGTGTCAGTGTGTATGTCAGTGTGTGTGTCAGTGTGTCAGTGTGTGTGTCACTGTGTCAGTGTGTGTGTCACTGTGTCAGTGTCACTGTGTCATTGTGTGTCAGTGTGTGTGTCACTGTGTCAGTGTGTGTGTCACTGTGTCAGTGTGTGTCACTGTGTGTGTCACTGTGTCAGTATCACTGTGTCAATGTGTGTCAGTGTGTGTGTCACTGTGTCAGTGTGTGTGTCACTGTGTGTGTCACTATGTGTGTCAGTGTGTCAGTGTGTGTGTCAGTGTGTCACTGTGTGTGTTACTGTGTCAGTATCACTGTGTCAGTGTGTGTGCCAGTGTTTGTGTCACTGTGTCAGTGTGTGTGTCACTGTGTGTCACTGTGTCAGTGTGTGTGTCAGTGTGTGTGTCACTGTGTGTGTCACTGTGTCAGTGTGTGTCACTGTGTGTGTCAGTGTGTCAGTGTGTCAGTGTGTGTGTGTCACTGTGTCAGTGTGTGTGTCAGTGTGTGTGTCACTGTTTCACTGTGTCAGTGTGTCAGTGTGTGTGTCAGTGTGTGTCAGTGCGTATGTCAGTGTGTCAGGGTGTGTGTCAGTGTGTCATTGTGTGTGTCAGTGTGTCAGTGTGTGTGTCAGTGTGTGTGTCGGTGTGTGTCATTGTTTGTGTTGGTGTGTGTCATTGTGCCAGTGTGTGTCAGTGTTTAATTTTATTCGGGAGTGTGTGTGTCGGTGTGTGTCATTACCACAGCCTTCGCTCGGAGGTTCGGAGAGCCGTGAGGCGCTGCAAGGATGGGTGGTGGTCGCGGGTTGCCGAGGAGATGGAGTCTGCCTCAGTGGCCCGCGATCACAAACCCCTATTCCATCAAAAAAGTAACCTGCAGCGCCACACCTATTACCATCATTAGGGGAAAAATGGTGATACAATCTCCGACCCCCAGGAACAGGTTTGCAGATTTGCTGAGCATTTCTGTGAGGTCCTGGGGGAGGGGAAATCCCTCAGCCAGGAAAACATTGTGGCACAAAGTGGGGATGACCCTGCTGAGGCTGCGGTGCCTCAAATATTGGAAGAAGAAGTCACCCCTGTGAGTGGCTGGCTGAGGTGCCATCTGTTGAGGAAGTACTGAAGGCAATCCAGAGTCTGAGACCAGGAAAGGCACCGGGCAGAGATGATCTCCCAAGCGAAATGCTGAGGGAGGGTGGCGTTTGTGCACAGACTGCCCCACATGACATCATAACAAGTCTGAACCACTAGACGGGTTCCGCAGGATTGGAAGGATACCCTGGTGGTTCCCCTCTTTAAGAAGGGGGACCGCACGGACTGTAACAACTACAGGGGCATCTCACTCCTCAGTGTGCCGGGAAAGGTCCTGGCAAGGATTATTCAACATTGCCTTGCTAGGCACGCTGAGGAGAGGCTTGCGAAGCCCCAATGTGGTTTCCGGAGGAAAAAGCAGTCTTGCAAAGATGTCATATTTTCTGTTCGTCTACTACAGCAGAGGTGTAGGGAATTCCAACAAGACCTACATCTCTGCTTTATTGACCTGGTCAAGGCCTATGATACCATCAGTAGGCCTGGGCTCTGGGTTGTGCTTCGTGCTTTCGGAGTCCCTGACCCTCTGCTCACAATCATTAAGGACCTTCATGATTTTAAATTTTGATTTAAAGCTTTCGTGACTGCAGTAATTCATATTCTTAGTTTTTTCGGTAAAGTCACGTTGAAGAGAAACAACAAAATAACAAAATATATATAAAACAATAAAAAATTCTCACGACGTTTCGACCATAACTCAAACGGTCATCATCAGGTGTGTCGGTTTGCATAAATTTATTTTGAAAACGGCATATTTATTTATTTATATATATAAAAAATAACGTTTGCGTCACGCGCAACGATTGGCAGTTTGCCCAGGACTAGTCCATCTATTTTTTGAAAAGAGGAGGGGGGAGACGAAATTTGTTTTTATGTATGCTGTCTGAAAGCCACTGTAAGCGTGAACAATCAATCAAGAACTGAAATGATTTATCAAATCTTTCCAATGATTGCTAAGATAGAATCCATCTTCTCGGTTGAAATTGTCTCTGTGCTTGTATATGTGGATAGCCTCATGAACGAATCTCTCATGGAAGCCAGATGGCTTACAAAGAACCTCCGTCTTGGAAAAGTCAATGGCATGTGAGCCTACTGAATTAGAACAATGATCTGCTACGGCCGAGGTGTTGGTCCTACCGTGTTTAAGGTCTGCTTTATGTCCACGAATGCGGTCCGAGATATGGCGTTTGGTTTCTCCAATGTAACTACTACCACAGAGGCAACTTAGTTTGTAGACACCAGGGTATTGTATGTCCGGAATCACATCTTTTACAGACGGAACCAGATCACGGATTTTATGTAATGTGTTGAAACGGACCTGGATCTTGTGTTTATTCAAGATTTTGGAGATCTTTTTTGTGATCCCAGCAATGTAGGGTAAAGTGATGGTTTTGAAAGGCTCCTCAAGAGGGTTCTTCTTCATGGTTTGAGTGATAGCTTTGCGGATTGTATAGTCGGAGTAACCATTAGCCCTAAGAGCTTGGTGTACGTGCTTGAGTTCACTGCTTATGTGTTCCTGGTCAGATATGCATTGGGCTCTATGATACAGAGTCTTGATGAGAGAATTCTTCTGTGATGGATGGTGGTGGGAATCCGGTTTCAGATAAGCATCCGTATGGGTAGCTTTCCTGTAGACAGAGTGGCTCATTGAACCATCAGGTCTCTTTTTAATTAGGACATCCAAAAAAGGTATCTTGCCATCTATTTCGACTTCCATGGTAAATCTGATGGCTGGGTGTATGGAATTGATGTGGTCGAAGAATTGGTCTAGAGCAGGCCGGCCATGTGGCCAGATGACAAAAGTGTCATCCACGTACCTCTTCCATAAGGTTGGGCGCAGAGTGGCAGTCTGGATGGCGTCAGTCTCAAATTTCTCCATGAAAATGTTAGCTATAACTGGAGAAAGGGGGGAGCCCATTGGGGTGCCCTCAGTTTGTTTGTAGAAAGTTCCATTCCAAGTGAAGTATGTATTGGTTAAACAGTGTCTCACCAGGGGGGGTACCTCAGTGTTTAGTCCTTGATGAACCAAGTCTTCAATGATTGCAATGGTGTCAGGTACAGGAACCTTGGTGAATAAGGAAACTACATCAAAACTGACAAGCAGGTCGTCTGGGGACAGGGAAATACCCTTGATTGTTGATACCAGGTGAGTAGAATTTTGTACCGCAGAGGTGGTCTTTCCAGTGAAAGGACGCAGGATTTCAGATAAAAAACGAGCTAGTTTGTAGGTGGGGGAGCTGATAGTAGAGACTATGGGACGAAGAGGTGTATCAACTTTATGTATTTTTGGTAAGCCGTATAATCTTGGTGGCCTGGCAGCAGAAGGTTTCAACGAAAACTGTTTAGATTGATCAATTAATGCGGTTGAATCAGAAATTATTTTGTTGGTTTGTGTGACGAGGCTGTTGGTGGGATCTTTTTTTATTTTTGTATAACTACCATCGTCGAGTAATTCTTTAATTTTGTTGTTGTATTCTATTTTATCCATGATGACAGTAGCATTGCCTTTGTCAGCTGAGAGAACTACAATATCATTCCTCTTTTTAAATTTATATAATTCAAAACGCTCATCTTTGCTGAGGTTGCTAGCTGGCATCTTAGCGTTTTTGAGGGTTGCAGCGATTTCAGATCTTGCTACGTCTGCAGCGATGTGACCCAGGCCCCTGAGAGCAACGTCTACTTGGGCAATTATATCATTAACTGGTATGTGTTTAGGTGTGACTGCAAAGTTTAGACCTTTAGCTAAAACGGATTTCAGACCATCGGAAATAGAACTGTTACTGCGATTAATTACGACTTTATTAACGTCTAACTTTTTGGTGTGTGGGTCCGGTCTTTTGTTGAAGAGGAGGTTAAATTTGGAAATCAGGTTTTCCTTACATTTGGTCGACATAGTAGCAGCTGAAGAGGCAGTCATATTGTCTACATGTTCCCAATCCGATGTGGACATTATTGCCGTCAATGATAAGTGTGATTTGTAGAGTGTCTTGTCTAACTGATCTAGTTCTGTGCGTATAAGTCGGATTTTTTCTGACTAGTCCTGGGCAAACTGCCAATCGTTGCGCGTGACGCAAACGTTATTTTATATAAATAAATAAATAAATATGCCGTTTTCAAAATAAATTTATGCAAACCGACACACCTGATGATGACCGTTTGAGTTATGGTCGAAACGTCGTGAGAATTTTTTATTGTTTTATATATATTTTGTTATTTTGTTGTTTCTCTTCAACGTGACTTTACCGAAAAAACTAAGAATATGACCTTCATGATGGTGAGCGGGCCCGGGTAAAACTACGTGGCCGGGAGTCAGAGCCATTCCCTGTACACCTTGGGGTGCGACAACGATGTCCTCTGGCTCCCACATTATTTAATATCTATTTTGACCACGTAGTTCGTGAAGCCTTCAATAGCTGTACCGGGGGAATTTCCATTTGGTACAGATATAATGGGAGGCTGATCGATGCCCGGGTGCGGTCAAGGGATGGCTCCCTGTTGGTCAACCACGTTATGTATGCCGATGATTTGGTAATTGCTGCTCATTCAGAGGAGGAGTTGGAGACGCTTCTGCTGAACTGGAGCGTGCAACTAGGAGGTGGGGCCTTACCATCAGCCCCACCAAAACTAAGCACCTGCCTGGGTATTTTGTACCATCGGACACTCCACCCCCACAACTCCCAATCGGTGATGGGGCAGTTGTGGAGAGAGTGGAGAGTTTCCCATACCTGGGCAGTGTGCTTATGACCGGCTCCGGTTTGGCAGCAGAGGTCCCACTCCGAATCAGTCGAGCGGCAATATCTTTCATCGGTTGCGTAACGCTGTGTGGAAGCTGCCTGGTCTGTCGCTCCGTACAAAGCTTCAGGTCTTCCTGGCCACGGTCGTTCCCTCCCTTCTCTCGCTTGCGAAACGTGGACCCCCCTGGTGGAGCGTCTTCGCCAGTTAGAAACATTTAGGCTGGCCTGCCTACGATCCATCCTGGATTTAACCATTGTGTGAGGAGCTCACAAATCCTTGAAAGATCTGGGCAGGGTCCCACCGGTGAGCTCCTCCGGCGGGCAAGGCTGCGTTGGCTGGGTCATGTGGCCCGCATGCCCAGCCACTGCATGCCTAGACAGCTTTAGTTCGGCCGGATCGAGGGGGCTAAGCGGGCTCGGCACGGGCTAGAGAGGAGATGGATTGATGTGGTACAGGAGGACATAGAGCTGAGTGGACTTACCCGATAACTGGTACCAGGGGTGTCAAGATCGGCCTCTGTGGCGGAGGCTCGTGAAGGACGCTACTGGGCAGTTGGAGGCAGTCGCCCTCCAACAGCAACGGAGGGCGGAGGAGCGACGCTCACAACAACGAGCGGAGCGCCGGGTGACTAAAGCACAGCAAGTTGTCACAGTAGGGGGCACAGGTGGTGCATCAGCCAGCCATCTCAGTCATCTCAGTCAGTCGACCCGTGGCACCTGGGTCTGTTCTGTGACCTCCTGCCGGCGGGCGTTCGATACTTCACGTGGCCTCAATGTGCACATGGCCTGGCACAAGCGTCGTGGTGACGTCACCGACACTTAGTGGCGAATGGCGGTTGTTGTGTTGTTGTCATTGTGCCAGTGTGTGTCAGTGTTTCATTTCATTCGGGTGTGTCGGTGTCATTGTGGTCGTCACTCGTGCGTGTGTGTGTTAGGCAGTGATGTCTGTATGTGCAGCAGTGTTTAAGGTCGACTCGGCCTCAAATGAGGACCTGGTGCGGTGGAGCAAACATCGCCACGGGGGAGGCATAGAAAAAAAAACAACTCAAATTGATCGTTAGCGTCGTGTTAGAAGATGTAAATAACTAAAGAGCTAAGCGGACAACAATACTAATACACACATCCACGTCTCCACTAACCACCCATGGGCACCATGGCCTTCTAGGAGCGCATGATGTGAGCAGCATCGACTGTGTACCTACGTGTCGGCGTTCAGTGTCTCATCGTCACGCTTAAACCAACGCTGGCGAAGTGCCAGAGACACGACACTCAGAGCCACTCTCTCCACATCGTGGGACTTTTATTAATGTATTTTTTTTAAATTCATACATTTTTGCGTCGATCATTTTCGTATCAAAAAAGCTCCGCGTGAATATCCCGACTCTTGTCAAGACGCAGGGCAAACCACAAGGCCGCACTCACAGTATTATACTGTAATATACAGCACGAACGCCATCATAGCTGACGACGTGAATAGTCATCGCTGCTGCCATCATCATCAAGTCCGCGCCGTATTAACACCGCGATCGCCGCGTTCTCCTCTCTGCCGCACACGTTTTGGTTTTCGTGTAAAAATAAACAAAAATCGGCTCCTGCTGTCACCCATCCACCCCACCCCACCCCAACCCACCCCACACCCTCCCCAACAACCGTCATTCACCACGGCACTTGTGCCAGGCTTGGTGCACGTCGAGGCCACGTGAAGTGTCGAAGGCTTGCTGGTGTCAGGAGGTCACGGGACAGACCCAGGTGCCGTATGGGTTGACCGACGGAGATGACAGACAGATGCACCCACCACCACCACCACCGCCGCCATCGTTTGTAAATACTCCTCCATGTTATCGGTGTCACCGAGCAGTCCTCTCCTCCTCCTGTGTCTGAGAAGCTTCATCATCGTCGCTGCGCACACAATCGCAGACCCCGCCATTGTACCCAGTCTTCCAAACAACGCCGGCTGCTACCTACTGGAACCACCCAGTCAAGATTCTGAAAAAATGATCGATGATTGTGCAGCTGCTGCTGGTTCTGCGACTGCCAGTTCCACGTTCAGCATTAGTGGAGGAATCCGGGGGGGGGGGGGGGGTTAGGGGGGCATAGCATGAGGGCAGTCGCCCCCAAATGATTATCATTAATGTGCCCCCCCCCTCTCCCAAGTCCTTCCCGTCTCCCCACCCCATCACCTTCACCTTTGTTAGGATGAACATATCAGTCTGTCCAGTGACACGCATCCATATCCAGTATAAGCAGATGAAGGGGTAGAGATTGGATCTGTAACCGCCGGTCCTGGCTCCGGAGGGACCATTCAACATCCTGGATACAATCAAATACATTCTGGAGACGTCGGTCCAGGTACTGGATATTTGGGTTGAGAGTTTTGGGAGCCAGTAGCTGTTTCAACTAAACACGCAAAGCAAGAGCGATCAACAGCTTATCAAATGAGCATTGAGGCATCATGCTCATCTCCCGTCTACAGCAGCCCTCAGCCAGTGGCGAATTGGCATAATTCCACGTTACTATGGCGGGGGTAAGTCTATCCATAGGACAAATGCCGTTAATCTCCCCTCAAAGTGGTGCAGTATTCATTTAATTGACCCTGGAGGGATGATGGGGCAAGTCAACCTCCGATCACCGCTGAGCCACGTGGCCAGTTACGGGGACCGCTCCCGACTTCCCAAGCCTCTGCTCCCGTGTCGTCCGGCAACGCCAGTGGCGTCTTCCCGTATCAGGAATCCGAATAAAAGGGGGCTGGCCCGTTCCACTCACGCGACGCGCACCAGCGGTTAATAGCGGCGCGTTGGGTCACCGCGTTTCGCTGTCATTAGCCTGCAGACGCGCGGGTCACCAAGTCACACCGCCTTCTCCCCCCCCCACCACCACCCCCCACCTCTCTCTGTCCCCACCTCGCTTTTAAACGACAACCATTTAAATGAAGAAACATAAAGGCAATGAAAACAACGATAACGAGACAGTCCGGTCGGCCCACCCTCGATTTTTTTCTGTTGTTACGGAAAGCGAGGCAAAGCAAAACGCCGGTGGAGCGAGGCCGGAGCACCCGTGACGACTGCTTCTCTGCACAGCGGTCAGACGGCCTTGCCGGGACGCTTCTTGTTTCGCTTGTCGAAACAATTGCTAAAGTTTACTCTGCGGCGTCTGTGGGCGGTGGATTCGCCTGTCTACGAGATGGCGTGGAAAAAATTCGTCGGTCACGGATTACGTATTTTTTTGTTTACAACATATAAATGGGGAAAAAAATCGAGAGCAAATCATAAGGGCAGCGGCGGTGGTGGAGCAGAGTATTTTTTTTATTCGAGTCGAGCTTCGTGCTCTGATGATGAGAAAGATCCTGTCCGGGTTTTTTTTTGGGTGGGGGAAATTGCAGTAATCCAGAGAAAAACCCGGAGTAAGATCGTTCATTCACCAACAACAACCACCGCACTGCCCCCCCCCCACCTTTACACGACCGTGGCTGCCCCCTACCCCTGCTCACACAGCGGGGGTGTGAATGGTGACTACAAGCACTTGCAGAGAGATGCGAAATGGGAAACGAAAACTAAATAAAAAAATGTTAAATTCGTTAAAAAAGAAAAGTGCATATCACGTGCAACACACACGCACGCACACAGTGCCCCATGTATCACGTGCAACACGCACGCACGCACAGTGCCCCATGTATCACGTGCAACACACACGCACGCACAGTGCCCCATGTATCACGTGCAACACGCACGCACGCACACAGTGCTCCATGTATCACGTGCAACACGCACGCACGCACACAGTGCTCCATGTATCACGTGCAACACGCACGCACGCACACAGTGCCCCATGTATCCGCATCGCACTGGATACCAATATACCCCTCTCACCCGCCCCCCCCACCACTCCCTCGCGTACCCAAGGCCCCCGTACGTGCGTTCCCCCCCCACCCCCCCGTCGATAAAAGGGGCCCTCTCCTGATGATCGTCTCTGTGATAAAGGTAACCCTTCTAAAATAAAGGGGACCCCTAATAAACGGGACCCCGTGAGATTAAGGGGGACCCAATTAAGAGGGGGGGGGGACTTCTTATGATACAGGAGATCCTCAAATTGACAAAGAGGACACTGATATTTGATAAAGAAGACCCTCTCTAAACAAATGGAACCTCCTGATGATAAATGGGACCCTGGGTTGATATCGAGGACTCCTCTATATAAAGGGACCCTCTGGAGACTAAGGACCCCCCTTTGCGTAAAGGGGACTCCTCCCCGCCCCCCCCCCCTCACATCTTGCTTTCCCTCAGCATCTCGAGCTCTGTGGCGTTGCCGTTGGGAGCGCCCCCCTTGGTGTGGTGCCCCCCGATGAGGGTGTCGAGGGCCCTGTTGTCAGGGGGCCCCGCGGCTGCTAGGGCCGCGCGGCGATGGCGCTCCACGTGGGGGCCCAGCACCGGCGTGGTGAGGTGGCGCCAGCGCTGGTGGGGCACGGAGACGACACGGACCACACACACACACACAGGTGAGTGCGTGCGTGCGTGCGTACCCAGATGTGTGTACCCAGGTGAGTGCGTGTGTGTGTACCCAGGTGAGTGTGTGTGTGTACTCAGCTGTACCTGCTTCAGCGTGCCCTTGCCACGCGCCACGAGCAGGTAGAGGAGGGTGAGGGGCAGGCACAGCATGGAGGAGAGGGAGAGCAGCCAGCCCAGTGCCTCGCCCCACCACGGGTACACGTACACCTTGTTGTACGTGGGGCCCTTGTACTGAATCAGCTGGAACAGCAGCATGCCCTGTACGAGGGTCCCCGAGTAAGAGGCGCAGGGGTTGGGAGGTCGGACGTCACCGGCAGGCAGGGCAACATGGGACACGGTTGGGGGGGGGGGGGGGGGGGGTCGTGGATGCAGGGTGAGGTCAGGGGCGGGCGGTCAATGGGACTCGAGCGCCTGGCATGGAGAGCGCGGCGTGGGTGGTGAACGACTCGCTCGCTCGTCACATCGCTCACCCACTCAACCGCCTACTCAACTGCAAACTCACCACATCTCTCACTAAACCACCTCACCACATTATTTACTCACGCACCCACCCACTCTCACACTTTAATTCGGCAGGCAATAACGTGAGTGTGGTAAGGCGAACGTGGTCAGCCGGTAACGTGTACTGTGCCGAGTGCGGTGAGTAATGTGCTCACCATGCACAGTGTGGGAGTGATGAATTTCCAACACCACCCGATCCACCGGTTGGGCCGATACCCAATCATGAGCACCACATCCTCCATGAAGCGGGAGCTACCTGCAAAAACACAAAGATCCCCCGTGTAGCCTTAACAGACTGTTGAGGCAAGTGCTGTTAGCAAATAGCACTTATGAAGGCCGGCACAGCACACAAGGGAGTGGGTGGCCAGCACCACTCCCGGCCGCCTTTGTCTCCCTAGTAGCAATGTCTACACATTGCACCAGGTACTCATTTAAGGCTGAGTGAACCTAGGAGAGGGACAGGATAGGTTCAGATAATTGTCACTAATGTTGGCAGTGAGCAGGGATTCAACCCGGGTCACTGGGTTCGTTGCACAGTGGCGCTCATCGCTGTGCTATCGCTCCCCATGTATATATGTGTGTACACACACACAGGTGCACGCACAAACGCGTACACACAGTCCCATCGGTGAGCTCCTCCAGCAAGCGAAGCTGCATTTACTGGGTCATGTAGCCCACATGCCCAGCCACCGCGTGGCAAATCGGCTTTCTTTTTTGGCTGGACAGAGGGGGCTAAATGGGCATGACACGGGCTGGAGAAGAGATATACTGATGTGGTACAGAAGGATGTGGAGTCGATTGGACTTGCCGATGACTGGTACCAGCAGTGTCAGGATTGGCCTGTAGAGGAGGCTCGTGAAGGATGCTATTGGGGAGCTGGAGGCAGTCGCCCTCCAGCAACAACAGAGGGCAGAGGAACGACGCTCATGATCAGCCGGGCGGCTAAAACGCAGAAAGTTAGCACAGTAGGGGAAACAGGTTGTGCATCTGCCAGTCATCTCAGTCAGCAAATCCATAGCACCCGGGTTTGTCCCATGACCTCCTGCCACCGAGCCTTCTACACTTCACGTGGCCTAAAAGTGCATCTAGCCTGGCACAAGTGCTGTCTCAATGTGTTACAAATGGCGGTTATTATTGTTGTGTGTATGCGAGTGTGTAGGTGTGTGTGTAGACATTTCTGAAAAAGAGCTTCATAGCTCATCGGATTCCTCCAGTCTAAATAAAATTCTGATTCTGTGTGTATAGGTGTTTGTGTTTATGGGGATGTGTGCATCTGTTTAGGTTTGTGTGTGTGTATGTTGATGTGTGTGCGTGGAGGCATCTCTGCTTGTGGGGAGCGGTAGCGCAGTGCGCTAACCACTGCGCTATGAACCCAGCGAGCCAAGTTCGATTCCCGCTCATAGCCAACACCAGTGAAGATTATTTGAACCGGTCCTGGGCCTCCCCTAGGTCGACTCAGCCTAAAATGAGTACCTGGTGTGGTATGTAAAAATCACCACTGGGGAGACAAAGGCGGTCGGGCGTGGTGCTGGCCATCCACCCCCTCGTGCAGCGTTCTGGCTTTCATAGGTGCTCGATAACAGCACTTGCCCAACAGTCTGTTAAGGCTATACAGGGGATCTTTGTCTTTGTGTGTGCATGTGTAAGTGTATGTGTGTGCATGTGTGCGTATGTAGGTGCATGTGTGTGCGCGCGCGTGCGCGTTGTACCGTAGACCCACGCCACCACGATGCACTGCCACCCGACCTGCCACAGCAGAGTGTAGCCGCTCACTGCGTAGTTGTCAAACAGCTGGAAGATGTAGATTCCTCCCTGGGGGGGCGGGGGCACAGCGCTTCATTAACGACCCCCGCCGTCACCCCCATTCAAAATCATGAACAATGCCGACCACAGAGCACGTATGCAATAGCGATGGTGTTTACAATGACTGCTACTGAATCTGCTGATGCAGCGGACAATGATGATGGTGTTGGTGACGATGATGCTGCTGTTGATGTATGATGCCGACAACGATGATAGCAAAGCTGCTGTGGATAATGCCAGTGGTGATATTGTTACCACTGCTGCTGAAGATGCCTCTGCCATCCGTGATGACAATGATGATACTGAAGCTGGTTATAATTGAGCATATTTGGCATTGCCCCAATGGTTCTCAAAAGGCAAGGCTATTGTGTGTCCCAGACGCAGTCTGGAGTCGTTTCGCAGCAGGGGATGATGCTGCTGTGTGTGGAGTCCCGTTTGAGTGATTTGCAGAGTAACTTTTCAAATTTAGCCAAATCTGGGATCGTGACGCCAACACAAGATCACCTTCTCCCTCATTTCGACTGACATCATGGGGACAGCGCTTCGTAGTTATTTTACGGTCGGCGCCGCAGAGTTAACCAGGGCAGCCTGGCGGATTCGAACCGCGAACCTCTCTGCAACGACGAGCAGCGAGCGAGACTAGCGCAGGGCCACGCGACACCAATCCCGAGCCAAGCTTCGCTCACGATGGTGCTCGTGAGCGACATGGGACGCAGAACCCGTTTGGAGCTCCCGCAGGTCAGCGCAGCCATTCGTCTTAGAATACGGCCCGCGGAAGTGGATATCGCGGAACAACGTCTAGCAACGCTTCACACAGTGCAGAGTGGCGCTTCCCCTCCCCCCCCCACCTTTCACCCCCGGTTTCGGGGGCGAGGGGGGTGAGACATTGCCACGGCGAAAGACGAACCTGCATGACCATGACAAAGCTGACGAGGAATTTTACGATGCAGCAGGCGGCGACGAAGAGTTCGCGCCTCCCGCGGCCGCGCAGCACCGTGGGGAATATGTCCGAGATGCCCGTCACGAACCCCTCGATCGCCACAAACTGCACGCGCGGGCAAACACATGGCGCACGGGTCACGTACGGGCGCACGCGCGCACGTCGGGACGGTGTCCGGGAGTGGGAGAGCAGGTAAGAGATCGGGCTCGGTTTCGGTGAAGTATGGGCGTGCGTGCGGACCTGGCTATCGAGGCCGAGCAGCAGCAGCATGACGAAGAAGAGGACGGCCCAGAGCACGGGCACCGGCATCATGGTGACGGCGCGAGGGTACGCGATGAATGCCAGCCCAGGACCTAGAGTACACATACAGAGTACACATACATAAAACAAAGATCCCCTGTATAGTCTGAACAGACTGTTGGTGCTATTAGCGAGCACCTTTGACGGCAGGCACGGTACACGAGGGGGTGGGTGGCCAGAAACCACGCCCGGCTGCCTTTGTCTCCCCAGTGGCGATGGATACACATCGTGCCAGGTACTCATTTGAGGCCGAGTCCACCTAGGGGAGGCCCAGGGCCGGTTCAGATAATCGTCACTGGTGTTGGCCGTGAGCAGGAATGGAACTCGGGTTGCCGCATGGTGATGGCGCGCGGGTACGTGATGAATCAGCCTAGCGTACAGGGAGAACGATACCCCATACAGCCTAAACAAACTGTTGGAGCTAGCGCTGTTAGGGAGGTGATAATGGCGGCAATTATAATGATGATGATGGCAGTGATGGTGACGATGATGGTCATGGCGGCGGTGAAGGTGACGATGGCGATGATAAGAATGATGATGGTGGTGATGGTGATATTGATGGCGGTGTTGGTGATTATGGTGATGACAATGATGATGACAACTATGGCAATAACGACAATGACGATGATGGCAATGTTGCCGGCGGTGATGCGGCACTCACCGGACTCTGCGACCATGTCGATGGGCACGCCCTGCTCGTGCGCCATGAAGCCCAGGATGGAGAAGACCACGAAGCCGGCAAAGAGGCTCGTACCAGAGTTAATGAGCGCCAGCACGTACGTGTCCCTAATGAGGAAGTGGAGTCGTGTTAACGAGTGAAAGCGCGCACGCGCGCGCACGCACACAAACATCCCTCCTGTAGCCCAAAAAGACTGTAGGGGCAAGTGCTGTTAGGGAGTATCTGTGAAGGCGAGTGCGGCGCACGCTGGGGTGGGTGGGCAGCACCACGACCACTTTGGCCTCCTCAGTGGCGATGTTGACACACTGCACCAGGGACTCATTTGGTTCAGATAATCGTCACTGGTCTTGGCCGTGAGCGGGAATCAAACTCGGGTCGCTGGGTACTTCGCGCTGTGTACGAACCGTTACACTTCCACATTACGCATACACAAAGACAAAGATCCCCCATATAGCCTTAACATACTGTTGGGGCAAGTGCTGTAAGTGAGCATCTATGAAGGCTGGCATGGCACACGAGGTAGTAGGTGGCCAGCACCATGCCCGGCGTACACACGCGCACGCACACGCACGCACGCGCACACGCACGTGCACACACGCACGCGCACACATGCGTGCGCACACACGCACGCACACACACGCGTGCGCACACACGCACACCTGAGGCAGTTGTTGTGGAAGCGGTTGTAACTGCCGAGGGTGGACAGGGCTCCGAAACCAAGCGCGTATGAGTAGAACGTCTGTGTGCCGGCATCCAGCCACACCTACGGGGTCAGTCACACCAGACAGACACACACACACGTGCATTAACACACACCCAAAGATACACAGATAGGTCCAGCCATACCTACAGTGAGGGAAAAAAGTATTTGATCCCCTGCTGATTTTGTACGTTTGCCCACTGACAAAGAAATGATCAGTCGATAATTTTAATGGTAGGTTTATTTGAACAGTGAGAGACGGAATAATAACATAAAAATCCAGAAAAACGCATGTCAAAAATGTTATAAATTGATTGGCATTTTAAGAGGGAAATAAGTATTTGACCCCCTCTCAATCAGAAAGATTTCTGGCTCCCAGGTGTTTTATACAGGTAACGACCTGAGATTAGGAGCACACTCTTAAAGGGAGTGCTCCTAATCTCAGCTTGTTACCTGTATAAAAGACACCTGTCCGCAGAAGCAATCAATCAATCAGATTCCAAACTCTCCACCATGGCCAAGACCAAAGAGCTCTCAAAGGATGCCAGGGACAAGATTGTAGACCTACACAAGGCTGGAATGGGCTACAAGACCATTGCCAAGCAGCTTGGTGAGAAGGTGACAACAGTTGGTGCGATTATTCGCAAATGGAAGAAACACAAAAGAACTGTCAATCTCCCTCGGCCTGGGGCTCCATGCAAGATCTCACCTCGTGGAGTTGCAATTATCATGAGAACGGTGAGGAATCAGCCCAGAACTAGATGGGAGGATCTTGTCAGTGATCTCAAGGCAGCTGGGACCATAGTCACCAAGAAAACAATTGGTAACACACTACGCCGTGAAGGACTGAAATCCTGCAGTGCACGCAAGGTCCCCCTGTTCAAGAAAGCACATATACATGTCCGTCTGAAGTTTGCCAATGAACATCTGAATGATTCAGAGGACGACTGGGTGAAAGTGTTGTGGTCAGATGAGACCAAAATGGAGCTCTTTGGCATCAACTCAACTCGCCGTGTTTGGAGGAGGAGGAATGCTACCTATGACCCCAAGAACACCATCCCCACCATAAAACATGGAGGTGGAAACATTATGCTTTGGGGGTGTTTTTCTGCTAAGGGGACAGGACAACTTCACCGCATCAAAGGGACGATGGACCGTCAAATCTTGGGTGAGAACCTCCTTCCCTCAGCCAGGGCATTGAAAATGGGTCGTGGATTGATATTCCAGCATGACAATGACCCAAAACACACGGCCACGGCAACAAAGAAGTGGCTCAAGAAGAAGCACATTAAGATCCTGGAGTGGCCTAGCCAGTCTCAAGACCTTAATCCCATAGAAAATCTGTGGAGGGAGCTGAAGTTGAGTTGCCAAACGTCAGCCTCGAAACCTTAATGACTTGGAGAAGATCTGCAAAGAGGAGTGGGACAAAATCCCTCCTGAGAAGTGTGCAAACCTGGTAGCCAACTACAAGAAACGTCTGACCTCTGTGATTGCCAACACGGGTTTTGCCACCAAGTACTAAGTCATGTTTTGCAGAGGGGTCAAATACTTATTTCTCTCATTAAAATGCAAATAAATTTATAACATTTTTGACATGCGTTTTTCTGGATTTTTTGTTGTTGTTATTCTGTCTCTCACTGTTCAAATAAACCTACCATTAAAATTATAGACTGATCATTTCTTCATCAGTGGGCAAACGTACAAAAATCAGCAGGGGATCAAATACTTTTTCCCTCACTGTACATGGTCAGCCAAATCAACAACAGCCACCATTCGCCACTAAGTGTCAGTGACGTCCCCACAGCGCTTGTGCCATGCTAGGTGTACTTTAAGGCCACGTAAAGTGTTTAAGGCTCGCTGGCAGGTCACGGGACCCAGGTGCCATGGGTTGACTGAGATGACTGGCAGATTCACCAACTGTGCCCCTTACGGTGCCAACTTCCTGTGTTTTGCTCCTCTGCCCTCCGTTGTTGCTAAAGGGCGACTGCCTCCAACTGCCCAGAAGCATTCTTTATAAGCCTCCTCCACAGAGGCCGATCTTGACACCACTGGTACCAGTTATCAGCACAAGTCCAACCAGCTCAACATCCTTCTGTACCACATCAGTATATCTCTTCTCCAGCCCGTGTCATGCCCGTTTAGCCCCCTCTATCTGGCCAAACAGAAGCTGCTTGAACATGTGGTAGGCTGGGCATGTGGACTGCATGATCCAGCCAATGCAGCTTCGCCTGCAGGAGGAGCTCACTGATGATGGGACTGTGTCCAGATCTCAAGGATCTATGAGCATTTCACACAACCCAGCCTGGTTAAAGCCTGGTTAAACCCAAGATGGATCGTAGGCAGGCCAGCCTGAATATTTAAAACCGGTGATGTTCCTTTAGAGGGGTCCACGTTTCACAAATGTAGTGAAGGGAGGGCAAAACTGTAGCTGAGAAGACCTAAAGTTTCGTAAGGAGTGACAGAGACAGGCAGCTTCCATATGGCATCGTTACGCAGCTGACGAGAAGATAATGCCGTTCGACTTATTCTGAGCGAGACCTCCGCCGCCAAAGCGGAGGCGGTCGTGCGCGCACTGTGCCCAAGAACTCGTCCCAACTCTCCCCACGAAGCGTCTTGCTCGCAAGTGAAGAGCAGAGGCAGGGCTGGAAGGTGCGCTGGTGAGAGGGGCGCGATCAAGAAGACGACGACAGTCGCGATGCGTAGTGGGGTCGCGACACCGCCACTCGCCTGTGGCGTGGCGAGCTTCTGCCAGTCGGTCTGCAGGTAGTACTTGATGCCACCCATGGCGCCGGGCAAGGTGACGCCGCGCGCAAACAGCGCGATCAGCATCAGGTAGCGGAACGTGGACGTGAAGTACACGACCTGCACGCGCGCCGGTACACACAGGTAGAAAGACAAAGACCCCCCCCCCGCCATTTAGCCTTTAACAGATTGTTGGGGCAAGTGCTGCTAGCGAGCACGGCGCACGAGGGGGTGGGTGGCCAGCACCACACCGGGCCGCTTTTATCTTCCCAGTGCGGATGTTCTACACCGGGTACTCATTTGAGGCTCAATCCATCCAGGGGATTCCCAGGGACCGATTCAGATAATCGTCACTGATGGTGGCCATGAGCAGGAATCTAACTCGGGTCACCAGGTTCGTAGTGCAGCATGCTAACCCCTACACTACTGCTCCCATCAAGCGCACACACACACACGGCACGTGCACACACACACACACGCACGTGGGTATTTTTGGAGTTGCAAAAGAGACACGGAGTGCACAGTGCGGCTTGCGGTATGTGTGCCGCGGTGCCGTATAGAGTGTGTGTTTGGCGTAGCATTGGGTAGTGTACTCAGTATAGTGCTGTCACGGTGATCCCGTGTAGCAGTGGTGTGGCAGTGGTGTGGTGGTAGTGTGGCAGTAGTGGTGATCCGGTGGTGTTGCGGTGGTGGTGTGGCGGTAGTGTGGTGGGTGTGGTGTGGCACTGATGTGGTGGTGGTGATGTGGCGATGGTGGAGTGGCGGGGTGGTGTGGTGGGGTGGTGTGGTGGGGGTGATGTGCCACTGATGTGGTGGTGGTGTGGCGGTGGTGGTGTGGCCGGGACGGTGTGGTGGAGGTGGTGTGGCACTGATGTGGTGGTGGTGATGTGGCGATGGTGGTGTGGTGGGGGTGGTGTGGCACTGATATGGTGGTGGTGATGTGGAGGACTGCACCTTTCCCGTGCTGCGAACGCCCTTCCACACACAGAAGTAGACGATGAGCCAGGCGGCAATGAGGCACAGCAGCATCTCCCAGTGCACGGAGCCCAAGTCGTGCAGGCCCGTCGTCATGGCCAGCGTCTTACGCCTACGCACGCACGCACACGCACGGAGTTTTAATTTGTATTCTTTAGAATATTTCACCTGGGAAATGCACACGGGGCGCATAAAGGGGGTGTCTGGCCAGCTGGATGCCCGGCCGCCTTTGTCTCCCCAATGCCGATGTTTACAGGCCGATCCAGGTACTCGAAGGCCTAGGACCTGTTCAGGTACTCAGAGGCCTCGTACTGGTTCAAATATTCCCCACAATTGATCTTGAGTGGGAATCGAACTCAGAATGTCAGGTTCATAGCGCAGTGGGCTAACCACTGCACCACCACTCCATAGACAAAAACAAACATTCCCCGTACAATGTGGCCTGAACAGACTGTTGGGGCAAGTGCTGCTAGCGAGCACCTATGAAGGCCATCATAGCACACTAGGGGGTGGGTGGCCAACACCATGCCTGGTCGCCTTTGTCTCCTCAGTGGCGATGTTTACACACAGCACTAAGTACTCATTTGAGGCCGAGTCGACCTAGGAGAGGCCCAGGACTGGTTCAGATAATCGTTACTGGTGTTGACCATCAGCAGGAATCGAACCCCGGTCGCCGGGTTCACTGCGTAACACGCTAACCGCTGCACTACCCCTCCGGACACGCGCGTGTACACACTCACCACGCACACACACACGCCCACATCCCCCGCCAGCACAGCACTCACTCCCAGAACTCCACGACGGACGAGGTGGTGACGACGTTGAGAGGGGGGCATGCGTGCCCCAGAGCCGACACGTTGCTCAGCGGCAGCAGTGACGACCCCGACGTGGCATTCGTCAGCGCCGGCCATGCCATCGACCGTGCCGTTCCATTCAGAAACCCGGGTCCTGCCGTCCCATTGAGTGACCCCTCCGTGCCGTTGGCGTCCGCTGACGGGTACTGGCAGGTGCCGTCTGAGCAGAACTTGGTGTTCCAATTGTTGCCGCAGGTAGCCCAGGGCAACGGCCCCATGGTGAAGCAGTGGGCCAGGTAGTAAAGCGCCCAGGCGAGGATCAGGATGTAGTAGCAGTTGCAGTAGAAGACGATGACCATGGAGGCGTAGCCCAGGCCTAGTTATGAACGCAGGCCGGGACAAATGGAACAGGACTCAACAACGCACACCCAGAGGTTTGCGGGGTCATCAGCAAAAGGTGATGGCAGTCAATTGTGCCATTAGTCAAGGGGGGCATTGGTCCAGGTGGCGGTCAAGGTGTCATCGGTCAAGAGAGGCGGTAGTTGATAGGGGGTGCAGCACCTTTGAAGATCGGCGAGATGCCCCAGGCACCGATGCCACCCTGCTTGGTGAACTGTCCCAGCGACACCTCCATGAAGAAGCAGGGGATCCCCGCAGCGATGAGCGTCAGACAGTAGGGGATGAGGAACACCCCTGCGGCGGAGGAAGGAGTGGGGTGAGGCGGGGGGAACATTATTGAGGGGGACCGGACACCCAGATCCGGCGAGAGGGGGTGACCAGATTCGAGTTTCAGAAGGAGGCCGCACACGAGATGCACGAGGGGTTAGAGGTGGAAGGACGGGCGGGCTGGCATGACCTTCTGACCCTAACCCTGAAACAGACCCAGGCCCCGACTCAAACCTCGACCCAGGCCCAGAGCCTAACCCAGATCCAGACCCTTGCCCCAGCCTCTAAACCAGAACCTTACGTAAACCCTAACCCCGACCCTATTACTGACCCTGATCCAGACCTTAAACCTGACCCAGGCCCTAACTTTAACAGTGATGAGGGCAAATGATCATTAATAGCAATGGAGACCGATGGTACAGGAGGTAATAATGGCTACCAACCGCAAGGAGGGCAGTCCTGGAAGGTGAATCTCTTTCTATAACCTAAACTATTTTTTTTATTTTACAAGGTAAAGCCCACCGAGTTATGATAATAGGGTTTTCCCATTTTTTCTGGCAACAAAACAGGTGTTAAGATTTTGATTTAAAGCTTTCGTGACTGCAGTAATTCATATTCTTAGTTTTTTCAACGTGACTTTACCGAAAAAACTAAGAATAGGTGTTAAGATGTTAAAACACCAAACTGAAACCTTTTCCAAGGAATCATGTCTGCATTAACCACAATACTTGTGATCCCACTGGGCTACATAGCTATTTTTGAGAAGTGACCTGGTAACAAATGATAGCTCAATTAAGTGGCTCATCATGTGGAAATGTAGTGCAGGCAAATGCTTTAAGTGCACATTCATTCTAAATGTGGAAGGAAAAACCGGAGGACCCAGAGAAAAATCCACGCGACCACAGATAGAACATGCAAACTCCAAATATACAGGCGTCAGGGTCGGGATTGAACCCACAACCTCCTTTAAACAGGGACCCACGATAATGGTAGCATTGACTCATTGCATTTCCTCTACTAAACATCAATCAGACCCCCATTTGGGGGTCTCAAGGAGGGGCCACTCCCCCCATTGCCCAACCCCTCACCAATGGATCTACCACTTATAGGTGCAGATAGTTGGGAACAAACAAAGGGATCCAAGACTGGGGTCACTGGTGTTGTTGGGATGGGAGGTCGCATCAATGGTACTCACACTGGGGTCTCCACCACCTATCTGCCTATTCCCCCCCCCCCCCGGAACCTCCCACCCACCCACCCGCATACCCCCAACGCCCCCCAACAAGCACTATGCTCAGCGACACCCGCGACCTCTGTGCCTCACCTGGGAGGGGGGGGGTCACTTTCAGGTCACTAGGTCAAAGTGCAAGCTCACAAAGCTCCCAAGACCTGCGGCAGGGAGGGGTTGGCGAAGGGACGGGGAAAGAGGGCGGGGGAGGTGGGGCGTTCCACAGAATTGCATGCTCGGTAATCACTTTTAATTGAATTGCATCTGCGTCAATAGAGTAATCGGCCTTCCCCCCCCCCACGACCCACATCCTGTTCCAGTATAAGCCAGGCCCCCCTTTTTTCTCCCACCACACGCATCTGCCCCCCTTGAGACAAACAGAGGAGGCCGGGTGGCTCAGAGGTCAGAGACGCTAAGCAGGCACAGCTGAGAGCCTGGGTTCGGATCCCGGTTTAGCCGCCGACTGTGGTTGAACCGGGTTCTCTAGCGCAGCGAGTCGGGGGTCTCGGTTACCAATGCCTGCCACAGAGACCCCAGAGAGCCCCTGGACCGCTTCCCCCCTCAAGGAGTGAACAATCTGGTGAACGAACAAGTGTGGACCTTGCCGAGCAGGCGAGCGAGCAGGCAGGCGGGACCCACCTCCGCCGTTGCGGTAGCACAGGTAAGGGAAGCGCCAGACGTTGCCGAGCCCCACCGCATAGCCCACGCACGACATCAGGAAGTCGAGCTGCCTGCCCCACGTCTGCCGCTCCACCGAACTCCCAACGCTAGTGTCCTTGCCGGCGCTGGCCACATCCCGGGCTCCGGCGCCACCCCCCGCCGCTGCCCCCAGCTCCATCTTCTTCTTCTTCTCTGCGGCAGCCGCGGTGGCGCCATCGAACATTGGCACACGCACCGACGCCTGCCGGGACTTGCGGTCGCCGTCGATGCCGACAATGGCGTGGTGGCCGCGGTGGCCGCGGTGGCAAGTCACGGCATCTTCGTCGTCGTCCTCCTCGTCGTTGTCGTGGCCATAGTTGTGGTCGAGGAGGAGAGGGCCCGTGGTGTCCGAGTCGGACTGCGAAGAGCACGGAGAGGGGGACACGTGGCGCTTGGGGGATTCGGGGGAGCCCTCCGACATGGTGTGGGAGCGCGGAGGGGTTCTGCACGCACGCACACGCACGTACACACACGCATGCACGCACGTGGAAGACACAGGGTTAGGGTGGGGTCGCGAGTGCCAGACACGTAGAGATGCTGCGCCGAGTGATAGGAAGAGGAACGTGTGGTCGAAGGAACGTGCGCGTGGAAAGCGAGTGGACCGGAGCAGGATGCGTCATGGCTACAAATGACGATGTACGGTGGTCGAGACTTGTGACCGAGTGGCAGGCGACGGGGAGAGCCAGCGCCTGAGAGGACGTCCACCACGGACACGGAGCGGTGGAACCGAGCGTTCGAGGCTCAGGTTAGGCTCAGGGCTAGAGTCAGGGCTCACTCCATGGTCATGCTGGCCTGTCGACGCCGTGGGCCCGTGTGATTAACAAAGGCGAGACTGCTGATGCAGATTGCGGCTGTGTTGTGTACAAAACATCAACAATGCCACTTTGAGTCATCACTGGTCTATTAAGTTTACGTAGGTTAACCTACGAGGGGTGGGGGTGTGGCGGCAGGGTGGGGGGGGGGTAGTGTCCCTGGGGGATAAGATGCAATGCCTAAATACGGCGCTGTGTGTATGATCACGGATAGTTATTGTTAGGGTCAGGGGTGATTCTATTGTTAGGGTAAGGGATGGTCCTATCATTAGGGTCACGGAGGGTTCTATTGTTTGGGTCAGGGATGGTCCTATTTGTAGGGTCAGGGATGGGCCTATTGTTAGGGTCAGGGAGGGTTCTATTGTTTGGTTGAGGGATGGTCCTATTGTTAAGGTCAGGGATGGTCCCATTATTATGGTCAGGGGTGGTCCTATTATTAAGGTGAGGGAGGGTTTCTTGTTAGGATCACAGATAAATATATCGGTATGGTCAGAGTTATTGTTATGGCAAAGGTAAGTACTCAGTAAAGATGCCAATGTGAGGAATGTTGGCATGCGCTTGGAACTGTTGGCCCATCGCCCCATGTTTACTGGAGAGTTTTAATGTTAGGCGCTGGGCTTGGGAATCGCTGTGGGACAGGGGTAGTGGAAAATTCCACGAGGAGAGGAGGCCCGATAGCGCCCCTAGTGGACCCCGCATGTTCAGCACACTGCACGATACTATGGGGTGGGCGGGAAATCCCTATACCTCTGCGACTTAATTAGTCTTATACAATAGGGGTATAGGGACTTCTCGCCCACCTTGTAATGCATGTACACATATTGAGTACCATAAAGTACATAATCGAACAGCTCGTGTACACGGTGTATGTTGCACAACACAATGTATAGCACCTCACATACACGTAGTATACACGGTGTTATTACAGCTATTTTACTGGGTGGTCGAAAAGTCCCTATACCCCTTTACATCCGCTGGTCTGTACGAACGTATGAGGCGCGGGTATAGTGACTTCTCGCCCACTCTGTCGAAGAGTGTATACCATTATGTATAAGTATATACAACACACCACTGCGTTGTATGTACACTGCAATTTATTGTATACTGTAATGCACTACGTTGAACTGCGTGTACACAGAGTACGCGTGTGTGCGTGTACACAGTACGCGTGTGTGCGTGTACACTGTACTGTACGATATAAATACTTAGGCGAGCGATTGCAATATTACAGTGTGAGATGGAGAGATAAGGCGGGCGGGATATCACATACCATGTGTTGTGCGACATCAGATATCTCCCACGAGCATTCCACACGGCTCTTCGAGATTCACTCATTCCTCCCATCCATTACATCACTCACTGTGCCTGATGACTCACTAACTCATTCATCCACTGGGCACGAAGGTTTACTCATTCTTTCACTGAGCCCCAGGGTTCACTAATTCATTTGCTGGGCACCATGGTTCATTCATTAATCCGTCATTCACTGTACCCCAGGGTTCAACGATTCATTTGCAGAACCCCAACACTCACTCATTCATTCACTGGGCACCATGGTCCATTTATGAATTCTTCATTCACTGTGTCCCAGGATTCAGTCATTCATTTACCGGTTCAACAATTCATTTACTGAACCACAGCGTTAACTCATTCATTCACTGGGCGCCATGGTTAATTCATTAATCTTTCATTCCTTATGCCCCAGGAATCACTCATTATTTCATCAGACACCAGAGTTAACTCATTCTTTCCTTCATTCATCAGGCCCCACAGTTCACTAATTAAATCATTTGGAACTATGGCTAACCACTTAATTCCTTCATTCATTGGGCTCCACATGGTTCACTCTTTCATTCAATGACTGGGCCGCAGGAATTATCCATTAATCAGGTCCCTGCAATTCATTCACCCCAACGTCACAGGCGGTAGCTAGGGGAGGCCTTAAACCAGCAGTGGAACGCTCATGGCCGCTGCAGCTGCTAATGATCACTGTGCTAATCTTCACCTCACCCATCTCAGAGAGTCATATTTCACCCGTGTTTCAATATTTTTAATGTCAACTCAAGTTGGGCCACGATTTCTGGCTGCAGCCTGAATTTCCCGGGCTGGTCCCATTTCACGATCTCGCCCCGAGTTCCCTACGGTGAGATTAGATTTTGGGGCCGTGCGGAATCGTCACAGCGCGTGCTCTGGGCAAATGCCAACGCGATCAGAAAATGTCATGGGGCGACGGGAAACATTTTATATTGCATTTCAGTTAAATATTCGACGACGATAACAACCATGGTCTTCACCTTTGACCCGAAAAGGGGGGGGGGGGTCGCCGCACCCCTCTCAAACCCCAAAAAATCATATTTTATTCATATTTGCGTTGAATATTTATTTGTTTCATGATTGCCCATACCAAATAAAAAAAGCAATGTTTTGACACATTTATAGATCCACTGCTGCAATAACTCCAGTACTTTCACTCAGAAACTCATGGAAACGCCATTATTATTACTAATATTAGTTATTTTTATTACTAATTATTATGTTTTTACCTAGAAACAAGGTGATGGCGCACATAACGCGGCGCTCGAGCTGCTGGGTCGAAACCGCCCGACACCAGCGGTCATCCCTCGGCGATGATCGACCACCCCTGTTTGGGGCCCATTGCTCGGCCCGTCTAAACGCGATGGCTGCCCCCCCCGCCACCCCTCTTCCCCACCCTCCTGGCATCGTTGCTTTCCTAAGACGGGACACTGGTCCAGAGTCCTCGCGCCTGCCGCTCGGTACGAGTCCCAGAGTCCGCCGCATCGCTTGCACTCGGGACCGCTGAGTTTGATGTGGCAATACAGGACAGAGGCCAATTTACCCATATCGTAAAATACCAATAATTCACAGCCCCTTTGTCAAGCCACTGCTGGACAAAGGCCGTTTCCAATGCCATGTGAGGCGTGCGGGTTGTCTTGACCATACTTCACCACGCTAGTTCGGTGCGGGTTGGTGAAGGGTACTGGGAGGGGTGTCGCCTTGATCGGTTCAGATATCTAAACTAAAACTGTAAAATATTTTTATTCTAAGTAAGGCCCATTGAGCTATGCAGCTTTTTTTTAGAAGCGACCGGGCCCAAGTGATCATTAATCACCATTGGAGACAGATAGTACAGGAGGTAATAATCGCTGCACAAATGCACGGAGGACAGTTCTGGAAGTTGAATCTCTTCCTACCAGATAAAGCCCACTGAGCTACATAGCTCTTTTTCAGAAGTGACCTGGCCACAAATGATAGCTCAACAAAGTGGCTTATGATGTGGAAATGTATAGCGGCCAAATACTCTAACCGCCCGTTGATTCTAAATGTGGAGCGGAACAACCAGAGGACCGGATAAAAATCCACGCATAGTTTATTTTAGGGAGGAGTGGGAGGCATGCCAACACGACTGGCTCAGCTATCGACCACTGCTGATGTTAGCCGTGGCTATTAGAAAATCGAATGCCAGGTCCTTGGCTCCATCTCCCTCCACCACCTTGCCTGCCCGATCAGGAACTCTCCTCTTTGCTTCACTCCCGTCGAGTGGTGTATCTCTCTCTCTCTCGTTCCGCCTCTCGGCCTTGTTCCCGACATCTGAGCCTTGCAGCTCCCGGCTCTGTGAAAAATGCGGCCGACCCACAACGATCGCCCATTCTGTATCGCTCCAACCACACTTCTCATCTCCTCAACCTGCTCCACAGCGTCCTCGTTTCTATCTCTCTCCATCCAACTGGCTGTCTCCATTCGGGGCCCACAACCCACGTCTCCCTTTCTTCGAGTGCAGGTTTCCGCCAAGGAGGGGGAGAGGTGGTCCCAAAGTTGCAAAGTTTTTAACAGAGGGCCCTTATACCTCAAACCTAAAGACAGACCGAAGTGATCCTAACCTGGGCCACGTAGGCCACATGGGCCATTTGAACGTGACCTGAGCCAGGTTAAGTACCTCCTTGGTGGACAGGTGAGAAGACGGGGAGGTGGAGGATGGTCGTGGCGTTGAGCAGGACACTGGTCTTGAGTTAGACTGGCAGCTGAGAGCCTAGGCACGTACGTACACACACAGAGAGGTGTCATTTACACAATCACGTATCACCGGCCGTGGTCTATCCACTGCTGGACGAAAGTCTCTCCCAAGCCGCCGCTATCTCTCAGGGTCCAGCGATGCGACGGTCCACCGTGCGCCTGCGGTGGACGTTTTGTCGGGCACTGCTCCCTCCTTTGGCTGCCACTCCGGTGTTAGTCTCAGCCTCTGGCGAGTCATACCTCCTAGCCTTGACGCATGCTGCAAGAGCCCACTCGCTGTGTTTACACTGAACGGTGCCTCTAACTTGCATATCATCTCTCAACAACACGTTCCTCCTCTTTATATCTCTCGGTCCAATTCAATACCTCTTCCCTCCCACCTCACGCGAATTCCCTCCATGCACGCTCCGCTCCAACAGCAGGTGCTCTCTGTGGAAACCCAGCAGGTCAGGTTTCACTCAGTGGGAGGTTGCTCATTTTCCTCTGCTGCACCCACAGTCTGGAACAACTCCATTCCCCCAGCGGCCCACGCTGTCGACTCCCTGCCCCTGTTCAAGTCCAGACTCAATAATTCCTCTTGTCCTTTGCATATGACTGCCTCGCCCTCCCATACTCACAGAGAGATCCATAGACTTACATAGAGACCCATACACTAACGTGTGAGACCGACAGATGCACAGACCCATAGACTAACATAAGAGGTCTATGACTGCCCGTGTTGACACCGCGCGGTATACACAGGGATGTATACACCCCATGGTATACAGTTACACATTCATACTCTTTGGTTCTTTCGGTAAAGTCACGTAGGTAGAAAATAATAGATCACGACGTTTCGAGTGCAACACAAGCGACCGTCATCAGGTGAGACAATCACAGCAGGGAAACTGCTGAAGCAGGCGAGACCGCTGCCGTGACAAGAGGCTCTATAGGTAGGGTAAGTGGGCGGGGCTAGAGATGGGAGAGGTGGGCGGGGCTAAAGATGGGAGAGAGAGGTGGGCGGGGCTAGAGCTGGGGGGCGGGGCAGCAAGATCGGTGGCGGCCGGAGAACTCGCCAGGGGGAGAGCTTCAAATCAAGATTAGTGACATTATTATTCATTACACTCGCCTTGTGCCCGTCCCAGTACGGAAGCTGTAATGTTTACTAAAAATTGAGCAGAGTATATCTTGTGTAAATTTGATGGCAGTGAATCTTGCACAAAACGAAGTCATAAAACACCTCACTTCATATTATTGGTTCTTTCGGTAAAGTCACATAGAAGGGAAACAAATAATAAAAACATAAAACAATATGTTATTGTTTCCCTTCTACGTGACTTTACTGAGAAAACCAAGAATATGAATCCCTGCAGTCACGAAAGCTTTAAATCAAAACCTCACTTCATGTCACTGTAGCACTGTATATAACTGACCTTCAATTTGTTCAAATTCACTGCTCTGATACTTTATTCTCTTCTGCTTTCGGTCGCGGGGGTTGAAATTAATTGGAATTCGATACAATATCTGCAAAATCACCAATAAATGTCTATTTTACCATCATGTAGAAGTATAAATTAGACTTAACTTTCGTCTCAAGTGCTGAAGAAATAAAGAAACCAAATCCACTTTGTTGCTGCATAGAATTGTGTATTAAATTCACTATCAATAAAGAAACGTCAAACTTAAAGCGAATTTGCTAAGAAAATATTATTTCCGCTCGACCTTCTGCGTAAATATAAAAATCCACCCGCTCATGAATATTAATGAGGGGGGGGGGTGCGGCATGTGGAGTGACGTCACGCGCGTTACACAGACATTCTTGGCTAATGTAATGGTATAGTGACATATACACTGCATATGTTTCTATACACTACATGGTATACATGGTATACAGTTACATATTCATTACACGGTATACATGGTGACATGTACACTACATTGTATAAATGTATATGTACACTACATTGTATAAATGTATATGTACACTACATTGTATAAATGTATATGTACACTACATTGTATAAATGTATATGTACACTACATTGTATAAATGTATATGTACACTACATTGTACACTAGGTACATATACACATGGTCAAGTCAAGCCAAAGACCCCCATATAACCTTCAACAGACTCTAGGGGCAAGTGCTGTTAGCGAGCACCTATGAAGGCCGGCACGGCACACGAGGGGGTGGGTGGCCAGCACCACGCCCGGCCGCCTTTGTCTCCCCAGTGGCGATGTTTACACCATCGCACCAGAGAATAATTTGAGGCGGAGTCGACTTATGGGAATTCCAGGACCTGTAAAGATATCGGTCACTGGATTTGGCCGTGAGAGGGAATCGAACTAGGGTCGCCGGGTTCGTAGTGCAGCGCAAACCGCTACACTACCGCTCCCCTACACACATATACACTTTAACACGAAGGCTTTCGCGACCAATATTATTCATAATAAAGGTTTTTGGGTTAGATCGCGTTATTTATGTGTCGTAACCCTCCACCATCCGATACGGCCAATCAGCAAAAAAGTGTCACGTTGACAAAAGACAAATAGTTCACTACTTTAGCCCACCGGTGTGCTGAAGAGTAAATCCACAACATTTACAGTTTGAGTAGTACGACGTTTCGCTGGTTATTACATCCCCAGCATCATCGGGCAAATCGCCAGAATGTTAAAGCCCTCTCCACTTGCTCTCGGTCTTAAATAGAGCAGCAGCAGGGTGACGTCATCATTTAACTAATTCAGGTGCAGTGATTATATAATCGATTGGTAATCAGTCAATGGTTATGATTAGTAATGAGTTGTAGATTAGTAATTAGTTGTAATGTGTCATTGTGATTATATGCTACGTTAGTAATCCGTTAATTAGTATGTTTCCCCTATAAGGAATTGTAATATGTATTATTTAATAATACATACAGCTACAGGATGGATCGTAGGCAAGCTAGCCTAAATGTTTCTAACCGGCGAAGATGTTCCATTAGGGGGGTCCACGTTTCGCAAGCGTAGAGAAGGGAGGGAATGACCGTGGCCGAGAAGACCTGAAGCTTAGTGCGGAGCGACAGACCAGGTAGCTTCCACACAGCGTTACGCAACCGATTAAAAGATTGCCGCTCGACTGATTCGGAGTGAGACCTCTGTTGTTAAACTGGAGCCGGTCATAAGCACACTGCCCAGGTATGGGAAACTCTCCACTCTCTCCACAACTGCCCCATCACCGATTGGGAGTTGTGGAGAGGGTGGAGTGTCCGATGGTACATACACTGGCACACACACGCGTGCCTGTATCGACAACACACCTGGTAATGATGCCGCTGACGATAGAGCCGTTGCTTGGTGGCTGATGCTGATCGCGACGCAAATGACTTCACACCGCTGCAGGTGTACACAGAGCGTGATGAGTATCAGCAGTAGTTGGTGTGTGCAGCAGGTGTTGGTGTGAGTGTGTAGCAGTAGTTGGTGTGAGTGTTCAGCAGTAGTTCGTGTGTGCAGCAGTAGTAGTTGGTGTGAGTGAGTGGTGGGCAGACACCCTGGGATGGTTCAGTGAGTGGGGAGCGCACGCCGGAGGGGGGAGGAAATTTCCCCCCACCCCCACGGTCTCAGCCACACCCCCCCACTCCCCCCACCCCCCAATGGAAAATTACTCCGCACAGAGGTCCCCTGTGCTGGGCGCAGCGCCCCCTAGCGGAGGACTCCGCTAGCCCCTGCAAAGCACCGCGGCTGGGACGAATGATTCATTAATAATTATTGGTGGTTGATGGTGGTGGTAATTGGTGGTTATTAATCGTTATGGTGGTGATGATTGGAGGTGGTGCTGCTGATGATCATTATTTATGGTAGTGACAGCGATGGTTAATGGTGATAACTGATGGAGGTTGGCGATTGGTGGTTGTGATGATACTGATGTTATTGATGTTTACTGGTGCTGATGATTATTGATGCCGATGATTATTGGTGGTGATGATTGGCATTGGTGGTGGAAGTTATTGATGATTAATGTGATGACGTTAGTGATGTGTACTGACGCTGCTGTTGATGAGTGAAGGTGGTGGCGAGGGTTAGGATTATTGATTGATGGTCGTGATCGTGATATTGACGTTTTCTGGTGCTGCTGCTGACGGCGTTGAAGCTGCTGCTGATTATTCATGGCGGATTCGATGATGGTGATACTAATGTTTACTGATGATTATTATTGATGATGGTTACTGATAGTTACTGATGCAGCTGAGGTTGATGGTGCTGTTTACTGATGATTATCACTTATGATAAATGATTATTGATGGTGGTGATGCTGATGATGATAATGGTGTTCTTTGTCACTGCGAGAGATGGTGATGCTGATGTAAAGAGAGTTATCCTGCTGCTGATATTGATGTAATTGATATACTCACTGGAGCTGCTGCTGATAATGACGCTTTTGCTGCTAAAGGCTGGTCTATGTTTTCCAATCAACCGACTATATCATTCACTATCTCCTTATCGCATTAACACCAATGTATAAAGAGTATATATACACACTGTATGTATACTGCCCGTGTTATGTACGTGTACAACGCTCCATGTACATACAATGTAAGCAATGTGTGTGTACGTATGTTATGGTGTGCGCACTGCAGTATAAGGGTTTTCTCTAATTATAGCCGTGGGTATCGCTTCAGTGATACCTCATTTAATAAATAATGTGTGCCTAGAATGATATAACTGTGTACTGCAGTATAAGGATCTCGGTGTATATAATAGATCTCTCTATGTGTTTTGCTACGGTATGTGTCCATACAACACTATTGACTATGTAGTCTATGTAGAAATCGTCAGTACATACAAGCAAGTACAATCACACGTTCCGTTGTGTTGCTTACGTCTAAATTAAAATATTATGCCAATTCCATCGGCCGTTTGGTTTTCCAGACCAATATTATCTAGCTCACTGTGTGTACTGCAGTATAAAGATCTCTATGTAACACGATCACTGTACTGTATATGTATGTGTTTATTGCAGTTTAACAATGTGTATATGATTGTGTGTACTACAGTTTTAACGGTATCTGTGTAACAATAAATATATCTGCGTGTACTGCAGTATAATAAGGGTATTTTTTAAATCCAACACTATCTCTCTGCATCTGTACGTGCGCACTGCACACCTCTCCGCACCCACCACCACTCTATGTGTGTCCTGCAGCATCAGGATCTCTGCCCCAGCCTGCCTTTTAACACTCCGCTTTCCCGTCGGGGGAGGAGGCTTCCTGGGTGGGTGGGGGGTTGTTGTTGATGATGATGGGGGATAGAGTAAAAGGCGGTATAAGTTGTTTTTGTGGTTTGCCTTAATACTTTTAAACAGTTGCAAAATAAAACGCTTGGCGGGGTGGATTGGAGGTGCAGAGAACGGAGGGGTGTGTGTGCCAGTGCTGTGTGTGTGCCTGCTGTGTGTGTGCCAGTGCTGTGTGTGTGCCAGTGCTGTGTGTGTGCCAGTGCTGTGTGTGTGCCAGTGCTGTGTGTGTGCCTGCTGTGTGTGTGCCAGTGCTACACGTGTGCCTGCTGTGTGCTACACGTGTGCCAGTGCTGTGTGTGTGCCAGTGCTGTGTGTGTGCCTGCTGTGTTTATGCCAGTGCTGTGTGTGTGCCAGTGCTGCGCGTGTGCCTGTTACACGTGTGCCTGCTGTGTGTGTGCTGTACGTGTGCCTGGAGTGTGTGTGTACTTGCACGTGTGCCTGGTATGTGTGTCGGTTATACACATTCAGGCTGTCCTGCCTACGATCTATCCTGGATTAAACCAGTCTGGATTGTGTGAGCTCTGAACACATTCCCATCAGTGCACTCTTTCGACAGGCAAGGCTGCGTTTTCTGGGCATGTAGCACGCATGCCCGACCACTGCATGCCCGACCAGCTTTTGTTTCGCCATTTAGAAGGGGGCTAAATGGGCGAGGCACTTGCTCGAGAAGGGATGGAGTGATGTGGTACAGGTGGATGTGGAGGTGTGTGGACTTGTCGATGAATACCAGTCATCGGCCTCTATGGAGGAGGCTCGTGAAGGACGCTACTGGGTAGTTGGAGCCAGTTGCCCTCCAACAGCGGGGCACCAACGCTCACAACAACGAGTGGCGCGCTGGGCGGCGAGAGAACGGCAGGTTGTCATCTGTCAGTCATCTCAGTCAACCCATGGCACCTGGGTCTGGCCCGTGACCTCCTGCCAGCGAGCCTTAGACACTTCACGTGGCCTCAAAGTGCACCTAACCTGGCACAAGCGCCGTAGTGACGTCACTGCCACGTAGAATCAGAAATTGTATTTATTCTGGAGAAATCGGATGAGCTATGAAGCTCGTTTTCTACAGATGTCCAGTAGGGGCGGGTGATCGAGTTAGATAAACAATACAAGACACGATATGAACGAGATAAATAAGCTAACCAAGTCGCTAAACATATCAGTTTTAAAATACAAATTGCACAAGTACATACATTCCTGCAGTTTCTAAACACCAAATGTAGCTTGTACAAGGCAGTAAAATCAACATAAAACAATCCCAGACCACACCAAGACAACACATGTACTGTATGTACTGTATGTAAGTATGTTGAACTTCTTTCGCACATTACCTAGCCAACCGCGCTAATCGGAGGTGTGGGGGAAGGACAGCAAACTAAACACAACAATGAGTTCTAACTAATGAGTTTTTCGATCTCGATTTAAAAGTGCATAGCTCCAGTGGCTTCCTAATAAACTTATAATTTAGCTATCACGTTTGCAAATGTGGCTGTATCTGACATTCGGCTTCAGGATATTTTTTGAAGGAAATTTGACAATGTCAAGGGAGTAAACTCGGTTGTTCCAAAGGGTTGGTTGGTACTGCAATAGGCATCAAGTTGTGCCACTTATTCCAATTCTTGTTCTATGGTTAGTTAAAGGGCAATTAGATGGACGTCTTGAGCTTCTTTGGTTTGACAATGAGGTTAATTAATAATTTGTTGATTAAATTAAAACTGCCTCAGTAGCACGTGATAACAAATCACTTCTAACACAGTATAACAATAACACGGTTTACCCTTTCTAGCAATGAAACAGGTTTTAAGATGTTCAAACACCAAACGTAAACTTTTTGCTTTAAAGACCATCACAAAAGAAACTTGCAGCGCCACACCTGTCATCATCTTTAAGGTAAAAAAAAACCGTTAAACCGATCTCCGACCCCCAAAGAATGGGTTCGCAAGTTTCCCAATAATTTCCGTGAGGTCTCGTGAGGTCTCGGGGTAAGGGGACACCTCTCAGCTCAAACAGCATCATCGGGCAAGGTGGGGTTGACCCCATCTGGTGCTGCTGTGCCTCCAACATTTGAAGGAAGTAGCGGCTCCTTGTGAGTGGTTGGCTGAGGCTGCCATCCCTTGATGCAGTGTGAATGGTAATCCGGAGCTCGAAACGAGGTAAAGCTTCGGAGAGAAATTGATCTCTCAAAGAATTGCCGAGGGAGGATGGCGTTTGTGTGCAGACTTCCCGATATGTCATCGCACCTGAGACGCGAATTACATCGCGCGTTTTCAGATGCGCTTCTAAGACCGCCTGGGACGCTGTTCCTTCTGATATTAGGAAATCACTGCAGCTATGCACTTTTAAATCATCTAGATTGAAAATAAATTCCCTTAGAACTGCTGTTCGTGTTGTTTGTTGTCCTTCCCCCGCACCTCCGATTAGCACAGTTGGCTACGTACGGTGCTAAATAAGTTAAACATTGCGACTCGGGAGACAAAGGTGTCCGGGCGTGGAGCTGGCCACACACACCCTCGTGTGCCCTTCTGCCTTCATAGGTGCTCCCTTACAGCACTTGCCTCACCAGCCTGTTAACATTATACGGGGGATCTTTATCGAAAAATGTTGGGGAGTGGTTAACACTGGTTAGCACTACCAACCCAGCCACGGTTACATCAGTGACGAGTGATATCCGAACCCAGTCTTGGCCCCTCCCTTAGGTCGACTCAGTCTTCAATTAGTATATGGTGTGGTATGTCAACATCAGCACTGGGAAAACAGAGCTGGGCGGGCGTGATTCTAGTGACACCACCCACTCGTGCGATGCACTGACTTTAATAGGTGCTCACTAACAACAGTTGCCCTCACAGTCCTGTAGTTATCCGTATCATGTGTTACATAATCTTGCCTGTAAACATTTGGCAGTTCATCAACAGCTGGCAGTTCGCCATCATTTGTTCAAAACACTGAATGTCAGTATCGGCCCAGTGTCGGCACCTATATTGAAGTGATGCCGCTGAAGTGTTGCACTCCCTGAAAGAAGGTTGCGTGGTCGGTGGGATGTGTAAAACAAACTAACGTATTTGACCTGCTTAGTCCGGTAAGGGCAATACGGGGGGGGGGGGGGGGGGGGCAATCTGTTGTTGCTTGTGTGCGCGCGCCACTCTTTTCTCTTGGTTGTTAATGGATAATTTGGAAACCTTGACCACTTTGAACTTTTCATATTCAGACATTCAGCCCCTCGTGGCACCAGAAGGCAGGGTCAGCAAGATATGTCCCCTATGCTGGTGTTGCAGTCGTCGTTGCGGTAGTCGATTATGATGTTGCCGTGGTAGCTGTGGTGGTTGTTGTATATGTCGGGTATTGAAAATTTGATGAAAATAATAAAATTAAATTAAATTTGGAAATATGCACAATTAGCCGAAATTATGTTAATTTATGTATTGCGAATTGCCCGATGATGCTGGATGTAATTACCAGCGAAACGTCGTACTCAAACTGTAAATGTTGTGGATTCACTCTTCAACACACCGGTGGGCTAAAGTAGTGAACTATTTGTCTTTTGTCAACGTGACACTTTTTTTGCTGATTGGCCGTGTCGGGTGGTGGATGGTTACGACACATTTATAAATAACGCGATCTAACCCAAAAACTTTTATTATGGACTCTGCCACTGCTCGCTGACCCGTCAGCAAGAAGCAATGGTTCTGTTAGGGCTGCTGTCCCTCGACTCCCCATTCTCCTGTGCCCCCCCCCCCGCTCTCCTCTTCTCTCCCCCTCGCTACTGCTCCTCGTGGCATGATTTAAATATCTGCACTAGCCACCTCGCAAATACACCGCGGTGCCCTTCTCGTACACGCCAGCCACGAGCTGCGCAGCGGCGAGAGTGCCCACGCGTACGGAATACACGGGACACCACAACGCACATGCTCATAAGTTAACGTGCACGGCGAACGCACACACGCGGGGAAAATATACGCTCGTGCGCAAACACAAGACACCACACAACGCACAGGTTCACCACACCATGCACTCCCCCCCTTTCCTAAGATCTAACCTATCTCTCTACGGTCTAATAGTCAAGTAGCCTGTCCTCTCTCAACTCACTCTCTCTATTAGAATTTCCCCCTTTGCCTTACCTCTCCTCTTCGTACTTATGATCCGACCTCGTGGTGTTGGAGGTCGCGAAAAGACGAGGCTGCACGCGGCTTTTGCTGGGAACTGGATCTGGCTGCTCTGCGACCCGTCTCACGGACGTTCGAGTAGCAGGGGACGATCACCCCTCGGTTTCTCACTCCACAAGATCCCGGGCAAAAGAGACGGGCTTCCCAATTCCATCCCTTTTTATGCTCCTACTTCAAAAGCCCACGCGCCGTCGATCCGCTGGCTTCTCATCCAATCAGCAGCCTCCTCTCTGATGCCCCGCCCCTCCATTGTTTAACCGAGTGCACGGCTGTCGTCCTGTACCGCCCCGCCCCCCTGCCGGTCTGCAGCGTGCACCGCATCATAGGGATCAACCTGTTCCGCCCCGACCCCCCACCTGCCTGCTGGTCCGCGTGTGCTTTTTGGCTGTTTCTTCACTGCGGTTCTCAGTAGTTCGCCGTGGCCGTGCAACTTTAAGTCAGTCCACGGCGCCGCAGTGCCGTTCGGCCTGGGGGGGGGCCTGCCAATTCTCTGGCCCTGAGAAACCGTGGAGCACCACCACGAGGGAGGCCCTCGGGTGAAAACTCAGGGGCAGGTGACCCCCCCCCCCACGAGGCCCTACGTGAGTGTGTGTGTTCATGTGGAGGGTGGTGGGGGAAGCGCTGTGACGGCAGCCTGGTGGCTCCTCTGCCGCAGCACCCCCGTTGCAGGCACGGCTCCCACGGAGCGGCTTCGCTGTCGTGGCACCGCAGTTCCAGTAGCCACAGATTTTTGTGAAGCGTGGTAGCGATAGGGGTCGACCAGGATGGCATAAAAATGTTTGATTACGCCACTTGAACATATTGG